GACAGCTTGGGCGAAGGTCATGGTGGGCTTCCCTATCCCTGTCCCGCCAGGAGTGGTCTTTCTTTTAGGCGGATCTCGGGTTTCCAGCCACTCATTCAGGCATTTGGAGAAGAAAGCGCTGAACTCCTTGGCATGAGAGTTCAGTTCGGTTTCAGCTTTCTCAAGTGTCTTATCGACTGCTGCAGCACACTTTTGAAACATTGTCATCCTGGCTTCATAGAGATGCTTGTCTTTAGCCAGTATTTTGGCAACTTAGTCCTGGCATTTTGAAGAAGAGACTTTGTTCCCTGCATCACCTCTAATGACTTGGTCTGTAAGGATTTCGATTGACTGAGGTGATTCCATATCAATGGTGCTGCTATTATTGATATTTCGGGATTTTCTTTTTAGAGGGGAAACAGTGGTGAAGTCAGCCTCAGAGACCTGTGACGGGCTGCTGTTGATGTCGTCGAGCAGTGCCTGGCGGAGCCTGCTTGGGGTTGCCGGGCCATATGTTCTTTTAGGGACTGGGGATTTGAACACGCCGCCAGTAGTCGTCTTTGGGACGGCCACTGGCGTATTTGGGGGCCTATCGTGAAGGGGTGCCATCCAGCTTGTGAGAAAAATTTTCTGTGCCTTGGCAAGGATAGTCAGATACTGAGACAAATGCCTGCTTTAGTGCAGATATAGAGATTGCGCCCTAACAGTGGGGGGCCAAGAAAAATAGTTGTTTTTGCAAGGTGGTTGTCCGGTCAAACTTAATAGCATTGTTGTGTCCCCATTGGTTGAGTGAATGAAGATTTTCAGAAGCCTCTGTAGCTGTTTTCTCAAGGTTCTTTCCAATACAGAGAGTTGCTAAGTCGTCTGCATTTCTAAAGCGTCTCCTTTCCATACCAAGTCGGGCACAGATTGGCTCTGTATACAGCATATAAAGAATTGGAGAGGCTGGTGAGCCTTGTGAAAGCCCACAAGTGAGAGCTTTTATATCGGTCACGATACCTTCAAACCGAACTCTTGCGGACCGTTCGGACATGAATGACTGGACCCATCTTATGAGGAAGCCCGGCCAGCCCTGTTCTCTCATGAGAACCACCAGCTGTCCTATTAGGGCAGCGTTAAAGGCCCCTTTCACATCTGACGTGACTACTGTTGCAACAAGGCCTTGATCAAGGGCCTGCTTAATATCGTGTATGAGTGCAGCTACCAAGTCGGTGACAGAGCGCTTCGGTAGCGCTCCAAAATATTATGGAGCTAGAATTCCGAGTTTAATAACGAACCAGGCAATTCTTTTCGTAATGAGTCGTCCTAGGCCTTTGTCAAGACATGACAGCAGCGATATTGGTCTGTAGGCCCTGGGGTTGGAGTAGTCTTTCTTGTCTGGTTTTAGGATCATCACCACTTCAGCTATTTTGAATGGTTTAGGGTGGTGTCCAATCTGTAGACAGTGTGACGGAACGCTCACCATAACCACCATGCCACAGCTGTTCCTCCCAAATGGATGTCGAATATCAAGCGTGGCAGCTTGACATTCAATGGTGGTACATGTACTCATGTCCGGGCTCCAGGACTCACCACATGGGCTACCTATACCAGACCATGACAGACAGGTCTGGAAAAGGGCTCTGATATGTTCCCTAATGACTGGCCAGCAAGCTTTCAGAATCCGTACTGTGAGGGTGTCTACTCCCGTGGATTTGCTCTTGGTCCCTATTGATTGATTGATTGTATTTATCGTGGGTGCAGTCCCTCAGCAGGGCAAACCACGCCTCCCAGAGCCATTGCATCGCAAGGTTGTAGAGGTGTCAGTCTAGATACATTCAGATCCGCGCACGAGCCTATCCTCGCTATAGCGGTACCAATCTGGAGTGTCCAGATGGTTTTAGTCAATACCGAAGCACAATTCCGTCAGAAAAACCTCCTATCCAGTGACAAAGCGACCCAGTGAACCTCAATCCTCTAGTGTACACATTGTTCCAGTAGCCGTTCAATATATGTCGCATTGGTGGATGAAATAGGTGTTTGTTATCTACTGGCGAGGGAAACCATAAGGGGGAAAACCCCGCAGGAATGGGTGTCGTGGAGACAAGCTGCTTGGCTATCGGTCTCTGTGATAATGGGGCCTCTCCACTGTCGTGTACTGATTGTCGACTCGCACAAGCCGGGTCAGAAAGGGGGCCATAGCAGGATTCGAACCCACTTGTTCTCGTCGCCCACCGCACAAACGGGAACACAACCAGGCACATTTGACCATTGCGCCATATGGCCCGATGAACGATGAAAGTATCATAATATTGTCCATGTAGGATCAATACTGGTTGAGATTATCATTGCGTTGAATGATCAGTGGACTAGGGGAACATCTTGTAGCGTATGCATTGGTGATGACCAGTGAAGTGATGTGCCAATAGATTGATCCTTGTTCCTTGACCGTTTACCCATTCCCATGCTTCCTGATGCGCTTCCGACGCTATATTCTGCCCTCCCAACTTCTGTCACGATTCCCCAAAGCGACTCACGGAATCTCAAACCCATACTGAGAGTCCCTTTCTGGTAGATTGATGGGGTAGAAGAACTCGTTGTATGTAAACACAGCAATGAGAATCCATCCAAGGGGAGGGAACACCCAGAATACGCAGAAATTGATGGCGACAAAAAATAAGCCCCGCAACACGTAGTTCCACTCCCATAGCATCCGGAAAATGAGTCCAAAGACTCAAACAAAGACACCGAGGACGGCTAACAACGCCAGCATGATAAAGGCTGAATCCCAAAACCCTGGCCGATCCGGGTCTGTGCCTATCGTGTTTGTCATGTTTTTCGCTTCGCAGGGTGGCTGAGATGACGTGGTTCGAATTGGCTGAACTCAATGCTTGCTGGTCTGGTAGAGAGTGACGGATGTGGCATGCGGCGAATTCTCGCAAGAGGTCGTCTCTGGCCATAAACAGACGAGTTGGTTGTGGTAGTGATAGTAAGAATACCACAAGTACCTCCCCCAGCAGTGCGGCGCGTCAGCAATTAAACCCTATCGCAAGGACAAAGACCGCCAGCAGGTAAGTACGATGCCAGTAGAGCTCTTTATTCACCTTGTGGTAATGCCCACTTCTTTATGACCGGATCTGGCAATTTGGACAAAGACGACGCTCTTAGTGACATGTCAAAGCCGAAAGTGTCGATCTCTAGGCTTCAACACCTGCATTAGGTAGCCAACCACTGGCCCTCAAAGAAGTGGCAGGGATATCATCTTAGGGTCATTTCGCAGTTTGAAAGCATCACAGACGCCTGCTATTTTAGCCAATGTGTTCCACTGGATTCTGTATGCTTCAAACCTACCTCAGTAGGCGAGCGTGCGTCTCATGAAGCCGCCACCTTCTACTTTACATACTGGTGGGTTTAGGTACCAACGATGTTGGCACAGGTTTCTTTGACTGTAAGCTATTAGAATTGTATGGTAAGCAAGATGGGTGATGTCAAAACATGTACTAGAATGCAACCTGACCGAATCATGAGTGCACCGCAAGACAAATAACGGCGGGGACCTAGATGTGGGACAGCCCCCCATGTGGGACAGTTTTCTCACCAAAACTCCAATATTGCGACATTTATAACTCAACCAACAGTGATGCCACAATATATTTGTTTAAACGGGAATATTCGTTAATTTTCTTTTTATCTTTTAAGTCCGGCTACTCCTTGTACTTTGTTTTGATACTGGAGTTACAATTACATGAAGTTTTGCCCCTACGAAATTTTATGTTTCGGGCTGCCGCAAGGCTGCCGCAAGGCTGGTTTTCCCGACCTTTTGGTGGGAGCCAGGCTCAGTTCAAGTTCAACACACCGCTACGTTCTTGGTACGGAAGAAGGCAGCATCATACACAATACATCCTCGTACCACTCGACCAAATCTAGCCATTCCACCGGCTAGGAGGCAACTAAGAAAAATAACAAGAGTAACGTAGCAATATATTGGCGGACGGCAGCAAGCCATCGAAAGGGGTCCCAGGCCCGTGGGAATTGATTGATTGATTGATTGGTTGATTGATTGTATTTAACGTGGGGGATCGCTCCTCAGTAGTTGTGAGATTTCAAAGTGATCTATTAAGGAGAGGAATTCCAGCTACTCTGGAGCGGCCAGAGTGGCCCTATATATATCCAAGATACTAAAGGAAAGGATACGTGGCCTTATATTGGCCACGTATGTGACAGAATCACAACTGGGGATGGTGATCCTGAAGGATGACTATGGATCGGCTAACATAGCCCAGAATCCAACATGGGACCGTCAGTCCATACGACAGTACCCGCCACGACCATATTGTCATACGCGAGACCCTGCAGAACATTTCATCGACAGCAGTTGCCTTCCGTGATGGGCTTGCGGATGATGTTGTCCCTCAGCTGCTGGCCAGATTGCTGATGGCATTCGAAGCCCAGGCAGTTGGGATGGACGAGGCAGAATGGGTCTTGCAAGAGACGGCCCATCACCCTGGCTGTAACCGGATCACCTGATGGATCATAGATAACGACAGTGGCGAACCTGTGGCAGATGTCGAAACCGATCGTCTTCTCTAGGCTCTACTGCCATTCTTGGCTGCCTTGCGCCGTGCTAGTATCGCCCGACAAGGTTAGGACCTGCTACACAGCGTGCGCCTAGATGGGTTCAAGACAAATCGGCAACGGCAAAAGCTTATGATAACTGTAGAACGAATGGCTAGCCTTGAACCAGCCTTGATAGCTGGTGGCGTTGATGATGGCTCGTCAGGATGACTGACTAGGCTTTACTGACGCTATAATACAAAAGATTGTGTACCGGTCCTACCCGACTGTTTCCCTTCCTCTCCTGGGTTTCGTGCTATAATGAACGTGTTTAATTCCATGACCAGTCTATCATTGCGCCTTTTATAAGGCCATTTACCGTCCCGTCCGTCCCCCTCGGTCCCCCTCCCCCGCCGAACGTGGGCGCATCATAGCAGTGTATGAAGCAAAAGCCCTCCGTGATGCAACCTCGAGAGTCGTCCCTGGCTTTACTCGCTGAGCTTTCTCAGATTATCAAAATCCCACGGTATCTTCTTGGAGACAGGGAGTTCGGCCACGGAGCTGTAGCAAGTCGCCTTCATGCCTAAATCGTCATTATGAACCATGGCCGGTGGAATCAACATCTGGGTAAACCCCTCGGGGACATTGGGCCCCTTCTTCTCATCCATACGTAGAGTGCTCTTCCACTTGTCTCCGATGAGATTCTCGAACGCTTTCTCGCCCCCGTTGTACATAGTCTCCGGTATGAACACCTTTGGGACTTTCGCCAGCTTCTCAGCATTCGCCAGAATGAAACAAAACCTGATATGGTTAACATTGGACAGGGTTAAAAGCATAGTTGTAAACCTGGCTTACCATATATTTGGCTCTTGAGTAACCATGGGTAAATTCGACAGGTATAGACCGCGGCCGAGTTGACCAATGCCTCTCGTCTTCCAGTCAGGACCAAAAATTTTAGACCACTTAACTTCGTGGTAGTCTTCGTCGTAGATTGGGGTTCCTTTCTTGTTTATGAGCTCTGCCTCTACCTAATTGCCCGTTAGGTCTCTATCTGTGTAACAGGGGAAAGATGGTCTTGCAGGTGAAACAGTTCTGTAACCCAAAGGCTGAAGGTCATCAGAATCCCGAGAATATACAGAGAAGTATGTCGTAGGAATAGCCGAAACAGCGATGGCGCTGGCAACGCTGATCAGGCCTATGATGTTGAAGTGCATATTGCTGGGCAGTTCAGTGGGCCAACAGTTACTGTTGTTACTGTGGGATCTTGCTGGAAACGAGGTTGAAGGAACGTATGAACTGCTTTGCTGAGACAGGAACCTCGCAGTGAGCTGTGAGTGAGGTTTTATAGAAGTAATGGTGGCACTGCATCACTTTGAGTGGCAAATCACCAGAGACAAATCTGGAGTTGCCCGTTATCGTGTTCCGCTGTCCGCAGTCACCGAAGGCCAGGGCCATCGCCGACATTGTGGAGTCTTACCGTCGTGGCACCTAGCTACCTATATGAGAAAGTTCCCGTCAAGTAAAGTTCTACCTATTGCCATTATTGTTAAATAGGAATAGCGGCAATGCTAGAACAATTCCACTTTTGCCCCGCTTGGAGCTGTTCAACAATTATGGATATACGTGGAACCGCTAACCATTACCATCCTAGATACCTATATAAAAAGTTCCTATTGCGTAAAGTTCTACCTATTGCCATTATGGATATGCGTGGAACCGCTAACCATTACCATCCTAGATATCTGTGACGGCCTGCACGGACCTTCCCACATGACAAGCCGATACCTCCCAATAAGGGAAGGATCTGACCAGAGGATCCCCTTAAAAAGGGACAACCCCCCGCTGTACCTATCTTTCTCTCTCTTCCTTTCCTCTCTAGTCTTGATATTCTCGTCAATAGAGTAATAGCTGCTTGCTGCCGGCCATGTCCCAGCTCCTCAGTACGCTCGCCGTGACAATGATATTATTAGATTTAAAAGTCTCGTTTAGTTTATTTATTTATTCAAAAATAACTTAATTATTATACATTTAAATTAAATCAAAATTACTTGATAGCCTTTTTTTCTTTTAATTTTTAACTTTTTTCGTTTTTGAGAGTAAAATATATGTAAGTTTAAGAATATTTGTTACGATGCCTGCGGCGTTGTGCTGGAAAACTTGTATTATTCCAAAAATGACAAGGTGAGGAAGGAAAGGAATCCAGGTGTGTGTGCACCCAAATGGCTGCAGCACATATGGTGGTGTCCTTCTTTATCTAATCTACACGTGACCTAATGACTGAGTATCTAACCAGGTGGATACAGGTGCTGGACCGTCACAATATTATAGCTGAAACCGCCTGTTAAGTAGTTGATTTTTATCGCGATTAAAAGTTTAATAACGCTATTTTATTAAATCGTTTTATTTTAGGTGAATACCTATAGAAATTTATATCTAATTTATTCTTTGTATTTGTTGGATAACAGGGGTCATGAAGATGAGCCGAGTCCGACCGGAAAAACCACGGTACGGCGGAGATGACCAGCACCAAACTGGGAACCGATCAGGGGCACCTGAACAGACAGAACAGATACAAGACACTACATGCAATACACGAAGAATCACCCTCCAATCACTGAACTCGCTTGAATCCAACAGTATTATAATATAATATCAAGTATGATAAAATATTTTATATGTTTAATTATATATTAAAAAGTAAGTTATTATCGCTTTTGAAAAAACAAATGCTTTTAACCGTTGAATTTAATAATTCGACTATAGTTATTCGTTTCTAACAAGGGCTTTTAAAGATTTATATATCAACCTTTCTCTACTAATTTATTAAGGCATTTTAATAGATTATTAATAATTGTTGGAACAGGCTTGAACGATCAATCATAATACTCGAGTATGGGGTCAAGGTCATGATGTTGCTGATGGTTGGATTGGGAGGTCTAGCTGGACCTGAAGGTCTGGCTAAGTGACCTCGCAATCCGGTATCTAATCACTTATCTAATCATACATGTGGGTCCTGGTATAGATGGTTTGCAGGCTGGAATCGCATGGATCCAACAATAATAAATTTTATAATGTATTGTGCTTAACGTATAATCTTGAGACATTCATTATATCGGTGTAAAAACAAATACTAACGCTTCAAGAAATAAATATAAAAAGTTTAAACTATCATAACTATTTTGAAATTATATCGTACAGCCTTTCAGCTACCAGTAAAAATGTTCGAACTTAATAGCATATTAAAGTCATGATTTATCCCAAATATCTTTAAAAGAATTTAATCATTGATATAACTTTAATTTGTAATTTACGTAATATCCTTATAATCTCTATATAACATATAATCACTGAATATATTAGTTGATTAAAATACTGTTAAATCCATATTAATATTAAAATAATAAAGATATAAGAATCCGTAAATTTTAGTTACATGTGCTAACTAAGCTCTGCTTAGTGGTCCTTTATCAGGCCACCGCGCTAGGAGTAACGGGTACTCTGGTAAACCCTGTGCCGTTATACCTCTGCGAGCCTATAACTGTAAGGAGACACTTCTATTAAAAACTCAGTACATGTATCTAGGATAGTAATGGTTAGCGGTTCCACGTATATCTATAATGGTAATAGGTGAAACTTTACGCGGCGGGAACTTTCTCATAGGAACTTTCTCATAGGAACTTTCTCATAGGAACTTTCTCACACGAACTTTCTCATAGAAACTTTCACATGGGCTTTCTTGTAATAACGTCGTTGTTAGGTAAATATTTTGAGCATGGTAGTTACACGTGGGACCGCTAATGCACCCAGCCGGGGGAGCTCATGAATCCTGTTTTGGACATTGTCCACCAGCTCTTGTAGTTTATCGTCCGGGACTATCCACCAATCAGCCTTGGGGACCCAGTCCAGGTCTCCCTGAATTGGGACAACTATTCGTAATGTCTCATGATCTGAAGTGCTTGGAGTGCATCATTCACTGAGGCTTCGGCCATGGGGACATCTAAGAAAACCAGATCTAGTACATTTCTGTCATCATGTATCGGGACATCTGGTTCAGAAATCAGATCCAGTCCGTGGTCTGCCATAGTCTGTGCAAGTATAGCACCACCATGATTGTGACGGCCTGCACAGACCTTCCCACATGACAAGTGGATACTTCCTAATAGGGGAAGGATCTGACCAGAGGATCCCCTTAAAGGGGCAACCTCCCACTGTACCTATCTCTCTCTCTCTTCCTTTCCTCTCTAGTCTTGATATTCTCGTCAATAGAGTAATAGCTGCTTGCTGCCGGCCATGTCCCAGCTCCTCAGTACGCTCGCCGTGACAATGATATCCTGGATTGCTTGAGTCCCAAGATGTGTCGCCAGCATTGAAATCTCCGGCTATGACACAGCCAAAGGGTGGAGTCCATACTTCCAGAATGTCATCCACTTCCTGCGGGTTATCGCATGGTCGGTAGACACTGGCAAATGTAATACCTCGTACCTTGACCCAAGTGATGTCTCGTGTAGCGTAAGGCCGAAATTGATCCGCTTGAAGATGTTTTCTCACATAGATGAGAGATCTGGGTCGTATACTGTTGCTGTCCGAGGAATCAATCAGGGAATATATATCATAATTTGGGTGTGTCTTTACTCCCATTCTTCTGCCTGGTGGTGTGCTGACCTAGGGCTCTTGCATCAGAATGATGTCTGCTTACTCTCCTTAATAATCAGCCAGATTAATGGTTTATTTTGTAGGGCCTGCACTCTTTTGTCCTCCTGCTGTATTCACAGAATGGACGACCAGGTGCCCGTGTCGATGTGTTTCGTTTAATGTATCTAGCATTGATGGATGATAATGGTGTCGGCATCTCTGAGATGAGCTGTATTTGTTGTATTGATTTGCATTGTGGTGTCTTCGTTATTATTGTTAGGTGTTGACTTAGCTTGGTTTCTGCCTGTTTTATTGAAGGCCCTGGATCTGGCTCTTTCTCCGGCCAGCCTTATTTCCTGGATTTGTTCCCATGTGTGCTTATGGATGATACCTTTCACGACCTTGGGGCGTACAGGGCATTTGTCGAAGTCAGTAGCATGAGGCCCCTTGTAATTGACACACTTTGGGATTGGTTTTTCGCACTCCCCCTGGTGTACTGTGCTGGCGCAACGTGCACATATTTGCTTTTCACATCGGTAGTTTCTACCATGGTATCTGAAGCAGCTCACACACTGGTGAACCTTGGGGGTGTATTGAATGTGCCTTGAGGTCATTAAGTGAGCAAAAAGCATGAATGGTTTCTTTGCTGCACAGGACAGAGAGATCACCCATGTGGTCTCTGGATCTAAATCAACCGTGTTTCTTGAGAGTATGCACCTTAAAGATCTGTCGCCTGTTTGGGCTTTAACCTTGTTAGTGACAATAATGTCGGTAATATAGACTATAAATCCTTCCGCATTGATGACCTTTCTTGGGCATCTATTAACCTTGTAGTGATGCCAGACCGTATGGGTTTCGATCTTTTGTGCCTTAAGAATGTCAGCGATTTCTTCTTAAAAGACCAGGAGCTTAGTCTGAGTTGGCTTGTCCTTTGGGTATAAGGTAAATCCAGAGGGGCACCACGTCACCTCTCTAAACTCCTAGGGATGGAGCTTAAGTCTTTTATTCAGTGTAGACTTTATCTCATAAGGCTGTAAGTGGCTATTGTCCATGTTTTGTTTGTTTGTTTGTTTTGTATTTATCGTGGGTGCAGTCCCTCAACAGGGCAAACCACGCCTCCCAGAGCCATTGCATCGCAAGGTTATAGAGGTGTCAGTCTAGATACATTCAGATCCGCGCACGAGCCTATCCTCGCTGTAGCGGTACCAATCTGGAGTGTCCAGATGGTTTTAGTCAATACCCAAACACGATTCCGTCAGAAAAACCTCCTGTCCAGTGACTAAGCGACCCAGTGAACCTCAGTACTCTGGTGTACACATCGTTCCAGTAGCCGTTCGATATATGTCGCATTGGCTATTGTCCATGGGGACAAAGACCCGGAGATCATTTTGTTTCTTCTTTAATTGGTTGGCAGCAGTAAGGGCGCCAGGCTGTGTTTTTTTTCATGGTGGTGTTGACTATTAGTGGATGCTGTCAGTGGTTAGAAGAGACAGCTTGGGCGAAGGTCATGGTGGGCTTCCCCATCACCATCCCCCCGGAAGTGGCCTTCCTTATGGTTGAATCTCGGGTTTCTAGCCACTCGCTCAGGCATTTAGAGAAGAAGTGTTGGATTATGGGCTACGTTAGCCCATCCATAGTCATCCTTCAGGATCACCATCCCCATTTGTGACTCTGTCACATACGTGGCCAATATAAGGCCACGTATCCTTTCCTTTAGTATCTTGGATATATATAGGGCCATTCTGGCCGCTCCAGAGTAGCTGGAATTCCTCTCCTTAATAGAACACTTTGAAATCTAACAAGAAGGCGCTGAGCTCCTTGGCATGTGAATATAATTCGGTTCCGGCTTTCTTAAGTGTCTTGTTAACTGTTGCAGCACACTCCTGAAACATTGTCATCTTGGCTTTGTAAAGGTACCTGTCTTTATCCAGTATCTTTGTAACTTGGTTCTGGCACTCCAAAGAGGAGGCTTTACTCTCTATATCGCATTTAATGATTTAGTCTATAAAGATTTTGTTTAATCGAGGTCGTTTTATTCCAGTGGTGTTGCCGTTATTAATATTTCAGGATTTTCCTTTCAGAGGGGAAATAACGGTGAAGTCAGCCTCGGAGACCTGTGACGGGCTGCTGCTGATGTCGTCAAGCAGCGCCTGGCCGAGCCTGTTCGGAGTTGCCAGGCCGTATGTCTTTCTGGCGGCCGGGGATTTGAGCACGCCGCCGGTGGTCGTCTTTGGGACGGCCATGGGCGTGTTTTGGGGCCCGTTGTGGAAGGGTGCCATCCGTCTTGTGAGAAAAATTCTCTTGTGTCTTGGCAAAGATAGTCAGTTACTGAGAGAAGTGCCTGTTTTAGCACAGATATCGAGGTTGCACCCTAACAGCGGGGCGCCAAGAAACATAGTCGTTTTTGTTTGTCTAATCGAGGTACTTACTCGTCATCGCAGCCATGGCCATGTTCGATGGCAAGGTCAACGGCAACAGCGACGACAAGAGCGACGACGACGACAAGGTGAACAAGTGGAAGGCCTATTTCGTCCAGTACGAGGCCTTTAACCTTTACACGCGCCAAAACTACTACGCTGATTACGCGGGGAAATGGTCCAAGAAGCGGACTGCGATCTTGAAGGTTCTGAAGAATTACGGCGCATGTGATGAAGGCACCTCAGACTGGGTGCGGGGAAGATTCGAGAGCGCGGGTCCTTCGGCGGATGAGGGCGATATCGCACGGGCCGAAGCCCCGGGTCTGTGGGCAGACTTCGAGAAGAAGATGGATGCTGCCGTAGCGAAGGCAGACGAAAATCACCACCGAAAGACATTTGTCGACCTCATTAAGGCATCAGGGGAGTATTACAGTGACAGCGATATCGACATCGACAAGGATGTCTACTAGGTGGATAGGCAAGGAGAAATAGGTTCAGGCTGTCATGTGCTTGCCGGTACATGGGAAGGAGATAGTATGGATAGATTTGACTTGTAACATAGCAATGCGTACCCGCCCTAGAGGCCGACCACTCTCCTTAAACCAACAGCACCAATGTTGCTGGAAAATCGATCGCAATCCTCAAATATTACTTATCTGTGATTTTACCCAGTCCCCTAATAACATAGTTTATTCACGGCCAAGTGACATCTTTACGGACCAAATCCGGCTGTGATCATTTCGACTAGTGACACTATAGGGAGGACGTCTCTCGACGGGGCATAAACCTCTAGTGGGATACTAGGCAGATAATGCCAAGGGGAAGTATCCTGCCTCTGTTGTATTTTGGGGTGTTTGGGTTTGGCTCCTCCCTTCCGGGCGAAGAGCTAAATAATAAAATTAATCGTAAATCGTATCCTGCCTCAAGTCTGGCTATTTTACCGCTCCTGCGTACTGGGGTTTATACGACAGGAGGTGGCTTGCCAACCTTGCTTCACGAAGCCACCTTTTCGATGCATGACAGCTCGACAATCCCATGCCTCGACGGCGTGCGTTACAGCAAGAGCAGAGGCGAAGTTTCACCCTGGCAATATCACGTCAACCCAACGGTGCCAGGACCAGGGAATGCTCGACGAGCCCATACGTCAGCTTCCAGTCACTTTTGCTTAGTAAGCAGGAGGCCACACGTGAGTGACAGATATATCAGGCAATCTCGGTCCATTCTCGAGATATGTGTTCCCTGCTAACCAAGCTAGTCTACAACGCGTCATACATATGAAACTACAGCCAGCCTCTAATTGTAAATCGGTGCTACAAGTCCTGGGATGACCTCCAGATCCTTCTTCTCGTACGTGTACTTCCCATCCGCGGACACCTTGGCAGTGGTGCGAGGCCTCTGCTGCTGGGTCTGTCGGACCTTCACCCATTGCTCCGTGGTGAGGTGTTGGCCAATTTCGGTGAAGGCATTGGTGGTGAGTCCCAGCCTGTTCAACAACGGGCTGTTCTGGATCGGGTCGAGGACCACGTGGTTGTTGGGCCTAAGAGCGATAGGTCAGTTTCGTGGTCAGACTGAGCTTGGGAGAAAAGGGCTGACATACCTAGCAAAGTAGAGCACCCCAAGCCGGTCGATATGCGCCTGGTCCTGTGGCGGCGCATGGACACGGTGGATGCTCGACTTGATCAGACCGCCCGTGAGAGCCGTCAGCGCATCACAGGTATTGATCGTGATGGTACCATCCTGTGGCTTGACCCACTTCCAGTTGCCCTCCGAGTTTAGGATCTGCAGGGCGCAGACCGGCTGGCGGAACAGGAGCGTGACGGTGCCGAGATCGGTGTGGCCCGGGGTGTACAGGTCGCCGACCTTCTTGTTCTCCTCGGCGCCTCTGGCGGCGTAGTGCATGTAGCGCAGATGGTCTTCGCCCTTCACGTCGTACTGGTGGTCTTTGACTAGTTGGTCTTCGTCAGGCAGCTCGAGTAACAGAGCGAAGAGCCGCAGAAGCTTCACGACTACCTCGTCGTGGCATTTCTGCACAGAGAATTAGTCGATTATCGCACACTGAAATACCCGGATACGTACCCTTTGAAATGACTCGATCTCCTTGATGTTGCCTTCTAGTACAGGAGGCTGCATGCGGTCATGGTGCCCGTCAAACTTGGGGATGTTGTAGACTTGGATGTTATCCTTGATGCCATTGCCAAGACTGCAGTGAGCTCTGTCAGTGGTCTTAATTTCATGCTCAAGTTGGTAGGGACTCACATCCGATGGCCTTGCGGTCTGTAGCCATTATACTCTCCACGATGAAGGTCCTTCTCGTTATAGTGCTTCAACTTCTCTTCCAGAGGGAGACCGTAGAACTCCCTTCCGAATGCGAATTGTCGGTCGACTTCCTCTTGAGAGATGTTGAAGTTCTTCACGTAGAAGAAGCCTGGTGAGGATGTGAGCAGAGATATACTGGTGAGCATGACCGCAAGTACATACCAACATGTCGCACGGCATGGTCGAGCTGCTTCACCAGCTCCTGCTTGCCGCCCGGCTGATCATACTGGCCCAGGTCAAGGGTGATGAGCTGGGCCCAGTCGACTACGAAGGTGGTCAGTGGCAAGATCCCGGAACGCATGAGATGTGTCAGGAAACTCACGGTCCTCTTTGGTGACGGGCACCTGCGTGTAGCTTTCGATGATTCTTCCAGGCATGATGATTGTTTCCTTGCAGTTCCGATCACTTGCAGTCCGAGGCCCAGATCATCCAAACGGCGCGGGGTTATCACGTCTTATATGTAAACTATTCCCCATCATACTTCCTGCATCACTATCAGACCATATCAGTACACGCGTTTGAAGCGGGGATACAGTCATGGTGGTGGTTTTGACGGGTTGTGGGGGAGATAACGTGTTCTGGCGACACAGAGGCTATACCCCCTGTCGCCCGCCAATAATGTAGTCTCGATGAATTGCGTGAGTCGGGGTGCATATTGTGTACTCACACATATGCTTCACGTTTGTAAGCATGCGATGTCGATGTGGTATTGAACTCCGCATTTTCGGTGTTATGAACAGCACGCCATCAAGCTTCGTAGCACATCATACTGTAGTCTGTCACCTAGATGCCTCCATGCAGTATCGCGAAGTGATCACACGCTATAGATGCTTGCCATGCATGCTAATGCTAAAGCTACTGCATTTCGTTATCGGTCTATGTATTTAGTTGACAGGCGTGCTTCCGCTATCGAGTTCGAGTCCGGCCGAAGCAATGGCGGGGGCTCTGATGCCAGGCATTGCTGGTATCGTATCATCCCAAGGACAAGTGATTACAGGTATTGACAAGGGTGATTATGTGTTCTATTGGCTGAATAATTCCTGTAGATGTATCTCAAAGTTGATCTCAGAGTGATAACAGTCTGGTATCTTCTTCCTGTAAACTCCATAGGATGACAGTCCTTCATCATCTATAACTCCCGAACGCAACCAACACGCGATCTTCCTCGGACTATGGACATCGAAAAGAAGGGTCGGCTCTCTCTGTACGGAGTATTCAAAGAGGTGTTCAACTGGTACCCGTCCGAGTACCCAGCTGCGGAGCGAAAGTGAGTTCAGCGACGCCGCCAACCGCCATGTTTTTCGGTACTCAACCCGATGTTTAGGCTCCTATTCAAGCTCGATCTCTCCATCTTGATATTTGCGTGTCTATGCTGTGAGTATAACTATACCTTCCACAGTGTTCAAGGTCTAACTTTAGCAGTCTTCGTCAAGTATTTGGGTCAGTCTCCCCACACATGAGTTCAAAGCCCCCTCTGCTCGCGCTTACCGGGCTATTGAAGACCAGACAAACATCAGCAATGCCTATGTTAGCGGCCTGAAGGAGGACTTCGCCCTCAATGGGAACGAGCTCAACTACTTCAATGGGTGCTACTACACAGCATACGTTATCTTCCAGATCCCCGGGCTACTGCTACTTTCCAGGCCGCAACTGTGAGTGGCGTCATGATCTTCCAGTGCAAGAGGTAGACGAACTGACATGACACTCTCCCACAGCGCACGATGGCTTCTGCCTACGCTCGAAGTCTTGTGGGGTATCTGCACTTTCGCACAGAGCAGAGTCACGAACGTCCAGCAGCTGTACGTCTTGCGAGTCCTTGTTGGGATGCTGGAGGCCCCGGTATTTGCTGGGACACATTTCATCCTTGGTACGCGTGATGTCCCATCTGCTCAGTGAAAGCATGAGGCTGACACCCATTAGGTTCTTGGTACAGTGGTCCCGAGCTCTTCAAACGGGCCGGGACGTGGTTCATATGTAACCCCCTCGGGACAATGGTCAGTGGCTATCTGCAAGCCGCTGCGTACACCAACCTATCCGGCGTGGGAGGCATGCCGGGGTGGAGGTAAGGCCTACCTCACATACCTATATCCACGGTGCCTCTTCGTACGCTTACACATGGAAACTCATAGATGGCTATTCGTTATCGACGGCATCTTCACTATCCCAATCGCTCTAATCGGCTTCATAATCTTCCCCGGTATCCCCGATTCACCTCGCCCATTCTACCTCACCGCCGACGACACCGCCCTAGCCAAGAAGCGCCTCGAGCGGGCCAAGATCCAAAAGCCAGGGAAACTGGGTCTCGATGTCTTCAAGCGGACCCTGAGACGCTGGCACATCTACGCCTTCGTATTCTGCTACATGTGAGTATCGTAACGACTCTGCACAGCCGCCGGGCCTTTGGAGGGAAGCTGACCGTTCTCCCAGCTGCATGATCATCTCCGGCTACGCGCTGAGCTACATGAACCTCTGGCTCAAAGCGGAGGGCTTCTCCGTCGTCCAGATCAACCAGCTGCCAACGGTGGAGTACGCCATCCAGATCTTGACCTCGTGGGTGGGCACCACGTTGGCGGCGATATATCCGTCGTGGATCATATTCTCGGGCATGACGGCTTGTGTTACGTTTTCGTTCATCTGCATGATCGTGTGGAAAATCCCCACAGCTCTCAAGTGCGTTATTGCCTGATAAGTGACAAAAGTTTGGATCGGATTCAATTCTGACGCAGGTCTAGATTCGTGGCTTGGTATGTCTTTGGTCTGGCCGGCTGTAGCAGTCCTATCCTGTACTCGACAGTCAACACCGTCGTGAAGAACGACTCGGAGGAGAGGGCGCTCATCCTGGTGAGTTCCCCCGAAGAAGCAGACTATAAGGCCGCTGACACTAGAATCAGGGTGCGATGATGACCTTCGGCTATTCGTTCCAGATCTGGGTCCCGCTCCTGTTATATCCCACCGTTGGGCCAGTGGGCGCTCCTAGGTGGCCGATTGGGTGGCCTGTGGGCTGGGTTTTCTACCTCCTGCTGTATTGCGGGTTCATTACTGCGATTCTGCTGCATAAGCGAAGGTGAGCACCGACCCTACCGATCTGTAGTCCGTGATGTCGCTTGACTGACACTCGATAGCACGTTGAAAGCTGAAGAGGATGATGAGACGGAGTCATCCGCTGTGGAGGAGTCGGTTCTCTTTCCGACTGGTGCCCAGTTCAAGGAGTAGGCCAGGAAAACAGGCAAATTAAATCAGGAACTCTGTAATCCAATGGCATACAAAGATGATATAGGTAAATGCGATGATGCTATGGGTCTCAATCAGTAGTAAGATTTCAAGAAGTGTAGCCACTCAACGAGACTCTACATGGTAATCCGCCCCGTGCATGTGCGGCACCCGCCTCAGTCAAGAAAGCCTTCTCGTGGTATACGTTTGTCAGATCCACCTTCTCGTCCGCGTATAGTTCGTCGTAGCGCTCTTCAAAATTGAACTCTCTCGCGAAGATGCTGAGGAAAGCCTTGACTTCCTTTATCACGAACGCCTGACCAGTGCAATTGCGTACCCCAAATTCGAAAGGACGCCACGCTCCCTTGGGCGGGTACAGCTCGTGTTCGGGACCCACGAGGAACCGTTCAGGCAAGAACTCGAGCGGCCGCACCCAAACACTCGGGTTCCGTTGGATGCTGATATGGTTTGACTGAACGAGCACTCCCTCGGTAGGATACTCAGTTCCATCCCGACTCTTGAGCACAAGGTCCTTGCAGCCTGTCCTGATTCCATTCGCGGGAGGGAATAACCTCATGGCCTCCTTGATGACAGCATGGCTATAAGGCAGCGAGTTGAGAATAGCCGGGCTCTCGATGATCTTGTCGGGGCATGCTGCCACACTTCTGCCAAAGACCTCGTCATGTTCTGCTCGGAGCTTGGCGAGGACCTCGGGGTGTTTCGAGATGAGATAGCACAGCGATATAAGCGTACCCGAGGTAGAGTCGTAGCCAGCAAAGAAGAACATGCGCAATTGAGCGCACAGCATGGTCATGAATTCGCCGTCGATCGTTTCCGATTGCTGGCGTCCTGACTGGGAGTAGTAGGTTGCGAGTGCTTGGTCGAGGAGAGAGTTGAACGCCGTCTGGTCGTCTTGCACCTTGGCACTCCGAAATACCTCAACTCTGTTCTCGATATGTGCCCGGATGTGCTTATTAAGTATACGTCCGTTATTCCAGATCTGAAGCTTCCTGAAAGGGTTGAGCTGGCCCAGGTTATCAACGACGTTGTTGCTAGCGAACTTCAACCGCAGTTGACGGAGCATGGTCTCAGATAGCGGGTGGGTGCCTGACGTCTGGTTCCGAAGCTCCACATTGAATACAACGCGCCCAATGATGTCGTTCATGAGCCTCAGTGTCAAAGGTTCAAGGCAGAACGTGTTTGGAGAATGTACCTCCTTTCGCAGAATATCGCGGAAGACGACCATCTCCTCGACGACGACGGGCATAGTAGCATCGAGATTGCTGCTATTGAAGAAGGGAAGAAACGTCTCGTGGTTACGCTTCCACTCCTGGCCATTCTCCGTAAATAGGTTCAGGCCCCCTCTGCCGGAAATAGGGTGAAACCACTCTGTGAGAGTAGCGGGCTTCTCAGCTCCAGTCCAAGGGTGGTTCATGGCTTGATTGGCAAGATAGGGGTCTGTGACAATGAGCATAGGAACAGCAATGGGGTAACTATCAAAATAGTATGCCTCTGCTCGGTCCTGTTTGACGGAAAGCCTATCCAGTATGTAACAACTGTGTGCTCCGGGAGGTAGTTCATCGGCGGCAACTTTAGCCTGCAGTAAATGACCGAATATAGAGCTGTGCGGAGGCATTGGCTGGTGGGTATATGATTAGTAAAATTGAGTATAATCTGAGTGTGACGAGTACCAACCTTTCCAGCTCTCTGCAGCTGGCGCATCAAAGCCCGATGCTGCCATACTTCTGATACAAAAGCAATGAAGCGGACGAGTGCCACAGCCACGAGGAAGCCAAAAGAGGCATTCAGCAACAACCAAGGCGAGTCCATCTTGGCCCTGGGTTCGAACAAGCCTGCCGTAAGGGTAAAGGGAGCGTTGTACGTAAGTCTTGGCGACTTCCTGGTTGTACGAGACGCTAGCGGTTCGACTCTGTGGCACGATGACAACAGAGCAACATCAGGTACGGTAAGTTGCGTGGAAGGAGTCTCATTCGTCAAGATCCACCTCTGACCCCTGGTCTGAGAAGTGGACGCCGAAATTCCACCACAACCAGCCTACCCTCGACAACTTCTCTCCCTTCAGCTCACGTCCTTGTGCTAGACTTGCACCAAATTGTAGACCGAGATACTGACAACAGCGCTTCCTTCGACGAATCGAACCTATGTGATATGGAAGGCGGAGGTACCTGACTCATAGAGGGTTGTGCCCCTTCGCTCAAACTCGGACGACTGGACCAAATAGGATATTCGCCAACTGCCACCGGACTACCTACAATCAGCTTATTAGTGTATACTCAATCATGGATTGAAGGTAGGAAACCTGTAACGATTCTCCAGACAAATCGGCTTACAGATGCAAGAAGCGACGTATAGGTGCATCTCAATGAGTGCCCGGCTATTTGTCGACCACCTAGCTTGGGGGTTGCCACAGTTCCAGGTGAAGACCTTTCACCCTCTTCGGTGCGTTTGTGGAGAAAACAAAAGCACTCTGTTGCATTGAGAAGCAACAAGAACAGGTTTCGAGATATTCGGGATGAGAACTGCGGGAAATGAGGCCGAGTGGAGTCATCCGAGAACTTTTGCTTCAGCTGTCCTCTTCCCCTATTCCACCCCCCTGCCAGCTGGGTTGGGCCGTCACGGGCTGGAAGTTCTGATGGAACCCCGCCGTGGTTTTCAACCCCGCCAACACCAAAACTGTCACCACAGCCTCCACTGTCCAGCCACTGGGCGAGCCGGCAAGCTGGTCGTGCAAGCCCCACTTACCGGACAGTGGCTTATGCAGCGCTAAGATAAGAGCAGCTCCCCTCTTATCGGCCAGCCAATTGCTTGCGCGCGCCAAATTTATTTCCAGCAGCGTGAGAATCAACTTGCACAATTCCAAACCTCACCTGCAGCCAACAGAACACCCAGGTCCCAACGCTCTGCTGGTGGACAAGGCAACACCACGACTTGCCGCTCCAGGTCCTCCATTCTGTCAGCCCGTCTGCCTGCTACTGTCCCATCCTCCCCCACCATGCCGAAGCCACGCTCCAAGCGACAGGCTATCCGCGAAGAACGAAAGCAGAAACGGCAGGAGAATGAATCTGCTGCTGGTACCGCTGGTGAAGACTCGGCCAGGTCCAACAAGAGACAGAGATTGAACGACGAGGAGGGCGACAACGAGAATGACAACGAGAACCCCAATGCCACCGGTGACCAAGCCCTGACGGCCGAGTATGGCTACGAACAGTCCCTGTCTACCGGTCCCGCCCAAGCCGAACGAGAATTCTTTGGCATGCTATCCGAGCAAGAACAAGAGTATTTCCGTTCTGTGGACGAACAACTCGACATTGATGATTTCCCATCACAAGAGGAACGCCAGCTGTACTTGGCTGGTGTCTTCGCAGAGGCCGAAGGCAAGGAGCTCAAGCTGGCCTGCAGTCAATCATGTTCGAGACTGATGGAACGCCTGATCCTCATGTCGAATACAAGGCAAAAGAAGAAGCTGTTCGAGCAGTTTGCGACTCACTTCCTGAACCTCATACAGCACCGTTTCGCAAGTCACTGCTGCGAGACCCTGTTCCTGCAATCAGCTCCTGTTGTCACGCGAGAGCTGGGAGGGGAACGGGACGACATGCCGACCGATGGAGAAGACCCGGACCAGAGAGCACTGCCATCCATGGAAGAGTTGTTTCTGCTAACACTGGATGAACTCGAGGGCCAGCTCAGCTACTTGCTTACCGACAAGTTCGCCTCCCACACCTTGCGCGTGCTGTTGATGATCCTAGCAGGCCGGCCGTTGGAACAGTCGCAGACGAAATCCCTGATCCATAGCAAGAGGAAAGAGAAGATATCTGCTCCTTGGACATTCAACGATTCTGCTGAGTCCAAAAGCGAGCTTCGTGCTGTGCCCAGCTCTTTCGGTCTGGCGACTAAGAAGATCATTGCTGACTCAATATCGGGAATGAGCCTCACAGAGTTGCGTGTCCTGGCGACACATCCTACTGGAAACCCAGTTCTCCAGCTACTACTAGAGCTTGACATCACAATGTCATCCAAGTCGGGAGATGAGCCGGGGGACATGACACTCTTGTGGCGTCTCCTACCTGATGCCCCTGCATCCCTCATGGATGCCACCACACCAGCGGCTGACTTTGTCAACTCCATGATGTATGATGTCATCGGCTCTCGACTTCTAGAGACGCTCATCACACATAGCCCCGGCAAACTGTTCAAGGGGCTGTACAAACATATTATCGGACCTAGAATTCACAGCCTTCTACGCAACGACATCGCATCCTACCCCGCCATATGTGTCCTCAATCGACTCAGCAAAGAAGACTTGGTGGCTGCCGTCGAGAAGACCTTACCCGAGCTTGATAAATTGGTCACGTTGTCAAGATTCAACGTGATCAAGACGCTGTTCGAACGCTGTCAGGTTCGCCAGGCCACCTCTGAGGTGGCAGCTCTCACAAAGGCCCTCATTGAGGCTTGTGGCTCTGATTCCAAGGCTCTCGTCCCTAGACTTTGTCTACCACCACAGCCAGAAGGTCAAGATGGAAAGGGGCATGATCCATCGTCGAAGAACCGTTCCGCCTTGGTTTCGCACGGATCCCAGCTAGTTACAACATTGCTGGCTATGCCTGGAACACCGTGCAAAGCCATCCAGACGTCATTGTCTGCTCTGACAGCAGAACAAATCCTAGAGCTTGCGACATCGTCCGCTCCAACCTCGCACGTCCTGGTTGATGCCCTCTCTACCCCATCGCAGAACAAGATATTCCACAAAGCACTGGTAGCCGTCCTGCGGCCTCACACTATGGCCCTAGCCATGTCTGCTCATGGTAACAAGGTCTTGAACTCAGTCATCTCTGCGCCATCAAAGAGTGACGGCATAACTATTCCCTTCCACTTAAAAGAGTTAATCATATCACAACTAGGTGAGCATGAGTCAGAACTGCGAGAGTCCTTTGAGGGACGCCGGGTATGGCGATCCTGGCAAGGGGATTTGTGGAGGAACCGAAGAACAGAATGGATTGCCTGGGCCAAGGAAGTCGACTCTGCACCAGAACCAGTGGTGTCAGGGCGACAACCGAAAGCCAACGGCCTCCGTCACGGAAATGTCAACAGCATAAAAATCCAAGGGAGGGACAATTTTGGTAGTAACGCCCCTGTGAAGAAGAGGAAGAGAGATGCTGAGATTGCGTCTTAGTCGCTATAGCTCAGGGGGTGAAGAATAAGAAAGGAGGTTTATATGATTTTATGGCTTGCGATCGTGGGAGTAAAGGGTACGACATATGGAGTTGAACTAAAGGGAAATGGCCGGCAATGGCTGCTAAAGAGTGCCTGAGGCATACGATGGTCTCTTCCAGGGAAGACGGGGCATGTTAGGGAATTCAGGTTCCCTACAGACCTGACTCCAAGCTTGGTGCCTTATAAGGCATCTCAAATGGAGGATTTAGACGAGTACTTCTTGTCGCTGAAGTTTTTTTCCAGCACCATCGCCGCACAACCACATCGCACCACCTTCGATCAAACCGTTAACTGCCGATACCTTCAACGAGAAGAATATAACGCCTCGACAATCCCGCAATCATCTGCAATAATGACAGGCAAAGGACGCAAAGGCTACGACATGACCGGCACTGCGAAGGAGCGCCCTCGTTACACTCCGAACCCCAACAATGGCAGTGCTTCTGGAACCGCCGCTGCTGATACGGCTTCAACGGATACTGGCACCGCGACATCTTCCACTGCCTCTCCCGGCGGTGCTGTGTCTGCGTCTGCGTCTGGTGATGTTTTGTCTGCGTCTGGTGCTTCTCAGTCTGCGTCTGGCGCCGCTCCGTCCGTCTCTGGTGATGATTATGGTATTCCTCCCTCCGCCTCTGAGTATGCCACTGGTGCTGCTGCATCTGTGTCTGATGGTGCTGCTTCTGCGTCTGGTGGTGCTGCGTCTGCGTCTGGTGCTTCTCGGTCTGCGACTGGTGCCGCTCCGGCCGGCTCTGGTGCCGATTCTGGTATTCCTCCTTCCGCCTCCGAGTCTGCCACCAGTGCTGCTGCGTCTGGCTCGGCCTCTGCGTCTGGCTCGGCCTCTGCGTCTGGCTCGGCCTCTGCGCCTGAGTCCTCCGCTTCTGCAACAGAAACGGAGCTACCGACCCAACGACCAAGCCCAGGGTTCATCCTGGGAGCCCCGGGTTTCTCGCTGTTCAACCCGGACAGCGGCCGTGGCTGGCCTATTCCGAGCGAGTACAAGTCAACCGTAACTCGAAAGACCCTTATGGCCGAGGAGGAGGCTGCTCGTGCGGCTTCTGCTGCCGCTTCTGGCGCTGCTCAGCCTGCTGGTCCGACATATACTACTGGTCCGCCTTCTGCCACGGCTCCGTCTTCTGCCACGGCTCCGCCTTCTACCACGGGTCCCTCTTCTACCACGGGTCCACCGGTCACTCGGGCTGCCGCTCGGAGACATCATAATGCGCTACAAATGCAGCAAATTGGAGGCCTTTTGGCACCCCCCGTCCCTCTTCCTCGCACTCGACAACAGCACCGAGTGCAGCGCCAATATCGTCCCATCTCCCCGGCTCCGGCTCCGGTCACTACTGGACCTTCTGGTCGCCCTCACCCTCGCCCTCGTCATCTTCTTCCGGCTCCTGTTCTCGCACCGGCTCCTGTTCTGAACGTCCCAACGCTGATTTTGACCGCGCCCTCTGTTCCTTCGTCCTCCGACGATGACGAAGAGATGCATGACTCCGACCTTGATGCCGAGGGAGAGACCGACGACGAGGCTGACGCCGACGGCGAGACCGACGACGAGATGGCTGACGCTCCCGAGAGCAGTGGCAGCAGCAGCAGCCGAGACCGAAAGGGAAAGGGCAAGGCGTGAGTATACCCCCTATAGCCCCTATAGCCTCTTTAGAGCCTCTACTAACCCAGTAGCAGTACCGAGTGAGGAGCGATCGGCATAGACATGGAGGAACCAGCACTTTTGCAATGAAGGGAAACGGCGTTTAGCAACTCGGTTGACTTTACGAGATACCCCACAGGGAAATGGATAAGTCCTCCGGTCAGAGGCAATGATCATCATACAGCTATACTCTTTGATTGTGACTTGTGACTGCATATGGCTCAAACACAATTTTCGGTATAAGCAGGGTGGAATAAGCAGTAGGCGGTGGTACGAGGGTCGAATAACGCTGTTCGAGACTGCTTATGCCACCGTCCCGGGAACGAGTTGCCATCCAGACATTCTGCCAAAATCGATTCTCGGTATAAGCAGGATGTAATAAGCATTGGGCAATGGGATAGACGTGGAATAATGGTTTCTAGGGCTGCTTATTCCATTACTCGGAAATGGGGATGTTCCAGCTGTTCTAGGTGACTACAACATTTCGGATGGGCATCTAGGAGGTTTCGGGTTGTGTTGGAGGCTGTATGGAGGTAGTGTAGGCCAGAACTGTCATGTTGGGATCATGCACCTGTCACGCCTTGCTCGCGGGCCGGATCATGGGCACGCATTGTTCTTGGTATAGACAAGCCGTCAGAAGCACGGAAGGGTAGAGTGTGCATGGAATCGTCATCATCGAAGGCTGATTATACTTCTGACTATGGACCAGGACCCAAGGTCCCAAGTAGTATACCAATGTCGGTTCGACATAGACCAAATGCTGGTTTTTGGTATAAGCATGGTGTAATAATCACAAGATGGTAGACTAGACGTGGGATAATGATGTGTAAGGCTGCTTATGCCACTGTTCATGAATGGGCTGCATGTATTTACTGGCTGGTGCCATTGAGTGCTCAGCCTGATCCATGCTCTGGGGTGCTATTCTCAAATGACCGCGTTCCAAAGGGCGGGTAGGGGTTCTAGCTGGCCACGTCATATATTGGACTGTGGAATAGATAGGGTGTAATAGCCCAAAAGAGGAATACTGACCACAGCATTATTGCCTGCAGGACTGTTGACCCCAGTACTTGAGTGGGAGCATCCAGGAGCTAGCTGTGGATGGCCTTTGGTGGTGGAGGCGAGCAGAATAGGATGATTTGGACCTGGGGACAACGTGCCTGAGGCAGGCTGTACCAGTATTCATAGATGGTGACTTACTTGCGCATTTCTGTGCAGATTCTGTGTGTGTGTGTGTGTGATCAGAAGGGGGCAATAGCCCTAGGAGGGCGATCAGTCGGGGCATTGTGCTCCTTCTCGCAACTATGGCCAGAGCGTGCATTCTTCAAGGGGCCCGGGGCTTAGGGGCTCTATGTATCGGACGGCAGGCTTGTTGAGATATGGGCTTCAATACAACTGGAAATACCTACTGCATGGACAGTGAAGGTCACTAACTACCTAGCTTTACGAAATCATGGCTGCTGGTCACGACAGGAAGTGCACTTTGCGACTGAAATTCGTGATGCCTTCCCAGTGGCACGCAACTTTGGGTCTGTGAAAACACTTCCGAGGCAGCAAACATCTTTCTGAAAAGAGAAATCTCTCTGCCACAGACTCAAACGCCCACCAGATGCCGGTGTACTATATCTTCCCTAGACAGCCCATCTATATCACATGCTACTGAGCTCAGAGTGCATGCAAGCTCGAGAAGACAGGCAGCAAGCTACTCCAGCAAGGCAGTAGCAAGAACAAAAGCATAACAACTCCCAGGGGCAGGGCGGGCTTCAATTCCCTGTACCTGTACCTAGACTTAGACAGGTACCACGTGCGATCTGGCTACCTACAAAGCCGGGGGACGAGCCATTCGGAAGATGCCTCACCTCAGTGTTGGATTGTATCATCACATGCTTAGGTAGACACTGCTACAGGGCACGCATGACACGCGCAGTCTTCGGTAATCCTGGCTTCTGATTGCCCGTGGTCCCATCCGGACGTGCTAGAAGCCATTCACATGCATCCATCTCCTTCTTCTTCACTCATCTATATGTAGGTAGGGGGATCAATCCCCTATAACTTAGATCTCCTTCTCCTCCTCCTCCTCCCCCTTCTCCTTCTTTCTCTTTTTGTTCTTTCTCAACTCAGAACGACTTTGAAATCTCACACCACTCAGCGACAGTCAGTGCGACAGAGATGCAAGCACCCCCATATGCTATTGCTAACCGTCGACGTCGAATGCATGCCTACCTACCTAGGTATCTAAGCAAGCGTGGCCGCGCGCCGGATCCAGGTCCGAAGCGAACGAGTCAAGCCCTTACCTACCTAGGTAGTTCGTGCTGCGTCCGTCAACTCTCCATACAGACAGACATACATCCGCCACAAGGAAAGGTAAGCAAAACGGGCCGGCCGGGGGAAGGCGTCCGGGAAGTTTAGATCTTTAAACCTCCCTTACCCTAGAAAGGCCAGACTGATGCAGCTCTCGCCAAACTTGGGATTGATTGACTACGGTAGAGTAACTCTGTAATGCCAGGTCCAAACCCCTATCTTGTCAGGCTACTAACCCGATTCGGAAGCGCGCCCACGCACTTAAGTGGCTGCGCACCCGACCCAAGCAGCCCAAGCACCACATTCTAAGTACTTCAATTTGCGCGCGTTTCCTACCAAACCAAAGGTATCTTTCTTAAAGGCGACGGGTTAGGAGGGTGAGGACTAGGGTTAGCGGTTAGGGTTTGTGTCCTTGTGCGTGTTGGAGTGGTGGTGATGGTGATGGTAGTGATGGTGGTGATGGTGGGGATGGTGGGGATGGTGGTGATGCTGCGTGCACTCGCTGCGATTGGCTGGTTTTGGAGCGCGTTTCTGAATCGGGTTAGTGACCTGGCAGGATAGGGATTTGGACCTGGCAGTTTAAAGTTACTCACTAAGGTACCCCCTACATGTGGTGAGCCAAGAAAGACCCTGTGACGTGACTTGAGCAGGTTGGAGCTACGTACGACGCACCCGCGCGCAGATAAGAGAAATATACCCCTGTGATGCCAATACTGTGATCGTATCTCCCAGATCGGATTACCAGGATCGGATGACATCCTTGTGATGTGGAAGGAGGCGTGGGTTGGTGATTGGGTGGGATGTACTGGGATTGACTAGTCGCGAATCTCAACCTCCCCCTTCACGTCAAAACAGGCAGCAATATGGTGTTCAAGCTCAAAAGGCCCAGTTCACAGCAGTTTGCAGTAGCAACAGCGAGGCATGTAGCAGCAGCAAGGCATGTGTCTTCTCCAGATATGTTTCTTGTTTTCTCCATTTTCTATGTGCCCCGATCTTCGCAACCAACATGCGACCGACAATACAGCAGATGAAAAGCACCCGCTATAACAAGAGCCGCGGCTTCCCTGTAGTGATGTTTGTAAATTCGCTTTGCTGCTTGCCATCCTCAATCGAAGTGGGAAGTGCAACGGTTTGCAACAATTCCCATCTCTTCTAGTGTGGTAAACCATGAGGGCAGCCATTTCCAGGTTGCCCAAAATGATGCGTTCAGCCATTTCGGCTATTCGCGCAGATGAGATCGCGTTCGACTTCGCCTTCGAAACCACAAAAGGCGTGCCGATGATCAATATCTCTCTTGGGTCTGCGCTTCTTAAAAATATCTCGCGAGTTGCCCATTGCGTTCTGATAAAGCAATGACGCCTGGTCCAATGACCAGGCGTGAGTGGAGAGTCGTAGTATCGTCTAAATTCATGAAGCGTGCTCGCATGCAAATGTCGCAGATAAATCCCCTGGGAAATGGAAATAATTAGACGTGACGGCTCATTGAGTATGGTGCCACGCCATGAAAAATCGGCGGGAAGCTCCCAAAAAGACACGTATTCAATATGCTGCTGTCGAGAAGCGCACGGGAGACCAGTAAAAGCCATTAACGCCGGAAAAACAAACGTGCCTCCATACGACTCCAGCCCATGCTGACTGAGCCCTGATAGGCGATAGAACAAGCATGTGGTTGGGTATCTCAACAGAAACAAGAACTAGCCATCGGCAAAATGGTGGCCGTGAAAACTTCTGACTCATTGGTCGAACGGTTGAACGAAGGTAGGGGACTGATTGGGTCACTGCTCAGTTCCGAAGTCGACGAAACTCTCCCATGCATCACCACCAGTGCCGCCACCAGGCGTACCCATTCGGCTGTAATTGTGGGCGGACATGCCGTCGAAATAGCCCAAGGAGCCATCAATTGGCGAGAAGTAGGTGCTATCGTTCAATTCCGGATCCTGATATGCCGACTCGTCATGGTACGAAGACTCATCATGGTATGAAGTCTGGTCGATCTGGCTCCCAGCCTTCAACCCATCGGACTGATAAGCGTTGCCATCATGAGCGCCAAACTGGTATGCCGAGGGATTGCCACCGAAGAAGGACATTGCCAGAGGATCGTTCATGTCAACATTGGCCATCATCTTGACCTGGTTGGGGAGCTCGGAGGTGAAACTTGATGTCGACTGCTGCGCCAATCGGGGATCCAAGTGGAGATTGGGAAAAGCAGACGCGGGAGCCTGAAACGGGGTGCTTCTCGACTTGGGCGTGTCCGGGTTGGTCGTGACGGGGCTGAGTGCAGGTGGCGTGGAGACTGCCGTTGTGTTGGCGGTGGAACTAACCGACGTGCTGGAAGGCATCCTGGCGTTATCGTTGGCGAGCCGCGGCTGCACTGGTGCAGGATGGTGGGCCGTGGTTGGCGAAGCCTGCGCCGACCCTGGAACCAACCCGGGTACCGCGGGTGAGAAAGGACCTGGATTCAGCAGCCCGCCCATGTAAATCGAATTGTTGAGCTGTTGCTGATATGCCGCCGCAGTGGGGAAAGACTCGCTGAACAATTTGTTCACCTCCTGGTACCGTGCCATGGTAGCCAGAGCGGCCTGCGTGGAGATGTATGCGCTCACTCGGTGGTTCATCTCGGGCGAGGCGGTCTGTAAGTGAGCCGTGAGGTACTTAAAGTGACGCGGGATATCGTCCTCCTCTTCCTCGTACATCTCCTCCTTGACCACAATGTCCTCGCTGACCTTCAAGCCTCGGCCAGTGCGTCGGCGGTGGATCTCGGAAGCCATCTTGGCCGACTGTACCCTCGCCTCGAGGCTGCGGTCGGCCCTTCGAGAGGCGGCGATGTAAGCACGTTCTTGATTCTCCTCGTGCGAACGCTCTGTCTGTACAACTCAACCGTTAGAACCCAGAACTTAAAGAAGAGGGTCCAACAGTCCAGTACAGCGGGAGAATGCTAAGACATACCTTCTGCACCTTTGGAGGAGGTGGCCTATCACCAGCCGCGCCCGCCGTCATGACAGATGTGGACTCAAAAGCTCGCTTCGGCATGATGAAAAACGGAGTAGGGCCGACAACGTGGTTCGCCAACAATGATTTATGCACTTGACAGTGGTCGCTGAGGCAACGCAATAGTCGAGAGCGATGGTCACTCGGTTAGCTGCCGAATGAACTGAATAGACTATATAGAGTCTCGTGTCGGCGATTCTGTGAGCCAGTGGTGATCGGCGCTGTCACAAGGGAACAAGGACACTTTGGGACTGCCTAGTAGCGTCTGTTGTTGGGGGTTCGTGTCCGAGTTGTCGTCCACATCTGAAAGCCACCAAGGCAAAGGATAGGCGTACTTGGGGTGAGCAAATTGTTCGAGTAGCTTGAGAGACCAACTTTGGTGGCGTCGTAAGTGAGCTCTATTACGGCCGTAGAACAGGGCACGATTAACAATTAAAAGAAGTAGTTGAAGCTTGCTAGGAGGTAAGCTTGCGTGGTCTTTATTGGTATCCAATGGACAGATAAGTATGGGATGCTGTAGCTGTCCGGCGTCGTTGTCCTGTTGCCGACTTGTCGTATACTACCTAGAAGCAGATAGGGGAGGACAAGGACGGTTTCTGTGGTGTCGAAACGGATAGATCGGTTGACAATGAACGTGAAAGTCGCGGATCCAGGGGCGTGGGAGGGTAAAACAATATATAACAGGAATGGGAGTATCCCCATGTCTGGGAGCTCCCATGCACACTGGGGGTAACGGGGTACATGGCCGGCCTACGACAGCGCATGCCAACGGCAGGTACTGGACAAGCAGAACCCAGCAGTGGGGACGGGAAGGACGGGCAGCCGAAGCCCAGCAGCCCAGCACGCCCAGGAACTTGGAAGCCAAAAGCGAAGAAAAAGTCGATCCAGAGGCATTGGCAGGGATCCGGGATTTCCTGAAGTGGGAGACTGGAGGTGGCGATCGATCGGGCGTGTCTTGGACTCTTCCAAAGTGGAGGGGCGGAGGGGCTTGCGAATCGTGCCTGTCTTCCTGTCCAGTGTCTGTGCGTTGGAACCGATGGGGAGCCAATGAGGAGCCAGTCAGCTGCTGAGACAGGGCATGGCTCGCCCCACGGCGGCACGGCGTTGGGAGATGAAGTAGTCCCGAGAGGAGCCTAGCGGGGCTCAGCTCCGGGCCAAGCTCCATCTGATGAAGGTGAAGGTACATGTACTGTTAGTCCCGTCGTACTCGTACCCGACATACAGGGGCATCTCAAGATGGCAGACACATCTCATAGCTTGCGTGGTGTTCTAATTCCACTGTGTGCACCTGAACATTGAGTCTCTACTTGCAGTGGAATTTCGATGTATATAGCGCAGAGTGAACATTGAATTTCCTTTTGGCTTTTTGGGCGCAGTAGCTTCATGTTGTGTGCAGCTACCTGCCGTGGCTTCAAGGGTTGAGATCCTACTGAGGTGGTGTCCGCATGCCCGCACCGCGACCGCACGCGCGCACACGTGTAGTAATGTATGCAGTGGTTTGTCACTGGTTTGTAATGTGTTTCCCCTGCGGCTTTTTGTACAGTAGTTGAAATGCTAGCAAAAAGACGTCCTAACTGTATCTGCCTTGATCGACGCCATCGCAAGCTTAATAGAGTATGGACCAACGGCAACAGACTTCTATCCAGCAAAGCCAGTCATCAGTCTCTTTCATGGTTCGCGCCGCTATCCTCTACATGTAAGCTTTTGGTCCCAAACATTGAATCGTTCGAACTCCACGGTCAGACCATTACTGTAACTTAATAGTTTTTTGTTTCTTGCGTCACATCTGACCAATATGATGAAACTTTTACCTCTCCAGGAACGAGCCGGTAATGCTACCACCACCGTCCACGTCGCGTCGGTGGGCCGAAATAGGCTCTTTGAAGATCTTCAGCACCGGTTCCGGCGCCAGCCCCGCGTGATCGTCGATTGGTACATATTTTTCGATCTGACGATGGCTTCACCTTCTCGCGCCGTGGGTTGTCTGTCTCGTACGACCGGAGATGGACTCTTCGTCGTACTATTGATTATTTCCACCTGACACAGTCCATCCAGTTTTTAATGTACCTATTTATTTACCTGAGCTACCACTTGGCAGTCATCTAAGGGGTAGCGTCCTTTGTGTTACCAAATTGCAGTCTTCAGGTCCCTGAGTCCCCGACTAGGTGAACTGGGCTGAACATTGATAGCAAAAGTCTCTCTAATAAACCTACAGAGCGTATTCGTATACCGGCCTGCGCAGTTCATGCGGGACGGATCTGGGAGAGGAACCCTTGATGTGGCATGATACCTTACCTACATACTAGACCGTCATGGCCGGGTTTCTCAGCTATCCTATCAGAATTGTAATCGCGAAGCTGGACTGAAGTTTATTTACCCATAGAAGATGGTGTCCATCTTGAGAAAACCGCCTTCACGTACGCCAATTAGAATGTCTCGGACCTATCTCCATGCGAGGCCTTTCCCTATAGCAGAGATGCTTTGACTAAGATTGAACCGTCTAATAAGCAGTAAGACTAAACGAATAGGGCCCGTCCAGTAAACGAATAGGGCCAATTGACCAATCACAGCACTCGAATCTACCGTCAGACCCACTAATTCTCAACACCGCAGTGCATCATCACCACTTCATCATTATTACCACTACCACGCGCTTTCAAAGGAAACATTCACAGATGGGGGCTCGCACCGCCCCCCCAAACCCCCAGCTAACCCTAACCACTAACCCTAATCCTAACCACGTGGGTACCCGGTGAGATCATGTTAGGTACTTCTAGTTAGGTGAGAAACGCACGCAAACTAAAGTACTTGCGATATCGTGGGCGGTGCGCAGCCAATTGAATGATCGGGATGGCTTCCGGATCGGGTTAGGGCCCTATTCGTTTACTGTACGGGCCTAATTGTTTAGAGTTACTGTCTAATAAGACAACCGAACTGAATAAGTCTAACACTCCGTCCAACAATGAATGACGACGGATACCAATTGACTTCGCAGTGCCGCATTCTGAGTTTCCCATCATCATATGAGCAGAAACCCGCACCTGCACCTGCACCTGCAGTGCCTCTCCAACTATATACTGTAGTTCGGACACAAGATAGAACGAACAGACGCGCATAGTAGACAGTAGTAAACCTGAGGGGCTCCATGATCCATCGAGAGCATGGGAAAAGCACGATCTCCGTCATAACGGGCGATGCGTGATGTTACCTAGAGAAGAGCCGACTGGGGAACGGGCTGGCCCTACCGACGACCGTGTCGACTAGCGATAAAATATCCATATCGTCCCGGCTCCGTGAAGAACGACTCGAAGCGGACGCATCATGGCCCGCACCAGTCTTGAGTCCAGTGCTTGTGCCCACAGCGACAACGTTCCCGTCCGGAGCAAAGTTGCCGTCCTCCCTGCTTCCCCGAATGAGGGTACTTCGAGCCCTAACAATTTCTCGCCCTGCCCTACCTGCAGGTCCATCCAGTCAGGGGCAACCGTTGGCCTAAACCCCGCTGGCCTGCTGGGTCTCAGGACCAGCCACAGGCTCACAGCAACATGGAAATCCACAGGTGGTATTAGGTACATAAGGTATTTACCCCGCACAGTCACCAATGGTCTTGGACGGAGCTATGGCCGGCATGCCTCGCCTGCTGAAGCACTGACGCTGAGATGATGGCATTCCTTAGGGCCACATGAAGAAATGCCGGCCGTTGCTGATCTCTCCCTCTGCCTTTTCCCAAGAATCCCATCAGGCTGGCCATGGGATTTCTATCCCTGCCATCCCAAGCCGCCGGTCATCTCGCTGTGGGGTGCTTATGCAGCTCGCCACTCCAACATGACCGAACACCGAGCCGAGCTTTGGCTACCGTTGCCTCTATTCCATGTCGGGTTATCTGCTTGTCAGCTTGAACCAGATCAACCAGATCTACTACGGTAGACGTCCGTCACTTGACCGTCGATTCATATCCAATTCTTCATACCACTGACCAGCGTCGGTAGTATCCTGCATTAGCATCCTCTAGCTTGCATCTCGCATCTAGCAGTCTCTGGTTCAGATCCGTCTCAGTGCCAGATCTTCAACTAATAATTAGCATCTCATATCCCGAGTCCCGAGACAGGTTCCCGCGATCCATCGTCGCGCCGCCTATGTGGATCGTCGCCAATCTATGCTTCCCGAATCCCGATTCTCTGAATCCCACACACACAGACCGCACAAACCACACATCATTATGCGCGTTGGCCTGCCGTGCCTGACTAGAATGCTACGACACGTCACGCTCTGCCCACAGGCTTTAGATACGGTAGGTCAGAGAGTTTATGGTCTCGATAACTTCGCTGTCTGCTTCACCGAATAACCCAATTGCAGCCAATGCTGGCGTGACGCTTAACATTACAACTGGACCTCACCACCAACCAATCTGAACCGGCCCAGCAATGGTATGTATCCCAATAGGGCGGAGCACCCTCACCGTAAGGGCCGAGCGTGAAGAGCGCAAAAGAAATACCTAGGTCCTAGGCAGATCAGCAATCTCAGAATAGGATCTCGATCTCGCAAATCCCATCTGTCCGCCCTATCGAAAGGAGAATCGCACTCGCAAGCGTGACCCCTCCTGGGGTCTGTTGCTCAGTCCTGCAGTAGCAAGTAGTAGCGCAGGCTGATCAGACAAACGGGCGTGATAGGCTCGGTCCTAGGGCCCGACTAGCATGTCTCGGAGTTAGGAGGGATGGATTCCAGCTGCCAAGGGACAAGGGAGGGAGGCAGTACCATGTCTGAAGCAATATTCTCAGGTGTGTATCCCCTGGTGGTCTGTGGTCTGTGGCCTGGCGGCCTGGCCATGCCGATATTATCGGCTTGCCTGCTATTGCATGCATGTGCTCTGCCAAAGCTACTCAGGGACCAGTGACTGAAGCTGGAGACGGGGGACCACAATTACTAAACGAAAGGTATGGGCGACCTATCCTATGACTCGACAGCCGGTGCTGTCGGTCGTGTTTGCTCTCTGCTGCAATCCCCGAGTCCACGCTGTCCACCACGACGGCCGCTCACTCTTCAGAGGCTTCACGCGGCACAACTGGGAGGTGTAACGGCTAGCGGGTCTGCCATGCTCCCACGCGGCTCTATCAACGTTGCGATTGGCACGGCGGACAACGTGGGATCTGGCTTGGCAATAGCTGCAGGCAAGATCTACAGTAGGTAGGCGTGGCACGCCATGCCTCGGCTATCTCTGTCTTCAGCGTGGCGCAAAACCCAGCAGGACATAGCTGCTTACCTCTCTTGCAGGAGAGGCACGTCCGATGACTCGCGAGAGTTGTATCTGTGCGGATACACACGCTTGTGCTTCTCCGATGTCAAATCTCTTGGCAGGGGCCAGTTGGCAGACGTTGACCGTGGCTGCGAGGAGAACCTCGGGCGTGGACGATGAGATCGATATGTGCTATGGGTTGCCAGCGCGCGTCCCGGACCGTCACATCGTGCCTCCACGACCCGTCAACAGCACGAATATGTCCCCTTTCGTATTGTCCCCTCATGTACGACGGCAAGGTACAACCGATCGCTTACGAAGCCTGAGGGCCCTCTGTTATGATAGCAGCCGGCTAAGCCGGCATCTGCTTATAGCCATCTTGGATCTTCTCATTCGGGATCCTCATCGTGAGCTCTGGTTTCCTCAGCGTACGTGGGCTTTTGCCATCCGCCAGGATAAGAGGTATCGCTAGTAGGGTTCAGTATAATACATCGTATTATATTGCTGCGTTTCGAGGGCACAGGACGCGGGACACAGCTGACCATGAGTCTTACCCTCTGACCGATACCGAGTCCAGGTTCATTTGCGATGATCGCATCCGACGACACACCACGACAAGAGTTCCCGCTGACAATGGGTTTTGTTGAGATCACCTCCCATGATACCTATCATAATGTGCTACGAACTGCCATGGCCCAATATCGTCATCGCCGACATTGCGATGTCCGACTTTACCACCAACGTGCTTGCTGCCGCGCCGTTGCAGCGTTCCATCGTCATGCGGCGTCGTCGAAGTCTGACCGGTCAACAACTGTGTATTATTTCCGCTCCGGGCCGCCCAATCACCGACTGACCGGCTGATGGCACCGTGTTTCACTCTTTGCGAGGCCCTCGTCAGATCCCACGAGCAAATGTGGCGTCTACCAACGCACACCGCTGCCTTCGTCATTTGGGTACAGCCATGACGATAATCGTGCGACTGAGTTCAGCGTCTGGTCCACGGTGACTTCCCCGCCTGCTGGGCCTCAAGGCTATGGCAGACGACAGAGTGGACCTCCGTTGATGCCGCCCTGAGAACGGCTAGGCGCCGTTGATGGGGTTCCATTCCGGCGTGCCCGTATCATCATGGCGGAGCGTATTGTCTGCGGACATCCCTCTGTCAGGTTCGCCTGCTCACGGTAACATCTGTGGTATTCCCGGGCGCCAGGAAAAGGCCGGCAATAGTACAGCACGCTGATCTTAGTAAGCAATACGCAGGCTGGCGTCAGAAATACTGGCATACTTCCCTATCCGCTACCTTCAGCCCGTTTTAGCTGGTTTTGCTTATTTGAATCAGACGTACTGGCGCGGGTAGTCGATTCGCTTGTAGGGACACTCGTTCGTGTTACCTGAGTTGGACGTGGGTGGTTGTTGTTGTCCGTTTTGACTGTCACATCGTTACTCAAGTCTATGTTCTTACGCAACTAACTTGGTTCGATATATCGGGCGAATGCGAGTTGTTGTACACACGGCTTTGCATCTAGTGGTGTTTCAAGGTCCGAGTTTGGTCGGTCTGCTGGCTTGGTTGAGCTTGAACCACAGGTGGCAGCCAAGGGCTGTAAGGAGGTCTTTTGATGGACGCAATATGGACGCAGTCCCTCCCGCAGCTTGACATTGTGCGCCTTGGCATTGTGCGCTTCATGGGAGCTGGTCAGATGAGCTCCAACAACAGAGTGGTGATGGTGGTGGCGACTGACGTGCGCCCCGTCCGCGTCTTCCGCGAAGGTGCGAGTCTCACTTCCCGCCTGCCGTCCTGGGTACCCCACGGCGCAGAGAAGGCGCGCAAGAGGGAGGCTGGAGAAGCCCAGTCTGCATTTTCAGGAAGCGGTGGTCGCCACCGTACTTCACTGCGGAAGTAACACGGGCTCATCTAGGGAAGGCTGTCCATGGGTATCGGCCACCCACTGGACGTGAATGCACTTATCAACCCGTCAAAGCCGGGGTTCGCACCTGAACGCTGTCGATTAGGTACTGCACCAACTGACAAGGCAAGAGAACTGCAACCGGCGGTGGACATCACCTGCCGTTGTACAGCCCTACGTACAGCCGAGCGGTACAGAGCCAGCCAATGTGGCATGGAGGATCGTGGTCCATCGTACCTACCTGAGCATCTCAGTTGGTCTACCTGAACTTCCACGGAATCGCGGAGGATGGGCAGTTACCAAGCCGAATCAAGTCACAGCCGCGCCTGCCGAAGTCCAGGACCATACTTCACGCAGTACAAAAGCCAGAATATCCCTCTCGGTTCCTCCCTCCCAACTCCAGATCACCATCCACCAAACATCAACACTGCCTGAACCCGCATACATAATCACGCATATCTACCTAACCATCCATCAACACTCACTATCGACCAGTCCCCAACTGCATCATCCAACATGAAGTCTACCATCCTCTCCCTCGCAGCCATCCTCGCCGCAGCCACCGCGCTCCCCACCCCGTTGGCAAACGCCCCCACCGCACTCTGGGCCGTCAACGAATTCAGCATCTACAGCAGCCAGTCGACCCGACTGGCCTCGATCTCATTCCTGACCGACGCACCAGCCACCGCTGGCCCGACTTACCAATTTCACCAGTGCCGCGGCACGATGCCCGCGGACGCGGACGGCGGCGTGCCAGCTTTCGTTCGCATTCCGTGCGACGACGCCGGCAGTACCACCTTCAGCTTCAACCCGCCCACCGACGACTCGAAGTCGGCCGCATCGCTGCTGATCTACGCCGCGGGCAAGACGGGCGTGGCTATGTTCAACCGCAAGAGCCTTGTGTTCCAGGATGGGACGGAGCGGTGGGTTGGGTCGGCGAACTTTGCGATCTCGAATATCTTCTAGGGTGGTGGGTGATGTTCCTGGTCGACTGAAGTCTGGGAGAGGGGAGAGGTGAGAGAACATTGTGGGTTGCGTTGGTCTCGCATGATGGGCTCGTCGGTTGAGGGGGGAGTGGGCTTGGATTGTGAGGTGGTTGCATTGGACGGCGTTGCGGGTTGACTTGCACTACAGGGGGGAAGGGGCCGAGGCTCCGGTACCACCAGGTCGTAGAACCAACAACTAATACCTATTAGAATTCAAGGATTAATGGATTCACAACGTCCTACTTCTGTGAAGTCTTGAGAACTGACATGTTGCCTCCAGGCCCGAATCGGTACAGTTATCACTCATAAGTCTCCTCCCCGCACCCGAGACTCCTTTCCCCTGACAGGATACAGACAGTGGAATCAGCACCGGGAATAATCAGTTATGTTTTCACGAGCCATGTTGAACGCTTATTCCGCACATGAAGAATACCCCTGAGTATGCAAGACGTTGATTATGGAATGTACGGAGACTTCCCAGTGTGCAACGCAGCACAGTAAAAACCGGCCAACTCAGAAATATGTCATCGCTCTCACTACTCAAAGTCCATTCCTTGTGCGGGTAGTACTGGATTCCTCGATTCTTAGCATGGCAATCCTCGTTACATGAGGATTCCTCGCAGGTCAGCCGCGGAGACTATCAATCCTCCATCCACGCCAAAATGATCAACTTAGGAGATTTTAGCGGTCTCGGTCTGCGCCTTCAGTGAACCCCAAGTAGCAAAAAGTGCCTCGCCCGTTCCTCCTTGCCCAGTGCCGCACATGCGATCCAAACAGTCCCCAAGATCGCCTCCTGTGCGTCGTTGATATTTGGCATTAACTACTGTAAATAACAGGCTCACTTCTTGCGCGCGAACGAGTAGCGGTAAGTCTTACTGACGCTGTTGAGGTCGAAGCAGCGATCTCTGTATCTGAAGGCTCCGAGTCTTCATACATTGGGTAGTCGCCCGGTCTCGCGAACAGCTGGCGGACGTAAGGGCCCTCTGCCGGCTTTTCGGCGATGGTCTGGGGAGGTACAGGACTGGTCAACGATGCCGAAGCTGATCGACTGACTCCGTCAGACGCTCCCGGTTTGGAAACATCTTCTTCAGACGCATTGTCCGGGATGACCTTGGCCAGCAGATGCTCTCTGGCCTCGATAGGATCGAGCATAGGAATCTGGTCCAGTCTTCGCATCTTCCGCGGAGTCTGCTCGGCCTCTGATTCGGAATCGGTCGCGAAACCAAAGTGCTTGGCACGCTTTCTTGCAGCACTGCGGTTCTTCGCGCCAGCACCTTTGGTCGGATTACGAAGGCCGCGGCGTCGCGTGGTGGACCTAGCGGGCATGGTCGTAGATATGTAAAATCTGATGTGAGGGAGGGAGAGTTGCGTTGGATGGACTCTGGAGGACGAGAGTTCCCGCGAGGCTTGATTAAGAGGTGGTCGGATGAAGTAGGTCGAGAAATCTGACCAGATAGAAAAAATGAGTCCAGTAAGGTGGGAAAGCTGTCAAGACCAGCGATGGTAGGATGAAGTGCTCGAGCCGCCGTCATCTGCGGACGAGGTTTGGTTGTAGCGGAGTACGGCGACCAGTGTCGCGTAGAAGGTAAGGTCTCGAAAACAAGAGCCGCAGACCGGCCTTGAGATCGTAGAATGGCCAACTACACAAGCGACTGGCGACCGTGCAGAGAGACGACGAGCTGTGAGGTACTGCGAGAGGGTGAAGATCGACGGCGTAACGATGGAAGAATGTGCAAAACGTTGCTCAGAGCAAGAGTTGGATGCATCTTACCGTAAGCAGAACAAGAGTACCTTACCGTTGTGCCACGAGAGAAGATCTGTGAGGGCTAAGGAGAGAAAAGAAGAACGCAGAGGAGGCAAGGTGAGGGAGCCCTCCCTTTTGTCGCTGTCAGGGGAAAGCACAGACCACCCAGGGGACAGGTGCATAGGCCCCAGAGACACTGGGTAGTGAGTAGGATATACAAGGGGGTTGTTTGGTATGTTGCTGGGGCGGCGAGGGCGGCGATGATTCTGCCGGGTGAAGCTCAGGCCTGGCAACGTGAACAGACCCCACCCCCGCCTTGCCGTTGACAGGACTGGTTTGCGTACGAATCTAAATACGCACACATAACCCTCATGAAACTCCGTATGCGCATACCAATTCTAGATCACCGGCAAGGAATATAAAATATCGGAATGAGCATACAGAAATAAGCAGCTCTAACATTATACGGCCACTTTGAACGCTTATTAAAGTGTGCTTATTCTAATTATGACAGATATACCGTTATTTGCTGCGTGGTGTACGGAGACTTATGAGGATTCAGTGTACCTATTCTAAGAATTAAGGCTTGCGAATTCGTACAGAGAGTTGCTCTATATACCGCCTGGGGAAAAGGGGTGATGTTCAGTTCCGCGAGCTTCAGCTCCCAATCATAGCTAACATCCAGACGAGCATATGACATGAAAGTCAGAGTCTGCGAAGAAAAATCCTTCCGAGGAAAAATCGCGAACTGTGGCCACCCTCGCTGCAGAGATAAGTAATGCCTACTACTTCACCTCTCCGGGCATGGCTCATTCGGGCCAAAACTCACCATGTGCCCTGAAGCCGCGGAGAAATCACACGTTTCCTTAGCCCGTGCGTTCTCCCGGGTTCTTCCAGTTACTGTCCATCTTGTTGGGCCTGCCAGCGGGCCTCATTCCCTGTACGCCTCGTTGGTTCGTAACAGGGTCTTCTTGAAGTCGTCATCGCACCCGGCGGTGTACGTTGTGTGGGATCGTCAGCGCCATCATTGTACTCATCGGGACTTCCGAATGCTCAGCTGCTCTGGAAAATGAAACCCGCGGTACTTCTGACGTGATACCCTGACGGGCGCCGTTCTCCCGGGACGCCTGCAGCATCGAGACGGCGCTTGATCAGGCATAGACCTCGGCGTCATGCAGTCCAACACCTTACGGTCTGGCGTGCGTGGACTATTGCTGTGGCGACTGCAAGCGCTTCTACCAGTCTGGAGACACCGAGTAAGGAGACACCGAGTACGGAGACCAGGCTTGGCTGTACGGTACTCCTAGGAGGCTGTGGTCGCAACATGAGCCTTTCTTCTTTCCTCTGCTCGTACCCTCCGAACTGTCGCCGCCCACTGGGTTGAGTCCGGTGTAAACCACTCCGGTCAGCTCACGCCCCGCCTCGTAGCCACGGTGGATGCAGACGGCTCGCGAAGGGGTCACCTGTTCCCAAGACGACCATTCTCTTCCAGGCTATCAAGGCCTTGCTCGGCAGAAATGGGAGGCGCCCAATGATCGGTGGTAGAGTTTCTCGCAGGAGACTCGGTTCCAGGGGAGTCGCTCTGTGACCTGTCAAATGAGCCGTCGTTTCTCGGGCATGATGAGATATCCGTGAGACCCTATGCTAGACGAGAGCTGTCACATCCCTCCTGCTCCGGTTGGACGCGACTTGTGAAACCCACGATATCACAAGGCGGGCGATATCGCAAGGCGGGCAACCGTGTGGTGGTAGCGTGGTAGTTGGTGACGTGAGGAGGAATGACCGAGGACAATATGATGATGGAACCGGCGTCCCAACGGACATTCCCGATGTTCATTTCGCAAAACCCCCGGACCCATAGTGGCTACTAGACTAGCCTCGCATCCCCCTACACTTCTTTAGCAGACACCGGTAGAAGCACAGTTGCATCCAAAAGAACTCAGCAGAACCCAAAATAATACTGCCCCATTTTCAGCCTGAGAAGAAAGAGAAAAGAGAATGTACGATTCCAGTGTTGTCGAGAACTGCTGCGTCGCGTCGCGGTGCCCCCTGTGGTATCATCATTGCGCGTCGTCGATTGGACAGTGTGCTGCGATGCTATAATTAGGTGACATGTATCCCTGGTCGCCTGGCCATAGCGCCGGCTCAGCTTCCAATCTGACCGTCTTCTTGAATCTAATTTGAAACAACAAGGGGCCATTCATGCAACAGCGGAACACGTGACGCTCCCTATTGTATTGCTTGACATTCCACCTGGCTTGATCAACATTGCCCGTCATCTTGAGAAATCAAATGCGAAAACAACCACAAACAACCCGCTGAAACCACTACTATGCGCAACTAACATGGCAGGCAAGCACGATATGACCCTGGCACAGAAGCTGTCGGGCTTCATCACAAGGCATGGCTCTTCCAAGAGCAAAAGGGCCCCAGGAACGGCCGCCGACGACGGTCACGAGGCGAGCTCCGTCTTCAGTTTCAAGCGACAGAAGAAAACCCCATCTCCAGAGAGCATCGTTGAATACAAGCCCCTAGAGGTTGACTTGAACCAGCTGAAGTCCCTTGGTCTCTCCGAGGGCTGGCTGGAGAAGCCCACACCACCAAATGCGGATCACGACCAGGAGCGGCCACCGCCTCCAGCGCCAGCAGACAACACAACAACGCCGATAGCAAGCCTATTCGAGAGCAAGTCAGTCCTCAATCTGCTGGGCTCAGAACAGCTCAGCCGTTCTGGCTCAGAGAACCATGCTGGCAATGACACACGACCTTTCTCCATGGTCGAGACCCACAATGTCGCCTACAGCCGCCGATCAGCAGATCTCGGTTCAACCCGTGATTCCCAGGCTTCGGGGAGCATTCTGGACCGCGGACGGCCTATTGAGCCCACGAGCTTCGTGACGGATCAAGTGAGGAAGCCCAAGAGCTTGCGGCAAGAGCACTCGCCACATAACAACATCACCGCTGCCGAAAAGACTACGACCCCAGTGACAGTCTCTCGGAAACCATTACGCAGCGAGGTTAGCCCCATTACGCCGAAGCTCAGTGTGCCCTCCCAATTACGGCCGCGGGAACGAGCAATCGTGGATACCAGCAACCGCCACTCCATGCATGCGGTAGCCACCTCACCGTCTGATCCTGTAGCCGCTGCAAAGACGACTGTCCCGGGGTCGAGGAGCGCATCGGCCATGCCATTGGGTCGAATCCAAGCCTGGCAAAAGTCGGTCACTTCAGCACCAAGTTCCCGTTCAACGACAGGTTCGGCTTCGAACCCAGCGGTCCCGTCAACAGGAACCATTCCAGCCCGAAAGGCGTCGACACGAGGAGTTGGCAACCGTCTAGCCTGGATCAGAGAGCTCGAAGAGAAGAAGTCGAGCGAGGCGAACAAGGACCTGGGCGTCCTCAAGAAGCAAGCCGGCAGCGTATCGGACAGACTGGCCATGTTCGAAAGCAAGCAGGGCCGAGGTCCGTCCCCGGTACTGCCGTCGCGTCTGCCACCGCTCAGCAGGACCAACTCGACCACGAGTCGCCTGTCGTCGGTGGCTCTGGAGTCCGGGTCTTCCGTCAACGGCAATACTACCAGCACCCCACGCACGTCGATAGACACGGCGCGGTCCAGTCACCGAACCTCCTCTGTCATGGACAACTACGACGACTCGTTTCGCGAGAAGATGGAGTGCCTCGTGGGCGACTTCACCGCCGACAAGGACAAGCCTGACGCCCAGCAGGAGAAGCAGCGGGGTACGAATCAGTCTGTTCCGGTGGGTGCAGAGAAGGCGGCAGTGAAGGAGCCTCTGCCCGCCCAACCGGAAGCGGACGCTTCAGATGCCAAGCCGGAGAAGGAGGAGAAGGAGGTTCAATCTCCCCCTACGGAACCAGAGACTGCCGATGTGGAGACAGAGAAGGAAGAGAAGGTAGTGGAAGAACCGCAGCCTTCTCGGCCCACACCAGTGACCCCCAAGATCACCCTAGAGGAGGAAGAGAAGGCAGTGCAAGAGCCGCAGTCTTCCCAATCAGAGCCAGTCACCCCCAAAGCCGACCTAGAGATGGAAAAGAAGGCAGAGGAAGAGACGCAGTCTCCACAAACAAAGGCAGCCACCCCAAAAGCGGACCTAGAGATGGAACAGAAGGCAGAGGAGCAGCCGCAGTCTTCCCTACCTGAATCAGTGACTCCCGAGATCGTCATTGAGAAGGATGATGAGAAAGCGGCCGAGATGGAGGAAGAAAAGGAGCCTCGAGCAACAATTGCCGAGATCGATTCAGACAAGAAAGAGGCGGATCCTAAGCCACCGCAATCAGAAGAGGCTTCTGATATGATCCCAGAGAAGGCAGAGAAGGAGCAAGAGCTTCCCCAAGCAGAGACAACCCCCGAGGTCCTCGCGGATCACGAGGCTCAGAGTGATGATATCCCAGGTGTGGAGGTTTCGAGCTAAAGGTCGTTCTTTGAAACGGCCGTGGAGGATTCCCTCCAGTGTAATTTCCTAGATGTAGCCTACCAGCCAGAACTTGATGTTTGGCTATAATGATAAACGTGTTTGGACTTTTGCTTATAATCACACAATCAATCACCCCTGAATGTATGTGTGCTTGTGCTATGCCAATCGACACGCCTTGCGTGACCCCTCTTTCCGAATGATTTATTGCACGATCGTTCCCGCATTGAGAGGGGGTCCCGCTCGGGAGCCTGGCTCTTTGGTCTCTCTCGACTCTATAACCTTGCCACTTGTTCAGTTCAGTAGGCACAGATAGGAATAATCAGGGACTGGCAGTACACATAATGGTGATTTTGGAAACATATTCACCGCCGCCACCCACCTCACGTTTGCCCTAAGCCAGGTGGCAAGCTCAATATACACTAAGCACTCCTCGGATCGCCCTGTCTACCCACTTCCACCCCATGAGGTAGTCCGTGATGGGTGAACTATCGCTGCCCACGCCCCAGTTACCTGTCATCGACCTCCATGTACCTACATTAGTACGCAAACCACTTTCTTAGCACTGGCCAGGCGATATTGCCGAGCATGTACGCCCGTTGTCCGGTCTGCTCGACTGTTGCCGGGCCTGAGCTCCACCCGGCAGAATCATCACCGCCCTCACCGCCCTGGCAACATACCAACCCCCTTATATATCCTACTCACCTCACCAGACACGCGTATCCCGCGCGACGGCACGCGACACTGGGATCTGTGCTCCCGCTGCCAGGCCTGTGCACCTGTCGCCAGGCGCGTCGTGGCCCACCCGGCAGAATTATCGCCGCACTTACCGCCCTGGCGGCGTGATGGCTGGGGGATGGTCTGTGCTTTCCCCTGAAAGGTACAAAAGGGAGGGCTCCCTCCCCTCGCCTCCTCTGATTTCTTCTTTTCTCTTCTCAACCACCACACAGATCCTCTCTTCTGTTGTAACGGTTGATCACAACTCGTCTCTACCCAGAGAACCTGTGTTCGATTCTCTTCTCTTCGGGACAACGCTCTTTGCACTTTTCTCGTCGCCTTCGACTACCCTTATTCTGCTTTCAATCACGCCGTCGTTCCGCAGTCTGGGCAACCAGAATCACAGGAGCCCTCTTGTTTACTGAGCCAACCGAGCAAGTAGCAGCCCGCAGTTCCCTGATCCTGTGAACGTTTTCGTTTTCTCTCATCTTACCGACCACTGACAGGCCTGGCAGAAACCAAAACTGTGCATCTCTCATCCAACAATCACTTCTACGCCCGACCTTCGTCACTCCTACTTTCTCCCGCGTCATCCGTTCTACTCTTCGGCCACTTCGACTCTCCCGCCGCTTCTACTCTATTCCGCGCCATCTTCTCTACCCGCAAGGTCGTCATCTGACTCGGGCGCGTGCATTACAGGCGGCACGTTCCCTAGACATGAATGACTTGTGGGAGATCCGTCAGAGTAAGTTTGCAACGGCGATTTCGCAAAAATGTCACTAATCGAATTACAGTGATTGGTTGCTGAGCTTTAGTTCTCTTCGCGGCGGCTACTCAGCCAGGAAAAGGGTCGCTTGTATGGAAGCAGCTGACCTGGGGTGGATGTCGGGCAATGGGACCATGTCATCGGATACATTACGCCTGCTGAGAAGTCCGCGATCGTCGACGTGGTGCCGCTTCTGGAGAATCGCGAATCAACCTGCGTCAGTGTGCAGGCCCTCATCCTCTGGAAATTGATGGTCTGGACATACCTTCATACGAAAAGTCGCTCCTCGCTGAAGCCGATTGAATGCCGTCTACTTGATGCCAACTAGCTCACATCCCTACGCTTTTGTTTGATACGATGAGTATTTTGATTTTGGTCCGTGTTCGTACGAGGACGGGAGGTCCCCCGAGTCAGCCAACTTTTGGTCCCGACCGGCAGCTTGTAACCTAGACACAAAACCCCCCGGTCAAAATCTCATGTTGGCCACCATCTCCCTATCGTCCACCACACCGGTCGCAAAGCCGACATGGTTGACTACCGAGTGACCTTGCTGTCCCTCCTTTCCTTCAAGCCATAGAACCCACAGAACAATCAGCAACGCTACTCAACATGACCGAGCGACAGACCCACGATTCGAAGGCAGTTCGCAATACGACCGCCAAGAAGTCATCGCGACCATCACAGACTTCTACCATTTCCCCGCCACTTTGCCCTACATCCAACCCGAGCACATCCTATTCCCTCCCTCTGGCGGCTGGCCCAACATCACGCAGGACACCCTCGCCGCCTTGGGGAAGAACGACGAAGTCAACCAGCTACTTGCTCGTCTGCTCTACATCAGCATACCACTGCACGGCGAAGCCAAGGACTGCATGATACGACCGTACACCAAGCTCAACAACTTCGCAGGAGAGGCCTTCCAGGCGGCAATCAAGCATGGGGCCGAATGGGTCGCTGACGAGAAGACGTACATCCCTCCCTTCGTCGACCTGCCCGAATGGGTGGTCTCATTGACGTATGGTGAGACGAATGGCGATTACTTGCTGCTGGACACGACAGACGGCACCATCACCCGCTACCTCCTGGATCTCACTTCCTATGAACCAACGTATGATGAGACGGACCCCAGGAGCTGGCGCGACAAGTGCGATGACGAGACGAAGCCACTCAGGCAGTATCTCGACGGGATCAGAGCAGAGCTGACCGCTCTTGATGGTATCGCACACTTCTGGCAGGGCGAGCCGCAGGTGTTGAACCCGCCAGAATCACCGGATAGGGCACAGGTACGCAGATGACTTCTGCGCAACTCTCTCTCTCTCTCTCTCTCCCTCTCTCTCTCTCTCCCTCTCTCTCTCTCTCCCTCTCTCTCTCTCTCCCTCTCTCTCTCTCTCCCTCTCTCTCTCTCTCCCTCTCTCTCTCTCTCCCTCTCTCTCTCTCTCCCTCTCTCTCCCCCACGCCCCCCTTCTCTCTCCCTCTCTCTCTCTCTCTTTTTCCTGACTTCGCGCACATGAGCTTCTGGCTATCTACCAAGAGCACGGTTGGCCGGACGACTTCCGGAGAGACGAATGCAGAAGAGCACTGCTTGAGTAGGAAGAACGCAATCAGTGACGGATGCATCGTCAATGCCCACTTTCTTCTCATGCCTGGAAGTCCGCATGGCTTAAGTCCGTGATGGTAGCGTGGCGGAGATGATCTGCTGTGGTAGGCTCCTGGATGCGGCCATATTTGCGGCGGTAATGGAGTATTGACTCATTCAGTTGAGCTCTGCCTACACGCGTTTGGGTTTGTTGAGGTGGCCATGCTTGCGCTCGTGTTGCAAGTCCCTCTCATCTCTCGCATCTCGTGATGCCTATGATTCGTACCTGCTGACGACACCTTGAGGGCATCTTGGGTATTGAACTTGAGTTTGACTTAGAGTAACTTTCTCGGAGACGGCGTCTTCCAAACGGACTCAAACCAAAGTTCTCCCTACGCGAAGGAAGTGCTTGAAAATAGAGATATAACACTTCAACACAGGTTTTGCTTCGGACCTTGGACGATCCTCGAATGTGTTCTCCTTCTCGGACTCATCAACCTAGCTCCAAAGTAAGCCGATTCGACGATAGCCCATAGTAATTGAGGTCATCCATAGTCTTTAACCCCGTATATTTGTACTACTCTCTGTCATAAGGGTTGAAGCTCCTAGCGGAACTTGACCACGGTGGCTCTGGGATGGTGAGGATATCGTATTTGATTGGCCGACGGCCGAGTGATGCGGACTTGCCCGGGGTGGAGCGCACAGAGTAGTATAGCGCTTTAAAAAATCAATTTTACACCAAGGCAAGATGGCCGAGTTGGTCTATGGCGCCAGGTTAAGGTTACCTTAACTCAATATCCTGGTGGAGCAATCCGCGTGGGTTCGAATCCCACTCTTGTCAAGATCTTTTTGTTGCCTGACTTGATGTCATCGACGCAAGTGTTGTCTTTTTGCTGTCTGTGGGGAGCGGCTGACAGACAGTGCATGGATCCCGCCTATGTTCAAGTGATGATGGAGCCACGATATCCTTTTGTTCGAGAGCGAGCGAGCCAATCCGTCATGACAATCAAAAGTATATGCCACGAAGTTCCTTCACATGGCCGACCGGGGGCACGTGCCGTCGAAGTAAGGTTAGCAGCTAAATTCGACACCACGATCGTTTAGTAATAGTCCTGGTTGGTGGTCTCAGGTAAAGTGTAGGGCAAAAAGAGAAAACTGGAACTTTATGATGGATACCCAAAAGGGAACCTCGCAATGTGATCATTGCGGCATCAGGAATTGAGCCCAATGCGGGGGTCGAACCCGCAGCCTTGAGATTACTTTGGTAAGAGTCTCACGCTCTACCGATTGAGCTAACCGGGCTGTGGTTTGTTGGATGAGCATTTTCGCCGTATGGGTCTATACATATAAATCAAATTTTGTGCTGAGATTTCGTTGGTGGCTGCGGCCGGCCGCAGTGGTGGGGGCGGAAACGGACGGAGAGGGGCGGAGAAGGGCGCACATAAACGGGCGAGTGTCTCATCTGTTCGACATCGGTAGAACTTGCTGGGATCCTCTGCAAGAGGGATTCGGTCGGATGCATGATGGTGGGGGTTCAGAGGGTTGGAGCTCCTGCAGCCAAGCGCAATAACTCGGCGTGTCATCAACGAACATTTCGAACAAGGCCGGTCGAGTGTAGTCGCATACCACTGCAGCTTTGAGCGAGTTCAGGGGACGCCATCGATCTTCAAGCAAGGTCCGGGGCGGGACCTGAGACTCTGCAGCCCTATGGGAGTCGGTAAGCGTTGGAAGCCTCATTCGCATGGGGATCCATGTCTCACCCTGGTTATGCAGAGAACGATCCAGCGGCAATTTGCATGGCGAAGTTGTCCTTGCGCTTGGAATGTAGGGGCTGATCTCGCAGTCAGTGAGCACTTTTGAGTGCAGATGAAGCTGGTCGGAGGACGGACGAGGTGGATGTCTTAATAATTATAAGGTGAGGGAACTCGCGGTTGAAATAGGCAGTTGCGGGTTCGCAGGAGCTCCTTCTTCACAATATCCATACTGATCACTCGCAAATGGCAGCTGCATCGGTATCACGGCCTTGCCCAGTTGGGTGTTTCACGAGCAGAGCGTTAGCTTAATGGCAAGTACAACTGCTTGAGTACTTTCAAGTCAAACTCGAAAGATGCATGCCACTCAGTGAATAGGTTCCGACTGTATCATGGCCTCGTCTATATGCCAACATACAGTACACATATAATCATCTACCTAGGTGTGAGTTGGATACCAGTCACTGACAAGACCACTCTGACAGTACCAGCAACCCATCATCGCATCACATCGGCCAGGTCCCATCAAGGCGACACCAAATCAAGAACTCCCAGCCACCTCCCCCAACGCCTTCACAAGCCCATCCACCGTCCCCATCAGCGTCTGGCAATTAACCACAACGCGAAAGAAACTGCCCTTGTCGCCCGGCGCATAATCAACCATGAACCCGCGTCCCACGAGCCGCGCAACCATCTCGCGCGTATTCCGCGTATTGGCCTCCTTACTGTCCGCCAGCACCCCGCCCGGCGCGTAGTAGAAGCACACCTGCAGGCAGGGCGGCGGGTTCGCCGAGACCAGCGTAAAATTGGTCGAGGCCGAAATGAGCGAGGCCAGGTGCGCCGCCATGGCGAACGCGTGGTCGATTTGTGCGCCGAAGCCCGCGGCGCCGTAGTAGATCCACGCGAGTGCGAGCTTGAGGCTGTCGCCGCGGCGGCCGCACTGCAGGGTTAGGTCTGCGAGGTCCCAGTATTCACTCTCTTCCCTCTCTTTCTCCTCCTCCCCCTCGTCCGCTCTCTCGTCCGCATCTGCATCCGCGTGGAACAGATAGCCCGCCGGTAGCGTATTAGCGCGATGGAACACGGCCACGTCGTCCGTGAGCAGGAACGAGCACGTAATGGGCACATTCATCATTTTGTGCGGATTGACCGTCAGACTATGCGCGCGCTCCACGCCGGCAAGCTTGTGCCGCTGTCCGGACAAGAAGACGGCCGGCCCGCCCCACGACGCATCGACGTGCAGCCAGAGCCCAAATTCATCGCACACGTCCGCCAGCGCCGCGAACGGGTCGTACGACCCCAGCACCGTCGTGCCGGCCGTGGCATTGACGTACAGCGGCGTGCGGCCGTCCTCGTCTTTCGCTTTGAGGATGGCAGAGCGCAGCGCGGATGGTATCATTTGCCCCGACCCGTCGACGGCGACGCTGAGAACGGCGGCGGACCCCATGCCGCAGGTCGCGGCCGCCTTCTCGACGCTGTAGTGCCCGTGCGCGCTGGTGAAGACGGCGAAGCGGTGGGGGGCGTTGCCGCACGTCTTGGTGGAAGGGTAGAGCGTGTTGCGCGCGATGACTAGGGAGGTTAGGTTCGAGGCGCTGCCGCCGGTGCAGGTCACGCCGCCGGCGCGGGGGCCCGTGAAGCCGAAGAGCGAGGCGAGCGTGCGGGCTGTGGTCTTTTCTATGAGTGTGAGGGCTGGTGAGGTCTGGTAGACGTGGACCTGGGGGGCGGGTTAGCTGAGGGGTGGTTCGTGGGAGGGTAGGACCGCCTTACATTCGTGTTCAGGGCCGAGATCAGGAGCTCTGATACTACGCCCACCTATACAGCTATTAGAAACAAGACTATCACGAAGATTATTTTCCCTGAGAACCAACTCACGGCGTTCGTGCTCGAGTACAGCTTATCCAGGAACCCCTGGTCCCAGGTATTGACGCTGTACTTCAAAATCTCCTGGATCGTCTCCAGTAACCCGTCCTTCCCTCTGCCCTCGTCCTGCGGCAAGGATAGCGTCATGCGCTTCACCAGCTCCTCCGGCCGATGGGAGTCAACGAGCACATTGCGCGTGGTTCCCTGCGCATCCGCTGCTATTTGGCCGCTGGCCCGGACGGGTGCCGCATTGTCTGCGTCGCGGATGTATGGCACGATGAGCGATTTCACTGCGTCTATCAGCTGGGTCTGATGTTAGCAGTATACTCGCGAAGAATGAATTCTCACCAGTCTGGACGGCCCTGGAATAATGGCGACAGGGGTTCCCCGGTTGGTGCCGAGGTGTTGGAACTTACATCATCAACCTCATCGGCTCTGTTCAGCGTGGTCTTGCCGTGGCCGTCGCCATTGATATGAGAAGACATAATAAGTGCCAATTGGTTATTCTCAAGTATGCGATATATGTAATCGCACTGATCACCTTGAAATTCTTGAATCCCACTTTCGATCGAATTCCCACACTAGCTTTCCTCAAGTTCGCTCATGACCCCAATGAGATTTTCCAAAGATGGAACCCGCCAAATGCCGAGACTCCACCGATAATACCATCGCTTTAGTCATTTACGTATTCGGAAGGTCTACTTCTGGGCGACTCGAACGCGCGAACGCAACGCGATGCATTCGAGATGTTACTTGAAATTCCACCCGGATTGTCTCCTAATAAATTGGGCGCAAGTGGAAATGGTCTCTGCCATGCAAGTCTGCAAGGAAATTCGAGGGTTGCTGTGGTCTTTTGGAAGTGCCTTGGCTTGGCACAGCGTGTGAAGGTTGCATTACTCGAATTACTCCATGACACATACTCTTACATCATGGTCAAGTGCTATGATGACAGTCCGTGATATCGTGGGTTCATGTCACCCGTGCGGGATGGCTGCCTCGATCACCAAAGCCGAAATTCCTTCAATGTAGTCGCAACAGTCCCCCTTTGCGCCAGCGAAAAAAGGAGCCTAGGTATCGTAAATCCCGTCCATCCGTTAATTCATTCTTTTTGTAGGCTGCGAGTAGTCCACTATTCAGTCGACTCGCTTCTTGTTATCAACAGCAGCACCGTCGCCGCTGTTCTGCTCCGGCTCCTTGCCGTTGCTGGCGCCGATATCCCCCTCCACATCATCTGCAAGCCAGTCATCTGCAGCGTTTTCGTCCCAGTTGTCGACCTCCTGTTCCAGCGACGTGGTGCGTTCGTTCCCAGCCGCCGACATGCCGCCCTCCTCTTGTTGGCCCAAGTCCTCGCCCAGTTCGAGATCGGCTTCGTCCTCGCCGGCAATCGGGTTGTATCTACGTTCCCGTTTCCGCTCCAGCATCCTCATATGGTACCACGTACACAGGCCCAGGCCCGCTACACTGCCGACGACATTGGCGACGATGTCATACAGGTCGAACTCTCGACCGTTTGGTAGGAAACCCTGCAGGAATTCGGAGCCGACGCCAAGGACGACGGTGCAGACGATGACGGTGAGGTTCAGGGTGCGGCGGCGGTTGGTATCGATGATCCAGTAGAAGACGACGGTCAGGACGAAGAAGGTCAGGGTGTGCAGGAGTTTGTCGTTGATGACGGTGCCGAGCTGGAGGGAGGACAGTCCGGCATAGCCCGCGAGCAGGCAGAGCAGGAAGAAGACGCCTGATGAATCATTTGCTGTCAGCTTGCTCGGCTCTCCCACTCCCAGCCTGGGGAGTTTCTTGCAAATAACGAAAGACACAAATGCGACCTGGTGTTTCTGCGGGCAGCTTCATTGCGCCCTCCACGGCCGCCCCATGCCACGTCTCTGCAGAAAAGCACACAGGCACACAGGTACAGTTACATATGTAGGTAGTACTGACCTGCAAAGGGTAGCCGGATGCGCATGGTCGATGATACTTGGTTTTCGAAGTGGCGTGAAGCTTAGGAAGACATGGTTTCAGAGATGATGGTTATCGTTCATAACAGAGATATCGATTCGACGTAGTCCGACTCGAGGGGCTCTGCCGTTTGGGGTCAAGAGTGGTGAAGAATGCCCGGTAATAAGGTAAGCAACCTGAGAGCTTCCTCAAGGTTGCACCGGCGCAGCGCGACAAAAAAGCGAGGTGGGCAAGGTGGCGGGCAGGCTGAGGCTGGAGGTGGAGGTGGACCCTGGCTGGCTGGCTGGCCACGGACTGCAGCCTGCCGTGCTTGCCAACCTGGAGGCAAACGAGCCGAGGTGGCCCAAGCTCAAGCTCTGGAGCTCTGTGCAGGGTGCCACCATACTGCCGTTCGCAATCAGAGTGTCGCTGCCCTACCTTGAATCGCTCTGTACACATAATAGAATCTTGAGCTGGTATATAACGATAAAAGTATGATGTTTAAAGTTGTTATTATCGGTTTATGTTGAATACACGGATGTTGATTGATTCTATTGATTGTTCTGCTCTGTGTGCAGAGATTGATCATCTGTCTTCTTGGTGGGTCAGATGCCCTGTGCGTCTCTGCCCCACTAGAGATCTTCCGGTGTCTATCTCCGGCTCCCATTCAACAGTTTAATGTTATATATGTTAGTATATATATATATATACTAATAGTTTTAAATCGTACTTATTAATATATATTTTATAAGAGTTTATATACAGAAGTATTATAGTATGTTCAATTATAATACAGTAACTATTTATTATAAATAAATTTATATTTAAGTATAATCATAACGTGTTTAGCTAGCGTAGCGTTAAATTTATAAGGTAACGGTTATTAATCGACCGTTTTTAAGGCGTTAAAACTATTTTAAAACTATTTAGTCCGTGTATAAACCACTTATAGCTATATTACTTATTTTACTTTATCTAATATATTTAAATACATATTTACAACGTTAATTTAAAAGTATAAAGGTTATAAAGCGTAGTTTTATCGTTATGACCGTTTGAATAATTCTAAAACTATAAAAAAAGTAATAATTTAACAGATTTACATATAATATATAATAAAGTTACCAATATTAGCCATAAAATATGATAAAATATTATTTAATACCGTATTTTTGAAGAAAAGTTTATTAAAAAAATACAAAAGAGCACACTTATTTCTTATTTAATAGTTTAATTTTTATATATACTTGTTACTTTTAATTGTTAATTTTTTAAAAATTTTCAATTAAATTATACCTTAGGTATATGTTACGAACCAACGAATAGTGCGGCCTGATAGCAGGCCCAGAGGAGACGATTGGAAACAGGTTGACAAGTAAGTGGGGTGCTGATTAGTGGAGAGATCGGAGCAACGGAGCAACGCTACACAGATCACGTGACTAGCAGAACCTGGGTCACGTGACTAAGAATTTGGATCACTTGATCATCGTGGTGATCCAGTGAGCAGGATCACCTTGGATCACCGGTGATCCAGGGTGAGCCACCTAATCAGTGAGGGAGAGATTGGATATATAAGGACAGACATTTCCCAACTAGATAGATAGACAGTCTCTACCTCAGTGATCAATCTAAGCATCTTAGCCAACCCTAAGGTGGGAGAAATCTCCTGACGACTCGACTACACAGTGAACCCAGTTCAAACCAAGCCCCGGCATCTGAGTTTCTTTTAGTTGACAGAAGCCTCTATCGTACTCTGTGTTGACTTACCTCAGAATATAAATCCTATAGAACCCTTTAGCCTTATAGGTTTAGACGGCTTATCACAGTATAGCTTAAAACTACCTTATTATATATTTATATTATATTTTTAATAGGTATGTTACAAGGAGTATAACAATTGTTAATTAATTATTAATTAAACTAATTCAAGGCTATATATCTCCTTATATGCCTATCTTGTAACAGCTAATCGAAATGCCGGCGCCAACGCCAATACCGATAATAATCGCTAGCCGATCTATTTCATATACTGCCTTGTACCAACGACGATTTTTATTTTATTTTAACGTTAAATCGTCGTTATGAATCCGAACTATAAGGCGATATTATTATCTTTTACGTTTACAATTTAATTTACAGACTTATTTTAGTCGTTGTTTATTAAATTTTTATCCGGCTTTTTTTACAATTTACGCCACTGAATAATGTACTATTTGATGCCGTTGTATAATTTATTAATTTAAATCTCTTCGTGTTTTAATATCGTACGGTCGATATATTTACGCTTTATTTCTCATATTTTAAGTTTAATCGCTTTCATATTTCGGTCAATTAAAATTACGTGTATAAAAAAAAATTTTAAGCCAATTAACGAATAAAAAATATTCGGGATATTTGTTATAAAAAAATACGTAATACGAGGCTTAACGGAATACGGCTAATAAACTTACCTTAAGATTTTAATTATTACTTAATCATTTTATAAAATATGGTAATAAGAACTATAGTTATAATAATAATTCGGACAGTAATTGTAAAGAAGAAAAAGAGAAACGGCCGTTTTATTCACGTTAAACGGGATTTTTACTACGATCAGTTAAGCTTAATGTTTAAGATTTTTACGGCGAAATTTTAATAAGTTTTATAACGGTTTTAAAGTTTATGATTATTTAATATAGCGCGATTTTAATATTTTTTTTAACTATTCGTTACTCCGTACTATTGTTACGCCGTGTATAATCATTGTATAGACTACGAATATATTTAGAGTTATTTTATACGTTTATTTATGTTTTAAAGTATTTTATATTAAATTAATCGGTAAATAAAGCTTTTAATTATGTTTTTATAAGAGTTTCAATGATATATAAGAGTATATAACGGCTTTAATGGTATATGTAAGTAGTAACAAGAAATAATTTTATTATTATTATTATTATTATTATTATTATTATTATTATTATTATTATTATTATTTATTTCTTTATTCTATTACATTATTTCATTAAATTCTCATATATTATATATATGAACCTTTTTATGTTCTTTAAATTAGCTGCGTTATAGTTTATTTTATTAAAAAGCGATTTTAAAAAGCTTTATCGTCTATATAGCGATTTGAAGTGAATACGCGCTAGCGCGACATTCTGATTGAGAACGACAGTACCTGCAGCCAGCCGGCAGACCGGACAGGCAAGCAGCTGCGGCAGCTGCCCACCAACAGTCTCATACAGACGATGGGATGCTGGTAAACTGGTCTGGTCGACATCTGCCAAAAACGTCGGCAACGGGGAACCCCATATGCTCAACTTGCAAGGCACTTCCAGCGAGGCAGTCAATGCCCGACGACTCTCTCGATATCTCGCCATGCGCCGTGCCTTCGTCTCACAATGGCATCTGCGACATCGGACCTGTCCGCCCTCCCCAATGAGATCCTGAGCCAGATTTCGGGATATTTGGTTCTACCTCTACCCGACCGTCAGAACGTCCGCAATGCTTGTCTGCTTCGTGAACGTCGAAAAGCACTCTGGAGCCTCTGCCTGATGAGCCGCAAGCTGAACAAGGTGGCCACCTCGGTTCTGTACAGGACCGTCCGCTTTTGGCACGAGAAGCACCGGGACGGTTCTGGCCTGGGCTTGTTCCTGCGAACACTTGTCGAGAATGCTCAACTTCGCCCGTTGGTGAGACAAATTTCTTGTCTCATCAACCTGACAGAGACAAGTGGATATAACTGGGATGTGGTCTTGATCAGCCAAAGCTGGGCGTCTCTCAGCGCCACCCTCCGCTTAGGCAATGACGAAGGTAAGTCCACTTCATTGCCTATCCCAACTGCTCAGAATTACAGAAGGTAAAATGTTCAACATGTGCACGCAGATATCACTATGCTCCAATCCACCGACTTGGTAGACCCCAACGGGGGCATGTGCCAAACTACTACGGGTGAGCGGGTATTCGGTGCTATTCTGTGCTTCGTCACTCGCCTCGAATACGTCTACCTTCAATGTCCCCATAATACATGTTATCTGCCCGCCTCCCGGCCCAACGCATATGGTGATCTGGACCGCATACTACGGAGCGCCTTGGCCACCGACGAGGGTCGCAGCAAATGGCCATTGCAATCTCTTCACACACTATATATCTATCCTAGGCGAAACTACCACAACTGATATCCTGGTTATCGTAGCTCTCCCATGATCTGTCCTGTCCTCCTGCATGCCCCAGATTTGAAGCTGCTCGCTGTCTACAAGGCAGAAAATCGCTGGTCGAAACTTCCAAACACCCTTCAATCCCTTGACCTCGCAGATTCGCCGGTATCAAACGCCGTAATTGAAGACGCCTTGACCCTTCCAAACCTCAGGAACCTCATCCTACGGGGCATCAACATTGCAGAATGGGAATGTGCACCTACCGATCAGGACTACCTCAATACCGCTATGTCTCGCCACCTGGCCACGAAGCTGGTGAGCCTGGAACTATGCCTCGAGGGTCAATTGGAAATGCAAGACGACTTTGGCCCCTCGGCCACCCTGCACAGCCTCGCCACCTTCCAATCGCTGGAAAGGCTAAAGGTGGATATTCACATGCTGGTAGGCTCGGAGGGATCTGAAGACGGTCAACCTCGAAGAGAAGTTACCAACCTCGCTCGTTGCTCTAGAAATATCAGTCATCTTGACTGACAAGTCAACCCCCAGTCCCAGCACTGCTGTGCTGTTGCTAACATTCATGGCACAGGACCGAGATGTGGTGGGATGTGGATGACTTCTATGAAGAGGAGGACAATTTGTCCCTGTATAATGGTCATTTGATCACTATGTTTTATCGATTCGCCAAGTTTTGCAAGCAACGATGCCCGCGTCTAGAGTCGATCTCGTGGTGTCCGAACGCGTGGTTTGGGGAAGCGCCTCTTGCCGCATCACCAGTATTTACCACGATCATGGGACTGTTCCAAGATGTCGTAGTAAAGCTGGAGGTGAATGAGTAGCGTCACTACACACCTTTCATCTGCACCACCAGCTCGGGCAGGCGTGTCAATTAAGGGAAACCATGTGCTATTGAGGGGTAAATACCCACGCTGCGTAGTGCTCCATGATGTCGAGTACAGTTCTACGGCGGGACAGAGCGAGCGAGTTGTACTTGTGCCGTCTGAGCAGGGCTGGCATTTGAGGAGGAGCTAGATGTTGTGGGTGGCGTGTCGGCCGCGAAAGTCACGGCCGTGATTCGTCTGCTGGCAATGCTGACTGCGTGCGTCGAAGCGGCCCCTCCTGGCGTTGAGACCTTGCACTCGCGTCTCGGATGGACCTGACTGGAGATGTTCAGGGTGCCTGCGCCTGACCTTGGGGCTTGTCTGGTGCAAGATATGCGGTGCTGTGACATCATCACCCTGATCTGGTACATCGAAAATGTCAAGCCTTTCATGTTTGTAAGTCTCTTTTCCTTCATGAGTTGAGAAGAGTCAATGGAATGCTTTGTACGCTTTGTCGCTTTGTCACGAGATGAGGCTTTGCAGTCTTCCAAGAGCCAGCTTGGTAACAAGGACTTGCTCTGTGGTCTACTAGTGAGAACAATGTGCATCATAACAAAGGTGTTGTTGATGTTAGGCCGAAAGACGATATCTTTAGCATCTCCTAAGGGTATATAAGATACGGTGCAGGATGACTGCGAAGAGACCATTCTCAGTCTCACAAGCAACTCGTACCACAACAGAACTCAAAGCCGACATCCATTCAACAGCATCCCGTACCCCCAACACAACTCAAAGCCGCTATCTATTCAACGCGAAGATGGCAATGATACCTCCCCCATCTGGGCCACCTCTCACTTAAGCCGAGGCCCTCGCGAATGCAGCAAGCAGTCAGCCCCGTCTTAGGCTAGCAAGTCATGGGCTTGGAGAGCTCAGGGCCTGGGTCCGTCTTGGCTCGCCGTATCGTTCTGCGGGGGCGGCAGCAATAGTCGCCCTGGTACAGGAACTGCCGGGAGAATCACCAGGTATGGTTGACCTATGGCATATCTTAGAAACTGTTGTTGGCATTTTCTTCGACGCCCATCTGACGACCTGGAACGGGTGCAGGGTGGAGTTGAACGTAGAGATGTATATGGACCGCAGACAGGTCCGCGATTGTGGTGCTTACGGCGTCACCTTTTTCAAGACGCAAAACCCGCCTACCTGCTTTATCACGCTATTTGGCAACATGGGGGAAGACCTTCGAAAGTGGCGCGTCACACCATCGTTGTATATCGTCGAGACTCTCTTACATCAGATGGTGCACGCCTTCATCGAACTTTACTGGAACAGAGATCAGGCTGATCGAGCAGCTGGCCTGATCGACGACGGTGGGCATGGTCCTATCTTCGAGGAAATCTTAACCTACATCGCGGAACGTATGGAGGTCTTCGACCCGGTACTTGCGAACCTCCGGGCCCCTCCTCCCCCGCCGTTCCCATCCCCGGAAGACGGATCCACCCAGGGGGTCATGTTCAATCCAACGGGAGCGTTGAGGGTTGAAATCAAGCGGGCTCAGGCCGAAATAGAGCATCGGATAGATCAGGTGGAGGCTAGTAATACCTCGATGTTCGATGGACTCGAGGCGGATATGCAGGCCAACGTCAAACGACTTGATGCCCTGGAGACGCAGATCAAAGATCGGGCGGAGGCCCATGCTACTAACGAAAGGTTCAGAACCCTCGAGGGATGAATGTATGCTCTCAGTGACAGGCTCGATACACTCGAAGCACAAGTGAATACGCCGGCCTAGGCCACTACTAATCGGCTCGACGGGCTCCAAGCACATGTGGATGCGCAGTACCAGGCTACCGTTGACAGGCTCGACGCGCTCGGAACACAAGTAAATGCGCCGAATCAGGCTATTATTGATAGGCTGGAAGCACTCGAGCAGGCGCAGGTAAAGGGGCCGGATCAGGCGACCGCCGACAGGCTCGAACCCATTGACAACAGAACGAGGGAAATACAACAGGCCCAAGAGGCTCTCGACCGCCGACAGCAAGGTTGGCTCTTTGTCTTGGGGATCCATGGCAAGCCTGGCAATATCTGTTTTCGCGGTCGTTTGACGACTTGCGGAGTTTTGATAGGTAGGTCGGTACTTTTAGGAGTTAGGTGAGTTGTTTTTTGTTTTTTGTTTCCCTGTTTATACAAGGTATCCATGGCGTAGATGAATATAGAGAACTAGTCATCATTGTCTTTGAATGTTGAGCCCCTTGACCCGGCGCTGTCTGATGAAGGATTGACTTGAATGTGAAAGCACGATCTTGGGATTATTCGTAATACAACCGCTATGTTGTGGTGATGGCTTCGTCCTTAGCAAGCCAAGAGCAGAGAAGAGAGCAGCCATTGTTGGGCTCAAGGTCCAGATGTTCATCTCTCCATGTGTAGGGCAGCCTTGCCAGACGACCGATCATTGAATATAGGCCGTTTCACACAATACAAGAGCGTCGAATTGCGCATCCTATTTGGCCATCAAATGATCATTGGAGGGTGGTTGTCTCGGAACGTTGATACTGGGAAGTCGTACGAGGTAAATAAACTGAAGGATTAACATTGACATGTCTCCGATATCAAGTTGAGCCTCAGGCAGGGGTATGTGGCTAAGGAGAACCATCACGTGATGCTGTCCTTTTCCCGGGGATCTGGAGAACCTTCAATCTCAGTCCTTTGACCAAAGTACAGTCTACAAGCGCGTGTCGACTGGAAACGGCGATGCAACATGCAGTATATCTGCTAACAATTGCGCAGAAACTTTAACGACGCAATTAGATGAGGATTGGAAATTGACACGTTGGTCATCAGGATAATCTGAGTGATGTGTTGGTGTTTCCGAGCCAAGCTGTCATTGTTGCAAGATAAAGTACCGACGTACATGTTTGTATTTACAGTGGGCAATAGGGCTTTATAGCGGCTCTAGCGGGCGAGATACAGCTGGAGTGCACTGTGGGGCAGTTGTCGCGCAACTTTGGCCAGTGGGCTGCCAGTCGGGTCGGCTTTGGACTGGGGATTTGTACATGCCTCACGTACCCACCCAAAACCTCACTCGACCTCAACCCATCGCCAGCGCCAGCATCGCCGTCGACTCAACCCATCGCGGCCGCACCATTCTTATCGAGCTGCCCTCCGCACTTCATCAGCCATCTATTTCGATGTCGTCCGCCCTGCCTGTGTCATTTTGAGGGCGCCCAACGCCCTTTCCCCCACGAGACGCGACCGTCTAAACACCGCATGGCGGCCGACGCCCGCCCAGCCCTCTAGCACGCCGACGCGGCCAGCATGTCCATCATGAACGGCCATCAAGCCTGGCCTCCTTCGCAGCAGCACCAGCTCAATGGGAACCGCTCGTTCCACTACTCCGACGATGCCCCTGCGCCATCGACCGACTCCCTTGATAACCCCCCGGCATCCCTTCCCGAGCCCCCAGATGCCGACGATGACCGCCAACGATCCCGCTTCGACGAACTGTTTCGCCGGAGCGACGCGCGTCTTGCGCATTTGTTCACCGTCGACGGCTCATATAATCGGGATGCCATAGACTCGTTGCGGCGGCCTGCGAACCTCTCCGCACGCTTACCACCGACCACCGACCACGCCCCTATCGAGGAACGCCCTGCCAAGAGAGTCAAGAGAGTTATCGATGAAGACGACTATGGCGACGAGGACGACGAGGAAGATGACGAAACAGAAGAACAGCGTCCCAACGCGGGCGTTGCCGTCTCCCCCCTAAAACACAAGACGTCTTCTGCGTCGAAGGGCCTCTTGTCACCCTCCAAGTCCGGAAGCTCCCCGGTCCCGTCCGTTAATTCGCCCGACAAGCTGCTCGACAAGGCGCGAGAAGATGGTTCGCAAGACTCGCAAGCGTCGCGTGCGCAAGCCAACAACTCCGAAGACGCGCGAAAGCAGCTTGAGGAAGCTCGGAAAGACACCGAGGAAGCCGCCAAGCGCAGCTTCCATACCATCATCTACACCCTTGAGAATGACCATGCCGCAATGCTGGAGCAGCAACAGCTGGAGGAGTCGGAGAAGGTGCTAGAAGCCGAAATCGACAATACGAATACGACCAGCACGAGTGGTGGCCCTGCCGGCGAAAATCATGGATCGCTTAGCAGCGCGAACCTGGGCGCGTCCAGCTTGACCCTCAAGCACCTCATCGCGCGCATCGATATGAAACGAGATATGGTGCGCGCATCGGATGCCGAATTGCGCTCGCTGATGAACGAAGTGCGCAAGAACCGAAGCAAGTGGGCCAGTGAGGAGAATGTCAACCAGGAAGACCTCTACGAAGCGCTGGATAAGGTCTTGACAGAACTGAAAGCGCACACCGAATACTCAACGCCGTTCCTTCAGAGGGTGAACAAGAGGGACGCCCCTGACTACTATAATTGTGAGTGAATGCATGGTGCGCGTGGGTACAACATCAACTGACTAACAGCCCGTAAAGTCATTAAGCAACCGATGGATCTTGGCAGCATGACCAAGAAGCTGAAGTCGCTGACCTACAAATCCAAGGCGGATTTCGTCGCGGACCTTAATTTGATCTGGGATAACTGTCTGAGATACAACCAGGATATGAGCCACCCTCTGAGGCGGATGGCCAACGGCATGCGCAAGGAGGCCGAAAAGCTCATCCCTCTGATCCCAGATCTTGTCATCCGACCACGTGCTGAGGTCGAAGCCGAAGAGCGGAGGAAGCAGAACGGCGGCGATGACGATGGCGGTGATGATTCGGACGACGAGCCGATCATGTCGTCTCGCGGCCGCATCGCCGGCGGGGCGAAAGGAACCAAGTCGAGGAAAGCGCCTACGGACCAGAAAGAGGGCACGCCCACTTTGGAGCAGAAACCAGCTTTTCAGCTGAACGGCCTGCTGGCAAAGGCTCATCGGGAGGGCTCTGAGCTCGACGCAAGCAATGGGTTCGCAACACCGGCAGTTGGTGGCTCGATGACTCCCGGTGGCGTCAACGGACATTCAGGCATGGCAAGCAACGGCGACGCCATGGACATTGATGGCCCATCTTTGAACGGCTTGGCACTGGGTCAGGCTCTGAACGAAGCTGCCCAGCAGGCATACGAGGACGATGAGTACAAAATCTGGAAACAGGTCACCAAGAAAGACCGTGCGTTAGTCGCCAAGGAGCGGTTCCAGCTCTTCAGTGGCAACAAGCTGAACGTCGACGAGCCTGCCTTGCTCCGAACCAAGGCGGGCATGCGCCGATTTCTGCGCGGCCAACAGCAGGCAGAAGCCATCGGCGCTACGGGTCACGCACAAGACGAGACGTCAGCCGCTGCTGCCAAGGAAGCTGCGAAGGCGACCGAGACTTTGGCAGAGGGCATGGAAGTGGACGAAGAGAAGGTGATCCCGGACTACTACGAACCTCAGAGCCTAGTCCCGGATATTTCACCGAAGCTTCAGTGGGTCGAGGACAGCGAAGGTCAAGTCATCAACCATCATGAAGAGTTCCTTCGCACCTTGCCTTCGGGCATTTTTGCTGCTCCCGAGGGCCATCTCTCCCGAAGATTCGACGCCAACCTCAGGCAGATGCAGGAGACGCGAAAGGTTGTATCGAAGATAGGGGTTATCAAACAGATGCAGCTCCAAACACAGGTAATGCTGGCCGGAGCTTCCACTAAACCACTTCTTGTACTGATTCTATTAGGTCTACGCCAACCAATTCCCCAAGTACAACCCTGACCCCTTCCACGAAGTCGAGGTCGAGCCGCACGTTACTTGCGGTGATAACATTGTCATGGCACCGAAACTCTGCAGGGCGGCGATGCAACGAACGGTTGCTAAAATCTTCTACCATGCTGGTTTCGAGGAGTTCCAGCCATCTGCGCTAGATACTATCACTGACATCGCTTCCGACTACTTTGGCAAGTTCGTGCAGACATTCAGCGCCTATACCGAGATAGAGAAGAAAGACGCCTCTGCACTCAATCAACAGAAGGGAGCTACAGTCGAGCCCCGCTACAGCAAAGAGGAAGCCATTCTCCACACCCTCAACGAGAACGGGTACACGATCGAGTCACTGGAGAGCTACGCCAAGGACGAGGTTGATCGGCTCGGCAACAGGCTTGGCGGCATACACGAGCGCATGAAGTCCCATCTCGGTGATCTTCTGCGCCCTGCCATCAACGAGGCTGGACCAGACGGCTCAGCCGCAGCCTTCAATGATGGTAGCGAACAATTCGTTGGGGGAGACTTTGCCGAAGAACTGGGCGAAGACTTCTTTGGCTTCAAGGAGCTGGGACTTGCTGGAGAGATGGGCGGCATGCTATCGGTTCCCCTGCATCTCCTCCAGTCGAGGGTCCGCAGTCAGTTTCAAGCTCAGAATCCTAGTGTTGAAGGGCCAACCGACGTGGTGCTATTCGACGACCTCCCGGCTCCGGAGCCTGTTACCAAAGAGAACATCCAAGGACAGATTGGTCTCGTCAAAAACTTCTTCCTCGCGAAACTGCACGCTAATGGCGACTCACCGTTGGTGGAAGATAAAGATCTGCCTGTGAAGCAGCGACGACCTCAACCACGACTTGGCGCTACAGGCAAGATCGTGTCTCCGCAGAAACGGCCACCCAAGGAACAAAATGCGATCAACAAGCGGAAAAAGAAACTAGAGGCCCAGGCAGCCGAGGCCAAGAAAGCCAACAACGATGCTGACAAGACTGGACCGAAGAAGACGAAGAACCCATCGGGGCCAAATGGATCCGGACCGACGAATGTGCCGTCACTGGCAGTGCCTCCACATACCATGGAACGGATCGAAAGCATACAAAGCCAGGGTGGCAATAGTCAGACAGACAAAGACGATATCGGGATGATGAGCCCGGAGAGTATTGAACGCTAGCAGTGGACTGCTCACCGCTAGTCTGCCCCTCGTCGACATGCCATTGAGCTAGGTTGAATGGCCATTCTGCATTTCAATTCTTATCTTATACCCAACCGGTGGGACATTGATTGAGTTAGAAGGGCGTATGTTGTAAGGCGTACGAGGGGGCGTTTTGGTGCTATGGCGACTATCCACGACGAGTCGGCCCCTATGACACAGCCACTACGCCACGGCGCTTATGACACAGGCCTTGGCGTCAGAGATCTTGGGTTCTCTTTTCCTACCCATGATTTTGGGGGAAGCTTTGCATATACCAGACGAAATGCACGGAGACTCGGCCGAAGGACCGTGCAATGGCGCGGCGGAACGATCTGAGAGGTGCACCAGCCTCTTTTCCTTGTACATAGACCTCCTACCGACAACCCATAACCCATATCCCATATCCCATATCCCAGATCTAGGCCCATTGGTCCCGCCCGCCGAACATAGGATACGAATAGTTGTACCATGAAATTATATCCCGTCTGCTACTTTGCCCTGCTTGGGGCCCTGTGACTCACCTGGTGTTGGGGCGATTGGTGGTGTTTGCTGTTGATATGCCTCTGCGTCACTGTACTACGCTTAGGTATGTATCGATGAATCACCCTCAGACCATCTGTGACGAAGAGCATGGTACCGGTTACTCGAGCGTGATGATAGTTATTCCCAGCTTGACTGGATGACCTTATTTGCATCATTCTTCATTCCTCCTGGCATCGTATCCAGAGACCGCTCAGTGGTACTTACCAAGAACTGTTCACGACTCACGCCTACATGACTGCGTGAACTCTGAGATCATATGGCATACAAAGTCAATATGATTCCGCATACTGCAGTTAAAGTAAGTACACAAACTCGTCGTTCTCACCATCAGTCATATCCGAGAAGGCATTGTCGCCAATACGTCGGGGCGCGTGTGCCGCCTCAGCCTGCGCGATGTCACTCGCGGACCCCTCAACGATGCCCTCGGATGGGTCCGCGCCCGGCGAGATATCACGGTACTCGTCCTCCATACTCGTGTCCATGATCTTGGCCGGCTTGCCATTTCGGACGCGTCTGCGCTCCTGGAGTCTATTCAGGAACGCGAGGTTCACGGCCTGAAGCACAGCGCACGCTGCCAGAGCGACGAAGATACCCAGCATGGCGCGCAGGCCGGGGATGTACTCGGGGGCGTCTCGGGAGTTGAAGACGAGGGGCCCGATTATGTTGCCGGTCGACGAGGCGGCGTTGTAGACGGACATGGCGACGGATTTCTTGGTCGTGCCTGCCGTGTTGGCTACGATCCACGCCACAATGATGGGGACGCCGCCGAACAGGAACGCGAGGAGGTAGTAGCCCGCGAGCAGGGCGCCCTGATTTTGCGAGCCGTTGCCGCGCGGGACGACGTAGAGGACGACGAGCCCCGCGATGACGGGCAGCGTCAGGACGAAGAGGATGGCGGACTTGATGCGGAAGTGCTGCGCGAACCAGGAGGCGAAGAGGATGATGACGAACTGCACGAAGCCGAAGGGGATGTTGAGGAGCGACGTGGTGTACTTGTCGAACCCCAAGCCGTTTAGGATCAGGGGGCCGAAGGTGTTGGTGACCGAGGCGCCGGCATTTAGGAATAAGGATAGGGCTATCCAGAGGTACGTCTTGGGCTCGAGGCACAGTTCGAGGACTTGGCGCCATTTGAAGTCGCGGCTGCCTGTGCCGGTCTGGTTGGCGCGCAGTCGCTCGATTGCTTTTGGTTTGTCTTCCTCTGAGAGGAAGCGGGCGGAGGGATGTCGTCGTCTAGCTTCCAGTACACGAAGGGGACTGTGGCAATAGTTACGAGGCCTACGAAGAGGAAGATGCTGCCAGAGCATTAGTGGAGAGTGTTCGACATGCTCAAGGGTTTATTGAACCTACATTTGCCAGGATTCTAGTCGATCAGAGGGAATATGGCCAAGCCCGTACGAAAGGGCAGAGGCGACGATGGTGGCCAGGCCATTGGTACTATACCACGCAGCAACGCGAAGCGGCTGTTCAGCCCTCCTGAACCACTGCGACGTGATCAACGAGAATAGGGGAAGACATCCCGCCTCGAACAGGCCCAGGAAGAACCGCGCAGCAAGGAGGTCGCCGTAGTTCCGGCAGGCGGCCATGGCGGTCTGCGCGATGCCCCAGCCTAGACACAAGGTCGGCATCAGGATGCGATGCGACACCTTGACGATGAGATAGGACGAGAAGGGCTGCCATGCTAGCTGTGCGATGGGTGCTATGGATCCGACGAAGGAGTACTGGCTGCCGCTGAGATGGGTCGACTTGGACAGCCCGAAGGTGGCGGCGTAGCCCAGGGCGGTCTTGTCTAAGATTTGGAGGAAGTATACCCAGACTGCGAGTGTGTCAGTATGTGGTTTATCAACACCTGATAGCTCTGCTACCAGAAAAGAATGAGATTGCAGGACGAGGCCCTCTTGGGTAGAATAGGGTCGTATTCTTGCACCTGAGGCTCTGGAACGTACCAAGGATGGTCATGATGACCTTGTCCGTCTTACGCCTGATTCGTCTGTTCTGGAATCGTTGGATGCAGTTAGTTGTCCGTGAACCTCACGTTGGTACCAGATATGCATTGTTGGACCAACATCTTCTTCAGTCAAGCTGATTCGCCCATGGCCGATGATCCTCAACGCTCGGTCGCCATGCATGTGTGTCGTCCCGGTCGCATTACTACTACCAACGGTTGTCTTCGCAACATCTTCGAACGTGGCATCTACTCGAGCCTTGGTTCCATCCATCGTAATGACCAGTTTTAGGCACTGCACTTAAGTAAAGGGAGAAACCTGATACTGATGTATGCCCTGATGATGTGGGAGTATGTCTGACCCCAACCCCCTGCCCCCGCACGCGGACAGCACCATGGAGATAACGTCGCACCCGAGAGGAGACCGAAGTCAGTATTCGAGATGTAGATCCCCTGATGATTGAGTAACCGATCCGGCAAGCTACATGTATCCAGAGCTATTCGGCAATTCACTTTCGGTTCAATCACCCCTCACAAGTCTCCGTTCGCGCACCTCGATTCCCCCCTTAAGATGGTAAATCATTGGTGGAATAAGCGTACTGGTATAATCATATAAATCCCGAACCCCATTCTTCATCCTTATTCCAAAGTGCTTATGCCGTAACTGAAGGATACCCCTATTCATTATGGCATTGCCTGTAAATATGGGTGTACGGAGACTCTGAGGCTTCAGTGTAGCGGCATGACATATTATGGTCAAGCGCGACCGCCATCACCTTTTCATGCCTCGCCCTGTCGGTCTGTGTCTCGACCGGGCGTATAAAAGTCGGGTCTAAACCTACTTGCTTCATGCACTACGAGGCGCTCTTGTCAACCATCCAATGCCCTTCTCGTGGGACCGGGTCTCATGTAGCGGCACAGGCGTTTCGCGCTGAGCTCTTCTTCTGAGGGCAAAAACCCGGAATTGAGACCGGTGCGCAGAACGTTGCCGCTCGAGAGGGGGTATGGCGCCAATTGAGGTGATTAGGTTCCCAGGTGACTATGGTATGCTGAACCCTGGTGAGTATCGTCCATGGGTTTCAAGGCTTATGTTGGTAGTAACTATTTGTTGTTGCGGTTACGAAGGCCCCTGAGATCCCGAAGAATCTATCGAGCTCCCAACCGCCAGGCTCGGATGTATAGAGCCCGCAAACTGTGTGGTACTGATATACCTTGAAACTGAACACTCCAACTCATCCAATGGGAGCCGGTGTTGTCATGAAAACCCATCATCTAGTAACGTCATAATCCAACAAGTTGCTGACCTAACACTCGAATGAGAACACCAAGACACCGTCCGTCCTTGCGCGAAAACACTACTTGGGTACGTCATAGAAAACCATGCACTCTCTTTCTCCCTGGATAAGTGAAAGACCAACGTTATGCGAGAGTGCTGGAGAAGCACTATCGCCTCTACTACACTCAGCCTTTGTAAGTCTCCGTACGCGCCATGTAAATAAGACTCCAGACCACCCGTGTAAATTTCGAAATACTAGAATAAGCAGACAGGAATAAGCAGTTCTGGTTTGTTACGCCACCCCTAATGTTTATTCCATAGTGCTTATTCCAATTGGATAAATTTACCGTGTGCTGGACGGGTGGTGTACGGAGGCTTATGAGGGCTCAGTGTGGCCGCCGTACATGGTTGGACTTATAAAGCTGATTGCTCCACAAGCTCGTAGCCTTCTGGAATGTTGTTATACCTTGGGGAGCTCGGAATCGCCTGTTCGCCTAACTCAACCGCAGCCCAGTCTCTAGAACTCTCATCTTGGCGCTGGAGTAGTTGTGGACCAGGTCGCGGAGCTATGGCCGAGGAATCCCCAGAACCGTTGTTGTTATCAAGCATAGAACGTAACTCGTCGCCGTCTCCAGGAAACCAAAAGGCAAGAAGATCACCGAGGTTAACGATCCAGTTTCGCTCTTTTGCGAGAGCCACGAGTGGCAGTGTGGTCGGAATATGCGTTACCTGGGGTACAAGGCGTCGGCCCTTGCGAGCATATGATGACCGGGCCAAGTTTGTATCTACTTGAACGATGGTAGAGTTGGTTCTACCTTGCCGGTACGTGGGGCCAAATTCGAGTTGGAATGTTGATCTTGCGCCATGTCTGAGGCACAGGTAGATGAGCCGCAAAGGCGCTACCGATTTTGCTTCAGTCCCACCGTATACAAGACTGTAGGGGGAGAAGAGGAAGAAGTGCATGAAGCACTCAAACATGGAGAATCCTTCCCAGGTTTGAGAGATGCAGTTGGGAGTGACTCCACACTCGAAGGCCAACTTGCACGTGAAGTATAACCGATCATAGTCCAGGAGGGTCCTGTGCAAGTCTTCATAGCTGAGTGGTTCGATATAGCCAAGTGCCCCCAGAAGCAATGTCACAAGATCAACTGAGTGATAGCTTGCCTCACTGGCAGGTCTTGCTAAAGACAGCAGATATTCCGGATCCTTCACTGCTAGATACTCATGCAGTAAGCTTCCAATAGCAAATGTCTCTATGACTTGCCCCGGCTGAGTGGCTTCACGGCGCAAGTATTGATAGGAATAGTCGGATACCGGATGTTTTGCCCAGATGATGGTATATTTCGCTGTGAGCTTGAGCTTGCTCAGCGCAGCAGCAGCAGCTACGTCGAGTTTGTTGAGAAAATCTATAAACCAACGCTGCACTGGCAGTTTTGATCGCGCAGCGGAGTCCATGATGCTACTCAGTTCAGAATTGAATATCGAATCTGGGTCGTCCGGCTCTGTCGTATAATATGCGTCGGGCGCGCCAAACTTGATAGTGGCCAGGAAGGTCTGACATGTTCTCTCGAGGAAGTCGACGTGTCCGACTGTATCGTCGATGATTTTCCTGATGTGGTCTTTTTGCAGAAACTCGTGAACTGTGCTGTGCATATACTTGACTTCTCCATCCTCAGCTGTTTGCCAAGCCCTTGGAGGATAAACTTCCAAAAAGCCTTTGCAGCGTCCGTAAATTTGCCTTCGAGTAATATTGAGATGTCTCGATACGTCTGCAGGCTCCTGTGCAATCGGCATAGCGAGGGCAAAGCTTGGGTTGGCATTGGCTTCGTTCAGAAACCAATATCGAAGCAACGGGAGTCCTTGATCTCGTCTAATGTGGTGAGCCAGTCTCAGCATCTCGAAAGCCTTTGGGCGGTCGGTGCCGCGTATTGAATCAAATAAGTACTGATATAGGCCCTCTAGCTCATTTGGAAACGACGCAACCTTCGCTTGCAGGTCAGATGCATCATCACCGTTAAGTACACCGTCTTCTACAGCTGTCAAGACCAGTCGTACCCAGATAAAGGCTCCCTCAGCCTTGCGGACGATCTCCTTGGCAAGCGACTCGAGTTCATCGTTGCTGACGAGCGTGAGGTATTGACACTGCGCATCTAGCTTGTCGGTGACGAATTGTGTGATGTCTTTCTCGGTGCATTCGTGAATCCGGAGCTTGGGGCATTTCTCAAAGCCAACCATGAATTCGTTCCATTCACGGCTTGATACGCAAATCTTGACATTCTCCGGGTGAAGAGAGCACCAATCAAAGAATTGGCGGACTATGTCGATGTGGCGCCCCTCATACTCATCCAGGCCATCGATGAAGAACGCGAACTTGTGACTTTGGAAAGTAGGATCGCTCCGCATCAAAAGATCAAAGGCTTCCTCCACGTCGCCTCGGTCCAAGCCAACATCAGATAACGCGGGTGAGTCTGTTTCAGACCATCGACGAGGGAATGCAACTGGTAAGAGTTCTGGCGAGCCCGAAAGAACTTGATAGAGGAGAGACCGGATCAACCCACTCAGACTCTTTTGCGCATTGCGACCGAGTCTCCAGAAGAAGGACTTGGCGAAAACAAGCGTCTTTCCGCCGGACCAGGTCTGGAGGTACTGCATGGTCCTCGGATCTCGGCTCAAGAACTTCATGAGCGTCGATTTCCCAGCCCCTGGTTTGCCCGATATGTGGTAGATACCACGACCATGCCGTAGCCAGTCGACGAAGCTTGTATTGGCTTTTTGTCTGAAGATGTCGGTCGGAAGGCTGGATTGACTCGGTAGGCCGCCGCGGCCGTCAAAATCATATGCCTGCGGCTTCTGCGGGAGTTCGAGAATCCATTCGAACGTGTCTGCGTGGGCCTTCGCGACGTCATAAAAGCGATCTTGCATCCCCTTAACCCATAATGCCGCCAATATTGACTTCTGGTGGGGCTTTTCAGAAATCTGTAGAAGACGTTGAAGGCCATCGAGCGCTCCATCACTGATATAAGCCGATTGCAGGGCTTGACGGATAAGAGCAGTGTTTTCTTTTATGCGCGAAATCTCCTCCTTAGTTGACTCCGTTGAAGATACTATACTGTCGAGTTTATGTAGAGTCTCAGATCTGGAAGTCGTGTCAGTACTGGAGTCCATATAGTGTGTACGTTAGAAGTACACTGAACCTCCAAATGCCTCCGTACACCCACCGTTCAGCAAGCCAGGTGTATGTTCATATTAATTGAACAAGCACCCTGGAATGAGCAGCATGAATTCAAAAAACCATCTTTGATGCTTATTACAGAGTGCTTATTCAATTAATATGAACATAACACTCGCATATTCGACTTGATAGAGGGATGCCGAACGGAGACTTATGGGGGATGATTGTACCTGGTTAGACTGGCAAACTCGATGTCGATTTGTTTGCGATAGTTATCAAGGTCTTTCTCAAGCTGTGTCCTCTCGTCCTGCTTCCTCATGTTCCGTATAGCGGTTCTCCATGCGTGTCTCCGGCTGTTGGGCTTTTGATTCTCGAGTTTTGATAGAAGCGCCAGTAGATCATCGGACGATCTCGCACACTCGGTTGCAAGTCTGATTAGACTGCTGTAATCTTCCAGGCATTGCTTTGAGGAAGCGTCCTTGGCTAGCTTCAAGCTCAGGCGTTTCATCTCCTGCGTGACGAGGCCTAGGTCCCGGTTCGATTGACCTATCTCTTTGCCGGTTCCGTAAAACTCCCTTGAGGCTGCTAGGAGCTTGAATCCAATCCCGACGAACTGGAAGATATTGCTGGTCAGCGAGATTGCTGCGAGGGCCTCCATGTTTCCCGATCAATGGCTAATCGTTGGACGGTGGAGGCTTGAGCAATGGCAAAGGCCTCTATCAAGTCGGTTCCATGGCACAGGACAACTACCTGCTGCCATGAAAACCGCCATAAAAACAGAAAGAAACTTTTGAATTGAGCTATCTCGGTCCGCAGAAGCAAGACCATTGATCGTAGCATCACCAGAGGGAGGTGGAGGAGAAGGAAGGCCGCGAAGCCTGACGATAGCAGTGAGATGTGATGGCTGCAGGAGGATTGCACTGCCCGAGGTTGATGCAACATAACACGACAGCGACAGCGAATCATGATATGCTCCATGCAGGTCGGCGTGGAGCTGACCTGCCGTCTGCCGCTTTCCCTCACCCTGTGTTGCATTCAACCACCTATCATCAGCTGATAAGGTCTGGCTGCCAGGCTGCCTCCGACCAGCAATACAGGGCAGACGTTTTCGACAAGGGTCAAGGAGAATCCCCAGCTTACATATGACGTTCGGCCTCGAGTCTGCCACACCGATCGCACTGGTATGGCCTTGTGCACTTGTGTACCTTGTGTGCCTTGTGTGCCTATCAACCTCATTCAGGCAACGTCGTTGAAGCTGTGCAGGGTCTTGAGTCACCGACCACATGCACCGCCCTGCGGATCTGCACAACTGCAAGTATACGGGTAATACCTCACCATAGTTCCTTGGTGTCAAACTGTAGCATGAATCTGGCCCTGCTGGTGCCTACCTACTGATATGCCTCGGGTTCACACATATGCAAGGTGCCATGTTCGTCCAGCAACACCCACGCATCGGAGCATCCGAAGCCCTATCCATAAGGTCTGAACTCCTACCTCGGAATCAAAGATAGTCGCTGACAAGGCCCTGAAAGGTATGAAAATTTGGTTCTCTCTTGTCGCTCTCATACGGGCCTTGCGCATGGGTTTTGTTGTCCCGTTGCCTGCTGCGGTGTGGTGGCAAACTTGGGTATTCGGAGAATACTAAGATGGAAGAAACGGAAGCCAACAGAGAGCGTTGTGCGTGCACGACACGATACGGTCCTTATCTCATTATCGAATATAATCTAATCTACACGTGACTGCATGGCTAGCAACCAGCTGGGACCAACTGTGGACCATCACAGCCGGCACGACGGTCAGTTTGGCACAATCTCACGGCTCTCACGTTTGCTCGCATGCAGGCGGCAGAACACTCAGCCATGACTACTTGAGGTCCATGCCTCACTGCTAGACTGCACCTTCGCTACAAACTTATACCTTGACATCTCCGCGTACTGTTGCGCAATGACCTGATTTGTCTCTTCGAGGTCGAACACCTGGACCAGCGGCCGAACGCCATTCGCCGCAGCGAACTCGAGCATCTCACCAATCTCCTCGAACGTTCCCCAGAAACCAGCCTCAATCTTGAGCATCGCACAGTACGATGAGAATGTGTTGATATCTGGAAGGTCATCCAAAGATGCGCCAACTGTTATGAAGGATCCATTGACCTTGAGCAGTCCCAGAAGGTCCTTCATCGGCATATGCCTGAGTCGATGGTTTGAGATGATCAAGTCCAGTGATCCCACGTGTTTGGCCGCCCAGTCTTCGTCATCGGATATGGCGATGAAAGAGTCGGCGCCGAGCTTGGTCAGACAGTCGTTCTTCTTTGAGCTGCTCCTGCTGATGGCCATCACGCTGTCGCATCCGAGGGCTTTCGCCCAGATGAGGGCAAAGCGACCGATACCACCCATTCCGAGGACGCCAACACTCTTGCCTGTGCCGCGCCGTGTCTTCAGCGGAGACCATGCTGTGATACCGGAGCATAACATCGGAGCGGCATCTGTACCAATGTGAGCATATTTCAACAAAGCACAGAGTCTGCCACGGACACTCAGCTGGGATTCCATCGGGTATCTTGATCACGACATTCGAGTTCGCACGATGGATCTTCGCAAGGCCCCCATGATGCGTGCTCTTGCCATCGAGCCAGGTCCCGTTGTGAGTCGGGGAAAACTTGGGGCAGCGCATCGCGACGCCCCTGCCACACACGACACAGTTTGGCTCCAGACAGGCATACCTCTGAGGGCCAGCACCCACGAGGTCCACCGGCTTAACAGCGGTCACTTTCCTTCCGACGCGGGCGACAGCTCATACGATCTCGTGACCCGGACAGAAAGGACATTACGTCATGCCCTGGTGGATGTCAGCCGCGCTGTCATCGTGGTGTTTTCACTCACCCATGTGTCGACAATGGCGTGGGTATCCGTCCCACCGGATACCGCAGTGTGAGACTTCGATGTCGACATCTGTGTCTTCGAAACGCCGAAGCGTGATGTCTTGCCATTGCATAGTGTCATGGCTGGCATTCTTGCTCAATGCCACCCAGCCCTGAGTGGCGGTAGGGCCCTCCATAGCCATGTTCAGCTGGTACGAATGATAGATGTTAGTGATCAGGGGCGTTGCAGTTCGAGTCCGTACGGCTGGCACAACCCGTCCAGGTCAAATTCTGAGGGAGGGTAATCAGCACAGAGAAATAGTTGGAAGATGATGGCTCTAGTCTGATCGCGTCTTGCTTCTTTGGAGTGAGGCAAGCCGCAAGTCTTAGCTTCATTCTACCATGTGGGAGGTGATTGCTTCATATCGACGTGCATACCACTGCCGGAGTATTTATCCAACTGTGCAATGATCGATTGGGCCTGTTTGACCATGTCTTCTGATAGGTGCTTGGTCGGTGTTTCGAGCTCTTTCAGCACCTTGTGAATGTGGACTCGTGTTTCGCCGAAGCCCTTGATTTTCTCCCCTTCTCACCAACACGGACTTGATTCGTATCCTGTGACTCACTCACTTCGTTGCGATCGTTGAACAAGATTCGATGTGAGTGGTTAAGCCCTTGAGATTGCAATGGAATACGTTGTTCTTCGAGACGTGAAGAATGAACGCATTGGGTACATTCTCGACCTGCTCCATGACTGTTGAAGTGACACCTTCAGCGCCTGGTTGAGCGAAGAGAACAGCAAATGAATCGAGGAGGTTCTTGCCCAACCAAATTCTCAGTTGTTTATCTGGGGACGATGCTAGCCGGCCAATGTTCAGAGGTGCGACGGAATTGGGCCTGGTTCAAGTTTCAGTGGAAGTTGTGCATCGTTCTGCTGTGCTTGACGATGGGGCAGGACGAAAGCGCTGGCGTAGAACTTTTCAAGGTCAAGACTACACGCATCGAAGATGTTCCCTTCAGGGTGTCAATGACCACACGTACAGCTTTTCTTGTGTGGCATCTTGCAAGTGATGGATGCTCGTGCTTCCTATCTGGTTTTGGAACACAGAGCCAAGCTACTATTAGAAGCCTTACTTAATACTCAAGTAGATCCATACCAGCCCCTTCGCCAAAACTGGGTTTTGGCTCTCTGAGGGAAAGTAATGGGACACCCTTCGATTCTGCGTAGTCTCACTAGCCTTGCCTGCATGCAAGTACTGAACGGTGTATTGAACTGGTCAACCCGCCAATTGCCCTGCACGATGCATCCAGACGGGGAAGGACAGGTGACAGCATAGCTTGAGACACGGCCATGTCTCTGACTGGGTAGATAGTTGGTGTTTGACGACAGGTGGATGTATCGTGGCAGAATTTGTTTCGCAGGTCTTTGCCCATGTCTACCCAAAGCGCAGACCGTGCAGGCGAGGCTTTGTCCACACGTTTCGTCAAAAATGATTTATGACGACTGCTAAATATTTCGGAGTTTTGGAGTAATAATGAACTCTGCGATCCATCCCCAGGAGGCACTTCCCAGCCCACCACAGTCTGCGAATAATAATGTTGCAGCCCATCTTTAAACGCCACAACCACAACAAAAGCGAGTGTGATACTGAACTTCAACCAAACCAAAGGCGAGTGCTTCCACCTATTCTCGTGATGTGGGCAGGTTTGGGTAAGACTAGGGCGCTCCTTGCCTTTGCCGGGGATCCTACCCTCCAGCCTGAGGCGAGAAGGATAGCCGAGTGGGGTGGTGTATATTAAGGCCATCGTGCTTGCCTGTAAAAGATGTCATGTAGCCCTCCAGCAGCGGCTGCCTCTCAAGATCCGACTCTGTGCAGCAAGCTGGTGACGACAGCACCCTCCGGTTTGCCATCGGACCCAGAAGCATAACCACCATCCATCCGCTTTACCATCGGACCCAGAAGCACGCCAACCAGCCACCACGGCACGTTGCGTAACGGCTCTGGTATCCTCATCGGTGCCTGCGCTGCCTGGGCCACATGCCTTGTCAACGAGGCTGGTAACCGCCAGAGGCCGCTGTAGAGCAGGCGTAGACGGTCCCATGAGGACTGCGGCTGCCCAGTGGTATGGCTCGATTCCGTTGCATGGCTCAGCTGTGCGGTGGTCGAGGAGTTTCTCATGTCTTGGGGGTGCTCTGTGCCCACAGGATCGAAGGACTGTGGTGGACGATGATAGTCAAAGGTATGTGTTGGTCCATGTCCGTCAACATCTCGCGGCAGGAGAGCCTCTCCTCCTGGAACTCAGGCGGATGAGCAGCACATTGTTTATAAAAAACCTCTTACATTTTAATTCGTAATTTACTGCTTGATTAATTTAATGTTAACGAACTTTATATATTTTATATTAAAGGCTTGAAATAAAAGCTTATTGACATGTATGGCTTATTTTAAATAAATCTCTTATTCTTACTGTTGGAACAGGCTTGAACGATCAATCATAATACTCGAGTATGGGGTCAAGGTCATGATGTTGCTGATGGTTGGATTGAGAGGAATCTAGCTGGACTCGAAGGTCTGGCCAAGTGCCCTCTCAATCCACTATCTTATCTTATCTAATCATACATGTGGGTCCTGGTATAGATGGTTTGCAGTCTGGAATCGCATGGATCCAACACTTACATAGTATTAGACGCAGCCGCTACGGCAATCTTTAAAGCCTCGAGCTATACTTTAAGTTTGTTACTTTTATTTTATTTTCTCGTTATCGTTATCTTTATTTAAATCGGTATAAAAAAGCCATAAAAGCTATATAAGTAATAGAGTATTATTGAATTATTAATAAATCGTGTAAATCGTCAAATAATACGCTAGTTTTTTTTTAATAATACATCCTCTTCGTTATTATTATTCTCGCTATTATTTTAACACTAAGTAAATACTTATTTAAAGCCTTCTAACAATAGTTTAAAAATATTTAAAAATACAGTATTATTGATATATACTATACGGCTTTTTAAAGTAATTAATATATTTTACATAAAGTTTAATATTACTTTATTTTATCTAAGCTTTTTTAATCTTTTTATTAAATAGTAGATGAGAGTATTATCCGTGAAACGGTAAGTGTAGTACGAGCGTTACAGCGTTGTTGTTTTCAGGAAAAGGTCTATGAACTGTTTGTTAAAGGTAGAATACACTTAGATGCCCTGTGGGTCCCTGTATAACCCAACAGCGTGGCTGATCCCCACATACCGCTTATATATACAGATAGATACTGCTCACAGTAGATATAGGCTAAATAGTTATACGATTTAAATAGTTTTAAAAACATACCTTTAAAGGTTTGTATAAGGGTACTTACTTATAAATCTTACTATACCTAGCTATTTTTAAAATCTTTTAACATATTGTCGGTTTCTAAAGCTTAACTATCACTTAATTTAAAATTAAAACATTTAACACTTCTTTATTAATTACTTATAATCCGTATCATATCACTTAATACCGTATTTAATACTTATTTTTTTAAAAACCTTTTAATAATTAATAATATCGAGTTTTACTTAACGCCTTTCTTTCATAACAATAATAAGATATAAAGGGCGGTAATGATATTTTTAATTCTAAGGAAAACGATACTTTTAATATCTTATAATATATCATAAATATTAAATAACTTAAAACCCTTTTTAATTTTTTACGAACTATTAACAACGTATTTTAAATTAGTATAAAATACCATGAAAGCCTTATGTTTTAAAGATATAAGTGTTTAATTCATATCATTAACGCCAATTAACAAACATTCGTTAAAAACGTAATAATCATAATAGTTACAAAGGTAAAGTATAACACTTAGATTAACAATATAATCGCTGTAACGACACCGTATCTGTTTAAACTTTTAGAAAACGGTTTATAATATAGTTAAACTGTGGGAACAGGCTTGAACGATCAACTATAATACTCGAGTATTGGGTCAAGGTTATGAAGTTGCTGATGGTTTGATTGGGAGGTCTAGCTGGGCTTGCAGGTCTGGCTAAGTGACCTCACAATCCGGTATCTTATGTCTTATCTAATCATACATGTGGGTTCTATATGGATGGTTTGACTGTGGAATCACATGGATCTAACATAAACGCTTTTAATGCGTTGTGCAATGGGTGTCAATTGATGTATGTGTGCGGGCGTCCGTTGCAAAGAATAAGATGGGAAGGATTGCAGCTACTTATAGTGGCTGAAATCCTTATCTTAGTCCAGCCCTTATCTAACTAGTCTAGCCCTAGCTATCTAGGTCCACTCACACAATATCTGACCCCACACACTAGTGGCTGTGTCAGTGACTGTGGCTGTACCAGCCACACTAGCTACTCCTCCTTGTGACACGTATCAGCTTTAATTTTTCCTTTTTATAACCTTCAAGCAGATGTTATTTCTAACGTCGTTATTTACAATAAATTCATTAACCGTAGCTTTTAAATCAAACTTATTGAATGTATTACTTATAAACTTAAGTATATTATTATTCATATAAAACCTAAGAAACTTAATAAAACCTAAGATATAAAAACGGTAATGTAGGTCACAAGCAAGCGGGACACACAAGCGAGCGGGACACACAAGCGAGCGGGACACTTTTACCAGCCTTCCAACCAACATGTCAAATAACTCAATCACAACGTATTGGATTCAATCTAATCAATTAGATTCCTCTTCTTCTGTTGAATACACAGATGTTGATCGATTCTGTTGGTTGTTCTTCAGCGTACAGAGATTGATCATCTGTCTTCTTGGTGGATCAGATGCCTTGTGCGTCTCTGTCCCACTGGAGATCTTCTGGTGTCTATCTCCAGCTCTCATTCAATATCTTCAGACGTTTTTATCTCTATTGTATAAGTTTGCGCATTATGGCCAGTGTTGCCGCAAACACCACAACGTTGCTCACGCGCTGCTGCTCTTCTCGGACGACGACTACCTTCACTTATTTCCTGTCTTACCAGCTCAGTACCATCCTTTGCAGCCTGAAGATCTACTGCATTTTTAACAAAAAGTATTCCTCCTTTTACTAAACGTTTGTTTTTTTATTTTCTGGCGTTTATTTAATAAGTGATTGGCCTCTTCTAGCTCGCGGACCTGGGAATCAACCAAAGCGACCTTGTGCATAAGTGTTGGATTAAAGGTACACCTAGAAGGCACCTTGACAGGTAGACAATAGAACCTAGTTGTTCCGTCCCAATCCAGCCCCCTCTTGCATCAAGCTGCCACGGTCGCACAAGAACACTTCAGAACATAGAGAATACACACAGACACTTACTCTAACGATTGGCTTAAATCTAATAATAAGACTGTATATAGCATTTAATAAGAAGCTTAATGCATCAATTATTGATGTAGGTGAGCTTCCCTAATAGTTTCTGACTCAATTTTAGATATAAACCAATTTATTTACCGCTTCGTTAATAGTGGTAGGCGTCTTAGAATTCCAAGTAGTAGGTGGCAGATTGGGGTCTAGCAACGGTGTTTGTACGATAGCGACAATATCCAGCTTTAAAATGACACTTTCTTGGTCAAAAGAAACAAGCCTAGTGGCACTGAAACCTGCTTGAATGTTTTCTTATATCATAACATTATTATGTGCTTTATAAAACGCTATAAGAAAGTCTTTCTTTGAAATATGTGTTATATGATGCTAGATGAGATCCTCAATCATGCGACCGTAAGCTCATTTAAGCGGGCTAAAACTGCTAACATCTAAAGGCTGGAGCCTGTGTGACAAGTGGGCAGATATACAAAGGGTAATGATATCATTATTCTGACAATAATCCTTAAAGACCTGAGGATAATGGCTTTTGTGACCATTTAGAATAAGGAGACGTTTACTGGCGGTCATACGTAGTCTGGTATATTTGTCGAAATGCTGAATCTATTTCAAACTGATCTCATTTGTAGTCAACCCGTTGCCAGACACGGCCACCTTTCAATTGCGTGGTAATGTCGTGTCGTGATACTATGATGCGGGGTGGGTTTTGCACTATAAAATGATGAATGGCGGAACCACTCAATCATTAGCATTTATAGCAGAAATTACTATAGACTATTCCTTGTTGCCTTCCTGAGCTTATCTAGGCCTGTCATGTCTTTTGGCGTTTATGATGACTATATCGGACCCAATAATGCCCATCATACACCCAGTCTCGTCAAAGTTATAAATGTCCGCATTTTGGATACCATGTTCTGCGATTGCTGCCGCAATTTGGCAAAACCACGTGTGATACGCGTCTAAATCTTTGTTGAAGACCCTCTAGTAGTCCATTTTTCAATAAAAACGCGTCTGAAGCCCTGGTGTATGTTTGATGAAGTTTGTTGTCCAGTTCTTTCTAACGCGTCCAGCCCTACGTACTGCTAACAATTGATTTGGCATATCTTCAACATAAGTGTACTGGGGTAGAAATGCTTGCGTATCCAGGTTGAGTATTAAAGCACAAATGGCATTTTCTTCAGAAACCATAAGTTTCAAAGAACTGGGCATGCTATTGCGCCGTGATAGTCGGCTGGCAATTTTTTGAGCCAGTATAAAGATTGGTAAGTAAAAAAATTCAGCAAGCTTTTGAACAAAAATATGAGGGTCTTATTTCTTAGCTTGGACAGCTAGCTGCATGTCTGATTCGTTATAACGCGGTGCTATCATTGTGGGTGGAGGAATACTGGTTGGAAGTTAAAAGTTTGGGAGGTTTGTGAAAGTGTCCCACTCACTTGTGTGCTCTGCTCGCTTGTGACCTACGTTATATTATATATAAGTTATTATTTAATTATATAATGTGAGCATTCGCCGTGCGGAATATTTGGTTCAGAATCCTTGCTTGTTTTGTTGTTCTAAGTCTACCTGGTACGGACGGATTCACACCTAAATACGTGTGCAGCGCGTCTATCAGCGGTGGTAGCAGAGCTGTGAAGCAACCATCCCACCTACAGCGCACAGACCACCTGGGACCACACTCTGAGCCACCACCACATCCGACATATAATATTTTGTAAGCTACACAATTTACACTTTAAATAAGTTTTATTAAGTATCTTTAAACTTTTAAAACCACTTATTATCTTTAGACCGGCCCTTTTAATAATGATCCTTTATTAATACTAAGTTATAACTATGTTGATTCGCTTTATCTTATCAAAATAAACACGAAAATATTAATAATACCTTAAAAACTTGCTATTTAAATAATCTTTAAAATTAAATAATTAAATTCAATCTTAAGACTCGATTTAACTTGTAAATATTTTTAAAAGGGGGATTTTCTTTGTTTAAATTAAGTTTGGCTTGACTTGCATTTCTTTGACTTGATAGAAGTGAAACGCAGTTAATAGTGCCCTTTCGCAGATATTAGCATCCATGGATATATCGTACCCGTTGGTCCATGAACATTCCTGTAAGGGCCTAGGCCCTCGCAAGCGGACCAACGTACGTACCTGCATGCAAACGTGGTGATCTGCAGGCAACGAGGCGCAGCCGCACGCTTTTGCGGAGGACGATAGGGAGAGGGTGGCCAATATGTGACTGGTGTAATCAATAAGCCACAGGGCTGTAACCTCAAGCCACATTCTGTTATCACTGAGCCTAAAACGTCACGTTGTGTTGAATGGGGGCCGGAAATAGACACCGGAAGATCTCCAGTGGGGCAGAGACGCACAGGGCATCCGACCCACCAAGAAGACAGATGATCAATCTCTGTACGCTGAAGAACAACCAACAGAATCGATCAACATCTGTGTATTCAACACGTTGTGCCTACATTCCTGCCTACCTACCTAACCGTCCACCCAACTGTTGGCTTGAGCTGCTTGGGATTTTCAGCTTGGAGCCATCTATAAGACTTCCTTCGCATCCAATCAACATTGTGGCAACCTGTTCTCCGACCCAAGGACTTGCTTTCAATCATCCTGATATCTAGTTTCTTCACTCTCACTCTCACTCTCCAAGATGGGTGTAAGTCTCCCCCCTCCCTCGCCGGTGCTTGACCCCGCCATCCTTACAGCCCCCATATACCGCCTTTTCCAGGCAAACATTCACTATCCCACCCGGATCACCTGTTCGCCAAGCCAGACAATCTATACCTAAAAGCCTTATCGTGTTGACGATACTGGTGATCTACTTACGGCAAGGTTCCCCGGATTGCTGAACCAATCATGCTCAGAGTTGTGAGCAGGTGGTCCCTGTGGGATAGTTAAGGTCTGCCTGGAAAAAGCGGTACGTCATACCGCTGTTAAACTGACAAAGCCGCAGTTGGCAAGCAAGCTCGCGGCCGCGCAGGGACTGGGAGGCCAAACTGCCACAGCAAACTACGGCGGTGGGGGCGGGGGCGGCTCCCAGTACCCTCCCGCACAAGGACACCCATCATCACTACAGCCTGGTGGCAGTGGTGCGGGCGGCTATCCTGGCCAGCAGGCAGGAGGATATCGTACGTGACGCACCGCTTACGCAGCTGCCAGCCGCAGCACGAGCAAGCTTTGCCTTCCAATTGCTGACTTTGCACAAGCTGGACAACAAAAACCGTATCAAGCCTACAATCCAGGTGGTGCTCAGGTCAGTAACTTACGCTAGTTCCCTTCATCCACTCTTGGAATATCTTATGACTTCATTCTCCTTCACCTTGCACTTCCTCCTTGCATCTTAGCAACTTCATACCTATACTTCATCATTATGCCGTTGGTTGCGAAAATGGCCGGCGCAGGCGGTTCTGCGCCATACCCATCATCACTACAGCCTGGCCGCCCTGGTGGCTATCCTGGCCAGCAACCACAGTACCAACCATACCAACCACCGGCGCCAGCGCCCGGCGGTTACGTCGCACCACAATACGGACAGCAACAGCAACAAGGCTATAACAGGCCCCCACCACCTGTGCCAAACCCATCATCCAGTCCATATCCCGGACAACAACCTCAATACGGCGGCCCTCAGCAAGGTTACGGCCAACAACATGGACCTCCGCAAGGATACGGCTACGTTCGTCAACTTCACGTGTTATATAGAGGAACATGCGATTTGGAGGTCTTCTGCTGACATGTCATTGTAATCGTAGGCCGGTTCACCAGCACCACAACAGCAGGGCGGCTACAGCGCACCTCCACCCGCTCAATACGGTCAAGGTCACCCCCCAGGACAGCAGCAAGGGGGCTATGGCGGCCCACCAGTAGGTCAGCAATACGGAGGCGCTCCCATGGGAGGTCCACAGCAGACCACACAGGAATGCGAGAAGGAGCTACATCGGGCGATTTGCGAAAAGGGTCTAGATAGATTCTACGGCCCTGGCACACCGGGTGGACAGCGTATCCCCATGATCGCACAGCGTGCCGCGGCGCAGGTCGATCGTCTGTGCCAGGCCTGGCGCATCCCGAAAGAGATCGCGACGGATATCGTCCGCCTGGCACTGTACGATGTCGTCATCTACGTCGATGACAGCGGCTCCATGGCTTGGGATGAGGGCGGCAAGCGCAAAGAGGAGCTCATGCTTATCATGCAGCGTGTTGCTTTTGCGGCTACGCTCTTCGACGACGACGGCATCGATGTGCGCTTCATGAACAACGAGCAGATTCCGCCGAACATGCTGTCTGGCATTCGCGATGAGCAGCAGGTCAAGAACCTCCTAGAAAGTGTTCGGTATATGGGACTCACTCCATTCGGCACTAAGCTCCGCAACAAGGTCATCGATCCGCTCGTCGTTCCGATGCTGCGCAGCGGACAGATGCAGAAGCCGGTCTTGATCATAGGCATCACGGATGGACAGCCTGCTGGAGAGAACCAGAACGAGCTCGTGGAGACTGTGCGCTATGCTATTGGCCAAGCGCAGCAATCTCAGTACGGCAAGGGTGCGGTGGCTTTCCAATTCGCTCAAGTTGGAAACGATCTGAAGGCCACTGAGTTCCTGGCGAAGCTCGATAATGACCCGATGGTCGGAGCAGAAGTAGACTGCACATCAAGTATGTATCGCTGATCCCGATGATGCATGTGTTTATAGAACGCTGACATATTTTGTAGATTATGAGGTCGAATCAGCCGAGATGGCAAAGTTACACCCGGAAATCGAATTCACCCCAGATATCTGGAGGATCAAGCTCATGCTCGGCGCTATCCACCCTGACTATGACACCAAGGACGAGAAGAAGGGCATGGCTTCTGGCGCAGGTATGTCAGGGCATCCGCAGCAGGGCTACGGTGGTCCTCCAGGCGGCGGCTACCCCCAGGGCCCGCCATACGGACAAGGCCCACCACCCGGGCATTACAGTCAACAGCAGCCGGGGCAGGGAAGAGGCTACGGTGGCCCTCCAGGCGGCGGTTACCCCCAGGGCCCGCCATACGGACAAGGCCCACCACCCGGGCATTACGCTCAGCAGCAGCCGGGGCAGGGAGGAGGCTACGGCGGTGGCTACGGCGGTGGCTACGGCGGTGCGCCATCGAGGTACTAGACTACTATGAGGATCTCACGCGAGTTCTTCAATGTGACGAGGCGACAACAGCGGGAACGAGAGGGCCATACGATAGGCATAGGGTCTTAGACATGCCCTAAGGTGATTCTTGAGCTTGATGCTTAGTTTCCGAGGACCTGGGAACGAGATACGTAGAAGTGGCAGAATGTCCATGTAGCTCCTCCTGGAATCTTTACTACACAAGTTCCGAATCTGCAATCGGTCTTTAGACTCTATATCGTAATTGTGAGTGTGAGAAGCCGAATACAGATACGGTGATAGTCGCTCGTATCGGAGTTTGGTCGACGGTAAACGGTGATCAAAGGCGGTGATAACGCTGATCAGAGGGCGTTAACACGGACCAGTTTCTAACGCGTACTTTCACCAGTTTACGACCCTTCGTGGAATAAGCGAAAAGGACCGGTCGCTTTCATGTAACTACTTACCTTATCCTAAGGCACCATTCCACTGGTGAAATATATAAAGAGAATTCTAAGTGCGCGGAACAGAGACTTGTAATGAGTGATAGTGTGTGGTGAGATGCCTAACTATCGTACATTATCTTTTCTGATCATTCCCTCCTCCGCCCCTTTTTAACTCACGTCGACTAGACGTTTCTCGGTACCGAGTTGGACAGAATTAGGTCCTTGTGGTGATGGACCAAACCGAAACCCGTAGATAGGATGCTAAAGTGTGGAAGGTGGCATGGTATTGATCTGGGTTTGCTGTCTGCTAGATGGTCTATTTGTGTGTGGAATTGTATAGCACGTGCCCGGAGCTGAGACGCCTGGCCATGCATAGCTGCGTATCGCCCGTGTGGTAATTAGCAAGCAGCGATAAGGCACCTGCCCCCTCTGGGACTCGATAGAAAGTACAGATCTTCGACCATGTCCTGATCACTCATTGCATCGCGGTTCGAGACCGTGGCGTTTGGGAACGCTCGGAAGAAATGGGCAGCCCCGAGCCGGAGCTCGATATGAGCAAGGTGCATTCCGATGCAGACTATAAGAGCATCTGATTAGCATGAGTTGGCCCAGCAGTAACTTATACGTGTAATTCGAGAAGCATACTTACTTCTTGACCCACTACCAAAAGCCATAAAAGCCTCTTTCATGTCTTTCGTGGGATTCTCCCATCGGGAAGGGTCGAATGTGTCCGGATCCGGGAATGCTACCGGGTCCCTGTGCAGACTCCAGTTCTGAGTCCGCACGACGGAACCTCCTGGGAGCCAGTACCCCTTCAGAGTAGCGCCGCTTTGTGGGACGTGACGAGGGAGTGGTCCCGGCACCACTGCGTATCTTCGGAGAGTCTCCGTGATGTGTTAGATGGGACGCAAGCCACAGTGGCATTTAGGGAGTGGCAGTGCACCAACAGGGCATCCGGGCCTTTTAGTGTGCTATAGCACTCCACTGCAGATTCTTCACACAACAACAATCCATCAGAAATCACCAGAATACAACGGTTTCAACCATATGAACCTAATTCACGCTGTTTAACATGATGCACTGGTTCAGCAGCGGCAAGGAATTGACGTCGGTGTCGGTGAAGCTGTCAGGGAGTGATTTCACCTCTTGGACTACCCGTGCTCGCAACTCTGGCTGTCGACATAGTGCCCAGGTCAGGTAGGTCAGAGTGACCGAAGTCGTATCGCTCCCCTCCACGATGTATAATTCGGCTTCGTGTACGATGTCCTCTTCAGTCAGCGATCCGCCGTCGTCAGCTTCGTCCTTCATCACTTTGGTGAACAGCATAGGCTCTGCTTCCGTGTCTTGACCCAGTCGATCCCGGTACCGTTGCAGAGAGGTCTTCGCGTAGTTCGTCATGCGTACGCTGGCTTCCCGCACGGTCTTCATGAAAGGAATAGGTAGAGAAGCAGGCAGTTTCCACAGGAAGGGGAGAAACAGGAAGACGGCTGCCGTGATGCTCCTGCTGTCGATATCTTCGATGTATTGATTTCTGGGCTGCAGATCCCGGTCAGCATGCAGTTAGTCCGTTCGGTTCCGTCGAAGCTCAACTACCTACCTTGCTACTCTCCAACATATTGAAGGAACCGCCGAAGCTCAGCTGTCCAATCACGTCCGTAGTGAGGAAGTTCCACCACTTGTAGACGTCCACGGCACCTCGCTCGTCCATCTCCTCGCCCATCCGCTGGATTGCGAGGCGGATCTTGCTATCGACTTGTGGCAGCATGGGCTTCAGCCCACTCTCCGACATTGGCTGCGAGAGAAGCTTTCGCGTGCTCGGTGCGCCTCGGGATCGCGCGCGTTGAAGACGTTGATCTTGCCGTCGGCATCGTGGTAGAACTCGGTCTTCAGGAAGTCGGCCTTGACGCGGTGGATTTGCCGCGCGGCTTCGGCGTCGGAGATGTCGACCTCGTGGGGGCACACGCGCACGACCGGGCCTGTTTACGCAATGTTAGACAATCACGTCGAGTGTTACATCTGGAAGGCAGTTGGTACTTGCCATATACTTCGTGGAGACCGTGTACGTAGATAGGACCACGGCCCCTCAGGGTCTCGTAATGGTAGACCAAGCTGGTCCAATTCGTGTACCACTATATCGTATCGAGTCAGCAGCTGCGATCAATTGGACCCGGAAGTTGGAATATAGATCTTGAGATTCACTGGAGAGGTATGGGATGATGCGTACAGGTCCTGGAATCTTTGACAATGGGCTTGACAGTCGTCGTAGGAGGACCTATCTATGTTAGTTTATGACCAGGTAATGTACATGAAAGGAGATTATGGCCGTATACCACCACGAAGCATGATAAGATCGCAATCCCTCCCAGGGAGAGATATGGGAGATCGCCCTGATTCTTGACGCCGAATAACTCCATGTGTGATACGATGATTTGACAACGTGGTTGATGCTGATCGACGTGTTCACTGGTTGATTTCTGGCTACTCGACAGAAATCAGAGGATTTTGGAATAGTGACAGTGGGCATTTTATACCTACACTTACCCCATATACCAAAGCAAGAGCTCCTTCATATAGGGTGCCGGAACGCAGTATAACGGGGACGGGCGCACGCAAGACAACGAGCTGACCTTGTCTCGGGTTCTCGGGTGTCAGCTCGCTGTCTTGCGGTCTCGGGTTCTCGGGTCCTCGCGACTGATCCAACGCCGTGTCCATAGGGACCTTCCAATGGCTAACCTAGGAAGCCAGATCAATCCAAATCGTTATGTGTTGCACTGGAAACCCGGATATATACGTGTGCGTCCCGCATTGAAGTGCCTTGGGGGCAGGGTTGGCTCCAACGGTGGCACAGCACGGTAGTTACAGCATATGACGTTCTACCTCGTAGCGAATCGGTCCTACGATAGATGCGCGGGTGGACGTCTCATTCGGACCCTGCAGTAATTTATTCCCTTTTCTTCGGTGTCCAGTATGTCATTGTTCCTCCGGGAGCCCGGGCCCAAGGCCGACACCTGCCCTTGTCCTTCCGTGATATCGGGGGTACAATGATGACACTCTAAAGTCTCAGACAAATAGATACCGTGACTAGTCGCAACGCCTGCTAAGTGCCTTTTTATCATGTTATGGCCAACTGGCGAGAAAGGAAGCTCACGACGAGGCTTAGTAATGCAAAGTTGGATTGGTGTGTAGATCGGCATTCGTTTTAGTAGACATACTGACATACTGCGAGCAGTCGCTACCAACTCATCACATACAGTATTACCCAGTGATTTGCTTCCATCCATTGACTGATTCGCTTGAGTCCCAGTCTCGAATCCCCCTGCGCTTGCTCCGCCTATCCTTCAAGTATGATCCAGGGTTATTTTCAACAGAAAGGCGGCTCGCATGGCAATCCATAGCTGTAGGCAGTGTATACACCAATGGCACATTCGTCTGCATCCTGGAAGAATGAGAACGAGGTGTCGTTGGTGGATGTCACTGTCTTCGTTAGCTTCGACTCTTTGACACACTCAATGTGACGTCGGGGATATCACTTACTGCCAGCCACACAGGTCCCAGCGCCAACGAAGCAGGGGCCGATATCAATGGTGTAGGCATATCCAGGCTCCATATGCATAGGAGGGAACGCAGGGAACGGGCCCGGCTCCGGTTGGTTGTTGAAGGTAGTCTCGGGACCAGGACAGCTTCCTGGGTTATAACCGGTGAAGAAGAATGTGCCTGCGCGTTGGTACGAGAAGGAAGAGGTCTCGAGCTGATCCTGGCGAGGGAACAGGAACTCCAGGGTGCAGTTGGCATCGGCGCGCGAGGCAGGGATGTCGAAGCTGAAGATGGATGAGATGTCGTTAGGGGTAAAGAGACCGCTGTACTGAGGGCCAAATGCTTTGTCGGGTTGCTGCTGAGAGATGTGTGTGATGTAGTGAGGGAACTCGTATTGGCCTTCTTCGAGATAGGCTGGGCAGTTGTCTACCTTGTTGTAGCCCCATTCGCGATCATTCAACGCGCGTTTGGAGATCAACTCGTAGGGAGCTGCCACTGCCGCACCGAGCATCAAAGAAAGGGTGATGAAGCACTGCATTGCGGCCGTGGACGTTCTCCGCGTAGAACGAACTGTGAGAGCAGATGGGAAAGCGAAGGTATAGGTGGTGACGATGATATGCTGATGCAGTCGAAACCCAAACTGAGGAAACCCAGTATCTTATACAGCGGCCTGCCTGGAGCAGTGCAGCCTGGCCTCATATACTGCCTTGCATGTCTATACATATTAAGTGACGCTTTGCTGCATAGTGGCATTGTCGCACTGAGAGTCCTTGCGCCAACCCAAACCCGTCAAGCTGCAGTAAGGGATACAGCATCAATAGTCATCAGTGGATGCATATGCTGTACTCACTTCTAAACCCAGTCGAATACCAATCCAGACTATCTTCCTTCTTCCCAGCCACCGATTACCCATCAACTTTATCCGATTATGATCTCCCTACCAATACTGCAAGCTGCGAGGCCTCATAACTCACAATCAACCCCCAACATGGAAGTCTCCGTCCGGCATGGCTTAAGCAATCCGTGGATATCAATAACATCTCACTGTGGAATAATCACCCTAGGATAAGCAGCTTTGATAGAGTAAGGCATCTTGGATGCTAATTCCAGAGTACTTATCCCATTCCAACAAGTTACACATTCGCTTGATGGACGAGGAATATGGGTCGACCTTTAGAGGCTCAGTGCAACCATGAGTTTATATGCAAGCCACGGGCTCAGTATAGCCATGTTATATACATTGGGTGGAGATTACGGCGAGCATACTGCCTTATGTAAGTGTCTACGCAAGCACCTAGCCGGCATACTGAACTCTTTCGTGTAACTTGAGACTTCCGCCCCTCACCAAACGTTACCATGCAGTCTATTGTCGTGACTTTGTCTGGACCACCAGCCTGCGTTACGCGCATGCATCAGTAGCTTGGGCTGACAGACATGTATGTCTCATATTTAATCAAGATTGCGGGGGACGTCAACTGATTGCCATGAGCTTCAAGAGCGATTATCGGCCCGCGGCCAATATCCTGATGCAAGGGAAGAATCATGAACCTGAGTTGGCCTTACCTACTGACTAGGCCCTACATCGCTGTCCAGGAAGCTACTTTGGTGCCGCCATGAAGATTCGAAACCATGGCTGTTGCGCATCGCCAGTGTCACTGCCGCGAAAGCTTCGTGTTCCTGAACCCGCCTCAATATAAGTGATTGTGGGGTAAGGCAGCATGTAGATAGAGAAGTACATAAGATTGTATTACAGACCTTCACGCAAAGGAGAATTATGGATGTGAATCCCGAGTAACAGCACTGGATGTATGGTAGAACGGAGAAATTGAATTAGGCACATCAAGTGCCGTTCCTGTGGCTTAAAAGACTATGAAAATATGCGGACATAAACCACAGGAAGTAGCCCATGGCAAGCTACAAGTCCAAACTTCTTAGCTTGCTCGCAGAGCTTACGTTGAACGCCACCCATATGCTGCCAGCTGCATGTAGTGGCTTGATAATATCCGTATTGCTCTTGAACACACATTGTGGATGATAACTTACTAGCTTGTGTGTTCTTGATGCGTCTGTTAGATGTGGGGTTTTGGCTTCGAGGTATGTGATGAAGCTATAGAATGTATCGCGTACGTATAGAGAGAGCTACCGAGCACAGTTTCGTCTTTGTAGCTTTCGCACAAAGTGCAGGACCGACCAAGGCATTGTGCCCCTTGTTGCCCCCAATAAAACATCAACCTCGTGGAGACAAAGAATCTTTGAGCTGGGCCAAAATCTGGCCGTAGTTGAGATGTTTGTCTGTTCGTGGAAGGGGAGAGCGGCGGACTCTCAGATATAAAGAAGAAAAGGAGAGGAATTGAATAGGGGGGAGGTGTGAGTGGGGACTAATGAATTCATCCCGGGCATCGCACGGGCCATACCCGATAAGCCCCGCGGATCGACCCCTCCAAGGCCGATAAGCGCAAAAAATATGTGATGGAGGAAGAGACGATGCCTCATTTTCACCGTCTACAACTTCGAGATGGCACCATACGACAGTGACTCTTCTGCAGGGGAGGAAGAATACTACACGGAGACAAATGTCCTACTAGGATATGCCTCCAAAGATGCGGATGACGACACAATAAGCCGTTTAGGTGGTCGACCCGTGAGTATCGACTCCTTCTATATCAACCTGCCCTTCTGCATATGAATTCCTCGACTTACGCAAGACCGCTGCCAGGACTGGCTCGACGCCGAAACACCACCCTCGGCTTCCCTGGCAAGATGTAAGATCTGCAAGGATATGATGGTCCTACTATTGCAGTTGAACGGCGAACTACCTGACCGATTTCCCGGCCACGAACGGCGGTTGTTCGTGTTTGCCTGCAAGAAGAAGGGCTGTCGGCGCAGAGAAGGCAGCATTCGCGCCCTACGTAGTCTACGGGTAGCCCCCGGCAGCAAGACTGCTCCCTTGAAGGGCGAGAAGAAGCAAGTTGAGAAGCCGAAGCCGAAAGAAGAGCCGAAACCTACTCCCAATCTAGGAGAGACCCTCTTTGGTGCGAAGCCACTTGGAGGCTCGTCAGGCTCTGCGAATCCCTTTTCGACATCCGGTGCGTCGTCCAGCAGCAATCCATTCGCCAGCGCGGGCAATCCATTCAGCAGCAAGCCTGCGCAACCGACAAAGACAAAGCCCGAGTCTGATACCACCACCGAGGAAGCTGCTCCCAAGTCCACATCTACCGAAGACGACATCTCAAACCTCCCCAAGACCTTCGCAGAGACTCTCTCCCTCAACAACAACCAAGCAACCGTGTCTGTGCCGCCCTCAGAGCCCTGGCCCGCGGAGGCAGAACAGCCGGCCCCGTACCCCATCGCATACCTCTCCGACGCCGACTACGAAACCCTAGATCCGACACCACCGCCTATAGCACAAGCCACGACGCAGATGGACACTGATGATCCGTCGTCAATCTCTGCCGGTGGTGGTAAAGAGGACCGCGAGGTCTTCGAGTCGACCATGGATGGGGCATTTCAAAAATTTGCGGACCGCCTCGCACAGAACCCGGAGCAAGCGATCCGGTACGAATTCGGGGGCCAGCCTCTGCTGTCGTCAAAGACGGATGCTGTGGGCCAATTGCTGGGCGGTGGTGCTGGTGTAGCTGCGGCTCTGGGAGTCGGTGTGAACGTTGCTAAAGCGCCGGGCGCGAAGGGGATGCCGCGGTGTGCCAACTGTGGTGCCGGTCGTACGTTCGAGGTCCAGCTGTGTCCACATGCTATCACCGAATTAGAGTCGGAGGAGATGTCGCTTGAGGGGATGGACTGGGGCACGGTGATTGTAGGTGTGTGCGAGAGAGACTGCCAGGCCAGGGGCGTGGGAGAGGGCCAGGTTGGTTACCTGGAGGAGTGGGCTGGCGTGCAGTGGGAGGACCTTACTGGCAACGGTACTCGTCGATGATCCGCATGATGACCATCATGTCGTCGGCTTTGAACGCAAGACATAGGCCCGGAAGTGGTAGCGTAGCTACCCTGTGGTAGTTAATGATCAAAAGTCCGATAAACTACAATATGCGACGGCATGGCGATGATGCAAGTGAGCCTCTCGTTTATATATCTGGAGGTTGAACTGAAGTAGATATCGGAGGGACTCGACTCTTGGGTTTTCAACACAAGATCAATGGTTCCCCTGAACGACTCAGTACCTATTCATACACTCGGAGTACTAATAACTCCACGGTCTGAGACTCGTTCTCGAGCCTTCTCTGCACCTACCAGTCCCCCAAACCGGTGCCCGCCTGGACCCAATGGTCTTCAACCCGCCTCAAGACCAACGGCAGGCGCAAAACCGCATGAAAAAGTACGACCTGGTCCCCTTCTCTCATCCCATACCGGCCTATGCAAGCCGGCCCTGCTTTGTTCTATACACGGTGCGTTTCTCCGCCTTCTCCAACTTCTTCATAGCCGGCATCACATGCACCTGCCCTTTTAGCATCGCCTCCCTTAACATCTCCTCCTGGCGTTCAAACGCCCCAGCCGCATCCGCTTCTTCACTACCCTCTCGAAACTGGCCCGTGAGATGTGGCAACAGCTCTGGGTGGGACGACAAACCTAGCTCCGCGAGCATGTTGTCGCGTTGTTCGCCTGTGCACATGCTGATCTCGTTCTGGAGCATGAGGATGAATAACTGCGCGATGTTCGACGTACGTGTAGCAGAAGGGGGGGGGGGGGGGGGGGGGGGGGGGGTCGACTAGCAGAAATCAGTTATCTACCCCCTACTGCTGCCCCTTTGCTGACGTAGGTTGTCCTTGGTTCCAACGTAGATCACTTACTGAGTGTCTTGGCCTACTTCCGCACAACTTACATTCTATTCTTAATCGTTCTCCGATTCCCCTCTATCCCTTTGCTTCTATACAGGTTTCTTCCTTGTTTACCTGACTGGATACAGGTAGGAGATTAGTCACCGGTCTTTAACCGAGGCTCCGGGAGCGGACGCATAGAACTGAACGCAAGCATCAAACTTCTGATTCCTGTCAGCTGCAGCCTACAACACCGTACCAAGCCGATTTCATCGAGGACCCTACAACCGAGTCAGACTCAGCATTAAACTAAATGTAACTATAAAATCCCGGCAACATGTATCCTTTATCGAGACTTTGTGACAAGTGCAAAGCCATCGAGCTCGATGATTCCCGATACGGCGCTCGTGCAGCGCTGGACCACCAGGGCCATCCAGCTCTTAATTTTGGGCAAGATAACCACCAAAAAAATGCTGACCCTGGATTTTGAGATCCTGGACGTGTTTCCGGCTTTACCCTATGTTACTCAGTCCGCCGATAATGGCTGCGACTGTTGTCGTTGGCTCAAAGGAAACCTCACTTCTGAGCTGGACGAACTGCTTCCAGCTCCAGGCCGATCAAAGGAGTTCAGAATATCCATAACGGGCCAGTATTGTTGGGGAGGAGGCTTGGAACACAGTACTCCAGGCCCAGGGCTTCAAGCACTCGTCATCACCTATCAACTCTACCTGCTTCCGAGTAAGTTGGGAGGCCATTTGATCTGTGTACTTCACCCGGGCGATGAGCATCCCTAACGGGTCTCCAGGTCTAACGCCAATGTCGGACAATGGTTTCACCCTTGCCTTCGCCGTTGAAGCGGACACTCATGGTAGGATTGGCTGATCGTTTTTAGGACGCCATATCTGACACCGCACCAGGCCCTCTTCAGTCCTGGCTCGACCTCCGCGTAAACGAGTCTGGTTACATCATGACGCCCAAGACGGCCTCTTGGCTTCGCAGTCAGCTCGACGCGTGCCGCTGCCCTGCGCAGGATGACCCCGGGGGTTTCGTTCCGACCAGACTCATCAAGGTCGATTGCAACCCTCCACGACTCGTGAGAACAGCCGACTTGACTGCCGCCAATGGTGGTACGATCGTTCCCAAATACAGCGCCCTGAGCTACTGCTGGGGCCCACCAGAAGCGTCCAAACTGCAACTAAAAAGCGAGGTTGCAAGCCTGTATCAACGGACGTCTGGCCTGCTCGGCATAGAAATGACGCCAGTCCTGCGAGACGCCATTGCAACGACGCGCGCTCTGGAGATTCCGTATCTCTGGGTCGACGCCCTCTGCATCGTCCAAGATGACGCATTAGGCTGGGAATTCGAAGCCTGAAGGATGGGAAAGGTCTACTCACACGCTCATGTCACTCTCTGCGTGTGGTCCTCAAAATCTTGCTTAGAAGGCTTCCTCCACCGCCAACCCCCGGCACTGACAGTGCCTTTCACGTCCAAGTTAAACCCTCAAGCACGCGGATCTTACAGTCTCCGACCCGTGGGCAGTGTCTGGCCCACGGTCGCTGTTACCGCAGACTCGAGGGATGCCAAGTGGAACCAACGGGCTTGGACATTGCAGGAGTGGACTATGTCTACTTGAATCGTCGCTTTCGGGGCTTCTCGGGTCCATTTCCAATGCCCGTTGACACTCCAGACGGAAGGGGAGCCGCCGTCCAGAGAGCATGTGATAATTCAGGCCGGCCACCTTGCCCGGAACTGGAGCATCGAGTTATGGCACGACTATTGGTACGACGTAGTGGAGGACCTGTCGGAGCGGAAGCTCACGTATGCTACAGACTGCTTCCCTAGCATTTCTGGACTTGCCAAGTTCTTCCATTAAACTATCGACGATGGCTATGTGGCTGGCTTATGGAAGAGATCAATCTATAAGGGCCTGTTATGGATTGGAGGTAGGGACGATGCCACGTTCAAGGTATTTGTTGACCGACTGACGATCACTGGGGACTATGTCGCCCCTTCCTGGAGCTGGGCTAGCGGCAGGGGCGGAGTGTCTTTCAACTGCCCAGAGTCTGATGAGAACAGAAGAAAGGCCACGCATTGGCGTCAGGAATGTTTGCATATCGAGCCAAGGGTCACGCTGAAAGGGGCCGACCCATACGGTCAACTCAAACATGCGTCGCTCGTAATCGAATCGCGGATCCGGCCACTGGCGCAGTATAGGCACAAGCTGGGTTCGTGGGGGAACCCGGGCTACGTCGGGAGCGAAGAAGAGCCCGTGGCAAAGGTGCACGTCGACTGGGCTGCGCACACGGACGGGCCGCCGGAGGACCTGCAGATGCTCCTGCTAGGAAGCGCGGAATTGGACGAGGCCTGCCCGGGCGCTGCCTCTCAACCACAGCCTTGGGGAGACAGAGACGGCGTGCAAGTAAGGAGGCAAAGGTTGGCCTACGGTCTGCTCGTCTGGCCCGTACCCGGCACCGATGTCTTCCTCCGGGTGGGAATAGTTCATTCGATACCGAATAGACACGGAGGGGGGCTTTCGTTCTTCGAGGGTTGGGGAGAGCGGACAGTTACACTCATCTGAACGGACAAGATGATGGACAACCAAACTCCAGTCGTGCGCTGCCCGTTTAAGCACGTTATTTGTGATTAGCACCCGTAGCTTCACTAGCCATTGCCAAAAGAGTAGCGGTCATAGAATCTGCCTTCTTCGGCTGAAAGATTCGGATTCATGGATGGTTTTGGTGTTGTTGTTACCTGATGACAAGGAAGCCTGAAAGTTGACAGCCGTTAAAAGACGCCAGCACAGATGTACACCGTATAGATGCATGAACATGCATAAGCTGAGATACGGTATAAAAGCCTAGGCTAGCCCACTCCCGGCCTAGTGCCCACAAGCACAATTCGGCTGCGAAATCTTGGGCTCCCTCTTCAACAACTGCCCCACCACACGAATTTTGAACCTTTTGATCATCGTCAAGCAACCTCGCGATCACACACGTCAAGATGGATTCCGAAGACCCCCAGGAGCGCCCAGAGGAGATCACCAGCATCATCAACGGGCTGGAGCGGTACAACCCCGAGGCCGTCGGCAACCTCGAGGAGTACCTGCGCCACCAGTGCGAACACAGATACACCGACTCCAACGCGAACCGGACACTCCTGAAGCTGTGAGTGCCCTCGACCGTCTTTACTCCAAGCTGTCTTTCCGGCTGTTGGAATGATGATGAAACGTCAACGTTTCCTATTACCTGAACAGTGGCGCCGGGCCTTGAATCAGCCTGCCACTTTGAAGTTCATTATTAGCTCTATCTGATCCAACTCATACTCCTTCTCGCCAATCTTCCTCGCGGCATCTGGCTGTCGTGGCGGTCTTTGCTGACGTATTCCCTCTCTGGAACAGATACCAACTCAACCCCGACCGCGTCAAGGATGAAGTCATAACCAACATCCTGGTGAAAGCCCTGACGTGCTTCCCCTCACCACAATTCTCCCTCGCCATGCACCTGATCCCTCCCTCCATTCTCGCACCCAACTCGCGCGCCGAACTGCCCGAGGCCATCGCCAAGCTGCGCGAGCTGAGCAACCAGCTGCAAGGCTCCCAATACGCGCGCTTCTGGGCCACGCTCGACTCGGATGACCTCTACGCTGATCTGACCACCGACATCGAGGGCTTCGAGGAGCTGATCCGCATCCGGATCGCCACGCTCATCAGCCACGCCTACCGCGAGATCGAGATGAGCATACTGGAGCAGTGGCTCGGCATGGACGATGCCGATGCCATGAAGTTCGTCACCGAGACGGCGGGCTGGAAGGTCGAGAATGGTATCGTCAAGATACCCCGGAATCCGGAGAACGAGGCAAAGAAGTCGGAGGTTCGCGAGGACGTCAATGTTGATATGTTCTCGAGGGTAGTCAGACGGGCTTGGGAGGAGACTGCGTAAGGTAGTCGGTTCTGCGCGGTGTCATATGGTCAATGGTCGATATAATTTGATCTGCATTATGTGAAAGACGAAAAGGGTCTTTGGCGTTGGGGAATACAGCTTAAGACACTGATAGTGTCTTCGTGCGCTCAGTGGGCTCACTTGTGCCGTCCGTAGACGGCGGTTATGGGAAGACGAAACGAACAAAATGATTATCTAGTTGAGCTTGTTCTCGTGACAATGATGGCCGCAATCAACAGGTCGCGCGAATCGATAACTTCCAGAATATTGTCAATCTCAACTTGGTTGATCAAGTCTCGCATCCTATGGAATCAAGATGAGCCTATCAACTATTCATGGCAGTCCTGACTATATCTACAACTACAAGACAAAAGACTTTTCTACTGTACATGAACGCAGATAAGTGTCTGATTACACATCCATGTGCGGACTAGCTGCACCGCCCACGAACGGTTGATCAACTCTCTTCATCCCGCTACGACCTTCGCTGTGATCGAGTTCCTGATCTCGGAAAGACACTTCAGTCGGTCGATACTTGATCATCGGCTATATCCTTCCGCACTGTAGAGGGACGGAGTCTGCGTCCAACTACTCAAGATCCCAGCCCAAAGGGGCGACGTCGAGAGAAGACTCCCTCGCCAGTCAAGAGGCCGAGATGAGAAAGCTCGCAGCACATTCCTCGTTGCCATCGCAGCTATCATGCTATCATACTATCCATCTTCTGGCGCCCCAGATCTGGTCCTACCGGCATGACAGGCACCAGCGACGTCTCGACGCCCTATCTATGTAGGTAAGAAGCGCTCAACACGGACGCCGAAAAGATAGGACTTGTAGTTGCGATTCTGCCGTCTGAACAAGATGACAAGATAGTCTCGTGTCAACTGAACTGTTCAAGGCATCTCTCAAGGATGATGGGCCTGCAGTATGCCGCCCTTTCCTACGTCTGGGACGACGCATCAATACCTAACATCATTGACAGAATACTTCCTCATGAAGGGACACACCATCTCCGTAACCACGAACCTCGCCTTGGGCGCCCTCAGGCGCCTCCGCAACTCAAACAGCACTCCGCATCGACAACTCCAGCACCCCCATCCCCATCCTCCCCCTCTGGATCGACGCCCTGATCATAAAACAGCACCCCATCCACGAAAAGAGAGCGCCCAAGTCGGAGGCGTGAAGCCCATCTACTCACGCGCCTCGAGCGTGATCTCCTGGCCCGGCGAGCCGGACGACGCCCAGCTCATTCTTAGGTATTCAAGTAACTTTTAGAATAAAGACCGATTATTACCTTGTAGTGACGCTGGTCCCTTATTCTGGAACCGCTATCAGTAGACCTTAGGGCAAGCGATCATATTCATCCGCATGTTATTCATTAACATCTCTATGCCTCGTATTTATACGTCTACCACTTGCTTCATTCTATCCCACAGTCGCCTCCCCAAAGCAGTCTCTACCCAAGCTCTTCACCCCTCTATCAAGAGAGACTGGCCAGTCATGTCCTCGGGGACAGGTAGTCCCATCGCGATCAGGATTGTAGGAGCCACATCGCCCAACACGCCATCGGTCTTCTTCAACGACCATCCAGCCGGGGCGTTGTCCATGATGAAGGGGACCTTGTTGGTGGTGTGGGACGTCTTGGGCTTACCGTCGGCGAACTTCATCTCCTCAGCGTTGCCATGGTCGGAGGTGATGAACAGGATGTATCCTTCCTTTTTACAGGCTTCACGGATCATTCCGATGGCTTTGTCGGTAGCCTCCACACCGACGAGAGCGGCTTCGTAGACACCGGTGTGTCCAACCATGTCAGGGGGAGCGAAGTTGTTCATGACAAAGGGGAATTCCTGCTCGCCAAGTCGCTTGCAGACTTGCTTGCCAACACCCTCGGCAGACATCTCAGGAGCCTTGTCGTACGTGGCTACACTCTTGTTGGACGGCACAAGATCTTGTGACTCGTCACGGGTCTCTAGAGCGAAAACCTTCTCAACACCACCATTGAAGAAGAAGGTAACGTGCGCATACTTCTCAGTCTCGGCGATATGGACCTGCTTGACCTTCTGCTTGCCCAGCCACTCAGCCAGGACGTCGGTCATGCGCTGGGGCTCGAAAGCGATCTCGAAGGGGTAGTCCGTCTTGTATTGCGTCATAGTAACCAGGTGGATCTTGGGGTAGGGAAAGTCGGGTCTGGGAGAGCGGTCGACGTCGCCGAGTAGCTGGGTGATCTGTCGTACTCGGTCTGATCGGTAATTGAAGAAGAAGACCTCGTCGTCGTCCTTGATACGGGCCTCTTCGCCGCCAAGGATGATTGGCTTCAGGAACTCGTCGTTCTCGCCCTTCTCGTACCTTTCCTTGATAGTCTTGACAGCGTCAGAGCTTTCCTCGCCCTCGCCAAGGATCATGCCCTTCAGCGCGAGCTCGACTCTCTCCCATCTCTTGTCACGGTCCATGGCGTAGTATCGTCCGACAACAGTGGCGATTTGGCCAGTGCCAATCTCCTTGGTCTTTCCAACAAGCTCCTCTATGTATCCTGCACCAGACTTGGGGTCGGTATCTCGGCCGTCTCCGAAGCAGTGGATAAAGACCTTGGGTACGCCGGCGGTCTTGGCGGCCTTGAGGAGGGCATAGAGATGATCTTGCTTGGCGTGCTACATACAGCACAGTTAGCAAGCGAAACCCAATTTCCCAGGGTCATGCATATGACATACCACACCGCCGTGGGAGACAAGACCACACATATGTAGGCGGCCGTTGCCGTTCTTCGCACTCTCCAGGACCTTCTTTATCATTGGGGTGTTGGCGAACTCCCCCTTCTTGATGGTCTGGTCGATCCGCACGACATCCTGCCACACAACACGTCCAGCGCCAATGTTCAAGTGGCCGACTTCGGAATTGCCCATCAATCCTTCAGGCAGACCAACGGCGAGGGAGGAGGCTTCTAGCTCGGTGAAGCCGGTTGCGCTCTTGGACAGATCGTCCATAACAGGGGTCTTCGCGTTGGTGATTGCGTCGCCATCCTTGGGAGAGTCGGCGCCGGGAATACCCCAACCATCAATCACGACTATAGGAACGAACAAGCAACAATATTAGCCAGGCAATCTCGAGGTATGTCAGGACGTAGCAGGTTGTGACGAAGTAGTCGGGCTGTCTGGACTTCGGAGGAGGGACAGGAGGGGCAGGAGGGGCAGCAGAGGAGGAATGGGTCGTACTCAAGCAGGCCTTTTGTCTCGGGGTAGTCATTGTGGCTCTAGTATTCTCGGATTCTAGGTTCTATAGTGATGATCTAGGTTGAAAAGGAGGAGAGAGAGTTAATAAAGGTGTTGCGTGATTTTCCGACGACCTCGGGTCGAGAAGTGAGGTGTTGAGGTGTTTGTAGGCGAAGAGTTGATAGGATGGTGGGGGAGTTTCAAGCCGGTGGGATTTCTTACTCGCCCAGACCCAGCGACTATTCTATTGCACTTGGACTGCTATTAGGTATGATCGCAATGTGTAAGAGATGGAATCTTCAATCTATATGTGTGTGATGCTATTCCAACACAGGAGACTCTTCTACGACGGCATCTATCGTAGCTTCTAAGGTGACAGTCGGGTATATTCGAAGCGATGTCTTGGTGAGGGACATGTTTCCATCCCACCTGCACCATCTGCGGATTACCCCTCCATACCATTCCCATGGGTTCGCGCTTTTGACGTCAGTGCACGCGCCCTAGCTTCCAGGTCAGGTCTTCAGCTATCTACTGAGCTCCCATCGCCATCGCCATCGCCATCGCCATCGCCGCCCACATTGTTTTTCCACCGTGACCTCTACACACCAAACATCTTTCCGAGACTTACCGATCCGACCTCTCGTATAATGCAAGGCTAACGTACAATCCCGAGCCTCATCCCGCCAAACACCTCATGGCGACATCCCCAAGCTTGGGCCCAACTTTGCGCAACGACTACGAAACTCAATCTAGGTAGCTCCCAGCCCGCCAACCGTCGATCCAGCAGTCCGGCCATCTCGTGCCAATCTCGACGATCAACCACCTCACCAACCCTATCTACCCAACCCCCTCAAAATGGCAACCAACCTCCCCGCCTACCCAGCCGCGCACCCCTCCGGCCTCAACCCCGACACGATCGACACGCTCAACGAGCTCGCTTACCTCCTTACACGCCTACGCACACCCGCCTCGACCTCTACAGACACAACCAAAACTACAGGCGCAACACCCTCACAGACAACACAAACCCAAACCCAGTCGCAACCGGGCGAGCTCGCCCTCAAAGAAGTCCCCGCCGCGACCGACGCGCTGAAGCACCGGTTCCAGAAGGCGCGCGCGCAGCTGCGGGCGCGGCTGCCGGACCTGGACCGCGGCATCCCGGAGCAGGAGGCCGAGATCGCGGCACTGGAGGCCAGGCTGGCGCGCCAGCGCGAGACTCTTACGAAATTGCGGGAGGTCGGGGCGCGCACGGCGGCTGGGGCTGGGGATGGGGATAGGATGGTGGAGTGAGCATGAGCGGGGCTTGTGTTTATGACATGCTGAGATGTTGCATTTTGGGAGCTGGTTTTGGGAGGGCGTGGAAGCGATGGCGAAGCATGAGGCACAGCATGGTGAAGAATGAGGCATAGCATGGAATAGTGACCTCGAGGTACCCTACTCTGCAAGATCGTGACCCTTTACATACTGGGGCTTCGGTTTTGAGTCTGGCAGGGAGGGTCTTCGAGGTGGTTCGGATACAAGGGCAATGTTCTGAGGTCATCGGCAGTGGCTTTCTGGGTTTGATTTTCGCGAGGTTTCAGATCTGGTTCAGGTCGTCCATGCATGGGAGTCCGGAGTTTATCATACCATCATAGGCACAAAGGTCACTTCGTGAAGCATATTTCAACCGGCATAAAGAGACGTATCGATTGGAAGATACCATGGATGGTTGTTAGGTTCCAGTGTTATTACAGAGTGCCCCGAGCGCCTTTTCCGAAGCATTACAACCACAACCCCGACTGCTATGCTTATACGTACAGTTGATGCTGATAATTACTCGTTCACGCGCCCAGGACGCCGGCTTTTCGCAGTATGTCACCCGTACTGAGCCTCGGGTCTCCAGAGACGATGATCTTCCACGCATGTTCCGGAATCTGCTTCCCTTCCGGCATCACACTCCAGTTCGGTGACGGCTCGCTCTTCAGCCACTTGAAGTCGTCGACTTGGTTCCATTGGTTCTTTTCCGTCGTCTTCGCGTTGGTCGCCTTACGCGGATTAGTAAGGATACCTGACAGCGAGATTTGGGCAGCACGACTTACATAGGGTTCAGGCAGTTGTGCGAAACGCATGCCGGAGCAGTCCTCGATGATGGGATGGCTAGAGCAGTGCAGATACACATCCACGTTCTTGCACTCGTGCATGCGAACCTGCCGCGCAGCCACTAGAACGATGCTGTCTTCAAGCCCGGTAATGTGTGCTGGTCCGGCAACATGCCCTGCGATGATCAAGCTCTTCTTTATGTCCTTCAACGCCAACCCAGCAAACGGGGCCCCACCACTGGTCGGTATCGTCATGTCTACGATACAGCGGGTCAGGTTGGTCAGACTACCCGAGGACGTCGCTCTCGAGGCCGTAGCAGGTAACATGATGTGCAGCCCCGTCTGGTCCAATATGGAGATGTTCTTCGCCGTCGAGAAACTGGGCTTGCGAATGCCCACGTGCTGGTTGGGGCGCGCCAGTTCCTCGTTGTAGTTCTTGGAGAACGAGGGCAGGGTCCCTATGGCATCGCGTGTCTCTGTTTCGGTGGCCGAGGCGCTCGATTGATCAGGCTTATTGCTATCGTCGTCTGGTAATGAGAAGCGAACTCGCGCGTCCCGGACGGATGTGGGAGATGTTGTTGCCGATTGGGCGAAGCGAAGGCACGAGTCACGGACGGGTGTTGTGGGAGATGTCGTTGCCGATTTGGCAGCTCGGGGCTTGAACTGGAATCGTGACTTTGGCGCAAATTTGGCCGACATCTCGTTCAGCCTGTCCGTGAGAGCCTTGATTGCCTATATAGATGTCAGACGGGGTTACAGTGGTGAACATCAGATCAGGTTCGCATTTTTCAGTACCTGTGAGTATGCCCGCTGGTCGTGGGATGGGATGTAGTCCGAGGCGTCCATCACTTCTTTCGACAGCCGAGAGACGCTGCACAAGACTGTGTCTGTGCCATCTCGTCGCTCGCCGCCAACGGGCGACATAGTTGCCAGGTTGTCGATCTGGTCTTGTATAACTAGAGACTAACAGTCAGGACCACGTCTCTTCGGTCGAAGAGGTTGTTGCATTGGAGCTCACTTGTGACTTCGGCCTGGAAATGTCGGAAGAACCGCTCTTTGGGATCTGACATCCTGAGAGGTGTTAATCCTCCAGCAGAGCTAGGTGGGCTGGGCGTGAAAGGGATGAAGAGCTGGGTGGAGGTAGCCATGTTGGAAGTAGGGGATGAGGGTGTATGTAAGTAGGTGAAGACTGGTTTATTCAGTATACAGTACCTTGTACGACTTGCTGTTTGTTTGAATGATGATTCAATTCAATACCTAGGGTAGAATTACAGCTAGCTATACGCGTCAGGAAGTTTGTATGGTAGGAGAGTAGGTAGACACAGAGTCAGACTTTTGGTGGGAGGGGAAACACACGATTATATACAGCAGAGCCGGCTTCGCGACTTCCCGAGTCACGATGAAACAATGAACGGAAGCACGCAAGCTCGACTATGACGCGTGATGGTCAGTCAGAAAGTCGGAAGGATTTGGAGATCGTCAAGGCATGTAATACACGCCCTAGTAGCGCCGGGATGCGTTTACTGCAAGGTGTCGTCGTTCGTGGACAGATGCGGAATTTTGACATGGTCAGATGTTGATGCGGAAGCATGGAGGCGACACGAAGTCGGTCTGAATGGCTGCGATGGTGCGGTGCTGCAGTGCTGTGGAGGGGCGAGGGACCTATCGATTGGCTGACAGCCCTCGATAGCCGGGCTGACGGTGGGGAAAACGGGGTTCACGTTTGCTGGGGGCAGGCCATTTGCCAATCAGCGGCAGTGCCGAGCGTCTAAAACCCCGCGGTTCTGCGGTGGGGGTGGTCACCTGGCGGCCACTGGCATGACTCGCTGCCCCAACCTGCAGCTGGACCCCATGCTGGACCCTTGGGCGGCCCTGACCGACGGACGCTACCCTGAAAAGGGGACCCCGAGCCGCGATACCCTGGCCGTGTGACGTAGTTCTGGTGCCACCCCCAATGTGACCACAACGCCGTTGGCGATCACCAGGTCTGGATGCGAGATCACCGATCATACCATCTTCACGATGCCAGGACTGAAGTCTGCAGCCCAAGACGTCGCGACGCGCATGACCTGTAACATCATCGTGTTGCATACGCTGCAGCTATGCTTCACTTCCTCCATCCTCGCCAACCGTGGCGAAGACCCACCATTTCTCACCGAGCGAAGTCAGCGAAGTCATTAATGTTACGTGTGTGCCTGACGCCTGACTAGGTAGGTAACTTGCACCGTCTAGAGTCGAGACACATCGGACGGTTATGGGAATTCATCCTATGATGACCCCCTCAAGGATACTTCCTCCCGCTCACCCACCTGCACTCCTTTGACGAGACCGAGCTCCCTATGGTTGAGAAGCGCATCCTACATACGAATGGTGATGAGCCGACAGAAGTTTACTCGAAGGATTCTCTCAACTAGGCAAGCTACCCTGGATCGCCTGTAAGATGATATAATACAGCCACGTTGCGCCCCCTCTGTTCAAGCATCTGTTCAAGCATCGCACTCCTACTCAACACCACATCGGCCGCGCCGGCAGGAACGAGCTTTACTGCATATCGTCATCACAGAGCAAGGCCTCCGAGAGACTCTCCATTTGAATTTGCTAAGGTTGCTATGTATACTCACCTCTCATAGCTCTCCCAATTGACCCATCTTCAGCCAACCCGCAGCTTCGAGCAACACACGTGTCAAGTTCCGATCCAACTGCCCGGCTATGTCATTCACCTCCCTGTTCCTGAACCGGCTTGTGAAGCCCTCGAGTTGGTCGTATTCGAAGGCCACTTCTCCACTGCTATCCACGCGCAACAGCACCCGGATAGGCACGTAGAGTGCGACCCTGATCTCGATCCAGTTCAATCTCGTTGCCGTCAGCGGATTTCCGATCTCGTATTGGACCGCCTTGCCGCTCTCTCCTACGACTTGGAGCAGCCGACCGAAGTCCCGCTGGGACGCGACGAAGTTGTTCAGGGGTGGCAGCGCCTCCAAGGCAGCGAGTGCTCCAGCGATATCTCCTGCCGCCAGAAGAGTGCTGTAAGTGGTGTTCAGCGGCGGGATGGACGCCTCAAGCGTCGCTCTGGTCTCTTCGAAGGTGCGATGCGACCGGATGATGGTATGCTTACTGCCGATGGGATGCTGGCTTGGCGGTGACCATTGTGGATCGCCCATCACCACCGTTCCGGTCGAGATAGCTGCGACTATCAACGTCAAGAGCCGACGAGCAAGAGTCATCTTCACAAGCTGTTTGGCTAGCCTGAAGGACGGTAAATGGAGTGATATAACGGACTTTCTGTGCTGCGATGGACTGGTAGGTGAATTGGTTCGATGGTATCCTGTATAAGGGGTAGTGGAAGGTTGCTTACTGATAGAGGTGGAGGGACTGCGTGCGTACCTTACTTATATAGATACAGTCAGCTCAAAGTCTTAATGCATTGTGGCTGTCCTCTCCAGACCTCTTTGAGCTCTTGTGTTCCTTGTGTCAGGTGACAACCACGCATAAATTGGCGTACAAAAGAGCCGACGCCAAGAGTGTAGGTGGCATTGTCCATTGTCATTCAGCGTACCTTCCGCTTGGCAAGTCCAACCCTAGAGCTGCCGCCCACATCGCCATCCGCCGTGCGTACCTCGCTTTGAGAGGCGAAGAGCCCCTTGGTCATACGGTGTACAGGCTCGGCAACGGCCTCAGTTCGCGCGTAAGGGTGGCTAGCCGGAGGTGCAGTAGCCCCCAGAAGTCCCCGTCCGCGTACATCGAGACGTTCTTCCTGATAGGATATAGACAGTGCAACGAGCAAGGTTGAATAGGTATTTACATCCTGAAAAGCCACGATTGCTGGTCTCGGAGTGGTTATTTCATTGCAAAGAAGCTACCCCTGAATATTCAAGGCCTTAGTCACCGGGTAAGCGGAGACGCTCTTGATGTACAGAATATAGGCCACGATCAACAGTGTCACATCTTCTCCTTGAGGTCCATGATCGCGTCGATGGTTGGCGGGTTTCTGTTGATCCAAGAGCCATGGTCTCCCCAGAAAAGAATTGTGTCGACCAAAACCAATCCGTCCATGATACCTGTCACTGCTTACGAAGACGCCTGGAAGACTGTTGGTGACGAGTTCGTAGGATGGCGCTCTATCTTCCCTTCCGTTGTTGGTACAAATCGAATATCAAAGGCGGTAGCCGTGACGGCCTGTACAGACCTTCCCACATGACAAGCGGATACTTCCCAATAGGGGAAGGATCTGACCAGAGGATCCCCTTAAAGGGGCAACCTCCCACTGTACCTATCTCTCTCTCTCTCTTCCTTTCCTCTCTAGTCTTGATATTCTCATCAATAGAGTAATAGCTGCTTGCTGCTGGCCATGTCCCAGCTCCTCAGTACGCTCGCCGTGACAGTAGCTATGTCTGGCTTCAACCGTGTATGTTACATGGAGCCGTTTGATCTTCTCTAAAGGACCCGGAAGTTTGGTTTTCGCGGATAGCTAATTACATGATTAGCTTAAAGTTTTTTATAGAGAAGAATTTGGCTAGTCGTGATGTCGGTCCGGCACGACTTTAACCTGTATTTAAGACTTAATGTTCGCGGGATAGATTTTTTCTTTAATAAATTAATAACCGACTATTAGTGACCTTGTGCGCCTTGGGTTTTTTTCGGTTTAGTTGCTTCGCGTTGCTTTTTATCTGGTTTTAACTACGCCTTTTAAATTAGCTTTAAAGTTTTTTAATTACGTTTTTACGCTTTTATAACTACGGTTTATCTCGATTTTAGCTTTTATAACTTTAGGTTGTTAAATAAAATTAAAAAAGTTAAAAATATTTACTTTGATAAAAACTAAAGCTATCGTTTTTTTTCTTCAACTTATCGTTATAATAATCGATATAAAAGTAGCTTTTTAATTAGCTTTATAATTAATATTAAATAACTTAAGTATACACGAACTTTTCGTAGATTTAACTTTAATAAAAGTCTTTATTTTATTTTCTTTATTTTTCGAAAGAAAAAAGTAGACTTTCAGAGACTTTTTAAAAGCCAGCGATTCATTTTCAAGCTATAATATATAACGTAATATACTATTTAACACGTTTTAATATTATTTTAAATCAAATATATAAAGGAAGATAAAGGAAGAAATAAAGTGCTTTAAGTAAGGTTTAACTTTATAAGCGAGGCTTTATGCGTATACCGTTTAATATATAACGTGTTAGCTTAAGCTTATAAACGTTATTTATAATTGAAGTTTTAATAAATTAAGATATTTTATAGCGTTTTATTTTAATATATTCGACGTATAATATAAAGGCTTTACTTTTTGTTGTTTTTTAAAGTATTTAAGGTTTTTTTTGGTTGTTTTTTTGTCGAAGCGCTTAATAAAATAAAAACAAATCGCTAGGCGTAACGTAACGATAAGGGCATTATATAAACGAAAACGCCACGTTGTAAATGACAACTGATTTATCTTATATTACTCTTAACTACCTATAAAACACCTTAATGTCGTCTTGTAAGCTACTTGGAATACACGGTAAGATTGCCAGTGCCACCCCTTCCTTAAGAACAGATATAAATGTAGTCGCGAACCTAGCGTTCTCGATACCTTGGACGAGTAGTCATCATAATACGCCCTCCCCGTTTCCCCAGTGCCTTCTTCGGCTTACGTCCCTCTTTCAGGACAAATGGAGGCTTCGGAAGGATGGGTCCTTTTCGTTGACAAGATGGGCTTTCTTGATTATAGTCACCCCATATCCATAAATGCCTTGGCTGGCCGCCCACATAATTCCGTTGTTCTTCTGTCATCAGTCCCGTGGGTATCCTAACCTCTTTATCTTCGCCGTTCACCACGATCGTTCTATCCTCGTAGTTTAAGTATAGATGGCCGTGCAACCAGCACAAGTTTTGAGTTGGGCCCATGCGGACGGTTACGTGTTCATCGTCATCGGCCCAATCGCGCATTTTACCATATTGTGTTCTCGTGATTCCCGCCGTAGTTCGATCATGAGCATCCATCCTGATTTTGTTAGTCGTTGTAGGTTTGGATAGTCGGGGTTCTATATATCACCCGGAGGAAAGAATGGGCTATTCTAGCCTCTTTCTTCAAAATCACCTCCAATTCATGAAGTTCATCCTTGTTAAATCCAGAAAGCCAGGTAATCTACCACGCATGAGCACAGGTCAAAAAAAGGCTAAGATTGATGATATCTCCATCTGGAAGGGGGTAAGGAACTCTGAATGGTATATGGCTGTCTGGTGCTCCTTACGCTGGGAGATGGTGCATACATAACTATATGAAATATTACTTACTTGTGGATCATCTTTAGTACCATTGCCTACAGTCCGGTAGGGATCAGCCATCCTCACCAACATGTCCGCACTATGCTTCGCGCCCCAGGGCAACGGCATAGCTGGCATCCAAGTAATATTTTCATGCTTCCACACGTGGTGCACGTGCTATGTGTATCCTTTGAGCTCCCTGCAACCTCCCACTGATTTCTGGTAACTTCGGCATCTCGAGTTCGGTGTGAGTACCTTCAACAAATAAGCGTTACTTCAGTGTAGTTGAGAGTACATTCAGCACCAGCATGTCTTCCACCACGTACCAGGCTATATGAGCTCGCCAATCTACAAAGGTTCACAACCGATAAAGACATGTTGCGCTCAACCTAATAAGCAAGGCCCTTTCTTGAATTCGGCATTGAGCTACTAAGAGAGCACAGGTCCATTTACGAAGTTCCAACTTGCTGACCGTTTTCAGCCATCATGTGAGATAAAGACATCAGTTGTTGTCGAGAACGCATCCGCCCAACCAGCGAAGTCCTGGATCCCTTTGTAAACCCTCCATTGCGGTGTGTGTATGAGTTCCCCTGAGTCTACCATATGCCTACTCGTGGTTAGCCTCTGGCTTTAACCTCGAACGTCCATCGTGGGTACTCTAGGCTACCCAATTCTCCATCTTCCGTATGACCTGTACTGGTATGGACAAGGGAGCTGTGTTCGTTTCCGAACTGATTCTATTTATACTATGCTACGCAATTCCTTCTGCAATATGGGCTGGACAGTGTTTGTAATAAGCCAGTTTGGTGTAGGCACGTATGGAGATGCGCCACGCTGAAATTTCGAGCGTTTGAGATAGTCTCGTCTGTTTGCAGAACAGTGGCTACAACCAAACAATTGAACAGGTTTACCACCCCCATGAGATGGTCGTATGTATAGATTTATGATTCTGAGTTCAATTTGATATAAGCGTCTTTATATCTTGTCGAACTAACTAATTTTGATTCGAAGCTCTTTATACACATTGCACGAAGACCAAGCCTCCTTCATGTGATATCTCCAGACTTTGTTGAAAAAGATGGGGGCAAGAGAGCAGATCTCCAGGAGCTCCCATGATTCGGTTCGCAATCCAGGAAACCAAGGCTATTGCCAGTAGAACGCCTGAAACCCCAGCTATCCATCTTCTATCAATGCTGCGGAGTATGCTGGGGTTCTTTTGGGAGCTCCCTGCCCTTCTTAGCCAAGGATGACTCAGTATCGCATCTATAGACATCCTGTCCTTCGGGTCATACTTGAGAATGCCCCGAAGAAGTGTTGCTAGATATGACTTCCTGTTCCGGATACCAATACTTCACCACTGGGTCATATCCTCAATTTTCACTGGGAAGATACAGCTCTCGCTCTTTGCCCAAGTACGCTTCAAAAACATCCGTGTAGGACGTTTCGCAGATGCTATCACCCTTTGCACGTTGGAGAGTACCACGGGAACAGGTTGCTGCTCTGAGTGACTTTTGGTCCTCGTCTTCCACAAGTACCGAAATGTGCCGCGGGCCTTCGAAGCCCTCTCTGTCCCGCACAGCTCGATAAGGGTTCGGTAACTCCCCCAGGAGAACCTCTATCTCGTAGACGACTCTTGATAAGCTTGAACCTTCAAAGCTAGCCCCAAACAGTTGTTTTCCACTTCGGATCTCATGAAATATACATGCCAGAGACCAGATGTCACTTTCGGGTCCCGGTTCTGCAAACAAAATCTCAGGAGCTGCGTATGACGTTGGGATCCCATTTGTTTCAGGCGGATTCCGTGTCAAGAAAGATTCGCCGAAGTCGACAATGACGATGTCGTTGGTGAGCAGCTCCTTACACCACTTCCCTTTTGGGGGATGTATGCAGTAGTCGGGGGCAATGGGACGTGGATCTACTCCAGACTTTGTCTCGACGGGATATGCTTGCGGAACTCCCATCAGCTCGTGGAGCTGGTCTTCGTCGAGCTTATGAAGCGCGTCCTAGTCAATCTTCATCAGAATATTCGACGGCCTGAAGTCTCCATGACACAACCCCCTTTGCATGAAGGAAGCGTAGAGCCTTGGCGACTTGGCTGCAGATCTCACTCGCTGCAAGACCTGTCTCCTCCGATTGATTATCTTGCCCACGAGGCCAATCGTCCACCGTGTAGCCAAAGACTGGCATCACGAGACACAGATGGCGCCCATTCACGCTCTCAAGCCAAAATTGCTCCAGAGGGGCTGCGATGTAGTTCGCGTCGAGCTCTTCCGGAGTCGACTCTTGAGCTAGATGCTGCAGTATCTCGGCTTCTTTTCCACTGGAAGAGTGATCGGCTGCCATGACGTTGACTGCCCTCCATTTCGCTTCTTTCAGGTCTCTACATAACCAGACAGTCCCGAAGCCACCACTTCCCAGTTTGTGGTTGACTTCCCACCTGTCGTCTAGGATGTCCGCAATGTGTACTGGATAGAACCCGCCCTTGTTGTACCGGTCGATATCCTCGATTCCGAATTGGCTGACCAGGTAGTCGTATACGTACTCCTGTGTCTCCGACTCATCCGTACCTTGCTCACCGGTACCTTGGTCATCGGTAGCTGGCTCATCCACATCTTGCTCATTCGTACCTTGCTCACCCGAAACTAGTACTATATAAATGGATCGGTACTAGCGGCATTTCAAGTCCATGTATCATTTCACCCGTCAACACCTGAGTGAAAGGTCCTGCCGCCGTGCCCACTAAGGCAGTGTTGAAACAAAAGATACCTGACTCTTCTGTGTTCGATGCGCCTAAAGTACACTGGCTTATCCGAGCCTAACTCATATGTATCTGGCTCGTCCGTAACTGGCTCATTCGTACCTGACACCATCTCGGACTGCTCCGGCAGACTGCTGGCGCTCGCATCACCGCTGGTGGTTTCGGCCATGACTCTGTATAGAGACGACGCGGATATGTGGAGCGATGGATTTGAGTCCTATATGCGTAAGGAAGTACTCGTGAACTGGAAGATGACTTGCTTCTGGCCAGTCAATCATCCAGTTGACGATAGCGGATGGTAGGGACTGGAGTCTTGGACGACATAAACTACAAGAACATGGAGTGTGCAAGTACAGCTTCATGGCGGGTTTCTTGGAACGTGATATCATGCTCTCCTTTGTTCTGCGAGTGAGACAGAGGCGCAAGCGTCGAAAAGGGGGTATCTCAGGCTAGCGTGCTCATCTATCTACACTGTCCAACTTCACAGCAGCCTCAAGTTAGTCCTTGGGGATTGTCTTTACTATCTAGACAATCCCATGCCTCAGTCCATAACAAGTGGGAGAGCCTGTCGGCACCGTTGTAAGGAGTTGACCGAGCTTCAAGCCTTGGAAGACACCACAACATCTTGCACAAAGCTCAAGTGATAAATGTGATCTATGTACGGCCATTGATGACATCTTCCAATCCTGGTTCGCAATGTACTCAGGTCTCAGCACACATGTACCTACGCGTGTTGCGACAGTATTGTTCCCAAGGGCCACGTTGGCGCCAACGCGATTGCGCAAGAATTGATGCGCGGCCAAGTATTTTGATTGCAAGCATCCCAATCAAAGTTAAAAGGCAATGTGCAATGGACTGCTGTATCTCGACCTTAACTGGGCTTCGGACGTGATTCTCGATGATATCGCATCATAGCTAGGATTGCTCGGGCCCCCCTGAACACGCATTGATCACGCCATATTAGTCAATACTGACGCAGTCCCTTACATCAACCCTTCCCCGGTATACATATAAGGCATTCCCACCACCCGATTGTCAATCGGTGCTGCTGGCTTATTGGGTCAACAACATTGCGAGTCATGGAACTATCCAGCATCATACTTCCCGCGCCGGTCATCGAGCCCTTCTTCCGCCCTTGGCCATGAACGGCTCTGTCCTTCGGAAGACGCCGAATGTTTCCACACGAGGACCAAACCGCCATGGGTTGAGAAGACCATGTATCTCTTGGCATCTTGGCACGCCTGGAACGATTAGGAGTCCCCAGAGCTCGGATTTGTGGCGCACAAGTTGGTTGGGGTTTACATGATGCTTTAGGCCTTGCGGTCCTTGTACGCTGAGCGGCATGGTCGTAGGACTACATGGTGGCGTTTCCTCAACAAACAACATAACCCAGGCCAGTCGTCGAAGTACGAATCTCACATGTTCACCGGTGGGAAGTCCGGTTGACTTGACGAAGGTCTGGAAGGATGCAATCTATGGGCCCATCCCGCCGTGCGAGAGGACATGTTCGGGCGGATTACTGTCCAATCTGTTCGCCATGAGGAGCTTCCCGACTCAGGCAGGACCCGTGCTTGAAAGATGGTTGTGCTGATTATCTTGCAGGTCGTGTGTGGATCTCCCCCGAAATGCATTCCCTCCCCACACCGGTCTCTTTTTGGCGCTCACAAATTGTTCGTGGACTGGAGGGAATACGACCCATCGAGTCCGGCGATTTGCACGTCTCGTATGCTCCGGTTACGACGATGGAGGAGGCCTGCTTATCCAACGTCAGCAGCTCTGGCGATGGGGTTCTTCCAGATTTCGCAGGTGGCTTGGTGGTGGTGGTACCGAGAGGGTCGCAGGTGAGCGCCGGGTTACATTACACGATTCTTACCGGGTTGTGGGCGGACGATAGCACCCATCCGACTCGATGCGGGAACGACTCGGCCGAATAATTGGCAGACGAAGGACACTGTGTTGCCTCTCGGAAGACAGTTCCGACGTATACGTACTGTTATCCTATTCCCAGAGATCCAACGATGGCCATGGCCTCCAGCCTGTTACTCTGAGGTGTCGGGCGGCCGGACGGCGCAACAGTTGGCGAACACTGCTTTGCGATTCGAGGGGAAGGCACTGGGAAGCTATGCTATGTACCAATGTGATAGGCAAGTCGGCTTTACACGAAATGCACATCGAGAATTTGATGACGGTCAGATGTACCTTACAGATCCTCAAACTGTTGAACAATAGGACGACTTTAGGATGAGCGCAGGGATCATGGCTCACAGCACCTCCAAGAAGTTAATCTCACGCTCTTGGCGAGACATGGCCTGCTCAATGCAACGCTTGGAAGCCCACAATGCCACTAAACAGAGGCTTGAGTAGTGACCAAGAGCATCACGGAGATTTCTTTATTGGCGGTTTGCCCGCTGTCACCTTTGATACTTCCTCTTGGCGACTGGAAAAAAGTCAAATCTGCATGTCACACAACACCTGCAGAGCGCGTCAGCCACCATTACCATTGTAAGCCTCATGATCCCGCGTTCATCAGCTTTCTCATGAACCAGAGAGCCAAAAGCTAGAGCACTATCCTCTATCCTCCGTGGGGGTATGTGTATGGTGCATGATAATCACTGCAGCCCACGCTTTGCGTAGCGGACCCCTGGCCTCTCGGTTAACTACCGAGATATCTTCTCAGCTGCCCAACTGGGCTAGGGTCTGTCTGGAGGGGTGATCGTTGCAACCTTGACGCGTATCTGGCTAAGAGATGCTAGATTCGATGATCTCCCGCTCGTGAATAAAACTTGCAGCAAGAAGACCATGGTCTAAGCTTCGTGGCGCGGAAACACACGGCTGAGATGGCCAGCCGAAGACAATACTGGTGAAACAACCTGGGAAAGGCCGCCAAGCAACCGCCCGCATGCTTACTATGTTGGCGACAAGGGAAACAAGCTGAACCTGCGCTCGTCTATAGGGCCACTGAAGTTATCTTACGATTTCGTATGCCTTATGCCTGTTCTCTCGTGACAGACGCCTAAGACTTCGGGCTGGATTCGCGGAGGCGCAGGCAAGATGAGGATTAACGACAAGCCAATAGTCCGGCTTCACCATCAGTATCAATCTGAGGAGAGGTACTGAATTATTGCGTTTGGCTCATGAGCACAGACAAGGCCTCTTGCCAAGAACGATCATCCATGTAGGCTGACCGCGTCTCGATCTTACATGAGATGGGAAAAAAACTGGGTACCATTGGCGCCCGTAACGCAGCAAACTGCTGCCGACGATCCTAGCACAGTCGAGGGTTGACGACCATGATTGCCCATAGATGAAGTTGAAAGGTGGTGGCTGCCCACAGTGTTTGAATGTAACGGCAACAAACGGCAGCATGTCCCGTTGGTCTTTTCCGCCCTTGATGCGCCTGAATTATACGGAGCTCTGTTACTCAAGGCAAAGATTTGATGGAATCTCCTACTCTACTACGTTGGGAACCATGAAGTTATTCCTCAAGGCTTCAGGTGGTATAGATCAGCGGACCCTGAATGTAGCTGATCAGCCCTTTGCGTCCCAAGATGTGGTGCCAGCGCACCAGCGAAGCGGGCTGATGCAAAGTTGCCAACTCCGCATCCACCAACGAATAGAGTAAGAGTTTGTGGGTGTAGAACTCGTACGATGAGCGGGGGTGTCTCGATCGATACCCCTGTGTGAGCTCGAGCGATGTAACATGGACCAGCGGGTGTGTGTGTCGAGTCATGGAAAAGCATTTGAGGCAGGAGCTGACTCTTGGGAGGACCTATCACAGTTGGCTACTTGTGGCGCTTGGCCTACAGCTCGCTGCTGGAAGGATAACCAGCTTAAAGATATGACGAAGTTATCCGGCGCGGATATTGGAGTCGTCTGCGGATCCATCTGCAGCGCAACTGTTTATGTCCAGTAACCCCTAGCTGCATACGCGGCATGTGATTCTTCCGCCATATTCCGTTTTTATTGGTAGGACTTGGGGTCCTACGGAAGATTTCCTCGACCCCTGTTGCAGATGGCGGCAGCTTACTACAACCCAAAGGAACGCTAACGACGCCCGTCATCGTCGGACGGACTCGATTTGAAGTTGGAAATGCTGAGCGGCTGCTCGAGATAAAGACCACCAGTCTGACGACCCGTGCGAATTGCGAGCCGGCCGATGGACATGAGTCTTGTGGGGTGCTCAACTCATGCCGGTGCTGGCACAAAAGTGCCATGGTTGTCAGGAACTCAAGGGCTATTTGTTTCCTGACGCTATGGGTCGGTCCTTACAACTTTTCATTAGATCTAATATATCATATTGGAAAATTCCAGCTCTTTCAATAAACGACAACTCCACCCGATGGCCAGGAGGGAAGTCACATATGAACCACCCAACGATGTGTTGCAAGTTGTTTGCATGATGACAACATAGGCAGGAGTGATGTGAGCATGCATAACAGTGTTTGAGAGCCAAAGCAAACCTACTGCCAAGGTGAAAGGGCACCTCTGTTGGACGGCGCTTCTATTGGACAATTCTTCCGAGTCTGCACTGCAAGTCATCATAAATAGGGGCAAGGATCAAATCTCTGCAAAAACATATTATTCTGACCCGACACTGCACTGCTCCCCACTGGAACTCCCGTGGAAGCTGCGTGGAGGTCCATATCATCGAACAAAAGGGGCAGACTTACTGTAAGCCAGAAGCACAATATGGGATATCTCGGAAGCATTGTCTCCACGAGTACTCCCAGATGTGCCAATTGCACACAATGATGAGCCGAGTCCTGAAGTTTGCCATTTGAATAGACAAGGGCAACAAACGGGCCACATGTGCTGTCACCATATCCGCATCAAAACATGCATAGGCCGACTGTGATCAGAACACTTACGTACCTAGCTTATAAGATCACCACAGACGATAAGTCGCAGCTTGAAGGGATTTTAGATTGCAATGCATTATCTATACAGAAACACGTCCAAGCCACTCTAGCAGACAAAAGAGAGAGTGAAATAAACGCCCGAACAGGTCCCCCGTTGCTGACCATTGGTGTCAGCTACCAGAACGGTTTCACGTCGACCGCCCCCCTCCAGTATCCGAAGACAGAAGCAAGACCGACAAGAACCAGCGCTTGCGATGCCATATTCTTCCCAATCTGTCCCAGCACCCTGCTCTGGACTGCTTTTACTCGGTCACCGAAGGCATCCGTGTCGTTGACTCTCGGGAACGGAGCCTGCACCCAACCATTCTTGGTCTGCTCCCCTGGGGCCTGGATACCGAGATGCTTGCATAGTGGATCCCAGCCGTCCTGTACCTTGAACTCAATGTACCGCTCGGCAGGGATCCTGGCTCTGCAGTCTGCAAAGTAACCGTGGAAGAAGTCCAACGTCTCCTTCTTGTTGTACGACCCCAACCCGACACCCGACTTGGCGATCAGGTTGCCCAGGCGTATGATGGCGGATCCCTGGGTGGGCATCCACGGCCGCAGAAACCACTCCAGATATTCCACTGAGGCCCGGAGCTTGATCACCTTCTGCACCGTGTTCGAGATGGAGACATACCACTTCTCGGGATCACGGTTCAGAATGATGACCTTGGCTTCGGGGTACACCTCGGAAAGCTCAACTGCGAAGTAGCCCCCTGGAGCATCAACAACAGCCTAGGACGATTAGATATACTTTTCCTCCGCGGCCTGCAAGAGACTTACCTGGCACTCTTTGAGCAGTTGATCCCACTGAGCACGCGTGAGGTTCTTGCCCTCTTTCTTGGCCTTGATGGCGGCTTCCCAAAGCTTGTAGTCATCGGGACTATCCACGTAGGTCGTCATGTGGTAAACATCATGGATTCCAAGCTGTTCCAATGCCAACTTCATAGCTATTAAACGATTTAGCAGGTCTCACTACAACAGGAGTAGATGTCGTACATGATGTTCCAGTTCGAGGTAGACTGCAGACGATCACCTTCATAGGCACCGAAGGCCGCGGTGGTTGGCCACCAGATACGCTGGTTTTGGACGACATTTCGAGTGGTGGATGAGTTCGAAGGTTCTCGATTTCGGCTAATGATCACTGTGATGACTTCGTAGTTCTTGAGAGTGGACACGTTCAGTCATATAGGATTAACGTCACGGTCTACTCCGGAGTGAGCTTGTTCCATATCGTTGCACCGGACTTTACCTGCTCGGCGACACACCGGTACCTTATGTGCAACACCACCCCGATATGGACGGTACGTCGTGCTATGTAACACGGAGTAAGGCCTGACTGGATCTCATCCCTTGGCTGGACCCCTTCGTACCAGACTCTTCTGTGTCTATTGCGCTTATCTCATGCCGGCTGAATAGTCAGCAGCCCGGTATCTATTCATGGAATTCAACGCCCATCAGCTAGGACGTGCATAAGCCTATCGACGACTTTCCCGACGAGGAAAGAAGCCACAATATTCGCCAAGCAAGTTGAGGTCTCGTCTACGGTATGTAGCAACCATTGGGGCGGAGCTCACGACCTCGCCCTCGTGAGACCAAAAGTCCGGGCCGTACATCTGTCATCAGCACCTGGCAACATGCGATCTTGCTTCACGTGTGGTGCACGTGTCGTTCACCCAGGTACTTGGCGGTTTGCCATGTACACTATACGCATGGGCCTCACACGGCGTTAAGCTTCGATAACCACTCCAGACGATCTGCCCCTTCGCACTCCGAAAGCTGCCATCAGAACGCAAAAGCGTAACTAGCATCATGTAATTTGCCACTCGCGTATATGTCTTGCTGCCGCTCCACAGAATATGGCACTCTGGTATACACCCCTGCTGCAGCATGCCTTCTGCCACCACCATCTCGCCCGTTGGGGACATCTCCATGTCTCAACGCCCGTCTCCGTGAGACCGTCACGCATGTGACATTTCACCTTTGCAAGCCAAGATATGTCAGACTAGGACATTCAGTAGAGAGCTGAGCTCAGCCAGTGCTACCATAAGCATTTGAGACGGGCCCTTCGCATGTCTCCTCACGCTATAGTGGCCTCAAAGAGACAGTAGAGGCTCATGATGGATGAGTTCATAGGACGTTCAACGGTGGCTTGATACCCACCAAAGAAGGTTACATGTCTAGATAGCATGAGATGCAGTACCATCCGAGCCCCATGAGGAAGGTTGTCAGCTTACAATCGTAGGTTCGTTAGACGCATGAGTCCTTTGTGGCACTGACCTTGTTGCCTTACCACCCCCCTGGTGCCAGTATAATCTCCGTGTCAGTCATCAACACTCCTACGCTAACGCCGTGTAAGTCTGTATATATGCCACGATGCCAGCTTCGAAGAAGGCTTCCATCTTCCAATTATCGTAAGCCCCTCGATCATCCGAACTTGTAAGCATGGCATCAACTCGGCATCACGTGTTTCTCTTCGGAGACCAGACCGACGACGTGACGTCTGCCGTCCACTCCTTATACGCCATAAGCCGACGATCCGGTCTCCTGACGAAGTTTCTCCGAGAAGCTTCAGATGTCTGCCAGATCGAGTTTGGCAAGTTGGAACCGTGCTTCCGTAGCGAGACGCCCCCTTTCGAATCCCTCCTCGAGCTGTCAGAGCAGCATGCGAAGACAGATGGATCACCAGTCCTAGTAGCATCTACGCTGTCTTACTTCTCCCGCTTGGGAGAGCTTATTGTGTAAGTTCATGAACGACATCGGAAGATTATTGATACTAACGACTCCATCAGTCGCGCAGAGGAGGACCACACTCTCTTGACATCGGACCGTAGTATAATTGGATTATGCATAAGTTTATTCCCAGCCGCCCTTGCGGGTACCGCCCAGAGTGCCTCCGAGCTTGCAAAGCTCTCTGTGGAGGCCTTTCCTACATACTTCGCCCTCGTCGTCAGCAATCACTACCGAACAAAGCGTATCGAATGGGCTCACGGCCACTGGTCCTATCTGGTGATGAAGCCATCAGACATGGATCTCCAACCGTTGCTTGATAGGTTTCACGAGGCACAGGTATGCTGCCCTAGTCACACAGGTATAACAAGCACTAAGATTTCAGGATGTTCCGGCCCACAGACATACATGGATTGGCGTCGTTGGTCGCACCTGGGTCACAGTCAGTGGCCCGCCGTCAACACTCAAGCAACTCATTGCGTTCTCTGCCGAGCTGCGAGCTTTACCTGGCATGGACCTGCCTGTAGCCGGTGCTGTCCATGCTCCCCATCTTCCACCGCTCGAGGTCGATATACTGGCCAAGAAGTCGGACATATGGAACCTTCCTATCCAACCCAACGCCTGTGTCATGTCGACGGATACGTGCGAACGATATCCGATGAAGACGCTGGGAGAAATACTCCGGCAGATCGTACCTGATTGCACACAGGCACGACTGAAGGTTGATGCGACCATCACTGCTACGGCCGAAAGGATTAAGAAAGCTGGTGTTTCCGCAGCTGTCTCTATTCTAGGCCCTTCAGCACAGGGAGGGGCTTTGATCAAAGGCCTGAAAATGGCCAAGATCGACACCAAGGTGCTACAAAGACCGAACTACAAGCTCGACGCACCACACCGAGCAGGCTCAGGGGCCATAGCCATCGTGGGCATGGCAGGGAGATTTCCTCAGGCCAATGATCTTGAGCAGTTCTGGAAGCTGATTATGGAGGGCCGGGCAACTCACGAAACGGTAAGCGAGCTCCGCCCTTGCGTGGACTAGGTACACGAGGAGCACCGACTGACAACTATCCCAGGTCCCAGCGAATCGATTCAGTATTGCAGACTTTTACGACCCGACGGGAAAGAAGAAGAACAGTACGATAACTTCTGATGGCTGCTTCATGTCAGACCCAGGCAACTTCGACTCCCGGTTGTTCAACATGTCACCTAGAGAAGCGATGCAAGTTGACCCCGTCCATCGATGCTTCCTGATGGCTTGTCTGGAAGCTCTCGAGAAGTCTGGATACAATCCAGACGGAAACCTGGCAGCGGAGAGCAAGCGGACTGCTGTCTACTTCGGCCAGATTGCAGACGCATGGCGAGAGATCAACATGCAGCAAGGTGTAGACGTCTTCACCGCCCCGGGTCTCCTGAGAGCGTTCTCTCCGGGACGAGTGAACTACCACTTTGGGTTTGAGGGAGGTTCCTATAGCTTGGACGCCGCCTGTTCATCGAGTTCGACTTCCATCCAACTCGCCTGTGCCGCCCTGATGAACCGAGACTGCGACATGGCTCTCGCTGGAGGAGCTCAGATTTCCAGCAACCCCTATGAGTTCGCCGCATTGGCCACATCTGGCTTCTTGGCGAGGTCCGGTGGCTGCAAGACTTTCCGAGCAGATGCCGACGGATACTGTCGTGGTGAGGGTGTCGGAGCAGTTGTACTGAAACGACTCGAGGATGCGCTTGCGGACAATGACAACATCGAAGGTCTCATCACCGGCTGGGGACGCAACTACTCTGCGGGCGCTTCCTCGATCACGCACCCTCACCCAGAGTCTCAGGAGAAGTTGCTTCGCCAGGTCCTGCGTCAAGCCAACGCAAAGCCAAGCGATATTGGATACGTCGAATTACACGGGACTGGCACGATCGCTGGCGACATGTCCGAAATGACATTGACGACGAGGATCTTCAACGGCCACTTCAAGCCAGAGAAACCTCTCCACGTCGGAGCCCTCAAGGCCAACATCGGCCATTCCGAGGCCGCCGCCGGTGTCTCGTCCGTCATCAAGGCGGTGCTCATCACGAAGCGAGGCGTCATCCCACCGCAGGCGAACATCAACTCCGAGACCAAGTTCCACCCGGGTTTCGCCAACCTCGACATGTCCACCATCAAGATCGACATGGAGCCCGCGACGCTGGACAAGACCAAGAACAAGATTATGGTCAACAACTTCGACGCTGCGGGAGGAAACACCTGTCTGTTGATCGAGGGCGCGCCGGCACCCGGCGAGAAGAGCGTCGATCCTCGAAGCTGGCACACTGTCGCCGTATCCGCGCAGACGAACCCGTCGCTCAAGGGCAACAAGCAGCGCCTGCTGGACTACCTAATCAGGCACCCGGAGACAAAGCTCGCAGACGTCGCCTACTCCACGACGGCTCGCCGCATGCACTACACCCGCAAGTCGCAGTACATGGCGACTTCGACCGAGGACCTGATCTCGCAGCTGCAGAAGGACGTCGCGAAAGCGAAGCAGGACATCAAGGCGGTCAACTCGAGCCCGGACAACGTCTTTATGTTCACGGGCCAGGGATCGCACTACTCCGGCATGGCCCACGAGCTGTACAGCACCAGCCCACAGTTCCGCGCCAACATGGTCTCGCTCCAGAAGCACTGCCTCTCGCTCGGTCTGCCGGAGTGGATCGACATCTTCACCAACCCAAGCGAGGATCTGGCCGCGTTTTCGGCAACGCAGATGCAGCTTGCGATCGTCTGCCTCGAGCTGGCGTTGGCTGAGCTGTGGCAATCATGGGGCATCAAACCCAGCATGGTTATGGGACATAGTCTCGGTGAGTACGTCGCTCTCTGCGTCGCTGGTGTGCTGTCGGTTTCAGACACCCTGTGGCTGGTTGGTAAGCGCGCCACTATGCTGGAGGCGAACTGCAAGAAGGATGAGTATGGCATGCTCTCCATGTCGGCCACCGCATCTGAGGTCGAAACGATGCTCAAGGAGGGCGGCTTCGAGAAGGACTGCGAGCATGCCTGCTACAACAGCCCCAAGTCCAACGTCGTCAGCGGACCCGTCGCCAGACTGTCCGAGCTAGAGAAGTATGTCTCTAAGAAGGGCATGCGTGCGAAGCTCCTGCAGATTCCGTATGCCTTCCACTCCGCACAGCTCGATGATATCTATGAAGATTTCAAGAAGGCTGCTGGCAGTGTCGCCTACCTCCCACCTCTAGTACCAGTCGCGTCAACCGTCACGGGCGAGATCGTTGACAAGGAAGGTGTCTTCAACGCCAACTATTTAGCCCGTCACGCACGACAGCCCGTTCGCTTCGCCGATGCCCTGCAGAGCATCCAGAAGTCGCGAGGAAAAGGCCAGGCGCCGCTCTGGCTCGAGGTTGGACCGAGCCCGATCTGCTCCACCTTGTTGCGCGAGACTCTGGACGTAAATGCATCGGAGCTGCTCACATCCATGAAGTCAGGGGAGAACAACTGGAAGACAATTGCCACCTCCATGGGACGTGCCTACGTCGCCGGTTCGTCACTCCACTGGCCCGAGTTCCACAGACATCACACCGATTCTTTGAGGCTCCTGGATCTGCCGACCTACTCATTTGACTTGAAGTCGTACTGGAGGGCTTTCACGACCGCGACCGGCGCCTACAGCGGGATCTTTGTAGGCGATGGTCCGCCAGCGGAGTTGTTGGCCGCGGCCGAGCCCGAAACGCAGTCGAAATTCGTGCCGACAGCCATGGTCCAGAAGCTTCAAGATGAGACGGTCGAGCCTGATAGGGTCGAAGTCACTTTCACGACTAGCGTTGCGGATGAGCGGGTGCGCGGGGTTATCAGAGGGCACAACATCGAAGAGACCTGCATCTGCCCAGCCAGCGCATACGTCGACATGGCCCAAACCGCTGCCCAATACGTGCACAAGCTGGCCCTGCCAGACAAGAAGTCGCTCGGAACGCTCGTCGACCTCGAGCTCATCAACCCGCTGGTACTCAAGGGCGAGGAGATCACCCAGCTGGTCGAGATAAAGGCCATCGCCGAAAAGAAGGACGACTGGACCGTGTCCGTCAGCTTCCGCTCCAACACCGAGGGCGGCAAGTTCGACGACAACGGGAAGTGCAAGGTCCTAGCCGCCGACCCGGCCGAGAAGAAGCCCGAGTGGGCTGAGAATGCCGAGCTCGTCAAGAAGCGCATCCACGCCCTGATGAACCCGGACGCCGACTCCGAGGTCCAGCACCTGCGCCACCGCATCCTTTACAAGCTCTTCGACAACCTGGTCAAGTATGGCAAGCGGTACCAAGGTATCACAGAGGCGTATGTCGACTACGACATGCACGACGCGGTCGCCAAGATCAAGCTGGTGCCCACCCCCGACTCAGACAAGGGCGCCTTCGTCATTGACCCGTACCACAGCGACACCCTCGTCCACCTGGCTGGCTTCCTGCTCAACAGCGACCACGACGACTCCGACGGGCTCCTCAGCTTCTCCTCAGGCCTCAACGGCATGATGATGGCGGCCAAGATGGAGCAGGGCAAGGAGTACCTCAGCTATGTGCGCATGCTGACCAACGCCAAGGGAGAGTCCATCGGGGACATCTACATCTTCGACGGAGAAGAGGTTGCTGGAGTCATCGCGGGCCTCAAGTTCCATCAGATGAGACGTGCGGTCATGAAGCTCACCCTTGGATTGCACACCGGAGCCGGAGTTCCGCAACCGGCGGTCGTAGAAGCTGCTCCACTAGCGAACGGCGCGCCAAACAAGGCAGTCGCCGCGCCAGCTGCAGCTGCTTCGAAGGGTAGCATGGCCGATGCATTCATTGCTGCGCTCATCTCCGAGACCGGTGTCGACCCCGACGACATGGAAGACTCGACCGAACTGTCAGAGCTGGGCGTCGACTCGCTCATGGGTGTCGCCATCCTGCAGAAGGTCCAGCGGGACACCGGAGAGACGCTACCCGCGACGATCTTCTTCGAACTCCAGACCGTCGGTGACGTCAGGGCTCATCTCGGCGGCGACGGCGCAGACGGCGGCAACTCGTCGTCCGAGGAAAATTCGCGGGACGATCTCGTGACGCCCACATACGCCACGAGCGTCTCATCCCAGACGGACGAGGACGGCGAGGCCAAGCGCGTCGACCCGGCGGACCTGACGAAGAAGTTCACCAGCAACGTGGCGCTCCTGCAGGGCGACGTCAAGTCCAAACAACGGCCGCTGTTCTTCGTGGCCGGCTCCAGCGGCACGGCGTCCATCTACACGCAACTCCCAAAGCTCGGTTCCGGCACGCCCGTGTACGTGCTCGAGACGCCGTTCCTCGAGTGCCCGCACGAGATGCGGTACACGCCCGAGGAGATCGCGCCCGTCTACGTGGCGGCGATGAAGGCGGCACAGCCCGCTGGACCGTACCTGCTCGGCGGGTACTCGGCGGGCGCGGTGCACGCGTACGAGATGGCGCGGCTGCTGCTCAACGGCGGCGAGGAGGTGGAGAAGCTGATCCTGGCGGACATGAAGGCGCACCGGCCGCACGAGACGTGGACGGAGGCGCCGCGGCCCGAGGACCTGGAGGGGGGCGGACCCGGCGGCGCCGGCGGGGCGGCGTCGATGGCGGCCATGGCGGCCGTGGACAAGAACTTCAAGGCGATGCGGTCGTGGGAGCTGGCGCGCGCCAACCGCTTCGCGAGCCTGCAGTGCATGTACGCGTGGCGGCCGACGCCCATGGTGCCGTCGCGGCGCCCGACCAAGGGCACCGTCATGGTGTGGGCGCGCTGGGGCATGTGCGAGCGCTTCAAGGTCCCCGGCATGGAGGCCGACCCCGTCGTCAACCCCATGGCCGCCGAGAGCCGCGACTACAAGAACTGGTTCTACTCGCGCCGCCACACGTACAACGCCAATGGCTGGGATGTGCTGGTGGGCGATGTCGAGACCCATGTCGTCGATGGCGACCATTGGAACATGCTGGAGCCGCCCTATGTAAGTCCCCTTTACTGCATATTTTCTCTGTCAGTTTCGAGACTAACATTTGAAAATAGGCTGCGGATCTCACCAAGAAGATCAACGAGGCTATTGTAAGCCTGTAACTGAGGTGTCTGAGTACCAAGGGGGCTTGTATATGAGCAATTCCGTGGAACATTCTCTCTGTTCATGTTTGTGGCATTCTCGTTGGGCTATAGGCGTTAGGTCATGTGTATTCTAGACAGTAGATAGGAGAATCACCCCGAGTCGACATAGAACCGTGTGAAACAGAACTCATATTGAGTAGATTCTCAAGTCATCACAGCTTGCTTCCTCTACCATCAACTCGCCACCAGATCACGACGTTTTGGTTGGTTGTTGAACGCCCTATCGCTGCTGATTGCCATACCAACATCCTAGCAATCAACCGTGATGCGCCCTTTTCCGCGACTAACACATGAGAGCATGCTGGTTTCCTTCTGCTCGTCGTCAAGCGCTACACCCTGGTGTATGATGTCGCCCTTGCAATGATTCACCATTAATGACCCGCAGTTTCCGACCAGACATGACGAATCAAGGTCGAACCCAGCTTCGTTGAGAACTTGCAGGAGTGACTTCTCACCGGGTATTTGCAAGACCTTCCCAGTGGCTTTGATCTCGGCCTCGAATGGGTCACCAGTGCCCGTTGCTGCTCCGCCGAACTCCTCGAAATGGGTGTGGGATTTGGGATATCCCAGTTGCTTCGTGTGCGTGCGACATGCTTCGAGAAGAGATGTCGGGCCGCAGCAGTAGATGATGGCCTCGCGATCAGTACTGTTTGATGCAGGTGGCACGACGTCAGCAACGCGAAGTCGCTGACCTTCGGACCTGGCATATACAGTGGTCTGGTTGGAGGGTAGTTGGTCCAAGTAGGCGGTGTCTTGCCTACTTAGTGCACCTCAACCTGCGCGGATTCCTTGACTAGGGTTTTGATTTCACTGAGGAACGCAGTAACACCAATTCCACCAAGGATGAATATGTGCCGCTTTGTCCCGAATCGATATTGGTCGTTTTGCTTCTTCGGCGCGTTGTGGCCTTTGGCGACCTTCAGCGTGTGGCCTATATTCATATAGTCGTGTAGATAGAGTGAACCACCTCGTGAGTTATCGTCCTTCGCAATGCCGAGCTCAAAGGATTTCATGTCCCCGGATACGACAGAGTAAGCTCGAGTGTACTTTTTGTCCGGGCCAAACTTGACTCGTACATGGGGAAAGCGGCCAAACTGCAGGTCCTCCGCTTCGATGTCTGTATCTTCGGCGTTGAAGACGAACTTCTGGATCCTCGGTGTCAGTGGCGTCTTCTCGACCAGCTTATATGAGCGCCAAGGCACAGTGATATCGCCCTGCAGCCGACCACTCATGTCCTCAGCGCCGGCTAAGAGTCGCTGTTCGAGCAGTTCGACGAGCTCCTGGCCCAATCCTGGTAATGCGATGATCTCAGCTATCGCCTCCATGTTGCTCCCATCCTTGTACAGGTAGTGCTGCACCCGCCGGACAGACCATGTCGGATTGAGACGTTCAATGAGCTCCATGTCGTCGCCCTCTTGGACCAACCCGTCCTGGATGGTGCAATACAGCCATCCGGTATTGCCAGTACTCTGGGCTAGGCTCGACATCTTCTTGTACTCAAAGCGATGGTTCAGCTTATAGCAGGGCTGTCGGGGCATTGTCACCTGGATGATGGCGTCAGGACCCAGGCGGAACTTATCGCCGATGCAGAGATTGGTCTCAGAGAGATGTCGCGTCGATATGTTCTCCCCGAAAGCGCCAATCTTGAAGCGGTGGTCCCGATCGGGCAAGATCTTCTTCCACTCCTCATAGTGTCGCGGGTCATACTGGTGAACGGCGTTGTCGGGCCCCTGGTGCATGAAAAAGTCGCGCTCGTCGCCCACGAAGCCGAAACTGGTGAGCTGGACCCTGCCCTGGCGCGGCTGTTTGTTAATGGCCGATGAGATCTTGACGCCGGCAAAGGGTCGGACTTTCCCTGTTCGCAAACTTAGCACAGTGTCCTTCGGAGGTAACGGAGGCAACGGAGGTGATGGCGCTAGAACCGGATCTGACCCCGAGATAGTGAGGGCCGGGGAGCCCATGTCTGAATGAACTAGGCGGCTTTTCTTCACCGTAATTTTGGATGAAGAAGACCCGTTAGCCTTGAATAGGACCAAATCCACGGGTATAGCTTTGAAGAATGAGTAATGAAGAAGATAGGAGAGAGAGCCCCGAGAGATAAGCAAAGGCCGAGGAGACTAAGCCGAGGGCAACCTGTGGCTCCTCAACCCATTTTCCAGCCACAATGACGGATGGGTCACGGACCAGGGTACAAGGTACCTTGGAGCCCAACTGGTACCCATCTGTACCAGATTCGTACCCGACTGGGATGATAGCTACTTCTGGGATGGGGACACCACCCATCCCTTCTTTCAATCAAGCAACTTCCAGAATACAGACCAATAGCCACCATTCGTGACCCTGGTCCTTATTCTGGATACCGCTACCACAAGGCACAAACCTAGCCGCTTATAGGGATATCGCTCGGCGATCCCCCACTTTTGACTTCTGGATAGCTGCATAGATCCCGGGTGGAGATAGACCTCCGGATCAGCACCCGTTCATGTTTTGTTTCTGCTTCAACAATTCATGCCTCAATTCGGCGAACCTTCTTCTAGAGGTCACACCCGAGAGATGCCATCGGACGACACGACAGGCAAGTATGCTACAGTCAGCGGCACCAGAGCCACGGGCTGGTAACGGTTCTTCCTGCATGGATGCTCCTCCATACCAGCATACCTGATGAGTGTCAACTGATCCAATACTAAAATAGCCGCGAAGGGTGGCGCCGAGGAGCCAACGACTGCAAGTTCATGAGGATGTCACTGTCAGACATGTTTGGTGGAGCCTACTTTACTTCGGACGGCTCTTCTACTCTTTAGTAAGCCATGACGACTTAGACTTGAGCTGGTGCCGATCAGACTGATGAAGTGAGGCGGCGCCAGCCTCTCGTGAGCCCATTCCAATCCAGTCCATTTCAATGTCCATTCCACCAGGTGTGTCCCGTCGAGCTTCGCACGCTGTCGAGTCGCACCCGTGGAAACAGCTTCAATGTTCCTGGGTGTCGGGCTCCCCCCAGATTCCAATGACGTTTCTTCCTGTCATCCCATCTGAGTGCTGCAGGTAAAGGCGCGGGGCAAGACCAGCCATCGTGCCATGCGATGCCATGATGATCACGATGTGCCATGTGGCCTCTAGTGTCGAGTGCTAGTACAAGTTTTATTACCCCTACATCGTGGCAGACACTAGTCAGTGAGCCTCCACCACCATCGCCGGCGCGAACCTTCTCTCCGCCCGCGTCACCCAGAACCTCATTCTGTCACATCCAAGAGCCTCACCCTACTTGGTACTTGGACCATCCGGCATCACCTTGAGGCTTGAGGTCGGGCCGTCACCAAGCATCCTCCTTTACGAGCTCGATCTGATGTTTTCCGCCTTCAAATCAGGCCCAGTTACGATATATAATGGTACCCCAGAATGAAACAGGTGGCCTTTCCTCGGAGAGGCATCATCACAAAAACTCAGCACTCCACCGTGAAGAGCGGATGTCGCTGAAGGTTGAGCCCAATTGGGCCCGAGATCCCCGAATGAACCACGCGAGAACCTTTGAGGAATTCTTCCAGCAGGTCGACTGGAGTAGGACGCGCTTTGGCCCGAGGGTCAGCTGGCCCGCTGAGCTCCAAATGATGGTGCGCTTCATGATGGCGGACACTAGTCCCTCCATCCTGTACTGGGGCGAAAGCCACAGCATGATCTACAACGAGGCCCACGTGTCGATGGTAGGGAATAATCATCCGGCCATGATGGGTATGGACGCTGGTGATGTCTTCCCAGACTTCTGGGATGACTTTGATGAGATCATTGCCGAGCAACGACGAACAGGTCGGACCGCGACTGGCCAAGGCGATAGGCTCCTCATGCGCAGGCGCGGCTTCCTCGAAGAAACCTACTTCGACTGGAAGCTTATACCCATCGTGGGTGAAGACGAAAAGGTTCTGGGATCCTACTCAATGCCTGCAGACGTCACTTCCAAAGTCATCAGTCATCGCCAAAAAGAATGTATCAAGCAACTCAACCATTACACAGCTCAGGCGAATAACACCAAGGAGCTTTGGGAGGCCACGCTGACCAGCCTCAAGTACGACGACAAAGATCTACCAATAGCATTACTCTACACCATGGAGGAAGAAAATATCAGCCTGGATCATCGGACCTCCAAATCGAACGCACATTGTCAACTGGAAGGGAGCATAGGACTGGATTTGGAGCACGAGGTCGCCCGAAAGCATCTGGATCTCGAACCCGACATAGACGGATTTGCACCAACCATGTTAAAGGCCCTGCACACCGGCACGACGCTGGTCTTGGAGGCTGACGATCCAGCATTCCACAAACTGCTCGATGGGATTATCTGGAAGGGATACAATGTGCCTTCCAAGCAGTTCGTGGTGATGCCAATCTGTTTCAACGGGACGACTCCAGCTTTCCTTATTATCGGCCTAAATCCTTACAGGAGATGCACCACACTCTTTCATGAATTCTTTCAGACCATGGCAGACATCCTAGGCATGCAAGTCGAACGGGTACGACTGGCCGAGGAAGTCGAACGTCACGACCAACTAGCTCGCAGGGCAGCTCTGGATTTCAAAAAGAGCGAGTTAAGATTTTTTCGATTCGCAGAACGCTCGATCGCCGGGCTTGCAAGTAAGCAGCCCCTAACCTCATTTGCATTCCAGCTAGCTATGGATGAGCTATACTGGAGTGGATCCACGATTCCTTCTGTGCTTGTCACAGACATGTTCCTACCGTCCACCGAGGCAGTGCGCTTATGAAAGCCATGTCTGTTCATGCCGGTACGCCCCATGAACTGTCTGCGCAGGTCACATGCGATTGTTGGGGGCGTTGGGCAATATCTCGGCGTCTTATCTATATCTCAAGTAGTGGGTGAATTCCAGGCTAATGCTGTATCGCAGTGATTGACGTTGATGGCAAGGTACTATGCCTGATCATTGTGCGAGAATAATGCTCATACTTGTGTAGATACTTTACGCGAACGAGAGCTGGTATCGATTCTCCGGGATTGATCCCTCCGAGGGCCAAAATCGTCTCTCTTGGGTCGACACTGTTATGACTGAAGACATCGGCCTGCTCCACGAGTGGCAAGACAGGGCTTTGAAAGAGAAGAAGGGTGGAACATTCCAAGTTCGTTCTAAACGACCATTCAGACAGGGAAACATGTACTCGGAGCACCGAACCGGTATCTGCGCCTGCTATCCCGAGCCCAACGAGGCCGGAGAAGTCGAAAGCGTGATGGTCCTTATAGTGGACATTAGCGAGCTCAAATGGACTGAGAAACAGCTCCTGGACCGCACCAAGAAACTCGAGGATTCGGAAGGCAAGTATCGCAATTATGCCGAGCATTGTCCTCTTGGGATATGCCGCACCGATGGGGATGGCTATGTCCAGTATGCGAATAATGCCTGGCACGCAAATTACAACTTCAGACGAGGTCAAGCGATGGACCCAGAGCCTTGGATTCCCTTTCTCCATGACGACGATGTACAGCCATGTAAGGACTTCTTCCAAAAACTGAAGAAACACAGTGGCCCAGAAGCAGTCGAACTCAGGCTGAGAGACAAGTCATCCAAAATATCCGAGGGCGATCGAACCTTCGATAATGAGTCCTGGATTCTTGCAACAGGATTTTCCGAGTTCAAAGATGATGGCACCGTGGACTACATCGACTTTTGGGTTACTGATATCAGCGCTCAAAAGATGGCAGAGAAGATATTGGCTGACAAGATGGAGGAAGCAGTGCGTCTGAAGACACAACAGGAGCGGTTCATCGACATGATCAGCCATGAGATTCGGAATCCGCTATCTGCGGTCCTTCATTGTGGGGAGGAAATTGTCGACGCGATGAAGAAAGGACGGGCGACTCTCGACACCATAGCTGGCACGTCACTTCCTCCAACAATTTTAATCTCACTCCAGCAAACGTTGCCGAAGCAGCTCGGCAATGCACTGGAAGCAGCAAACACCATCATGTACTGCGTGCAGCATCAGAAACAAATCGTCGACGATGTGCTCACGCTTTCGAAGCTCGACTCGGAACTCTTGGTGGTTTCTCCGGTACCAGTTCAGCTTATGCCTCTGGTCTTGTCTTCACTGAAGATATTTGAGCTCGAACTCAAGATGACTGACATCTCCTTGTCCGTGGTTGATGACAAGTCGCTGGCAAATCTCGGAGTGGATTGGGTTGCGCTGGATCCCAACAGATTTCTCCAGATCGTCATCAACCTAGTCACGAACGCCATCAAGTTCACGAAAACGTCTCCAGTCAGGCAAATCACTGTCACAGTGTCAGCTCTCACCCAACGACCCCTAGAAAGCCACTACGGCGTGGACTATGTTCCGCAACGATATGCCCCGGAAACACCAGCCTCTGCCACTAGCACATGTGCGGAGTTCGGTAGCCTCCTTGATGCGCAGCCAGACATTTTCCTCTCATTCTCTGTCCAAGATACTGGAAAGGGGCTATCCAAAAGCGAGAAAGCCTTGCTCTTCAACAGGTTCGCTCAAGCCTCACCCAAGACTCATATCGAATACGGCGGCTCGGGGCTGGGCCTCTTCATATGTCGCCAGATCACAGAATTGCTGGGCGGCGAAATTGGAATCGCCAGTACTCCCGGTGTCGGAAGCACTTTTGCCTTTTATGTCGGGGCACAACGAATCGACCCTCCCTTCAAATTACAAGCATCGAACGAATCGCTAGTTCGCCTCAGCAGATCGTTCAGCCTTTCGGCCGACGGAACGTCAGTGGAACCCGTGAAAGGGCTAGATGTAGTCACCGCTGAGCTCCCAGATGAGACGATTGATGGGGAGAACGGTGCCCCGAGAACGGTTTTAGTTGTTGAGGATAACCTTGTGAATCAAAAGGTACTGTGCAAGCAGCTCAGGAACCGCGACTTCGCCGTTCAAGCCGCGGGTCATGGCAAAGAAGCTCTTGACGCAATGATGGCCCGAGCTACCCCGGGACGCGGACATTACTTCAATGTCATCCTCTGCGACATCGAAATGCCCGTCATGGGCGGGATTGACTTTGCTAAAGAAGTCCGACGGCTAGAAGCCCAGGGTGAGCTTGTGGGCCATGTGCCGATTATCGGGGTGACTGCCAACGTCCGCAATACGCAAGTGAGCGGTGCTATCGACGCAGGGATGGTATGTGCTATCTTCCAGTTACCTCGTGACTATGCTGACTGTCGTAGGATGGCGTCACGACGAAGCCCTACCGCGTAAATCATCTGATTGAACATATCAACCGACTCTGTCCCGCTCGGTGACACGAGAGTCTGGTTCACACCTCATTCAATCGCTCTTTTCAGAGCGTAGGGTTTCTCGCCGGTCCCTGACCTGATGCTGAAGGCATGCTCGTTGTAAAACAACCTAACCTGCTTGCGTGGTTGATGATGGGATGGGACCGCGGGTATGTGCTAAATAAGCTCAGAGCAGAGAGAAGAATCACATACAGACACCCGTCAGAGCCAAGCAGGAACGGGACATCAACCTGGGGCATACACGTAGACAGATCTGACTGTTGAAGCTCACCGGAGCATGCTCAACGTGGGCCAGGGCAGGAGACCTATATCTGGGCCTCTCCTACGGATCCTGGTAGGCCATTTCGCATATTGGCGTCACGACAGGAGGCTTTGGTCATCTGTGGGTCGGGGTACAAGCTGAACGAGTGTGAAGTGGGAGGTGGGAGATGCTGGGAGGGTCAATCGCTACCATACTGAATCTTACCAAATCCCGAAGTCAGCATGATCAGAGGCTGGCAGCCGGAGGGCGTCGGCCATTTGGCCAGTCAAGTAGAACACTTGGACTTAGTTCACATGCTAAAGGTACCAACCGTTCTGAGTAGACCGAGCCGGGAGCTTAGGAGGTTATTACTGTCAGGCGTGTATGTCAGTGAACCTGGAGTTTGCTTCATCCTCAGGCCCATTGAACGGATAACAGAGATGCCCAAAACAAACTATTCGTCTTCACGCGTGAGCCCTGGTGGCAACATGTTGTGAGCGCTGATGTATACTTTTGCTCTGTCAGCTTTCTACTCGAGAGCGGTTCACCTCTAACACTGGTACGACTTCTAGTACATTGAAGATCCGCCTTGAGGACTGCGTCGATAACCACTCGAACGTGTACGGTCAGCGCTCATGTGTATGTCACGATCGAGGCGCCAACATTCACCTTGAGCAACACCGTCCCCAAGAACGGATCACCACTCATGCACACACACTTAGAAGAGATTCAGTTGCTGAATGAATGAATCACTGGTAATTACAGTTGCGTTTGCCCCGTAAATGTAGTTGTTACAGTCAGCGCGGGCTGGAGCTGATACCTAGATAGACGTCTCATCATTCTCTTCAGAGGAACACACGTGACCTGGCATGGCAACCCCCTCCATTGAGTGAAATGATATCCGCAAGAGTGACGAGAGTGTCTTGTAACGGCGGCCAACTGTTCGTGTAACAACGGAAATGGCAGTCAAGAGGGATGTGCTAGATGTGCAAAGGCCTGCTGATTATAATCCAGAACGCGGTATTCGAACTCATGCGTACGCGTGTGTGTTACGGTGGGATTGGCAAGGAAAAGGAGGAGGTCTGCTAACAGGTCCTTGAGCTATGTATGCTAAGGTGATACGCTGTAGCTTCACTTCAATCGATCTAGTGCTTCCTAATACACCATCTTTCGCGATGAAAGGCTGAAACAGAGGAGAGCGAGAGAGAGTGATCAACGCAGCCTAGGCTAAGATGCCGTGCGGCCTTGAAAATATGCACAAGGTATAGTCTACTCATGTCTTGAGATGGACTTAGTAGGCTTCTGGTGAATGTTTAGGCCAAATCGTATTCAAATTGACCACTCCTTCTGATGTCTGCCCTTGATCTATCCTAGCAAGTAATCATACAAACAAACAAACAAACAAACAAACAAATAAAACGATACAAGTACAAGTACAAGTACAAGTACATAGTGATGATGAGCCATCCGCCCGTCCGAACAGCAAGCACTTTTCGATCCACACTAATGTTACAACAAGACAAAAAGCAACCGCAGCAAACTGTCCCAGGCACTCGTACACGCTGAAGGATGTGACCCGATCAGACCTCACTATTCCAAGGCCTAGCCCAAGACCTGTTCGGTAGAAAGCGAAGCACCGACCTGGGTGATTTCTCCGAGAATTTTCGCGTGCGTGGTCTCGTCCAGCTGGTCAATTGCCTCCGGGTTCGAATCGGTGGCGTCACTATCGACACACATTCTGGTGCCCTCGGCCCCACCGATCTTGGGGACGTGCTCGCAGACTTTCTTCGCGGCCATGTTAAGGGCAAACTTCTCCGCCTCCTCCTTAGCCTTCCCCAAGAGGCCGTCCTCCAAGGCGGTGTTGAAATGTTCGGGGAATCTCCCCATGACCCACGAGCCGGCTAGTCCTACGCATATACCGCATAAGGCACCTTCCTCGACTGGTGTGCGCGGCTGGAGAGAGAATGCCGCTGCGTTGGCCGAGCCTGCGACGAGCAGGCCGGTGAGGAGCTGGAGCAGAGTAGAGCTGTACATGATGTCAAGGGGATGTGGCCGTATTGTGTCTGGGTGTTGAATGCCGGAATTTTGAAGGTGTAAGTTGCTTGGATTGGCGGGGCTGATGTGGATGGTCGTTGTTGTGTTGTGATGCTGTTGTGTCTTGTTGATGCGAAAAGAGCAGAGAACGAAGACGGGAAGCGACCTTTATGTACACAAACGCCAGCAAGAAACACCGGCTGGTAATAATAGACCTTCGCCACCAAGAACGGACTTGATGACGGTGTTCATGTGTTGAAAATGGGCCCAAAGTTCCTCCCGGGACGATCCACTGTCGTCATGTCAGTTGGCTAGGCGGCAAAGCCGAACATTTTTAGACATGGGATTAAGGCACAGTGTCTAGTTGGGTGGAATTAGATGATCTAGCGAGGTGGCTCGAGGAAGATAAAATCGCCACAGCCACCGTGATGTATGTAATAGTTGTGGCCCTGACGTTAGCCAAGGTTCCTACCGTACGGCGTAGATCCAGATACCCACAATAGAACCCGACAGGATGTTCGGACTGACAACGTGGCCCTGTGAATAGATTCTTCAGTGGATTCTTCAAATGCTAAAGTAAGCAAAGGTGCTGACAAGGGGCATGCCTGTGGGTATTGATCCTATTCCACCGGTGGGTCACCAGCATGTTATGGCTGACGAGGCCAACGACGTGTCGGTGCTATATTAATCATATCAACTGGACGCCGACGTGGAAAACTAGGGGAAACAATTCAAAGAGGATGTAGGAGTGGACGAGTGGACGAGTGTGTCATTAAGTTCCCGGCGAGGCCGACCGCCGATTGTGGGGGTATAGGTATAAATAATTCTTCCAAAATAGCTAGCCCTTCCTTCCTTCCTTCCTTTAGGGGTCAATGAACACTGTTGCCTACTTCTCGAACTTCGACGACATCTTTCAGGGTCCAATCCTTTTCCCGAATCCGGAACATCTTGGCGGCATCCTGCAGGATTGAAGATCGTCGACCCTGCGTGCGGCAGAGCACTCGGTGAGTCCGCCGGTAACTTGCTGGTGTCGGCTCTGGACCCTGCATTGCCCGTGAGGTGACGTCGTAATGGCTACCGTACGGTTTGTTGAATATCTGTCCTGGTGATGGGATCACATCAAGTAAACTCGATGTAAGGAGTTCGAGCGCGTTCAGCAGCATATTTGCGATGCCCAGATCCGCTTCTTGACATTCCAGAACCTTGGTTGCGTATAGGCAAGCGACATTCGCAGTATCGCGGTGGAGGTCAGGCAATTCCATGCCTATATGATTTAGTATAGTATAGTGATGCTGTGATTGGCTTGGTCATCAATCGGACCGTTCAGATACAGTCACCCCCCACACCTCTCCATGCCTCAATCAACTCTCGATTTATCTTATTATTAAGCTATTCGACGGCTAAGCAAGGACCAAACCCAAATAACCTAAAATACAACAAAAAGCAGAGCCCCCGTGCTGTACTTCGATTAACTTTTGAGCATTAATATTATATCTATGTTAGTGGAATAAGCACGCTAGCATCAGCAATTTTGATTTAAGAAGTCATCTTTGCCGCTTATTCCAAAGTGCTTAACCCCTCATAAAAAACGCACCTTTAGCTAGCTAAACCGGGGGTATACGCAGACTTCTGGAAGTTCAGTGTACTCGTCAATACTATCAAGGCTCGCAACTCGCCTCAGAACAATCCTTAGGGTCCCGGATGTTGGAGACCAAGGGAATGCAATGCGACCGCCCGGTATAATCGCCCCGACATCTCGATGATAATCAACAAGACCGCAAGGGACATAATATACTGCCCCTGTCAGGTCCCCTATGCCATACACATAGTCGTTCGCTGGGTTTCGACGTGGCTGGTTGTCGCGGCGTCTGTGAGCATCCCGACCCGACTCATAGTCATTTGGCCTCCAACTTCTCTTTGACGACAATCTTCTTGGCCGAAGACTCGTAGCAAGTGCTGAAAGCTACGGATTAACCCAGTGGACGGCTAGGTAGCCCAAGGGGAAACAAATGTGATTCCTAGGTACAGTCACCCTCTAGGAAAAGTCTCCGTCCGGCATGCCGCATTTAGTTTTCGGACACCTATTAAAAATATTGGTATTCGTGCAATAAGCACTCTGGAATAAGCAGCGTATAGCTATAAAATCCCTTTTAAGTAACGGCATCTTTTAAACAGGCACAAATTCTAAGCACCAGACTCGGGAGAGATGAAAGCTCCGGATGTGGTCACTGACACGTGCCACCCAGCGAATCAATAGCCGGGCTAACCCCCGCTCAGGGGCTCTCCTCTTCGGCTTAGTTATTCCCGAGCCGCACCCTGCACATCAACGTCACATACCTCCCGTCATAAGCTGCAACTCATGAATCACACCTTTTGCTACTGGTACTCAGACATCACCAACCTCATTTACTCCCACCAAGTCAACTTTGCTACCAACTCAAACACCCCACCATGCCCACCGCCTTCCTCAGCAGAGCCCTGCCCAGAGGCAGCACTACCAGTATCAGCAGTCTCCGGCACGCAGCCCGCATCACCCCAATACCCATCTCAAACACCTTCGCATACCGCACCCCCACCACATCATCCACCTCCCATCCACCCGGGGCCCTAGCCACAGCCCGCTCCCTAGACCACGTCGTCCTAACCGTGTCCTCCCTCCGCGCCACCATCGACTTCTACACGCAGACCCTGGGGATGAAGCACAGCACCTTTCCCAGCACCCCCCAATCTCAAACCCCCTCCTCTTCCTCCTCATCACAATCCACCACATCCACCCCCAACCGCCACGCCCTCCACTTCGGCCTCCAAAAAATAAACCTGCACGAAGCGGGCCACGAATTCGAGCCCAAGGCGCAGGCCGCGCTACCAGGCACAGCGGACCTGTGCTTCCTGGTCGACGAGGACGTGGACGGGGTGCGGGACCGGCTGCGGCGGCGGGGGGTCGAGGTGCTGGAGGGCGGGGAGGTGGTGCGGCGGACGGGGGCGAGGGGGGCGCTGCGGAGTGTGTATGTGCGGGATCCGGATGGGAATTTGATCGAGTGAGTTCCATCTCTTGCTTTTATTGGTTTATGGTTTTGGCTATGGGGTGTTGAGGATATGAAGACGGACTGACGGGTGCCAGGCTTTCCAATGAGATGGGGCAGGAAAGTGGTAGCGGTGTCGGTGGAAGTGGAAGAGGTGGTGTCGGTGTTGGTGGGGATGATGCAGTGCCGACACCTTCATGATCTCGGGACACAAGCAGTCACGAAATAGAGCGTTTGCTATGATTCTTCAATGCATTGATTCAGGGAACTGCTACGAGTCCCTACTCGTAGTGTATACAAAAGTTCATCGTCCGTCGTACCCGTCCGTGCTCTAATCTATCTATGAGTTTTTATGCCCAACGCCCGTGTGACACCATTTAGTCATCCTCTGAAATCCTAGAGCTCCCTTGTGGTTCGTCCATTCATGTGTCGTCGTCCGTTCATATTTACGTTCGTGGTAACCCCATACGGATGCAACTTCACTGGTCGCTTCTTCGCCGGCAACGAGTTGAGCGCTTCCCACATCTCCATGATGCCCGCTCGACGCGCCGGAAGCATGCTGTACTGTAGCGAGTACAGGTTTTGGCGATGGATTGGCGGGACGAAGCGGCCCGTGACGAGGCAAAAGAGGACGCGAGGCGACAGATAGTGTTTGCGGATACGGCTTCCCATCTGGAAGTATTGGTGGAACATTGCCCTGAATTTGAGAGGTGTCGGCTATGACTTGTCAGCAAGCATGTCCAAGGTGCGATCCTTTGACCAGCCGACATACCTTGAGGATTATAACCGATGTTGGAGATTGGAAGTGGGTTGTTGCCTTAGGATTAATAATATGTCTATTTTGGGTATCACGAAGTTCAAAACGAATGCCGCCTGCACATGGGTCAGCATTTCACGTTTGGCTTCAGGGGTACGCTGTTTCTTACCTGGAAGACGCCGTGGGTCCTTAGTTCTGAGCATCAAAGCAAACAGGGGGAAATGGTTCAGACAAGAAAGCATGGTATCGAATACGGCCTTGAACGTTATAATGACCATACGCGCAAGGGCGAAATTGAGGTAGAACACAATGACAGTGGGCAGGAGGAAGAAAAGGAGTGTGAACAAGATGGTGCCAACCAGCAACTGGTCGAGGTCGTAGTCACACGAGTCAACTCGGTTTCGGAGGACATTGTACTTCTTCCCCTGGAACAGCTGGAACAAGGAGAGGAGTATGGTCAACTGCCAGTGGAAGATGCGGGCCGAGGCGAGATAGAAAGAGTAGATGTGGACCGTAAGCATCGAAAGCAGGTCCGAGAAGAGCGCAATTGGCAGACTGGCACCAGCAAAGCTGGAAAACCCAATGAACCACACAATGCGCGGGAGAAGCGGCTGCAGCTTCTGTATGCAGCTAGCCCAATAGTCGATGACCCAAAGGAACAGGTCACCCAGGAAGAGTGCCAATTCACTGTTCAGCTTCAGACCGGCCGGCCAACCCATGAGCCACGAGATGCTGCTCTGCAACGCGTTGATGGTGTACTGCCCCAACAACATGTTGATCGTGTCCGCAACCCAGTCGGCATTGTCAATGATGTAGGAGCCAAGCGCGATGCCAATAATCACGTCATTGGCAACAAGCCACAGGCTGTTGTAGAAGCGGATGTAGTCAGGGTGACTTGTCGTCACACTTTCCCAATCGTTCTTCCGCAGCCGCAACTTGACGTATTGCATAGGCCAGTAGCAGAATTGCTGGAGGCGGATCTCGACCTGCTGGGCCGTGGCTGAGATATCCTTGAGCGCGGGGGAATTGGGTCGAGCCCTCCATTCCAGAATCAAGAGCAGAACCTCCGCTGCAAGCCGATGCGCGAGGAGAGCAAAGACGAAGGCCGTCCGTATGATAGGAAAGGCGTAGAGGACGATCATGTCCCAAACCCACAGGATCACATGGTCTCTCATGGTCGTCGCATGCTCCACAACGCGTTCGGACACGCTCAGCGTACGTTTGGGCCGAGTTCCGATGAGCGCGACGTTCTTCTGCAGGAGATGTTCGAGTTCCCATGTCCAATTGATCTGATTCACGATCCTCGCCAGAGCCCTGTTCTTCTTAGAGGGCGCATGTTTCAAGACCATGTGGCCCGTCCTCTTTTCCACCAGCTCTACGTTTTTCTCCTTGTTCTTCTTGTCCAGCCTCTCACCCTCAGCCTTGGCCCCGTCGTAGACACTATACAGCGACGTATCGTCCTTGTCGGCGAGTGAGAGTACGATCGGATCCAGCGAGATGTACTGCATCCGGAGGGGAATCGGTCGCTCGAAGAGGATGATCTGAATACTTGATGCTTTAGGACAAGTAAGTATGGGCACGCGGTCTGCGGCATTCGTCGTCGCTCGTACCCAGGAGGGGTCATATTCGATGTTGGGAGTGGCATTGATGAGTCCCAAAACGTGCATGGAGGACTGGCCACAGATCTCAAATATTCGTGGGCGCGAGTGGGGGGCATTTCGCAGGAGTATGTCGGTCTTCAGGGCATTTTCGACACTTTTCGGCTGTTCTGGCGTCAGCGGGCACGACCACCAGTGGAAGAGAGTGGAAGAGTAGGCCGGCGGGCAAGGCTCACATCTACGTGATCCAGAACAGTGACAACCACGAAGTCCGAGCCCGAGTTTCTCCAGCCGACAATAACTCCCGGAAGATCAGACCTTGCGATGTCGACCGGCCAGAATACCCTCATTAATCCATCATGCTCGGGCATGTCCAGTCGGCGTCAGAGCACCCCGGCTAGAAGGAGCCCCTGCGCCTGAGTTGTTCTCGAGCAGATAGTCCCAGACCAGGCGACCGCGGATGCTGCTTACGTCGGTCAGCTGGGATGGTCACGGACTGTCTCAGAGCAGGAGGAGGGGTGTAGTACCAGATCAGCCTCTGCCTGGGCGATATGTTGCACAGGTACGAGGACCAGTAGGAAGGCTACACTGAGGAAGCCAAATCCTTGAGCGAGGCGCACCTAGAATAGGGCAGGGCCGGCGTTAGACGAGCTAGTCCAAAGGGTTCGTATCCTCGACGCGCGCTCACAATGACGCCCTTATCCCAGGCAAAGACTACCAGATCCGAGAGCCTTGTAACCAGATCCCATCGAGCAGTAATGTAGCCAGCTACGAAGATCGCTAGGGTCAGGACGGAGAAGGGGTGCATATAGGATAGGTCGGAGGGTGGCTATCGGCACTCGCGAAGCATGCCTGAGCTGTCGCGTTCGAATGATAGACGGAAGACGGTGGTTTGAAGAACCAGAGAGGCCGTGGTCAGTCGAAGGTAAGACGTTCGACAGGATTGGTGGGTTATATCCCGGAAGTATCGGTAGAAACGATAGAGTCTTGACTCGCGGCGTTTGGTGTCGGCGTGGGTATCGCTGCGACTCGATTTCGATGTTGATGTCGCACGGGCTGTTCTGCTCCGGTCGTGTCCAGATGTGGTGGTGCAGTACCGAACGTGGGAACCGTAACGTCGAGCGCCGAGGAGGGTAAGAGGATCGCGAGTGTCGTTGGTTAGAAGTCTTCCAGTAGATGCGCTGGGTGAAGTGGTGAAGTGGTGATGGTGTTGGTTGAACATTCCAGGTCGGCGCGGAGGAGCTGCTAATGGAAGCTACCCGTAGCGGTAGCGGGTGATTGGCGCCCCTTGCAGATTCAAGATTCGTGCAGAGTCGCATTGCCTGGACACACCCGACCGCTCCAACCCAACCCAACAAACTCGAGTCTGAGCGCGTTTGTGTCACTGAATCAATCGACTAGAACAAAATTTGATTGAGCTATTACTCGTCAGGGCTAGGTAAAGATGTAGTACCTAGGGGCAATACAGCCCATCTTCTCAGATACATTAATAACCTTACCAATCGACGGCAACTTGCAGCAATTGAAACTTCAACCGCCCGCGACCCCTATGAGTCTAATAAGCATATGCCCGTTGGTGACGACTTCATCCTAGTGGTAGTTGTGTCTCCTCGCCCATGTAGAGGCTCGGACTGGCGGTGGAGAACACAAATAAAAAAGAAGTCGAGTTGAAGAGTGTCAGCAGTGGAAGTATGTGGACATGCAAGCTGTATAACTGGTCGAGAGAAGTTGCGGAAAAGGGGTTGAACCTCTGAGAAGAGCCATGAGTTGGGAATATATGTGTGAACGGAGGGGAGCCGGTTTGCCCATATGAATACGAGCTTCTCTGCCCCATCGCAACTGGTGTCCCCATTTCCCATCCCCAAACGCCGTACTGCCAAGTCATTACCGGTACGTAGTTTGTACAAGACGATGCCTGGTCCGCCAACCATGTCGTCCAACTTGAGCTCAGCCTCACCAGCTGCCGGCATTAGCTACGGCGAGCACCCCGGATACTCGGCACCATCGTGAGGCCCGGAGCCCATCTCTGTCATTTCCGTTTCATGTGCTCGGCATCGTTCTCTTTGTTGTCTTCCCGGGCCTCCTTCAGCAGCTTATCTATGCCGCGCTCCTTCAGTGCGACCTGTTGGTGGTGCGAGTGGTTAGGTTGCAAGTCAGTCAGGTTCAGTTGTGGTGTCAGTGACGTACGCTGAGACACTTCTGATAGTCCTCGAAGAGCTTCGTACACTCATTATCATCCGTCTTTCCGGTGCCTCGAAGGTACTCTAAAAGATTGTTAGCTCTGCACATAGACAAAAGGGGTGCTGGCATGAGCGCTGCAGCTTGGAAACATACTCTCGCTATACCACTTAAGAAAGCAAGTATCGTACCGTCTGGTTTCGAGTCAGACTGCCTTTCCTCATGATGCACCTAGGATGCCGTACTCACTCTTTGACCCCGTTGCATTCCGGCGCCAGCGATGCCGACATATTGATGTAAGCAGGAAGCGGCTCTTTGCGATTATGTTGACGTGAGGGAAAGAAAGTAACTGGGGTCGTGAAAAGAGATTAGAATATACGATATAATACAGAGTTGTGCTGCATCTGTTTCTGCAGCTGTCGTCTTCAATGTTCTTCATACGATACAGTCAGTACGAGTGAATGAGGTTTAGCGGGACAAGGTACGGAGGTGTGAGCCGTGAGAGATGCGTTATCGTGCTTATCTTAGCGCATCCTTAGTGCTGTACCTACCTGGTATCCATGCGCGGTGTTAATTCCGCCGACTGACTGCTCCAAACATTGATTTTTTTCAATGAGGAAAGTCTGGGCTGTCTGCCTGTCGCATCCCGACTCCGAAACCCCAAACGCCTTCAAAGCTGCGACACGGCACGCAACAACGTAGCACCCACACCATGGGTTCTCCTCAGGACTTCAAGTCCGTTCAGGACAAGATTCAGAGCGCGCTCGTCGCCGTCACCAGATCCGTCAACACAATTGCCGCCGAAGACCTCAGCTTCCACCGGACCAGTAACCCCACCGTCGAGGAAGAACTCGACGATACCACCTCCCGCCTGCTCACCCTCACTTCGTCCCTGCTCAAGTCTGCGACTAAGAGTACCCAGCTCCAGGTCCCTGATCTGGAGGACACCGACGACGTCGACGTGCATTGGTCGCGCGTGGTGGATGTAGTCGACACCCTGCTGGAGAAGGCCGACACGAGCCTGGATGAATACACCGGTGCCATCAAGAGGAAGGCTGGCCCAGCGTCCGAACAACCCGTCCCGCCAGGCAAGAAGACAAGATACGCCCTCGAACCTTCCGTCCGTCGCGCCAACGTCCTCAAGCCGCAGAACGCATTTGAGGTCAAGCCCGACAATCTACACTCGACACCATGGAAGCCGCTGCTGACTCACAAGCCACACGCCATGGTCCCGCTGGAAAAGAGTCTTGGAACCCTGAATGATGAATCCCAGACTGCACAGTACGACTACTCGCTTTTCTTGCCCCAGTTGTTCCAGACGCGCCGTGATAACCTTCAAGCGTCGGTGCCACGCACGCCAGAGGAGGAAAAGAACGCACAACACAGGAGAACCCTGAAGCAACAGAAGAAGCTGGCTTCGCTAAGTTCGGTTTAGAGAGCTGACAGCAAGTTCAGATTCAAGCATCCCTACGAGACCGAAATCCTCAACCTTGACTACCCGGAGTCTGTATTTGAAACCACCGCACCTACCAAATACCTTCCCTTCGAGACGACCACCGCCACCTTCGTCAACGCATTCGAGGGTGTCCTGTTGATGCTTGAGGAGCTCAGGGGAGCTACGGAGATTGCCATCGACACGGAACATCATGACTTCAGGACATACAGTGGACTTCTTTCGCTGATGCAGATCAGCACCCGCGAGAAGGACTGGATAGTCGATACCCTGCAACCGTGGCGCCACAAGCTAGAGGTTCTGAATGAGGTGTTTGCCGACCCAAAGATTGTCAAGGTCAGCAACTATGCTCTACTCGGTCGTCTCTCATTGCTAATAGTCTCCAGGTGCTTCATGGTGCATACATGGATATCATATGGCTCCAGAGAGACTGCGGTCTCTACATAGTTGGACTCTTTGACACATTCGAGGCTGCATGCGCCTTGCAATATCCTGCGCGAAGTCTCGCATACCTTCTTAAAAGATTTGTCGATTTCGATGCTGACAAGAAGTATCAACTGGCCGACTGGCGTATACGGTACGAATCCAACCTCGGCGTGACCTATTAAAGCGACCGTGAAAAGCGTAGGCGCAGCTAACGAGCTTGACAGTCCGATACCTGATGAGATGTTCTACTATGCCCGATCAGACACTCACTACCTCCTCTACATCTATGACATGCTACGAAACGAATTATTGGAACGATCCTCCGATGAACCTGGCCAGAACCTGATGCGTCAAGTACTCGACAAATCAAAGGAGACATCTTTGCGACGGTACGAGACAACCTCATACGACGCAGATGGAGGACAAGGTCCATTCGGCTGGTTTAATATGCTCATCCGCCAGTCTGCGGGCGGGTTCTCGAGAGAACAATTTGCCGCATTCCGCGCAATTCACAAGTGGCGAGATGAAGTCGCCCGCCGTGAAGATGAGAGCCCCCTTTACGTCATGAACAACGCAACGGTCTTCAGTGTCACTAGGGGCATGCCACCAGACCCCAAAGCACTCCACGGGATGTTGGACAAGCATTCTTACCTCGCTAAACAAGAAGTGGCGGAGTTGTCGAAGATAATCAACCAGGCAAAAGCCGAGGGCGCGGACGGACCCAGCGTGGCCGAGGTTATCCAGGGAACTGCGCCTTCCACCGCCATGGGGGTCGGCGATGTGGCCAAAGCGGTTTTCCCTCAGCTTAGAAACCCCGAGAAACAAGATGCAATAGAGACGAAAGATCTGATCTCTCAAACGTCTCGGTTATGGGGCAAGGTTGCGATGAGCAGTCGGTGGGATCAAGGGGTCGACGTGGACAGTCCCAAAGGCTTGCAGTTTGAACTGCCTTGGGCCCGCTTCATTCAGTCAGCTCAATTACTAGACGATCAGACCCAGCTTGCCGAGCAGACGTCAACTGCTGTCAACGGCACGACTGAACCCACCCCCGCACCATCCGAGACAGCACCGCAAGAGCGAGAAGATAACGAGTTTACGCTAAAGACTGGTCTGAAGCGCAAAGCCCCTGAGCCGGATTCCGAATCCGAGTCTGCGCCTGAATCAGAAGACGACGACGAAGCAGCTCACCTGCCAGCGATAAAGTCAACATCCATTGCGGGAGCGGAAGAAATTGCGATCGCCGACACGGACAACAGTGAAGAAGAGAGGAGAGAAAGGAAAGCCGCCAAGAAAGCTCGGAAGCAAGCACGCAAAGAGCGCCAGGAGCGTAAGGAGCGTAAGAAAGCCGAAAAGCTAGCGAATCAGGCTAAGAGCTCCGGTGCTTCGACCAAGGACGAGCAGGGCGAGAGCGAAGACGACGAGCCTTTCGATTACAGCAAGGCAAAATCGGTGCTTCATACAAAACGCAGTGCCAACACAGATGGTGGCAAGCAACGAAAGGCTCGGTTCAATCCCTACGGCATGAGTGCCGACGGGCCGAAGCCTGCGCGCAGGATGCATGGTGAGAAGCCTGGTAAGAGTGCTACATTCAAGAAATGAGTACTTACTTGACCAACGTATGAATGTTTTGAGTTGCATTGCCTGGCGTTTGGGAGCAACGGACAAGCAAAACAAGGGACATTGTTTTGTGTAAGAACCTAGTAACCTGGTGTTGGGTTCGGCGAATCCTCTCTGGATTATCGCTCCACTGAGTAAGTAGACAGAATGACGAATGTAGCATTCGACGTTATTGTGAACAGCACGGTATATATCTGTTCGAGCGAGCGGCGTTTGTTGCCGTGCTTTGAACACCATGGTATTGACGGCTTGTAAATATCTATCAAATTGATTGCGGCGGACGTTCACTTACCTACTTGAAGTGTTTTGGACGAACGAAGTTGAAGCTTTGTGAAGTGATTGACATACATAATGATAGGGTTTCCTCGCCTCTTCCCCGGACCCACGAGATATGGAACCGATTATTGAAGTATAGGGAACCGATGGTTATGTGACAGTAGGAGGCAATAGGTTGAGGGAAGGCGAGAAGGGATCAACAGCAAAAGGGGTCTCAGTGAAACCGTTGCTCATGTCTCAGCCTAAGATCTCGAGACCTTTTGAGAATGTAGCCAATAGAAGAGTACTGTCTTTTGGGGTGGCATATCGGAGTATGACATGGGTTTCCAAAACTTGATATTTTACTGATGTTGCTTCGTTCAATTGTAGCGTTCTTGTCTGTGATTCGTCATGGATCTATGAGCACCGTTTGTTGCTGTATGTCCTACGACTTTGGTGAGCAGATCGCAGGACTGTTAACCAATATTCCTCATGCACGCCTTCAGGCACGCAAGCGCAATGTCGTTTTGCACACACATGAGCTCGCAAAAATGCAGGTAATCGCAACCCTCTTCTTCGCGAACGCCGCCCTATAAGTCTTTCTGCCTCCTTTCTCGCAATTCCATGCCCACCACCACCTCATCCTAGGCACAGCAAACAAAGAAGTATGATAATACGTAGATCACAGAGGCGCCTTCGTCATCCCTGCTTTCGTAAGTCGTCTCGTGGGCTGCTCAATCGATTCGCACACCCAAGTGGCCGCGCCGCAGGCTGATCTGCCGGCCATAGGGTCACGAAGATGTTCAACAGCGGTTGCTACCTCAAGGCCGCATCCGTTGAGTGCGACGTCCACGCACTGCCTCGCAATTACTTGTCTATCTTAGGTTGGGATTTTCAACGAAGGAGATGAAGGCCGGAGGGTTGGGTTGGGGTGATAGGGGAGACAAGCAATGGAGGGCTTTCGAGTCCTCAATGCGAGCCGATTAACACAGCAGCAAACCGACGAAATGATAAAGAAAAATAGTAGCCAGGACGCTGTATTGATTATCTCGGTCGGGTCCTCCACGGGATGAGACCAGTTCACAGAGTGAGTTCATAACGAGCCCTTCCATTTGCCCAGACAGAGTTTCCTCTCAAGACCCCGAATCGGGGCCTTTGGCACATCTTGCTGTCTGTCCATGACCTACTTGCCATTACTGTATGCCTAATTCATGATCAATTTTGCCTACTTCATGGTCCCCGACCATGAAGGACTAAGCTATCGACCATATCTTCGTATGTACTGCCGCCCCTGAGACGACAACGGCTGATGGTGAGCGCATAGGGTTCTGCATGTGTATCAACCGGGTGATCGGCCTGGAGTGGCAATGAAGCTGGCGCATATACGGATTGTTCCCTTTAGCTCTGAGGTGGACTTTGTCACGAGACGATGTTTGTGGCATGAAGCTGCGTCACAGCAGGCAAACAAGCTCGCTGCTGTAGCAAGCTGCAGCATGGTAGGCAAACAAGCTCCCAGAAGCGGCCAGATACGATGACTCTAATATACAACAGCTGACTCACCCAGTACCTGGTATCAGGTTGTAGCCAAGATAGACGTGAATTGGCGCCAGGCTGAACGGTTAATGCGTTCCGACAACGTTACACGGCATTACCCCTTGCTTCAAGATGTGACTGCATTCAATGCGAACCCCCCTATCGGATAAGCGGGGTGGTCTACCCCTGTCACTTTAAGATGAGCACCTCCCAAAACAACGTCGTAAGCGATAACGAGGGTCGCGACGGTCACGAGGGTCCTCGTTGTCGCGTAACACGTCAGCGGCAACACGTACCTATCTGCTTAAGTACTTACCTACTGACACTGTCTGTCCGACAATCTTTCTCACTTCATAAAAAGGGTTTATCAGTCGACCTGCGCCGGCAGCATACTAGATTCATCTGACTCGAAGAGTCTCGGCCATCTCCTTCTCCTGTTCAACACTCCCTACTGCTCAGCTATCAGACTCGCCCTCGGTCCTGCTGCATCTACATCAGCATCACACGCGCCCGGTGAGTTATCAATGGCAGGCCACTCTGCGCAATGATCTATCCATCTTTCAGCAGCCCTCTAACGCTTTGACAGTAAAAGAGTCAAGACATTTACGCGATGGCGTGTTCACCAGAAGCCGCGACGGCCATCAGCCGCAAGAAGGCGCGCTACGCCCGCTACGCCGACACGAAGCAATGGGGCGCATACGCCGACGAAGTCGCGCTCCCGAACTGCACGTACGCCTTCGAGGACGTCAACGGCCTCACGCTGAACGCCGGCGGCAACAAGCTGCAGTTCGCGTCGACGGTCGAGTTCACGGCCTTCTTTGGCGCCTTCTTCGCCAAGCTGCAGACGCTGCACAACCTCGGCCCGGGCGACTTCACGCAGACGGCGCCCGACGAGGTGCGCGCCGTGTTCTCGGTCGAAGATCAGATCTTGGCGCCGCCGTTTGGGGCCTGGGCCGAGATCAGGGGCGGGGGCTATTATTACGAGACGTGGAAGATGGTCGATGGGGATTGGTTTTTGTCGGACCTGCGCATGCGCCGGACTTACCAGAAGATGACTTTGTTGGTGCAGGTCGCGTTTTTCTTCCAGGAGAAGCTTGGCATCTCGATGCTCTAGACGCTCTCACCATAATGATTATGTCGACATGAGCAGCCCGAGGTATTCACGGACCTTCTGTCTGCCAATGACTGTGGTCTGAGCACATGAATCACATTGACCAAGCTACACTCAACCCTCATGAGCCTCCGTGCGCGCATATTGATAATATTCCAGATCACCCGGGGAAAGTATTAGAATACTGGAATAAGCATACAGGAACATGCAGCTCTAGCTGGATACGCTACTTTCAATTTGACAAACACCAGAACGCCATCACCACAACCATCGCGCAGATGACCGTGGCCGGATTCATGCAGGAGAAGAAGCCATTCTTAATGTCTGTTCTCCAGGTGTGGCGTGCTCAGTCCCTGAGATGGCTTAGAGAGAAGGCTTGAATCGTTGTCGGTAGAGTTTTGACAGAGCTCCCGACAGAGGCTTTGGCAGAGGTTCCGACAGAGGACTTCGTTCTCTACTCTTTGGCCCCGGATGCTCTCTGAGAAATCGAGATCTGCGCTCCATACTCCCTAAGGCCCTCCGCCTATGAAATTTGGTGTATGGAGACTTATGAGAGTTCAGTGTACCTTGCATTTCCTTCTCGCTGAAGAAGCGTTGAAGGCCGGCATATATGAGATGGCGTTCATCAACCTCGCGACGGGTTCTTCTTCCGCCTTTGCACTGGGTCAGTCTGCTGGCTCACCCAGCCGAAGCTTGAGCGGACGGAGGAGCGAAATAAAGGCGACTGTGAGGACGATGGAGCGTCGCAACGAAAGACCTAGTCGGTAACTCCTGGAACTGCTATATGTGCCATGTTGGCCCGTGGTAGGCTCGTAAGGGAACAATGAGTAAGTACCCATGCCTATAAGACTTCGCTTGAATGTAATCTCTACTCGTATCCCGTGCATGGCGTAGGAGAAACAGGTTTTACCATGTTCCAGTTGATTCCCCCCACGCGTAAATCGCAGCATTGGGTGTCGATAGGTGTGAGCGGCCCATGCCGTATCGCATAATTCACCCTTGGGCATGTGGCACGCCGTATGCAAAGGTTTAAAGAGCATAACCATGCGAAGTGTGATATACTTTGATCATAATACATTAATAGGAGATAAACATAGCCCATTGCTATGAACAGTGATGGTATGACAGCCTCCTGGGTATCCCTATATGATCGCCATAGTCCGTTCCAGGTTAGGAAGCCCTACCCTATCTGGGTAAGTTGCTCATAATGTTAATATTTACATGGTAGAAAATTACGGCCCTTCTAACATCCAAAGGAGCTCTCGTTGTCAGGAGTGAGTAGAAGAAAATGATGGCTGATGGATGGGCATGGACAGGGTGAAGCGGTGTCTCGTGTGTGCCACGTTCGCAGAATTATCCGCAGATAGAAGTATCTACAAGTCTGTTAGTGACATGGCAAACGATACCCGAGTGGTTTATTAAACTTACCCCACGAGCCCAGCTGAGGAATGACGCCAGCATTGGACAGCTCCTGAAAGTCCCACTCAGGCGCAGACTCGGTCTTCCAAGTCCAGAAGATCCAACCGTCGGCCTTCTCGTAGGCGACCATCTGCGCCTTGAGGAAGTTCGCAATGTTATCGCGCTCCGACTGGGCGAGGGCAGCCACCGCGACATTCGACTTCCCAGCGCAAGACCCGATGTAGGAGGACGACGCGCCGTTGTAGTTGAACGTGCCGTCGTAGCGAGCGCCCACGCCGCGGCCGTTGAGCCAGGTCGCACAGTCCGTCATGGCGCCGGAGAACTCGCCGTTGATGGCCCATTTGTTGGAGCTTGCCAGCTGCTGGCCGAAGCCGCACGCGCTGGCGATGTGCTGGTCGGTGCTCATCTGCAGCTGGCCCGCATCGAATACCTCGTAGTGGTGGGTATCGAGCAGCAGCGACGACTGCGCCGATGCGGCGCCCCAGTCGTTCCACGCCGTCGGGCCGAGGAACGCATCGTGGAAGGCTACTGCCACGTTTGAGTTCTGTAGCGTGCCTAGGCCGTCGACCATGAATTGCCGGACTGTGTCCATGTTGAGTTGGGGGCTCATGGGCTCGTTGATTAGCTCTATGGCGGCGACTGCTGCATGTGACGAGAAGTCGTTCCGGAGCTTGGTCAGGGCGCCCAGCGTCTGCTGTACCGTGTCGCCTTGGGTCCAGCTGATGGCTCCGCGTCTTCCCGAGTTGTCCAGGCCGTTCTGCGAGCCGGGCGCGCCGTGCAGGTCGATCATCACCTATATCCTCTTGTGTTAGCTTCATCGACACGCTCAAATCGTTACATGAAGCATGCCAAAACAGGTGAGTTTACGTACCTTGATGCTCGCGCTTTGAGCCCAGTCGAGGGCTTGGCCAAGGTATTTGTAGCCGCCGGAGACATAGGGGTCTCCATCCAAGGGTGTGACCGACCAGTAGCCAACAGGAATCCGGACGAAGTTAATGCCCTTCGAATGCATGTCGGTGAAGTCCGCAGCCGTGATCCACGAGCTCCAATGTGACTCGAGACGTGTCGATGCCTCAGCTGCCCCCAAGGTCTTGGTGAGCGTATACTCGTCAACCACATTGTCCGGCGTCGCCTGGAATATGGACGGAGTGATCCATGGCTATAAGACGGTTAGCTGGTCTAACAGACAACGTCAAGGTGGCAGCAGAAAGCTCTTCTGACCTCGAGTACGAGCCAACCTCCCAGGTTGACGCCTCTGATCTTCTCGCTGCCGAAGGCGAATTTCAGGTCTTTCTTCACCAGAGACATCGGACCATGTGGTGCAGCATTGCCGACGCTGGCCAGCATGGAGGCAGCTATCGCTGCTGATTTCAGAAAATGTAACGGACTCATTGTAGTATTTTTGGGACAGCCGTCGTGTATAAGAGCAAGTGAAAGTTAAACCCCGTGCCTGATCGACAAGCACGGGGAGGAAGCGTATTTAAATCCATCAGACTGGCATTTAACCTCGGGCCCAATCCAGCCACGCCGGCTATCCCCTTGAAGAATGTTAGTCCAAAGTCTGGTCACGAAGCATGCTCATGATGCGCGATCAGCGCCAAAGCATCCTCTTCGGCTTGTGATGATGATATAGTGGGGGCACTTTCTTGCTTCCCGAGCCTCGTGGAGCCATTCGATCCTCCGCACGCCACAGAGAGACACGCGGGGAAGTTCTCCAGACAGGGCAGATTCCCGGCTTGGCGAGCTCAGGGGTCAGGGGTCCGACCAGCGCACCGGGCGTACCTTGGCTACTTTCGGCAATGATTGATGGTTCCTCCTCTCGACAGACAAGTTTACGGGCAAAAACTCTAGAGCAACTGATCAGGGAAATACTTGCCAGCGCACGAGATCGTCACTAGATGCTCTAGATCCGAGGCCTGTCTCACTGCGGCAGTCTAGCAAGTGCGGAGTAACCTAGGACTGTCGGTAAGACTGTCGCTCAGCGATGACGTGCACTATTCAGGTCTAGGTTTATTAGGCAGTGATTAAGGTATTGGCGGGCGCGGATCTTCCCCTTGCCTTAACCTTGAATGTAATAACGTGGCACGCATGGCACTAACATTTGCCAGTCTGCCAGTCCGCTCCGCCGAGCCAGCCACGCCAGCCACGGCCCCGATGGAATTGACGTCCCCATTCTAGGATGGCTGAGTCCCCATGGAACTTATCAGTCTTTCCAGCTGCAACCTATGAAGTCTTGCGTCTATGCCTTCGAGAATTGAGATGGGCTTTGGGCCGCAGTATTGCGGCTCTTGCGGCTCTAAGAGGGATCTCTTCGATGTTGAGGGATGAGGCACGGCGTGGCACCGCGTAAGCTTCGTCACATCCTATCATCGAGTGGAGGAACCGTTTTCCCATTTCACATACGAAGTACCCCATCGAAAAAACCGTCTTTATACAGGTTCGCGTCCTGAAGTACGAGATGAACCCTCTCCTAGAGCCGCGTGTGCTTCTGTTACATGTTTCAGGAGTATTCAAATCGACTTTGATCCAGGGTTGAATAGTGTAGAGAAAGCCGAAGCTAACGACAATCTCTAGGCAACGAGCATGTTAACTCGGTGCTCGGCTAGAGCCTGACTATCGAGCTTGAGACGAGACCTTTGCTTCTACGACGGATGGTTTGGTCCGTACGCGACGAAGTTTTCGTTCCCCATACACTACCGCAAGAGCGTCGATTGTTGTATATGGGGTTCTTCCGCCAGTAGAGCACCGGGACTCGCGAGATCGGGTAGCCTACAGCAGATCTTACGACATTCCATGGTTGGTGTTGTACGTTTACCGTCCTGGCGTTGTGTCGTGCCAGAGTGAGACGTCCACAAGGCTTGCGAATCCGAGACACCGCTTGCAACGAACGAGACCTGTTCGCCCAGGCCGGGTTTAAGAGAATCTAGAAGGCCTCCTAGGCCCCAGGCTATCATGGGAGTTAAGATACGACAATAGCCGTCAGATATGTGCCATGATCTTCTTTATCTGTCGCCACAGCTAGCGATAATTACCAATGAATTTCCAGTGACGATGGGAGCACAACCCTGTCTGCCGGAACCCAAGAACAGAGGACTCTGCCCGGTACACGTGTGTAGACTATGGTACTTCTTGACTCCCATTAGTCCCTCGTCTCGTTGCCTCACCAATCGGTAGCAGTGAGCTGCTCAGCTAGCACTATTGTGCTGTGCACTCCCGGATGGGTGGCCATCCGGCGCAAAGCTCAGTAGGCAGATCACACAAGAGCAACACACTGCGTTGCTCTCGATGCCGCGCCGGTGGAAAGGGGTGTCTCGGTAACCCCGAAGTTCTGGCTCTTGTGCGGAGATGCTGTACTTCCTAGTACGGCCCGTACCACAAGTGACAATAGCGCAGCGGCCGGTATTACCAGCTTGATCGTCTCGCGTGGCTCAAGTACTACCAGAAGGCTAGCTGGGAAGCCAACAGCATCTACTACAAGTGACACAACCGGAAGGAGTTGCTAGCCGACAACCCTCTGTCCTTCGACAACGCACTCGTCGTCATTTTGTGAACCTCATCTTCGTCAACACCATGTTCGACATATTCTTCGTCGTCGTGATCGCCTGACCGTTCGCCACCACCCACCTCAATCCCGAAACACCCATTATCGTCAACGTCGTGCTCGACGGCAGCGCCTCTTGACACCATCAAGCGAGACCGCCCCCATGGCGCCATGACAAGGAGTGGGCGCAGAACACAGCTTACAGCTTGCACGATGACTTGCGCAGTCTGGGGCACACATTGGTTAGGAGAACTTTTATATTTCTGCTAGACGGGTCTAAGTCTAAAACACGGCGAGTCGAGTGTTGCAAGCCGCGAGTCTAGCTGATATCCGTGAGCTCCGTAACTGATGCACCCAGATGTCCGGGCTATTTCACTAACCACTCCTGATGAAACCTAGGGCTACTTCCAGTCTCCAGCGGCAGTGTCGGCGAGTAACTTCTATTCTGACTTTTCCACCTCCGCCCCTTTGCCGTTGCCCTCGCCATCGGGCAGATCATCCTTCTCCGTCATGCTGTCCTCACCCTTTCCATCGACCTTTTCATTAACCTTCCTTCATCTCGTAGTCCCCTTCAGTGTCACCCTTCTCCAGCCACTCCACCTCAGTGCCGTCAGGTGCGATATGCAGCGAACCCTTGGCGGCACGCTGCCAGAAATCTCTGCTCGAGTTTCCAATGCGTTGGAGGTTGTCTCCAATGCGTCCGAAGTTGTCGCAGGTCCAAATCAGCGCCTCGAAAAAGGCCTTCGCTTCCTCTTCCAGTCCGAGCACGCGCAGGCTTCTGATAATACGGGTGATGCGGAGGTGATTATGATCCATGCGTCTGACCCATAGGACAAAGTTCGCCGTGCAGCCTTCCTTGCCCTCAATGGTGACCTTCCCCTTCTCTCCAGCCGGCTGCTCACAGTCGATGCTGAATCCGTAGAAGGCGAGCATGCGCGTGAGAGCGCGGCGGACGTTGGCCTTCAGACCACCATGCTGCCGAAAGTAGAGGAAGGTCTCTTCGTCGATGACAGGGGCAGTGTAGTTGAAGACCGAGCCTTCGGGCAGCGGGAACAGGACCTGGATGTAGTCGTGCTGGATTTCCAGGCGGTGGTCGGCCCATGCCAGTATCTGCTCCAAGGTACGGCCAGCGCCATCAGGACCCTTGGTGTCGGGATCGTAGAAGTCGACTAAGCGGCGAAGCGAGGGGTTTGAAGGCTTGGTGCCTGACGAGGAAGACATCTTGGTTCTCTTGGCGCTGCGTTTATTGTCAGTGTCCAGGGTCCTCTGGGCAGCGTCTTGTTCCTCGGGTGAGTTGGCGTTGCTTTGGGCGATGGCGCCAAGTAGGTGGGGAGGAAGTATTGGCATGGGTGGCTTCTTTGGCGAAGGGGGCTCTTGCTGATTCTTGAGGGCAAATCGGTGGTATGTGGATAAGTGCGAGACTGGGTTCCTTCTCAGACTTCTGTCTAAAATTGCGTTTGCACTTGCAGCGTTTGCTGGGCGAAAGGAAAGAGCTCAGGTGTAAAGCAGTCGCTGCATGTCGACAGGTTGAGACTTGAGTTGGAGGTTGATGAGTACGGTACAAAGCGATTCGTTACAGCCTTACAGGCGTTAAGTGATTGCATTGTATACTATATATGCAGTTAGAAGAGATTTCTTGAGGTGGATCTATGTATCTATAAAGGCTTATGCGGCTGCTCAGGTAGGTCCGTGGTGATTGCTGGTGATCGCTATCAAGTATGATTCGCCTGTCTTGACAGCAGCAGTCCCCACCGAGATGGAGCCCCTTCCTTCAGTTCCAGTTTATACATCTCATCAACGGGCATTACTTCCCTCACTCCAGAATACTCCAAAACTCATGTGCATCCAATATCCAATCCAGTGTTCAAAGTCTTGATAACTTTAACAGTAAGTGTGTCGTGCGTCTTTGCAAGCATGGCTCTCTTTTCCCTTGTCGCGCTGTCTGTATTCGCCTCCTTCGCCTCCGCCAAATGCTATGATCATTCGCCCGCGTTCCCCATGCCGTTATGGCAGCACGGAACCAGAGACCTTGCGTCTGCGTTACACGGCATATCTGAGAAGCTCAAGGCCGTCGTGAGCGACAATAAGTATGAAATGTCCTCATTCTCCGTCGAACTCACTTCAAACATGGACACACTATGGTCACAGCACCACACGGCCCGTAAGCAGAACGCGACACGCCCAGGCACAACCCATGTCAGCGGCGACAGCCAGTACCGTATAGCTTCCGTCACAAAGTCCTTCACAGTTCTCGGCGTCCTGTACCAGCATGCTGCCGGCAACCTCAGCCTCGATGATCCAGTCCTGAACTACATCCCGGAGCTTTCCAGCCCAGACAGCGGCAAGCTGCCATGGAAGGACATCACCATCCGCGCTCTGGCCTCCCAGATCTCTGGACTGCCACGAGAGATGGGTCAAGGTGACTTGTTCGGCATCCGAGATCCCACAGATTACGGCTTGCCGCCAGTAGAGGGAAACGGCCTGCCAACTTGCTATTGGTACAATCACTTCGTCCCATGCAACAAGTCGGAATTATTCCGTGACCTAAAAACCAAGGATCCGCTGTTTGCGCCCAACCAGAAGAGCACATACGGCAACGTCAACTTCGCCCTACTGGGATTGGTGCTCGAGAACGTGACGGGCGTGTCTTACAGCGACTACATGCGTACTGCCATCTTCGAGCCCCTCGACCTGACCTCCACGTTCCTCGACGCACCGTCGGATGAGAACGCCGTTCTGCCTGTCGGACAATATTACTGGGGCGTCGACGGCGGTGTTCTCAGACCCAGTGGCGGTATCTACACCAGCTCCTCAGACTTGAGCAAGTACCTCCGCTACGTCCTCACGCACTTCAACGCCCTTGCTACTGGGGTGAACTGGTTCATGCCCGCCAGCTGGGCGACAGGTCTACGAAGCTTCTACGGGATGCCGTGGGAGATCTTCCGCACGGAGAAGATACTGCCGGAAACCGACCGCCCTGTGACACTCGTGACGAAGGGTGGTGGGCAGCCAGACTATTTCTCGAAGATCATAATGATGCCTGAGTATGGGCTGGGCTTGACGATCCTGACTGCGGGACATCAAGATTTATTGGGGGAGTTACAGGAGATCCTCACTACGAATGTAGTGAGGGCAGCGGAAGAAGTAATATGGCGGGATGTCGAGAAGACGTATACCGGCACGTATCTTGCCACAAACAGTTCACTGAACTCTTCTCTCGAGCTCGCCTCTTCGCCATCCACAAGCCTCATAGTCAACACCTTCATCTCGAACGGCACGAACGTCTTCAACCAGCTCTTGCCAGGCCTTCACGGCTCCGATGAGCACCCTTGGCGGGCGCAGCTAGTGCCCACTCTTCTGTACAAGAACGAGACAGCACAGCAAGGGGAGGTTTGGCGATTGCTTGTCACTGCCGAGCGGATGGGGGAGGAGAGTGGTGTATGGGATGACTTCTGCTCTACCGATATCGATGTCGCTTCTTACGCTGGGCTGCCCGTGAATGAGGTTGTGTTCTGGCATGAGGAGGATGTGATTGAGTTGCCTGCTTGGAGGGTTAAGCTGAGACGACGAATTGGTGATGAAGAACAAGCGAAACTCGTCGTCCAAGAGCTGAGATGAATTGACGCCGTAGATACCCTGAGCACGATCTATGATGTACTGAACGGCTCTGTCAAGCCACCCAAATCACTCCTGGACGCCTACCATACCTGACCCTCAAACTCTAGAGCGTTCTCATCGCCGGTGCTTGTCTTCGCTGCTCGTCGATTCCCCTTTGAATCAGACTACCTATTTCTATTTGCTGCAGCACGTTATATAGGGCCCATATGATATATGAATTTCTCCGACTTTCCAAGCCTGGGAAGCCGGGGAACGAGACGTCGCGGGGCCTGAATGAGATCGTGCATACAGGAAAGACCACCATCGCCAGTGTCATGTGGGTATATCTGTGTCGCCCCCTGGAGCTTCAGACCCTCAGGTGCTGATACTTGCTACTCAGTTCGCTGGCCAGGTTCACTGCGGAACATACAGAGGGGATTTGGTCACTCGCCTACCGCATATCGCGGAGGTCGACATCCATCTGCCCTCCGCCCCTCGGCCTGCTACGATTCGGCCAGACACGCCGACGGATGGACCTCGCGTCGGGCAGGCTCAGCCCCGAGGATACGCCACTGGCGAGATAGGTATGGCTCCTGGGCATCAGCGAGCTGGCCCTCCTCGCCCTGGCTAATTACTATCCTGGGCTCAATGTGGGCGGCACATACCAGACCAAGGCAGACGTGAACAAGGCCGTCCGCAGTATCGTACCGGGTCTGTCGCGGGCCTCGCAGGGCGCCTACCTCATGAGCGAGCGACGGCGCCGCATCGGCCACGGCAGGTTTGACCTGGAGGGCATGAGCCTGCTGGACTTGCTCAAGTTCGACCTCCGGGAGGATGTCATCGGGCTGTGACTACATGTGGTTTGTTTCTACGTCATGATGACCTGGCGCCGCATCGAGGTCAAGCTGAAGGAGAAGAGTAACGTGCTGTACGAGCAGGCCGTATGGCGCAATGGTCAAATGCGCTTGGTTGTGTTCTCGTTTGTGCGGTGGGCGACGAGAACAAGTGGGTTCGAATCCTGCTACGGCCCCCTTCTGACCCGGCTTGTGCGAGTCGACAACCAGCACACGACAGTGAGAGGCCCCATTATCGCAGAGCCCGATAGCCAAGCAGCTTGTCTCCATAACACCCACTCCTGCGAGGTTTTCCCCCTTGTGGTTTCCCTCCCCAGCAGATAACAAATACCTGCTTCATCCACCAATGCGCTGGTGGTTCGCATGAGAGAACAGGGCTGGCCGGGCTTTCTCATAAGATGGGTCCAGTTATTCATGTCCGAGCGGTCCGCAAGGGTTCAGTTTGAAGGTATCGTGACCGATATAAAAGCTCTCACTTGTGGGCTACCTGTGACGAGCCGTCTAACCTATAAGGCTAAAGGGGTTCTATAGGGTTTATGTTCTGAGGTAAGTCAACACAAAAGACGATAGAGGCTTCTGTCAACTAGAAGACACTCAGATGCTGGGGCTTGGTCTGAACTGGGTTCACTGCGTAGTCGAGTCGTCAGGAGATTTCTCCCACCTTAGTGTTGGCTAAGATGCTTAGATTGATCACTGAGGTAGAGACTGTCTATCTGTGCTGTCTAGGAAATGTCCATCCTTATATATCCAATCTCTCCCTCACTGATGGGGTGTGCTCACTGCTGCTCACTGCGATCAGGAGTGAGCAACTTCCTTTGCTCACCTCTGCTCACTGCGAGCAGGCGTGAGCAGTTTCTGGTCACGTGATCCCTATCCCATGGATCACGTGATCTGATGCCCTGGGCTCGCCCTGTGTGACATCTCTGTTCCGATTGGTCTCTTTCGTAGGCCACCTTTTCTTCAGGCCTGCCAACGGGCCGTGGCATCGTTGGTTCGTAACACTACCACAAGGCTTACCAGCCTCTCCAATCCTTTACATGCTGTATACAGAGCCAATCTATGCCCGACTTGGTATGAAAAGGAGACGCTTTGGATACGCAGACAACCTAGCGACTCTCTGCATTAGAAAGAACCTTAAAGAAACAGTCACAAAGGCTTCTGAAAATCTTTATCTGCTTAATCAATGGGGACATAACAACGCTATTGAATTTGACCCCGACAAAACCGAGATTATGCATTTCTCGCAGAAAAAGAACTCAGACAACCCTCCGGTCCGCCACAGGACAATGAATAAAATAGCAAAGGATTCCATGCAATGGCTAGGTGTCCTTCTTGATAGAAAACTAAACTTCAAAAATCACATTCCCCACTGGGCCAAAAAAGTTAATAAGGTAACAAATCACCTTTAAGGATTATACAACACAGTCAAAGGATTTCCAGTAAAGTCAATCAGGAGGGCTGTGAAAGCTTGCGTCATCCTTATTCTTACACACGGCTTAGAGGCCTGGTACCCAGGAATCGAAAAAAATTAGGAGCTTAGGTGGGACATCAGCGTGTCGTATTAAGGGGCTTCTTGGAACGATAGATACTGTACTACGAACGGCGATCAGGGCTATCTTGCCGGTCTGGAAAACACACCCTGGACATATCCTACACTTTGAATCGTAGATTCCCCCAGCAGGAGTTCTTGCAGAGTCAATAAGACGACATCACGGCCTCCGACTAGGACGAATAGACCAGAGACACCCTCTTGTTAGCAGGCTCTAAATACAAGCTCACAAGGAACCAACAAGGCTACAAAAGAGCTTCCAGCTAGTCCCTGACTTCCAGAGACCAACACTCACCAAACCATTATGAAAAAAGCCCCCAATCCACAAAACCAAAAACAAAAAATAGAGCTCTTTAAGCAATGACTACGGGGGAGAAACGTGAACACTGACCTTATCATCTACTCGGATGGATCACAATTGGACGACCAAGGCACAACCCGCACTGGATGGGGTTATACCATCAGGAAAGGCGGCACTACACAATAAATATATCAGGAAAAGGGCAGACTTCTATAAATAGAAATAATAGATACTGAAGTCCATAGTGCTCTCTAAGGTCTTGCAACAACCAGGGCAATTGGACGCAGAAAATGGCTGTATGTCTGCCTGGACAACACGTCAGTGATAGATGGGCTCAATGGGATTCCACCTGAGACATCACAGATCATTTTTCTATGATTCCAAGAACTCGTCACAGCATACACTCCTGGAGTGACCGTCAAGTGGATTCCTGGACACAGAAATATCAATGGCAACGAAGCTACTGACACACTTGCAAAAGAGGGTGCCATGCTAGAAACGGACGCGATAAACCTTCCCACAATCTCTTGGGTAAAGAGAGATCTCAAAATGAAGGGCAAGAAAGAATTCAATCAATGGTGGAAAGACCAATCAGAACCTAGATATCAAGAAGTATACTTATATATAGTAATTAAAAAAGACCTTACATCTTTTGAAAGGAGCACTCTATACAGACTTTTAGCGGCCAGATCTGGACATGGCGACTTTGTTAGATATCAGAAATAGTTTGGGCATACAGACTCGAATGACCACTACAACTGCGGTGAAAAGAAAACACCACAACACATTTTCTTTTATAAGAGGCTTGGGAAAAACTGACTGCTGCCCAGGTACTCGCCTAGGGCAGCCTGTTCACAATACTTAGGGGAGAGGAGCGTGGAATGGGCAAGATTTGTTGAGAAGAGCAAGTTCTTCTCATTAATCTGTCCTTGATAAATAACTGTTCTTAAAGGACCAGATAGATGACCCCAAAGTCATACCACCGCAACAACGGGGATGGGCTCGTGAGCGGGACTGACTGTACTTATTACTTATTATCTTGATACCTCCACAACCCTGCGATACAGAGGCTCTGGGAGGCGTGGTTTGCACTACTGGGGAGCGATCCCCACGTTAAATACAATCATCATCAATCATCATCATCGACCGGTCGGTCAAGTCCAACTGCCTCGAGGTTAGCATCGGGTATACCAATGTAATCCTGGGCCTCATACGTAATTGAGCAGTAGCAGAAGCAGCTCCTCGAGGCCCGCGAACTCCACGCGTGCTGATCTCATTTTCAATACCATGGCGCCGTACGATCCAGGTCGGTGAAGGCGGTCAATCCAGGAGAACTGGGCAGTGGAGCCCGAATGCAAGCTTCCTTCGGCAAAAGATGAAGAGGCTCCCGGACTCGTGGGATGCACCGAGTTCCCATGCGACCGCAAGTCCGTCGGGTGATGTGATAAATGTGATTGAGAGCGCCACGTTTTGTGGTGTGGGCGGAAAAGGAAATGTGGTGACCCCGCTTGGGTCCAAGCAAACCTCAGCTGAGCACGGCTGATAAGCTCTGTACGACCTCGGCTCCAATGATATACTAAACTGAAAACTGGAAGAGATGTTGACTGTGAGCTCCCTTTGGTACCAAGAGACATGGATTCCGGCAGCAATGATGCCATCCCAGCGGATGCACTGAGGTCTCGAAGCGAGAATAGGGGCACAAATGTGGGTTTGCCAACATGGCATCACAATTCTATACAATTGGCCAACTCTATACAGGTCCTACTCTCATTGCTCTTAGACAGCAGGCCCAGTCTTCGGTTCCTTGTCAACGAGGATGAAGCTGTGTCATGCCCCTTCTGCTTCGCCCGCGTCATTTCTTTCACTGGGGGACAATGCGCAAAGCGGTCTGTCTTTCGTCATTTAGATGACCTAAACCTAGTTCCGCATTATGAGCATTGAAGCCGACGTCTCAATACTCAAAATGGACAATATCCACTAACCTCTGTCTGCCCGTCCAAGCCTTAAGAGGACCAGTGATAAGCAGGAAGGCGAAAAGGGGGCAGGTTGCGGGTGAAGCCGCAAGCGATGATTAGATCTTCGTGAAATACGTGCTTCGCCAGAGACGAGATAGCATGACCTGATCCCTCATCGACATTCCCTTCACATATAGGCTATGGGATGAAGTCAAGCGTTTTACGAGCTGCAAACAGACGTACTGTCAGTGAGTGCCGATGAGGTACACAGCCGTGGTATTAACTACAACTGCCCCGAGGAAGTTTCCTTCCAGCTACAAAATATACTCATGTATACGTGGACGACGGCCTCACAATGTACAGTGGAGAGGCTGAGCTGGTGTTGACCTTGTCCAAGGCAGGTGTCTACGCCTTGTTGGCCCAGGAAGTGTTCTTAAAGATCTCGCAGTCCAAGTGCTCGGGTGAACCCTTCGAGTTCCTTGTCGCAAAGGAACATTGGACGTCTTCTCGGGACCTCTGCCTTCGTTCTTGGTACATGGAGCCCACCAAAAGGTTAGACTTGTTCCTTGGTCAACTTGGTAAACAGCTAATCAGCAATGGCTTCCGTCGACCGAGGTTCGACCAAAGTGTTGAGAAGTTCACGAAAGGTGACTTCTCGATCCACTTCACCGCAGTGAATCGACAATGCAATAGACGCATTCAAATGGAGCAAAACCTTCGACCAGGCAAGCTGATCTACAACCAAATCCGTTTGTAACCGCTGGAAAGCCCACAATATTCAGGGGTAGCCTGGGAGACCTATTGGATGACTAGATGAGCCTTGCCACTCCACCACCGGATACGCTGCTCTGAAAACATTCTACCGGCGATGATGCAGGTCGGCTCTTGTCGGCGCAGTCCGAGCGATGGCGAAAGCCAATCACGAGTATAACTGCCGCGAGAAAAGGCCATCTCCGGGGCCAGCCCTTTGGCCCGATCGGGATTGGAAGATGTCGCCATCGGGGTGGATCATCACCCAACAGGAGCCGGATGCAGTGCCGACGACCACATAAACCAGTACCGCCCTCTCATCTCCGTAAACCATGAGGTTATTAACTTCGTTTCTGTTCTTCTTATCATTCCGAGACGAAGCACAGAATCCTGACGGAAAGCCAAGGAAACTCAACGTCGCAAGATGACCGCTCCAACCGACCTGGCTTCGTCCCCGGAGGCGGATGGAGTGAAGGCAAAGCCCCGCGCAAGACGCACATGGTATCACACCACTCTCTTCAACGCCTTCGTCATCGGCGGGGTCGGCTTCATCGCCCCCGGGCTATGGAATGCCATGAACTCCCTCGGCGCAGGGGGCGCACAGGAACCCTACCTCGTCAACGCCGCGAACGCCCTGGTCTTCGGCATCATGGGCTTCCTATGCCTTTTCGGCGCGCCCCTCGCCAACCGCATCGGCCTATCCTGGACGCTGTTCTTGGGCGCCGTTGGGTATCCGGTCTACTCCGCGGGGCTATACACCAACAACCGCTACGGCAACGTGTGGTTTGTGCTCGTGGGCGCTGTTGCCTGTGGGTTTAGTGCTGGGCTCTTCTGGGCGAGCGAGGGCACGGTTGCTTTGGGATACCCGGAGGCTGGGAAGCGCGGGCGGTATATGAATATCTGGCTCTGGTTCCGCACGGGTGGTCCTCTGGTTGGGGGCGCGATTGTGCTTGCGTTGAACAACGACGCCAATTCGAAGGGGAAAGGCAAGGTTTCGTCGAATACCTACCTGGTCTTCGTTGGCTTGCAGTGCGTTGCTGCGCCCTTGGCGCTGCTACTATCCGCTACGGAAAAGGTGCAGCGGTCCGATGGGACCAAAGTCATCATCAAGGCTGAGAAGTCATTCAAGGGGGAGTTCAAGGCGCTGTTGGCAACGAGCAGGAGAAAGGACATCTTGCTTCTGCTGCCCATCTTCTGGGCAGCCTATTTTAACCAGTACAGCAGCAACTTCCAGGCGTACTACTTCGGAATCCGTGCACGTGCCCTCACCGGCTTCGTCATCAACTTCGGTACCATACTATCATCCACACTCATGGGCACACTGCTGGACTACAAAGGCTTGTCGGTAAAGAAACGCATCACCGTGGGATTCTGGTACATCGTCGTCGTGCATATCATCGCCTGGGTCTACGGATGGGTCATTCAGGAGAAGTACACTGCCAACCCTCCGGCGTACGACTGGGAGGACAAGGGCTTCGTCGAGGGGTTCTTCGTCCTGATTCTGTGGGACTTTGCGAGACAGGCTTTGCAGAACTGGCTTTACTATCTTGTCGCTACGAAGACAGACAATATCTCCGAACTAGCACGATTTTCCGGGATTCTTCGCGGACAAGAGAGTTTCGCCCAAGCAATCTCCTATGGCCTAAACACCCAGAAATGGAAGGGCGGCCGAGTACCTCTGGCCGTGAACACGTTCTTGCTTGGTGAGTGGATGAAGCCAATGTCTACTCTCACTGCCTCGTTTCTCCGTTTTGTGTTAGGTATGTATGCTGACCACAAGCTACTCCGTAGGTCTCGCTGCGTTTCCAACTTGGCTCGTCGTTCGCGATCACATACCCGTCGAGCCCGACCCCTCCAGTCCAGTGACCATGGAGCAAGATGATGAAGTTGAAAAAGGTCTCGCCATCTCCGATGTACTTACGTCGGAGGAGAAAGAGAAGTTCGCTATTGGGAAGACGAGTGTGGGACAGAATGTAGCCATGTGATTGCGTAGTCAGTGTATCATTACGTGTGCACGACGAATACGCAGAGTAGCGAAAGCTCCCACGTCTATCTCAGTGTTGAATCACACTCCAAAGGAAACGGAGAATTGCCGTCATCTGGACATCATCACCTCTCTCGCTGGTCTGTAATCTCGAAGCAAAGCTGTTTATATTGCTTCCACCCAGAACTCCTTGTATCCGGCCGAGGTGTATGCGTCTCGCAACAGTATGTGGTGCATTTGAGCGAAACGAGCGTTATGTGTAATTGAATTCGTCTCTTGAACCGGCCCCTCTAGTGAATTCTTGGTCACACCGGTATAATAAGCTGTCATAGGTGTTTACTCACATATTCTACTCCATCTCATGTTTCTTCTTCACATCCCCAGAAAACTGGAGAGTGCAATGAAAAAAATTGTGTTTCGCCAGCTGGAGGCAGTGTAATACCAGGTGACGGGACAGTAGCCCCTGAGGAGTAAACAAAAAAATTGTTTGAAGTAAAGCCCTATTGAGCTTTGTGTCCTTTCATAGACGGCGTCCCTCTAGGAGGAACTTGAATAGTGAAGCCCTATAAAGTGTCAGCATGTCCATCCAAACGGTTTCCGGGGATGAGGAACTGTCACCGAAATGGTGGAGTAACTTATGGAAAGCGAGGAACTCTTATAATCAAGCCCTATATAGTGTTAGCGTGCCCATCAAAAAGGTTTCCGGTGACGAGGAACTACCGCCGAACCGGTGAAGTATGGGCAGCGAGGTACTACCATCGTCTGCCCGTGACCACTGGCCACACATCTGGAAGTACGAAAGGAAAGAGACTGAAAATCCAAAACTCGCAGAAATCAAGACGCGGAAATCAAGACGCGGAAATCAAGACGCGGAAATCAAGACGCGGAAATCAAGACGAGGAAATCAAGACGCGGAAATCAAGACGCGGAAAATCAAAGACGCGGAAATCAAGACGCGGAAAATCAAAGACGATAACCCCATCAACCGTCCTTCCACGGCATTATGAGTCAGGCATAAAGCCCCCAACCGAAGTTGGATCAGTGTAACCCAGCACCGAAGACCCAACCGCAGACCCGAATGTCCCTCATCCGGAGAGGATTTCCTACACCAGGGTACTAGTCTCGTCTCTACCCCAAAAGCGCTCTATAATGGTCGTTGGACACGTGCGTTCCAGCTACCGCTTGCCATGGCCTCTACAAGTCCACCCCAGGACGTTGAGAGGCCATTTCCCACTGGGACGAGCAAGCGGGACCATTTTGGCCTCGCAGAAGATCTGCCGGGAGGCGGCTAGTGGGAATAAATGTGAGGCCTACCGTCGAACCGGGCGAACTCCACAGTACACGCAGGTGGGGCAGGGCCCGGTGGCCGTTGTCATCATCATCGGAAGCAGTCGGGGTTGTACTGACTTCACCTATTCGCACATCGACGGCCATCGCCTTTGAACCGACAGCAGCCGCGACGCTGGTCACGGCTGGCTGCCAGGGATACCCCCTACAGGCGGCGATGGATTACCCTGTCGGTCTCACGCCCAAGGCGCGTTGGCAGTTCCTCGCGCTCCAATCCGGGACAAGATAGTCGAACAACTTGAGCTTAACTCCCGCCCTCACGGTCACCCGTGGGGGCGGGGTCCAGAGTAGGCACTGAGGCTAGCTCAGTACGCTAATGTGTAACACTCTTTGTGGTGGTTGCGGTTGACGGGGTTGTGAAAAAAACAAAAACAAGACGTCAGTTAGAACTGAGTGGTGTCGTTGTCGGGAACCACGTGGTCGTCGGTTTCGATAATTCCCATCTATGGAGCGCCGCTACCCCTGGTCCGGCATCATGTGGCGTTGCGGTCTTATTAGGAAGTGAATTTCCGGGTTGTTGTCGTTGGAGCGCCGCTGCCCCTGGTCCTGGGTGGTGTTGTTGATGTTGAGATCGGTGGTGGGGTGGCTCGAGTAATTTCTGAATTGGAGTACAAGTCAGAAGGCGCCTGAGGTACGTGCGAGTTGGTAATACTCTGGAATGGGTGGCGGTTGTGTCAGGTAGAGTTGGTTGGGGAGTAGGTGATGAATGCGGAGGTGGAAGCGAATGTGGGAGATGGAAGTGAACGTGAGGGGTGGAAGTGAAGGAGGCAGAAGTGAACGATGGAGGCAGAAGTGAACGGGGAGATGGGAAGTGAAGGTGGGAGGTGGACGTGAATGTGGAAGGTAAAAGTGATTGTGGGTACCCAGGTGGTGCATGTTGGATGGGAATGGGGAGGACGAAGCTGCCTCAGGCAGGGGGAAATAGTTCGAAGGGGAGCCCCACTAGAATGTTTGGGGAGAGTACCTAGTGACTTACCTTCGACTTTCGATCTGTTCGCCGTCACTGTGCTTCGGAGATGGCGATATGGTCGATTCTAGCGAGCTAGGTCAGTTCTTGAACGCAGAGAAGGGCAGATGGAGAAGAATTGTGGTAGGTTTGGAGGGAATGATTGGACTCTGGCGGGAGAAGATACGGGTTGCGAGGCTGAGAAATGGTTGCTTCCTCAGGCACACGTGGAAGGAATTTGAGTACGTACCTATAGATAGAGATCACTATGTAGGTAGCCATACTCAACTTTTTGCTCCTGAATTCTCTCATCAGATCCCATTACATTTATACTTCAGTTGACTCATGTGAAGCCACATCTCTAATTGTATCACAGTATAGTCTAACTGTGTGCAACGCCTAGCTTTATACTTTGGAGCAAAGAGTCAGTGACACCTCTCCCCCGGCGATAAGCAACCAGACAACGTAATCAATTGGTTTCTGGTGCACATATCGCAGCTACTTTTATGGTAATTTCACTCAAGTCGTCCTAGATACGATGTCAATGGATGTTGTGTATGTGCAATCCTGCTTCTGTTGATCCGAGTCAACGTCATACCATGCGGTCTGCCTTCAGTATTGTATCTCTATACCCAAGAGTGATAACAGCGGAACACCAAGGCAACGCACAATAAAGCAAAACACCACGTCATGTGTATTCATGCCTCAAGGTTCCCTGATGTGAGAAGAGCTCGTTTTATTCAATTGTGAAGGAGGGTCAGAAGACATTGGTAACTTGGAGGTCACGTGTCGGCCCCCGGAGTGTTCGCTCGCACCGGACAGACACAATACCTTAGGCAAATCATCAGGAAAACTAGTACGCGAAGACTCCTGATTGTGTGCTAAGCTACAGCCGGCTCCCTCCTCAATTCTCTCTCGCAAGCGCTTCATCCACGATATTCTCAGCAAGGTCACTGATACTCACATGAGCGTCCAGTAAGTCCAGCATACTAATATTAGCCCCCAAGGCCTGCAAGAACCAGTTGCGCAGCTCGGCCGCAATCAAACTATCGACGCCATGGTCGGTCACGGTCTTCGAAGGGTTCACTCCCGATAGGTCGACAAACAGCATTTCCGCGACGGCCGCCGTGATGGCTCCGGTAGCGAGTTCTACCGTCTTCGTGCGCTCCTCTGGGCCGGCCTTGACAGCAGCGTCAAATTCGTGGCGCGGGCGGGCAAGCGCCGACTTGCCTCCTCGGTCTGCGGCGTCTTGGGTCGCGTTGGACTCGCCAGAGTGCCGTTGCGCATCGTCGAAGGCTCGCATGATCAGCGATACCCGTCCGTCGCTGTACCACCTGGGCACAGATGTCGATACGATGCCTGCCTCGTCCTCTTCGTGCTTCTTGGCCGCCAGCGCCGCTGGGTCCAGATAGGTGATGATGTTGGCAGCAGACAGCGGGTCCTGGTCGAGTCCCATCCACCGAGTCTGCGGGCCTTCCGCCCGGTGTTGAGTGTCCAGGAAGGCAGGCTCGAGTAGTGCTAGGAACTCCAGTTCTGAGATTGTCAAGGTTTTATTCCGCGCAAACATATCGACCGTGATTGAGTCGACACTTGGAGACCCGACGTCGTTAACAAGGCCGAATGAAGCAGTCGACGCAGGTAATCCAAGACGCCGACGATAGCGCGCGAATGAGTCCTGGAAGTTGTTAGCTGCGGTGTATAAGCTTCGCGTTGCAAGGGCGAAAACCGATTCCAGGGACGTGGTCATGACAAAGAAGTCTAATGGCATCGATATCGTGGCCTCGTGGAGGTTCTTGGTCCCGTTCAACTTGGCGGCTATGCTTTGCTGCCATCTTTGCACCGTCAGTTTGTCGAAGGAAATATCCTGATAGGAGACCGCTGCATGGACAACGCCCTTGAGTGGGCCATCAGAAGTCACCTCCTTGACGACACTCAACAGCTGTTCTCGGTTGCTAACGTCGCAGGCAACTGCTTTGATACAGGTGCCACGGGCTGCAAGCGTGTCGATCAGTGCCTGGGCCTCGCGGCTATTGACACCTCTCCTGGATAATACTACCATTTTACGGGCGCCACGATCAGACATCCAACGGGTTATAGACCGTCCAAGTCCCCCAAGACCCCCGGTAACAATATAGACTGCTTGCGGGTCAAAGCGGGCGGCCGGAGGCTCTCGAACTACCTTGACGAGGCTCTGGGGATCCTGATACGTCACGACTAGCTTTCCGATGTGTGTGCCCTTGGAGAAGTTCAGCAGTGTGTGATCCAGCTGTGAGATGTCACTGGTGATGAAGGGTTGAATTGGCCCGATAAGCCCATCACGGTAGTACTGGTCCACTGCCTTGATCAACTGCCCTCCAAGTTCTGGGTCGCTGTCGAGGACAAGCGAGAGATCGAAAGAGGAGAAACTCGCGCTCTTCTGAAAAAGCTCCATGCCGATGGCCTTGGCCTCTTGTACGTCCATCCGCCCTACGTCAATCAGGTGGCCCAATGGCGCGACAGCATCCAGGGAAGCATACAACATGTCGCCTCTGGCAGTACTGAGGATCACATCGAAGCCCCCTTCGCTTGTGACCCTCGCGGCATGGGATAGTGCTTCTTGGTCTCTCGAGGAGAAGACCCGAGTCGCCGGGATATTCATCTCGTCGATAAGGAACCGAGCCTTGTCCGTAGTTCCGACAGCAGCGAATACATCGGCTCCTTTCGATTGTGCTAGCCGAATAGCGGCAAGCCCCAGCCCTCCAGTGGCGGATTGTATCAAGACGGTCTGCCCTTTCCTAAGCCGTGTGACATAGTCAAACGCGTAGATGGCTGTCATGTATACCAACGGCATAGTGGCAACCTCCACGATGTCATCTTGGGGCTGGAGCTTGTGCGCGAATATAGCCAGCACGCGGGTGTAGTTGCCGAAGTGGCCTCTTCCCATGCCGTAAACACGGTCACCAGCTGAAAGACCAACAACGCCCGACCCCGTTTGGGTGACGACGCCGGCGTATTCGGACGAGAGGTTGTTAGCATCGAAACGACCGGAACAGAGGCCTAGGTCCTTCCAGTTCAGCCCAACAGCCGCAACCTTGACGTCAATCCAGCCGTGAGGAAGAGGCTGCCAGAGTTCCCTGTATGGCTGAAAGTAGATCGAACTAAGTATCCCGGCTGTCTCGAAGGCCGCGCGCACAGGGCCTTCCAGGCTAGCAATAGGTAGCATCTCAGTCCCTAGACTTTTGGGGGTCTTCACGATCTCTGAGTACTCTTGCAGCCCCGCATCTGGCACGAACCTGCTCACCCACATACAGCCGCCTTGCCAAACGAACTCATGATCCCTCCTCTCCCCAAAAGTCTCATTTTGTAGATCGATCTCCTTATCTGCAATGCACCGAGCAAGGTCCGCGTCATCTGTGTCGAAGTTGTCGATATCGACGTCGATTGATAGGAAACTTCCAGCAGGGTTCTCTGCTCCGATGGTACGCAGAAGACCGGGAATGAAGGAGCCGTCAGGATTGCGTCCTTGCACTATGCCGCACGAAGTGACACAGGTCATGCTCTTGGCTGTCCTGGCGAGATATTGGAACGCCCCGAGGCCGTGTTCATCAACATCCAACATCAGATCTCTCCCTCCAAGAAAAGACACCACACATGAGGTGGGTGAGACAGTCCCCAACGCCTCTTGGAGAGGTATCATCTTGGTTTCCGTTCCACGCTGTTTAAGCTCCTTGGAAAGCTGGTGCAGAAGCAAAGGAGGACCTCGGGCGCCATAAAGCAGCTGGACTTCGATGATTTCCTTTACTTCGATGATTTCCTTTCTCTGGATCGAAGGCTTCTCTCCCGCAGGCTCTTGGTCCAGAGACGTAGACATCAGAGTGGTTGTAGTATTGTTTGGACGCGGGTAGTCGTCGAAAACCAATTCCGCCCCCGAAAAGCCGGCATCCTTCAAGGCTTCATCCCAAGACTCTAGGCTCAAGAAAGGACTTTCTACACGACCATCCGGGATGCCGTGCCAGTATCCCGTCAGAGTACCCAGTATGAGGCCGGCCAGGATGTTGTTCTGGGTGTTTTCAACCAACACGAGCTTTCCTCCCGGTCTCAGAAGTTTCCTGACATGAGCCAGGGTTCTTGCAATGCTAGCAGTCGCATGGAGTATCTGCGACGCGATTATTAGGTCATAAGAAGCTTCATAGCCTTGCTCCATTGGGTCCTGCTCAATGTCCAGCACAGAGAAAGTGACATCTTGGTACTCAGACATCTTCTCTCGTGCCGACGTCAGGAACCCTGGAGAAATATCGGTGAACGTGTAATCGCGGTAGCGTTTAATGCCGTTGCTGGAGCTTTTGAGAGCCTCCATGGCCACGCGGGTTGCGCCACCTGTCCCGGCTCCGAGTTCGAGGATGCTGAGGTCAGGATTGGCGTGACCAAGGCTGTCCAAGAGCCTGGAAAGTTGGAGGTAGGCACTCGTCATGAAGAGACCGCTCTGATACAGGGCCGTCAGAAGATCTTCTTGGACCATGACGTCTACAGACGTCCTGTGTTCGCTGAGAATATCTTCCATGTTCTCGTGTAAGAGCTTAGCGATCCTGATATCAACTACGTTACCGATCTGACTGTAGAGGTGCTCGATCATCTGGATACGCTCCTTACTGGGAAGCTCTCTGGCCTCGATCATTGCTTCGGTCTGCTCATGTTCGAACATTTTCGTGATCCAGGACAAGAAATGCCCGATGCTTCCCGACGGCTTTGGTCCATCTGGACTTCGAGCAAAGGTCTCATATATGTCGACCACAATCATGGATGCTATCCGGTTCATGCTGGTGAAGAGAGAGCTGCGGTCAACATTCTCTTTGGGTGGAGGAAACAGCGCACGACACTGTTGAGGAGTCATTGTGCGGATGTCGGGCTTCCAGACCAGTCTCGTGAATGGGCTTCTGACAGTATTGGATGTAATGCTCTCGAACGACTTGGAATCACTGTAGCTGATGCACCGAAGTGAACCTATATCGAGGACCACATCTCCATGCGTATTCAACATCTGCAATTCGACATATGCACCACGAAGGCCCTGGAGCGCGCCGTGGGCCACTACCGTACCCCAATCCTCATCCATGCCGCTGCGAAGATATAAGTGGGATAGGTGTACAGGTACGAATGCAGTGCTGGCCTTCTTGACTTGGCCTCCATGGCAGGCAATGAGTCCGAGTTGGAAGGTGGCGTCCAAGGAAGTGGGATGGATCGGATAGATCGATTCCCCTCCCCTGATGGAGCCCGATGTTGTCTTCAACGCCAGCTTAGCTGTGGCCAGATTTAGATCTGGATCCGCACGGATATTCGAGAGCGGCTGGAACGTTGGGCCGTAGCCTAGGCCGATGGCCGCGAATTTCTTATACCAGGATCGGGCATCCGCAGTCCTTGAATCCATGGTGGAGCTTAGCTTCTTGGGTCTCGGAGGGTCAAGAACTTCCACCTTGACTTGGCCAGTGCAGTGCTCAGTCCATTCCTTCAGGTCTCGAGTGACCGAGCTGATGGAAAAGCTGGCCCATGCGGGCGCAGCGGCGGTTGTCGTGTCCAGTATGTCCATGCTGAGTAGAATTTCGACACCGTAGTCGTCTTCTGGGATACGTAACGCGTTTTTGATAGCGACGTTACGGAGCGAGTAGCCCCTGGCTTTTGGCGGTTTTGCGAACTCGTTATGAATCCGCACGGCAGCTTCAACGGCCATGGTCATGAATCCAGCAGCGGGGAATACGGCATCTGAATAGACTTGTTAGTAGACTTCCCAAAAACATCACCGTCATCTTATTTGCTTACCTGGTATTAGACGGTGCTCCGCTAGCCAAGCCAGGTCTTTCACACGGAGAATGTTTCGCCATTGAGGTCTAAGTCTTGCATTGCCTACAACCTTTGACCCAAGGAGATCATGTCTGAGGACATCTCGATGTCGATATTCCAGGCTTGCCCGACCCTCGTGGTAGTTCACCGGCCCATATGTGAACTGATATGGTGGAAGATCACTTGTCATACAACCATGAACGAGTCCCGGTCCAGGTTTTTGGGTGTCGTCGACCGAGTTCACTTCGCCAAGATCGATGCCGGTGTTAATACCAAACAATGTTCCAGCTAGCCGTAGCATGGATTCTTGGGCGTTTTCTTTCCTTCTCAATGACGATGTGTAGATGATAGACTTTCCCATGCTTTGCAGAATTTGCTCTATGGGGCACTTCAAGGCGGGGTGCGGCCCAATCTCGACGAGGACATCGATCTCGCACCCAACCAGGTTTGTGATGGCATCGGAGAATCTGACTGGAGACTCGAGGTTCGCCCTCCAGTATGATGCTGTTGCGACGTCTAACTCGGTCATGCTCGTGTAGGGTGTCACGGACGAAAACCACGGGATGTGACGATATCGCTGGCGTTTGTCAATCAAGGAGAGGGCTTTGACATGTTCGAGGCCACTGGACAGCATTTCGTCGTAATCGTGGCCCAGCGCGGCCATGTGGCGAGAGTGGTAGGCGTTACCACCCGTTCGCAATAGTCTGTTGAAGATATGCGCTTTGTCCAAGGTCGTGGACACCTCTTGGACGGCTTCTAACTCGCCGGACAGAGTAACACTGCCAGGCGAGTTGATAGCGGCAATTTGAATACTATTTCCTTGGCCACGAATGTGTTCGAGTACTCGCTCTGAACCCAGACCGACAGCTAGCATCGCACCTCTTTGCTTGTTCCTGGCCACCGCCTGACCACGATAGTATGCTGCAATGACAGCCTCGGTGGCCGTAATTCGACCTGACGCGTAAGCCGCCGCCATTTCACCTGAAGAATGTCCCGCCACGCCACAAGGACGGACGGACCATGAGGCGAGAAGATCGACGAGGCCAATCTATATGGCAGTGCATACCGGTTGAGAAACTTCAGGGGTCTGGACGAATTCTTCATCACAGTTTCCTCGGAGAACATCCGCGATATTCCAAGGCGGAGGCGTTGGTAGCGCTTGCAGCACGTAGTCCAAATACTCAATGACGCCTCGGAAAACGGCATATTCGAATAGTTCCGAGCCCATTCCATGAAATTGTGCGCCCTGTCCGGTGAAAACGAAGCCAACATTGCTGGACTGTGTCGTGGCAGCAAAGACCCTCTCGGTGAGACCGGGTCGCTGAATGGATTTGCTGTCCTTGTCAACGATGCGGAAGGTCCGCTGAGACAGCCTGGAACGCTTGACACCCAACGTGTACGCAATGTCTGCCAGAGACTTGCGGCCGATGACATTGAACAAGGCGTCGATGTTGAGATTGAGCGAGGCCTCATTGTGCGCCGAAAACGGTAGCAGTACCAGCGATCGAGTGGCTACTTTGAAACCCTTGGTCATCCTTGGCTTGTCAACGACGGGAGCATGTACTGGTACCTGTGCTGATGCTGGGTTACCAGAGCCGTGCCCAGTTGTGGCCTCATTCGTCGTGTGCCCGTTCGAGATCAACGGACTCGGGGGCTTTATAATACCGGGTTTTTTGTAGTGCGGTAGCACATTGTTCACGTGGTCAATGATGCAGTGGCCATTCGCTCCTCCAAAGCCGAACGAGTTGATCGACGCCCGCCGCAGTCTGTCTTTCGGCCAAAGCATAAAATCTCTGACCACTTCGACCTTGGCTTTCTCGAAGTCGATGTATGGGTTCAGGGTTTCAACCCCTACGTTCGGCGGAATGGCCCCGGACTCGAGGGAGAGAACGACTTTCATGATCGCTGCAATGGCGCTCGCCCCTTCTGTATGGCCGAGGTTGGGCTTGATACTTGAGGGGAGTCAGCCAGACGTCCACATCCAAAGTCTGTGACCGGTATGAAAGGGAAGGAGGGGCAAGCTTACGATCCTATGAAGAGGCGATCGTCAAGCGAGCCGGATCTTGTAGAGGCGAACACGTTGCCCACTGCGCGCACTTCGATCGGATCGCCGACAGGAGTCCCTGTACCGTGGCATTCGAAATATGTGGTATCTTCGAAGGGTAGGTCGGCATCACTGTAGGCCTTGCGAATAACGGCTTCTTGTCCCGCCGCGCTGGGACGCGTAATCCCCCCCGTACGGCCGTTGGCGTTGACTGCAACACCCCTGATCAAAGAACGTATTGGCGACCCGTCGGCTACAGCCAACGCGCAGCGTTTCAAATACAAGGCAGCGAATCCTTCGCCTCGGGCGTACCCATCTGCTGATGCATCGAACGTGTGGCATCTTGATGTAGGAGACAGAGCGCCCAGTTTATCGAGTGCAATCTGGAGGCTGGGATCCACGATCCAGTTAGATCCTGCTACAATTGCAGAATCGCAATCGCCATTACGTATGGCGTTCACGGCCAAGTGGATGGCGTACATCGAGGATGAGCACGCAGTGTCAATGGCCAGGCTGGTGCTGTTAGCTCGTGTGGTTCCCAATTTCATCATTGCGTTACCTTGGTCCCTGGAGGTTGAACATGTAGCTGATGCGGTTAGCCATGATGCAAGTGCCGGCCCCCGTAGTAGCATATGATCTCGGATAATCCCAATCACGGGTTTGCATGATCAAGTGGTCAAGAGAGAAATTGCCAACAAAGACACCGGTCCGTGACCCAGAAACGCTTTCCCATGTCTCTCCGCTGTTTTCGAAGGCTTCGTATGTCACCTCGAGGAGCTTGCGCTGTGAGGGGTCCATCGTTTCAACTTCCAGGGCGGTCATACCAAAGAACGCGTGGTCGAAAAGACGCGGGTCTTCATTGACTAAAAAGCCTCCTCGCGTAGCCATGGCGCCGCGGTGGTCCGAATTCGGGTGGTAGAAACCCTTGGATGAAAAGCGAGGCTCGTCAAATTCTTGATAGCCATCCCTCTTGTTCTTCAGGAGTTCCCACAGGTCAGGCGCACTCCGGACATTGCCTGGCCACCTGCAGCCTAGACGAGCGATCAGTGGCTAGTACATTGAAAGGATGGTAGTTGATTTCTTACCCATCCCGACGATGGCGACGGGCTCACGTTGAGTAGTAGGCTCTGACGAGGAAACCATAGCTGCAATGATGAATAAGAAGGGGAGTCGGGGCCTGTTGTGTATCTACCGGATGATGTCCGTTCATGTCATGCGTCGAAGCTGAAGTGGCCAAGAGGGACAATCATAGACAATGACAGATACCCAGCCAGCGTTCCGTTGAGTAGCAGGCTCTCATGAGCATCTGGTGACAAGGAAGCTCGTCCTTACATAGTTGACTGTGCCCAGTTACCCAGTTGGGACTCCGGCCGATGGAGTATCGGCAGCGGCTAGTTGAGGACCCAAGGCGTTTCCTGCTCATCCTGCGTAGCCGGATACGACTTACTAGCTTTCCAGATCGCACTCGGCTTCAACTAGATCACTCTGGTGCCGGCCGATAGAGAGATCTCTTTCGGGATCTGGCCCAGAAGACTGGGTTAGACCTCGATCGACTTAGTCGCACTTGCCGCTTCTTCGTGGAACGTAGGCTTGGATACATTTCCCACTTCGCTCAGGCAATGGCTGGTGCCACAAGATGTACGTATCATGTTGCAGGATGTGGCGTTCGGAAGCTGACGGTGACGGAACTGGACCGCCACGTCAATGAGATGAGGGACTGTTTCCCATGGGGGTCCCTGGGAGGCCCCGTGGTTGATGTCGGCGATGACAGTGCCCATATCTCGATGACTCTGGCTTAAGTACGTCGTCTCCGACTGCGGTGTCAACATCGATCTTCCCTGACTTCGTGTTCGTCGTACATGACGAATTTACTGACATGCTCGGCGAAGGGGGAGAAGCCGCTGACACACGATATCCCGGATCTTATTTGTGCAGCACATCTTCTACAACCAACAGAGACGCAGCAGCTTTTCGCAGCCACCGATTCATGCACAGCTGGTGCGATGGTGATGCCGTGGCCCGCCACCATGTTGAAAGCATAGTACCTGGACCCGAAGGATCGACGCCAGAGACACCACTGCTGGTCAATGATATTATGATGCTGCGAGATGGGTACGACGTGCAGAGCGTGAGGTGAGACATAGCGACATGATCATGCTGGTGTCCACTCCTTTGGTGCCAAGCAGCATGATAATATTCGCTGTATCTTTTCATCGGCCAGGACCAGCTGCTGATATATTGAGGCTGATCAGTGTTACGACCGATATGGCGGTGTACACTCTGTAGTCTGTACGTGGTCGTCGAATCTGTAGTCTCTACTTGCCCGCACGTGCATGATAAGTTATGTCACACGCGGAATGCCACGTCGGATATCTCAAAGACTAAAGTCGTGCTAGGCTGACTGAAACATCCATTGTGGCAGCAAGACTTAGTTACACAGACGAAGGCAGATGTAACACAGGATTAAAGCTTCATCTTGCATAATCCTGGACTCTGTGCAACTCTCCTGGACTACCCGAGTCCCCGAGTTAGATAGCTGCGGCAGATCATCACGAAGACCGGTGTCCTGGTTGAGGGCGAGCGAGGTGAGGTCGGAGATTTCTACATGTACCGGAAGCAGAGTCGGGTCCACGGGTACAACCCCCACCCAGGCCGGCCGGGCGGGAGCTCGGCTTCGGGTGCCTCCGGCCTTTACCAGCGTCCCTCGTCCTTTACCAGCGTCCCTCGTCCTCAAGCGACCATTCAGGTTCTGATAGTCGGCGACATTCCACTCAAAGCGACGTCATCGCCAATATACAGTCGCTGACGGGCATCTTCCAATCGTTGAGTTGTGATTATGACAGACAAAGAAGAGCCGCTGGTGCCGCTGCCCTCAGCTCCACTCGCCCCCCTCGCTTCCAATGCTTCTCTGCAGCCGCCTCTCTCACGGAGGGGTTATGGTCCTGGAATAATCATCACAACCCCTGTCACCGATTTTGTGAAGTCGTCGGACGTGGCTGGGAGCGCCGATACCCTCGATCCGTTACCTCAGATGAAATGGGCCGAAGAGGGGTACGCTGTCGTGCGAGTTGTTTACGAGAAAGACGCAGCCCTGGATGCGGCAGCATGGGACGTCTCGACTGCCCTGACAAGCGCGACGGATGCCCTGATTAACCTAGAATCTTGTGATGTGAAGGACCAGTTCGCGCTCGTCAGTCAGTCACACCGTTCCCTTCCGACGATGACCACTCGGACAACATCTAACCCTCACTTTAGTCTACGGAGATCCCTCCCAGTATCCTCCTGACTTCAGACCGAAGCTGAAGTCAGCATATGAAAGCGCGTCCAAGATCATAGCCTCAGTCTCCTTCTCCTCAGACTGGGACCTCACCACCAAACCCGCGCTCCTGCACCTCCCGGGGAAACCACCCACCCCATCGCCATCACCGCCATCCAACACGCGTGTCCACTACTACCCCAACACCACCACCCCGTCCTTCATCCTCCCGCACACCACCACCTTCAACTACGCCCCCGCCAGCGTAGCGCACACGCGCAGCCTAACCTTCCTCAAGCCCCTCCTAGGCGGGCCCATCTTCGACCTCGAAGCCATCTGGGACGAGCACACCGCCCTCGAGTTCGGGGCGCGGTCCGTGGCGCTTACGATGGGCACTATGGTCGCCGAGCCGTACGTCAACCACGTGCCAACACTAACGGGGGGCGGTACGTATAAAAACATCCCATCGTTAGACCCTGAGCCTTATGGTCGGGAACAAGCTTTGTTGTTCCCTATCCTTCTTCATCTAGAAATCAACCATACGGATTTAAAGACAAGATGTTAACATACAAGCAGTGGGGCGGGCGCGCCTGACGGACTTCTACCGCGACCATTTTATATTCAACAACCCGGATGACGCGGCGCTGGAGCTGGTGAGTCGGACGGTCGGGGTCGATAGGGTCGTGGATGAGTTTGTGTTTTCGCTTACGCATGATCGAGTGGTGGATTGGTTGTGAGTTCACCCTTACCTCTTCCTTTCTGTACGAGACCTTGAGTCAGTTTCAGTACCTAGGCAAAGCTTCCACGCGCAACTGTATCTCGACTCACACACACACACAAATACAGACTCCCCGGCATCCCACCCACCCACAAACCCCTCCGCATTCCCTTCACCGCCGTCGTCAACATCCGCGGCGACCGCCTCTATCACGAGCACATATCGTGGGACCAGGGCACGGCCCTGCGACAGCTCGGCCTGCTGCCCGAGTACCTGCCCTTCCCCTACGCCCTGCCCAACAACCAAACGCCCGCACCGGGCAAGAAGTTCGAGTACCGGGTCCCTGTGGGCGGCGCCGAGACGGCGGCTAAGCTGGAGGACCAGAGCGCCGTGGAGAGTAATGGGTTGTTTGGGTTTGGGATTCGGGAGGTGGATGCGTAGAGTGGTAGGTTGTCGTGGTTTGGGGATGGTGATAGGGGTTGTGTGCTGGGAGGCTTTGGGGGATTATGGCAGCGGGAGTGACGTCGGATGACAGATGGACTTGAACGAAGCACGAATAATGACGACCGTAGAGACTACCAAGGCGGCGTGTTGAAACATAACCTCGACAATTCACGGAAATATTCATGCAATTTTCAAGTCGTTAGATTAGTTGTGGTGCTAATTTTTGGAATCACGCCCAGGGCTACCGGCACAAACCTACCTAGTCGCTGACTAATGCCACGACCTTCTGGTAGTATAGTGTACGTCGAGCCAGTAAGTTATGGTGCGAGCTTTCATGGAAGGAAATGCCATTGCCACAGAAGCTGCGGCATACACTGTCCAGGCAAGCTAGCACAGCGACCGCAGTGGATGTATTCGTCATTATGTACACCACGGATATAAAGGGGGCACCTCAAGTGGGTACATAAACAAGTAGTTTAATACCAACATTCCTTCCGTTTGGATATCAGATCGGGCTCCCCAAGAATCATGTCATCGCGGCTTCCACTATGATATCATGCGCCCCACTCAAAATATACCCCCATCAAAGCGACTGCGGCCGTCGCTGATATGTATGTCCTCCGGCGAAGCTAAAAACCCGGCTTCTTCTGCCTGGCCTGGCATGTTCCTTGGGGGTGGGGGAAAAGAACCTGAAATGCGCAGGCAGATATATCCGCTGCTTAGGTCTGCTGCTTCGGTATAATGGCTCAACTTTGCTGAGAAACGTGGTTTGTGTCGAGACTCGGCTGGCGATGGGCTCAGTTTAGCGATTTGCTCAAGCGAAGTTCATCGCCTAGGCTGGCCGGCACTCCAAAGCCCTTTCGACGTCTCTACCACCCTGTTCGCAGCCGACCCAGGTCTTAAGCTAGGCGGCACACCAGACGTCGGTCCCGTGCCTCCCATTTCGATGTCACCATCGCGGGTGCTCCCGTACCCAGAATCGGAATTCGACATGCCAACTCCACTGTCCTTACCCAGAGGCGCAGCACCCCGTCCAGGCTCGGACGACTTCACCCCGTCCATGAGGTGCGCTTGTGCCTGGCCTTCTCTTAGCTTGTTGATGGCGCGCACTGTGTCGATGGCTGCGTGCAGCGTTTTCCTTGCGTTGAAGTTCTTCTTGACCGTCGGCAGCAAGTTCTGGCCCTTGCCGCCGTCCGGTAGGATGTTATAACCTGCGACAAATGCGTGTGACAGCGCTTCGTGTGCCGTCATACGCTTGTTCGGATCCACGGTCAGGCAACGGCGGATGAAGTCTTTGGCGTGCTCGCTGACACCGCGCCAGTACTCAATCGGCTGAAAGGTGTAGTCGGCGTTGAGGATCGCCTGCATCTCTTCGAAGTCGCTGTCGCGGTCAAAGGGCGTGTAACCGCACAGCAGGAAATACGTGATGACACCCATTGCCCATATGTCAACGGGCTTGCCGTGACCCGTCTTCTTGAAGATCTCGGGCGCCATGTAGCCAGGGGTACCGCATGTGGTCGTCAAGACGTGGAATTGCTCCTCGTCCATGATGCGCGAAAGCCCAAAGTCGGCGATCAGGAGGTCGGCGTTGTCTTCCGGTGTGCGGAATAGCAGGTTCTCGGGCTTGAGGTCGCGGTGTACGATGCCGTGATCGTGGAGGTATGCGACGGCCGATAGGGTCGCGCGGATCAGATCGGCGGCGTCGGACTCGTAGTACGACCCTTTGCGGCAGATCCTGTCGAAGAGTTCACCGCCGAGCGCGAGGTCTGTTACGAGGTACAAGTTGTTCATGGTTTCGAAGTAGTCGACGAGGGTCAGGATGTTCTGGTGTCCCATGGATACCTTCTTGAGGACCGCGATTTCGTTGCGCACCTACGTCGAGGCGGAATATGTCAGTGGAAAAGACGCAACGACGCGGCGACTAGCAGCCTTCCTTATATGATGGGGCTTAATACGTACCATGTGTTCTCTGCCGGCCATCAATCGTTTGTTGATGACCTTCGATGCATAGTACCGCCCCGTATCGATATGGACACATTCCTTGACCACCGAGTACGAACCTGCACCCAGCGTCTTCCCGACCTTGTAGCGACATGGCTGTACCTGTGGACTCGGTCGGACAGGGGAGCCGTGGTTCGTGATGTCTGGTGTGGTGTTCATTGTGGGTGATTGGGGAGCCTTCGACTCGGGCGCCTTCGTGAGAGTTAGGTTTACTAGCTTTCGTAACGGTACCTTCGCGTTCCTACGTCCCGTGCGGCAGTTGATAGATCCGTCACAAGTATCTGGCGAGGGTTCTCGGAAAATCGGCACGTTGCGCGAGAGAATCGGGGCCGAGTGTAGAAAGTGGGTTCATGAGAGTACACAGCCTTGCAGGCGCGTCGATGCTACTGTGTACAGACGGTCGAGCCGGTCCAACTCCTCCCACAGCCGTCGAGGCTGGGACGAGATCTCGCGAGGTAAGCCCGGGAGACTTCGAGGACAGGAGGCTAAATTATCGCAACGAGGCAGTCAGCCCGTCGGTCAGCCGTTGGTTCCTGGGTTCGCTAGGAATTGGTCGCGCGTTGGTCGCGTGTCACCTCGATACCGATGACCAGATGCTGTTCTTGCTTCTGCTAGGGCATTCGCAAAGGTGCAATAGTTTTAATCCCAGTCTGATCAAAAGGTCGTTGGGAAAATGAAGGAGGGTTCTGGAGTTCCACATCAGCTTCGGCTGCCCCTCATTCATGCAGTTGAGATAATGCTACTACTACCTTAGTAATCTGGAGATAGTATGGGATGGCTCCGTAAGGTAGGCGGGGGAAAGCCGATGCAACTTTTAGGTACAGCACCCGGCGGCATGAAAAGTTTAAGCTTCACTTGAGCGACTTGTCACTCAGATGGGAAATGGTGTTGTTTATGTTGTCTGCCTCTATGTATCATGTTTGGCGACCCGCAAGCTGATTCTAACTGGGGTCTTTTCATTACAGCTTACGCATCAGCACTGTCTGACTGTAAGCTTTTCAGATCCTGGCCCGGGTCTATCTTTTAGCACGGTTGGAAATGATTCAAGCGCTGCTTCTTGCTCTGCTTCTTGCTGATTAGTTGTTGAACGTACGATGTCTATGTACAACCTCTGTGTGTGTGCCGGGAGGGGCATGGCCAGATGAGCCGCTGTGAGGCATGGGTGGGAGGGCCACGATTCTACTCAGCTCGACCTCTGCCTTGGCGGAATGCCTTCTTGGAGCTCTGTTGCTTCTTCGACCTGAGTCTACTCTCCCGGAATGACTTCTCCCTGCTTCCGTATCAGCCGCGCTGCCGTCGAATTCGTCTTGAGGATCCGGGGCCATTGATGATGCTACTTACAGTGCTTCGTACTTCTTGACCTTCTTGTCACTGGTGCTTCCTGGTACCCGCTCCTTGTAGATCTTGCGCAGCTCCTCTGCAAGCTTCTCATAGTTCTCATCCGTGTTGGCAGCCTTGCTCCGTTGCGTCTGAGCCTGGATTTGGATCGAGTCGGTCCTCCCAGAGTAATATTTCGACGTTCTCAATGCAGAGTGGACGAGTTTCGGAAGACTCTTTGACAACTCGTCGACGGACCAGACAGTCGTCGCTTTAGTCTCAGTTCTACCTCGTGTCAGCACGGTGTACTTGGCCAGTCGGTGGTGGGTGGCTACTAACTTGTTCACATGCTGCCCTCCAGGCCCGCTGGAACGCGAATAGCTTGTCTGTCCCTTGGGTAGACTGCTGTCTCTGAATGACATGTGCCACTTTCTAGCCTCTGCGAGTTCATCCTGGTTAAAGTTGGCTTCAAATGCTTCATACTGAATCTGTCGCGTTTGGACCAGAGGCCTGCCTAGAGGTGCAACGCACAATGTGGGTACCGCATGCCTCGTAATAAGAGCTGAGAACATGGCTTCCAGTCAGAGCGAAGATCGAAAAGGTTCAAGGGTCCCGGCGAGAATGACAGTCTCGTTTAAGTTTGCGTCTTGTCATGGATATAGCACCGATATAATCCCAACATCGGATTCACCACGTGGCGTTGTAGGTCGTGTGGCCTCCACGGCAGGTGAAACAGTGTGTCAGACCACGGGTAGGAATTACTGCACCTAACAAAGATCATGTAGAATCAGGAAAGATACACAATTCTTCGGCGCAGCAGACATATAAGGGAGAGAGAGCGGTGTGCTTCAACGAACGATTTGGACCTGATATACCGCTCGAAGAATTATACATCGTGGTTGGTAGGACGCAACGCGCCAATCAGTCGGTAACTTCAGCCATTGCATTTACACGGCAACTTACCCTCGTGTGGATCCAGCTGGTCCAGCTGTCAGGTGTCTTGTCGGTTGGGCCGGATTGTTGCCCAAGGGACAAGGTACCGTTTGCACTGTATCTAGTACTTAAGTGACCTTTCGGATGGGACACGCTCCCATCCTTCTAGACAGCAAGCAGAACATCCAGAATACTAGTCATCGTAACATGGTATTCTGGGCCCCTGCCAGAAGGCACATTCGCATTGCACATAAGTGGGGACCAGATAAGCATACATGCAGCAAACGATAAACAGCGACGACAGACCGCGTTCATCCAGACGTGAGCACGGACCACTATCCTCTGTAGTGACGCATAGGTTCCCCTCCGTCCCGCCCTGCTGCCCTTGACGTTTTCACCGGACAATCCCTTTCTAGATCTTTTCTCCCATCCAATCGTCCCACCGCGGCACCGCGGCACCACGACACCCTCAACCTCAACCTCGGGAAGCTGTACAGCCTCGCTTTGTTCTGTCCTGTCCTGTCATCTCTTGCGACTCCAGATAGTCGACGCTTTTCTTTTACCTCGGTGGAATATCCCCGCGCCAACAAGTAACCTACCTGCGCACTTGGAATCAAAGACATTGACATCCATCCATCCATCTGTCCATCACATCACAGTCTTGACCGAATACTGCTTGTCGATGTTCAAGTGCAGATCCTGACCCGACTGACCTACATAAACTGACTTCGCTGCCCGCTATCATCCATTTTATCCGCACTGCGCAATATCTGAACTCATCCCTCCTTCTGCCACTCACCTCATCCATCCGTCCACCTGCCATAGCTCTTCTCTGGCACGGGTGACTGCCATATCTCGACTCCCACCCTTGACGACTTGCCACACAACGCCCAACGCTAGATGACAATCTAGATCATCAACTCCTCCGTCTACGGCTCAAGTAGAGGCGTCGGGTGGTATTGACAGAGTCGGCGACGAAAGCAGGTACACAGTACCACCCAGCTGAACCCGTCAACGACAGCCTCATATTCCGCAACCCTGTCGTACATGGTACCTGGGCAACATCATCGATCCCCCATTTCAGACGTGTCGCCTACTATCTCGGCGACACCCAAGCCCTGCACCAACTGCAGCAAACACATACGACCGCGGCCAAATCCACCCATTTCTCACTGGAGACTTGCCAAACCCTCACTCCTCCATACTTCCTATTGCGCCATGCAACCTCAGTAAACCAAACCTGGATACGCCTTTTGACTGCGCCATCATTGTTCCATCCCCTGCGCAGCATCAGTCCTACTGGTCTGTCCAGCCTCCAGAGCACTAAGTTACTTGCTCTACGGCCAACACTCCTCCATGGCCATACAATCTGCCAAATTTGCCTTGCCTGAATGTCGGACCAGTCTCCCGAGGTCTGGGCTACTGCCAATCTGAGTCCCGTATCACCGGCACCCATCCATCCATCGTCCCCATTAGTAATGCCTCTGCAAGACCAGGCGGATACTCTCTACACCATGTCGCTCTCCAGCAACGACCAGGCCGCCATGGCTCCGTCACAGATCGTTGAGCACACCGAAACAAACACCCATAGCAACATGCCTGCCATTGTCACCCAGGACGGCACCCGCGAGATTGAAGCTGCCCACTCACCTGATTTCAGTCTCGACAGCAATGAGGACGCAGCAGGTGAGGCAGAAGACGCAACGCCAGACGCAGACAGGGGTCAAGAACACATACCGCGTCTCGATACTACCCAGACAGATACTATTCAGACTCAACATGATGTATCAAATACGCACGGGTCCGCTCGTGACACTGCTACGTCTGAAACCATGACCCAGCAGTATGAAGCCGCTGCCTCTTCACATGATCTTGCTTCCGCCACCCCTACCCAGCCCGCACCCGAGTCTGCTGCTGATGCGAGCTCAAGTACAGACCAACAACCACAAGAGAGTCAGGATATCATGACGACTGACGATGTCCAGCCGCCCCAAGAATCCAACAATGAAGCTGCTATTGACATCCAAGCCCTGGTTGACAACATCACAGCTCGAGCTGCTGAAGATGCTAGTCAGGACTCGGTTGCTCAGGATGCCACGAATAATCCTACCACGGCCCAAACTTCTTCTTTGCCACCTAGACCCCCCATGCCGCAGCAGCCTGCCACTCAGTCGTATGCGCAGCCCCAAGATCTCCCCACGTATCCTGCTGGAGATCTTCATCCGGGTAGTGCTATGACGATGCCTCCTACCATGCCTCCTGCCCTGGGCACTTACCCAGCCAGGGCCCCAGGTACTTCTGCGGAGTCTAGTATTAGTCTCCCACCTTTCCCACCTTCTACCAGTGCCATGCACAATACCCCCATGTCAATGCCGCAGCACGATGGTGCTTATACTGCCGCTCCAAGTGGTCAGCCCCAGCCGTTCGGCCACCAGCAACAGCAGCAATGGGATGGCTTTCTCCAGGAGGAACGTCGATACGTGTCTGAAGCTAAATGGGATAGGTTCCCCGACGGATCCAGACTCTTCATCGGTATGCAATCACGATTGACAAACTCATACTGTGGCTAGCTAATAGAGGACTAGGCAACCTGTCCAGCGAGCGTGTATCGAAGAAGGAGGTATTCGATATCTTTGCGAGATACGGCCGACTGGCCCAAATATCACTCAAACAGGCATATGGCTTCGTCCAGTATCATACTGTTGACGAAGGCCAGGCTGCAATGGAAAACCTGCAAGGAACTGAGATTCGGGGTCGGAAAATCCGTAAGTCATTTCGCCTTGGCATGAAGATGTTGGGTCGCTAACAAGTAGTAGATCTCGAATTCTCTCGCACCCAGAAGAAGGATGGAGATGGTGATAAACGCGGCAATCGTGGCAAACGAGATGGTGAGCGCAGCGACCGTCGCGAGGGTGGGCGTGGCCGACGAGATGACTATCGCCCGGGACGCCAGCCGTCTCCCAAACGTGGCAGTCAACAGAAAGGGAATTCGCAAGATGGCAACCACAACGGCCGCGGCCGTGGCAATCGCGACGGTGGCTTCAAAAGTGGTCGTGGTCGTTCGCGATCTCCTAGCTTCGGCGGGCGAGATGCTGCCCAATACAGACGTCGGAGCCCCAGCCCGCCTCGTCGCTATCCGGCGGACATGGATCTCGACATGCCGCGTCGCTACGGAGGCGACATCCCTGACGTGCAGTTCCTCCTCCTGCAAGAGGTTGAACGAGAATTTGTCTCCTGGGCTGAGCAAGCATTCATCAACCAGGGCTTGAAGGTTCTTGTTATGTTCCTGAACCCTCAATTTCCTCGAGAGGCAGTGATTCAACGTCAGGTGGTGGAGGGCGTTCATGCCGTTGTGGAGCTTGACATCCGCGCGCAACAGTTGGGCATGGTCTCGTTCCAAGTCTTTGACCGCTCGGCCGGACATAACGTCCGCTACGACCAGTACCAAGACCTTGATCCCAACGTTGCCGCTCAACTGGTCGCTCGGACCAAGGCTCAGTCACAACTCCCGTCTCCGTACGGCACTGGGCAATTACCACCGGCCCAACAGTACCCGCACGCCCATCAAGCACCTTACATGCCTCCGCACTACCCGAACCAACCCTACCCCGGCCACACGATGCCTCCTGGACCTGTTGGGCCGGGAGGATCGCTGGACAACGCAACGCTGCAGAAGATCCTGGGCACGCTACATGGACAGCCGGGCGGTCATCACATGCCCGGACAGCCGATGCCGCCGGGCGGCGCCCCCGCCGCCATGAACGGATTGCAAGGCGGCATAGGAGGAGGCCATCACGCGCACACGCCCCAGCATGCCGGTGTGGGCTATCCACCCGCACCTGCCAACGGGGCACCCGGCGGCCATGGCGGGGATTCGTCACATCATGTCCACAACATCATGGCACAGCTTTCTAGATACCGGTAGTAGCCTGTTGGTGTTACACATGGACTCCGTTGCCTGACGTCGCAATGATGGCGGAGCCAAAGGGCATATTGCATTGCTAGGCGTTGGAAGGTCTTGGGACAGAATAAAGCCCCGCGGACTGCGACAGGAACTGCGACAGGAACACTCTCAAGGGCATAATGATCGTTGCCTGGCATAGAGCATAGAGTTGGTCCAGGCTTATAATGATAAATACTGGTGATGAAGCTTTTGGCTTGTTGCATCAGTGATAAAGTCGTTCGTGTTGTACATGGTCTTGGGACTATGTAAAGGCTCTTCGTAGACCGGTTTAACCCTCTTGTTTATAATACAGGTCTAGCTATACAGTTCAGTGATTCAGTATATTACGTAGACTGCTGTTTCAGCAAAAAGACTTTTGGTCTTCCAACTCCGAGACGTGAGGGTTGTATACGCCCGCTCCACAGACAGATTGCAGGATCCGTGATTATACGTCCCCCTCTAACCGAAGCAGCACGCGCCTGACCTTGTCCTCAGCCTCATGTCTGGTCCCCTCCGCATCTGCCTGATCGCCCTGCGCAGAAGTAGGAGCTGTCTTGCTGATCCAGCTCTCTAACTTACGCCTCAACTCACCGATCTCCTTGCCGCGAACATCGATCCCGCGATCCTCGCACGCAAGCACGACCTCACCATTCTCGACGATCTCCACGCCGCCGCCCTCGCGGATCATCCTGTCGTCATTCACGATCCACTCGACGGCTTTCGCCGCCTTGACGCTAGACATCGGCCCGTCCAAGCCCGCGCGATCCCACCACCGGCTCGTCAGGCCCAGCACGCGACATATATGTCCGTCGGCCGTGCGGTGCAGGCCGTCCTCGCGACTTACGTGCGCCAGCGCGCGGTAGCTCGCGCCGCGCCGGTCCTCGGCGCCCTTCCGGATCACGTCGAGCTGCTTCGGGATGCGGCACGTGTACGGCGTCAACTTGGGGAAGAGCAGCACGATGAGTGGTGTGAACTCGCCGCACACGAGCACCACGACGCCGAAGACGGGCAGACGGGCCAGGTCGTGTCGCACACGCGCGCGAAGGAGGATTGCGGCGCGCGAGGGGTATGTGTCGGCGCTGTTGCCCAAATGGGGTGGGGTGGCGGCGCTGGGGGTCGTGCGCAGGAGGGTGCGGTTCGTGAAGACGGCTTTGAGCCCGGTCTTGTAGAAGTTCGTGTACGCCTTTCCGAGGGAGAAGAGGTGTCGGAAGAGGGAGGCGGATGGATCGCGCGTCGGGAGGTCCAGGGGCGGTGGGCGCGTGCTCGCGGGTGGGTTGAGTAGTGTGGCGGCTGGTATGGGCGACGAGGGCTCGTGTGAGGGTGCGGGCTGCCCGAGGGTGTTCAGGTCGGCGCGCGTCGTGGTGGTGCTTCCGGAAGCTGTATGGGGTTGCGGCGGCTCCTCGGGTTTGGTCTGTGTCACTGTTGATGTCGAGGCAGCGCGCGAGGTGGTTCTAGGTAGGCCCTTCCCGGTACTTGAGCTGGCGAAGCGCGACGACCTCCTCATGCGCAACCCAGGAGTGTACTGGCTGGATGCGCCGAGGAAGAGAAGGGGGAGTATTGCAGCTGGCGCGGTGGTGAATCCATGACTCAAGAGTGTGGGTTGGACTCGCGCAAGGCGTAGTCCGGTATTGAGGCTCATGTGATTGTACTGTAGTGCTGCGAGGTGCGAGGCGTTGGTGGTTCAGTCTCAATGCCACGACGGAGAGGAGAAAAAACAAAGAACTTGGGATCGTCACGCTCTTCAGATTGGAAATTTCGGTCGTCGATGATGCAGGTACGACATCGGATCTACATGTGTACGTCAGCATTTCATCGGTTGGCCCGAGCTCGTTCTACAGTGGCGTTTCAGGGGTCTCGAGTCCGGGGAATTCAGCGGGGTTTGCCGCTGGAGGTTTCAACGGTGAAGAAGCACTGTCTCAAGTCCAAGAACCTCATGATCCATCCTCTTTTGCTCATCAACGAAGATGTAGACTTCACATGTTGTTCTTTGGTCTAATTATATACATCTCCTATCTATCACAGCTTCGCTTCCGGATTCAGATAAGCGGTACATTCCATCTCCATTTTCGCTCCCATAGGCAGCTGGTACACCGCGACGCAAGTCCGGCACTGCATCAATCGTCAGCTTCTCCTCTCGACCCTCAACCAGCACTCCGGTCTGGGCTCCGGGGGGGTTATGCAACTCACCGGCTTGGGATCAACACTGTCGAAGAACTCGTCGTAGGCCTCGTTGAAGCTCACAAAGTCGTCCATCGTCATCAGGAACACGTTGACCTTGACCACATTGTTCAGACTGCTGCCGGCTGCCTCGAGCACCGCCGACAGGTTCTTGATGGCTATTCGCTGTATCATCGCTTCGTCAGCCCATGCAGCTTCAGCTTTATGCGAGGTAAGTCTGTCTCACAGCCTCGGGCTTCACGCCACCCTCTGCGAGCTTCCCGGTCGTCGGGTCCCTGCCGATGTTTCCTGAACAGTACACCATGCCGCCGTACTTGACGGCCTGCGAGAACTGAGGCATTGGCGGGGGCGCCGTGTCCGTCCTGACTGCTTGTTTCGTGTATGGCATTGTGGTTGTTGAACCTGGTAATCGACTTGGTGTTGGCTCCCGTTCCTTGAGCTTTCTGCTTTTAAACGCTCTTTTTGAGCAAGAGAATAACAAGTGCAGGACTATGCTGCCGCAGAGAAGTTGCGGTCTATCGTGGTCGAGACGGCTTATTTATCGCCAGCTCTGCAGCTCCGAACAGTAAGGTATGAAGATCGGTCCGATCTATCAAAAGCCGAGCCCGTCGCCTATCTACCGGCTGGCCATCATGACCGCTCGGCAAGATCCGACGACATCGGCCAAGGGACGGTGCTGAGTCAGCACCTCAACCTCCTCGAGCTCATCAAGGGGCATTGGCGTCGCCCACTGCCCCAAACGCCAAGTGCGATCGTCATATCACTGTCTTCTTCGGCGGCAGAGGCTTTCCTTCACCATTCGAGCGAGAACGGACACATGTTGTTTCGATTGCGCTCGCTGACGGACCAGCTGCCGTCCTCGCCAACAAGACACGATCTACTCTCCTTGCGGCATAAGTTATTGACTATGACTGCTTTGCCTTCTGCTATACTCGCGATATCCTGTCATTGTGCTAATCATTGTCGCTCCCAGGAATACTCACTCCCGATGGCTGAAGACCAGGCCAGCCACCACATCACAGCGCAGGGCAGTTACAGTATGACCCGAACGCGGCCTCCAGGCGCCGCTGACTGTTGCTGTCGCGCGCTTTGCGGCAGGCTTCAGCTGAGCTCCCGGTGAGAGTCAACTCCTTCTAGAGTACAGGCCTTAGTTCCCGGAATAAGCACCGGCATAAGCAATTGTCAGAATATCCATATCGATATCGTTGCTTATATCAGGGTGCTTTTTCCACAAACCATAATATTATTTCTACTGACTCCAGACTCCAGTCATGACTACCGGTGCTTCGGTAGTGCTTCCGTTAGGTATCGTGGCATACGTTGCTTTTCTCCAGTGATGCTAATAAACTGGATGGCACCATGGGGCTCCAGCCAGCACCAGAGTGCAGCAGAAATTTCCACAAGAAGGAAGCACGGTTGCGCAGTGGGCACGGCGCTCTTGCTCCGTGCATGTGTGCTCACATCGGAATTCCCCAATCTGCTCCTCATATTATGCTCACTGAGAGAAAATTGGCCGGGAACGCACGTCAACCCGTCACTGACGGTCACCCCCAACACCACTTTGGTAGGATCATAGATACCGGACGAGCCTAGCGGCTGCTTCGTCGGTCGTGTCGGGAGTGGTGGAGCGGCCATCGGCGCGATCAGAATCGGAAGTCTGGCGCGCGGACCTTTGTCGATGTGGACTGGCAGGTACCGAAGCAACCCCCCGTTATCCTCACCCAGATACCAGATTCTGTCCACCAGCATTCCGTACAACTGACAGATTGTCAGCACGTGACGACTCGCAGCCGCGTGTTCGAGGATCTCGGCCAGGTTCCACGTGAAACCTTTGGTTCCTGGTTCGCACGCAATGCCCGGACCGCAGGCTGCGAATAGCTCCTTGCCACGCTGCCCCACTCTCTTTCCCCAAAAACAACTATTTTTCTTGGCGCCCCGCTGTTAGGGCGCAACCTCTATATCTGCACTAAAGCAGGCATTTGTCTCAGTAACTGACTATCTTTGTCAAGACGCAACAAAATTTTTCTCACAAGCCGGATGGCACCCTTTCACGGATTTACCTTACACCCAAGGGACAAGCCAACTCAGGCTAAGCTCCTGGGGATGGAGCTTAAGTCTTCTGTTCAGTGTAGACTTTATCCCATAAGGCTCTAAGTGGCTATTGTCCATACGGACAAAGACCCGGAGATCGTCCTGCTTCTTCTTCAGTTGGTTGGCAGCGGTGAGGGCACCAGGCTGTGTTTTCTTCATGGTGGTGTTGACTGTCAGTGGATGCTGTCGGTGACTAGAAGAGACAGCTTGGGCGAAAGTCATGGTGGGCTTCCCCATCCTCCCGGAAGTGGTCTTCCTTATGGTCAAATCTCGGGTTTCTAGCCATTCGTTCAGACATTCAGGTAAAAAAGCACTGAACTCCTTGGCATGAGAGTATAATTCGGTTCCAGCTTTCTTGAGTGTTTTGTCAACTACTGTAACACACTCCTGAAACATTGTTATCCTGATTTCATAAAGGTGCTTGTCTTTACTCAGTATCTTGGCAACTTGGTCCTGACACTCTGAGGAGGAGGCTTTACTCCCCGCGTTATATCTGATGGTTTGGTCTGTAGAGATTTCGTTTGATTGAGGTCCTTTCATATTAGTGGTGCTGCTGTTATTAATATTTCGGGATTTTTCTTTCAGAAGGGAAATAATGGTAAAGTCAGCCTCAGAGACCTGTGACAGGCTGCTGCTAATGTCGTCGAGCAGCGCCTGGCGGAGCCTGCTTGGAGTTGCCGGGCCGTATGTCTTTTTAGGGACCGGGGATTTGAACACGCCGCCGGTAGTTGTCTTTGGGACGGCCACTGGCGTATTTGGGTGCCCGTCGTGAAAGGGTGCCATCCGGCTTGTGAGAAAAATTTTATTGCGTCTTGACAAAGATAGTCAGTTACTGGGACAAATGCCTGCTTTAGTGCAGATATAGAGGTTGCGCCCTAACAGCGGGGCGCTAAAAGGAAAAAAAAAAAAGGAAAAAATATGACCGACCGGTCGATGCTCTGGGCATTGTGCCTAGTCAATCTGAAATTCAACCGCATCTACACCAGCTATCTCTACCAGTCCATAATATGGCGGGCAGGAGGCCACATCAAGGAGGCCACCATCGATGCCATGGTCGCCTCCGGATACCTAAATCTCACCACTCGCCTAGAAGTGCGGTCGAATACCGGACCCTCAACAGTGCCCAAGACATCCAAGTCTCTCGAAAAGTTGCTGAGATGCATGCCGAACCTAATCTGGTTCAAGTAGGCAACCCTAATTGGCCTGACTCATCATCGAGGCTATCCTTAGCTGACAGCGTTTCTGTAGATGGGTCTCCTCCTTTGGCGACATTAGCTCGAGCACCCTGGTGCACCTGAGTCGACACTGTCCCAAGCTCGAAGACATATGGTGCCGGGGCGGGCCTCGGCGCGACATCTCGCTCTCGTCCCCAGTTCTCAAAGAACAGCTCATATTCCCAAAGCTGAAGCGGCTCACCTACCATGGCATCGAGAACTGGCTCGCCATGCGCTTCCTCCCCAACCTGCCCAAAGTGGAGCGGTTGGCGCTGATGTAGCCCCTGATCTTCGACCCACGGACCGAGGAAGAGGAGCAGATGGAGTCCGCGCAGATCCGACTAAAGAAGTACGTCCAGGACTGGATCCGCCGGCAGGAGACGCTCAGGACGGCCTCGTCCAGGTCGTGTGAGGCGCCGCTCGAGGTTCACACGTGCTTCCATAGGATGTCGGAGTGGGCGCCCGAATGCCCCGTTTGCAAGTCTGAACCGTCGAGCGCTCGGGAGAGGGGACTTTATCTTCACACCCTGTGGCCCTGCGGCTCGGGCACGGCTGAGCTGTATGTCATCCGCGGCTCGATGGAGCATATCAAACACCGTTTCCCTGCGGCAGCGCGAGCGGCAGAACTAGCCTTGGATGCGGCCGATGAGGCGTAATCTCTAGTTGCATGCCATTGCCGGTATTTGTCGTCCTAGAGCACAATACTGGTAATCGCCGGTCACCACTCTTTACATTTCCCTGTACGTTCCTACACCATTTCCACCAGGATCTGCCCTTCGCGATATGTCGACTATGCTTTGATTGCTTACGTGGCTGACGTCCGAGGCCCCTAACGTCTATAAATCAAGCGGTCCGCGCATCAAGGTGCGGGATTACAAGCCATTGAATAGGGATCGACTGTTGAACATGTCATACTGAGCTGCCCTCGTTGACATCCGAATTATGCTTGCAAACATGCAGCGAATACCAAGTCTGGCAGTCCCCATTTCCTCAACCCACACCTTCGCCCAAAGAACGGCAATAGCCCTTCCGTTGCGCCAATCGAGATGTTTTCGGATCATTTCACGCAGTATACTGACGACCGCTGGCTGTCTTGCGAAAGCGATGGCATCAAAGCTGTTCGAGCCACTCTCGACGGCTTTCAGGGGGCTTTCAAGGGAAATGCTTAAGCCATGTTGATTTATCAGTTCTATATAGCCCGGAGAGCACACTTGGGATTTCGGCATGGTAGGAAGGGAGCAGTTAACCCCCTACTTTACGGTCATCGTTGCAGGTTGGCATAGAGCCGTAGTTGACTCGGCCGGGCTGCACAGCTAAGACGTCTGTTCCCGTCGTGATCCTAGGCTGGCTGGGACGGTCCAGTCACTCGGAAAAAGGACCGGAGTCGCACGGTGCTTCGTCTCACCGCAAGAAGATGGTGCTAGTCTCGTCGAGTTGTGGGTAGTCGGGGCCGCTGGTATTAAAAATCAATGCTTGGCTCTGGTTCACGTGGTTTGATATCTCAAGGGGATAGTCTTTATGAAGTATTCTTGATGAATCTGAGTACGTACACCGCTATTTCGGCAGCATCCGATGGCTCTGCGATGACACTGCAAAGAGGAATTTCACATAGCTAGATGGGGGCTAAGGATATAGCGGGAATTAGATGCACTTAAGTCCTAAGCACGGGATGCGTAAAGGAGGCTTCGGGACGGGATCAGGGGTCCGTTGCCCCGAGCGGGCCGAAACTTCTGTCCCTCATGGTCTCAGCGTGTTACCGTGTATGTCTAGTCTGACAGAGTCCCAGGCTGACAGAAGCCCAGGCGAGGGTGTTGGCTTGGGTTGGTGACACCAACATTTCCCGCTGAGGTGCACCCCAGGTCGCTCTGAGCTCCCCTTCCCACCAATCCCATACACATTGGGACCTACTTGTGCCAGGCACCCCTGGATATGCCTACAGGCTACTGCCACCCAAGAACCCTCATTCCCGGTTCAACCACAGCTTCGCCACCATGCCGACCTTCGACGAGACCGCCACCGACGCACAGGTCGTAGCCGCCTTTGGCGACAAAGTCAAGGGCCGTAACTTTGTCATCACCGGCACCGGTATGCCTAGCCTCGGAGGCCAGGCTGCCATCGCGATGGCCAGCGGCAAGCCTGCCCATATCATCATCGCCTCGCGCACGCCCAGCAAGGCCGAGCCCGTTTTCGCCGCCACCGCCGCCGCCGACAGCTCCATCAAGATCACCTCCCTGAAGTGCGAGCTGACGGACCGCGACTCGGTGCGCGCTGCCGCCGCCGCCGAGATTCTCGAGGCCGCCCCCAGCATCGACGTGCTGATCAACAACGCCGGTGTCATGGCCGTTCTCGATTACGAGCAGGACAGACACGGAGTCGAGTCGCAGCTGTCGGACAACTACCTCGGCCACTTCCTGCTGACGAACCTGCTCGTACCAGGCCTGCTGGCGGCCAAGGTCGGCGCCCGTGTCGTCAACATGACCAGCCAGGGCTACCGCGTCACGCCCTTCCGCTTCGACGATTGGAACTTCTCCGACGGCATGACGTACGATGAGTGGACCGGCTACGGTCAAGCATGTACCGCACGCATGCTATTCGCCCATGCCCTGACGAAGCGCCTCCGGTCCCGCGGCGTCACGTCCACCTCGGTGCATCCCGGCGTCATCATGGGTACTAACTTAGGCGCTCATCTCGAACCCGAGGTGTACAGCCGAGTCTACCAGGTTCCAAGCAGAACACGGGTCTCGACTGGTACTGGGACCAGCCCTAGGCTAAGACTCTCCAGCAAGGTACGGCAACCATGCTCGTCGCCGCCCTGGACCCCGAGGTTGCCTCCCGGTCGCCCGCGTACCTGGCCAACAGCAAGATCGAGAAGTCGTACGACTTTGCGTCTGACGCCAAGAGCGCCGAGAAGCTGTGGAAGTTGAGCGAGGATATCCTCGGGGAGAGGTTCGAATACTGATAGATTTGCAGTTGGGACGGCAAATGCTCTGCCTGCTAATAAGCCGAAGCTTGGTTAACTCGGTTGCCACTCCGAATCCCCAAGAGAATAGTCGTGACCAGGATGGGAAAATCAAGATATAAATAATAGGACTAAAAGAGCTTCCAGCCAATCTAGCCTGAGCTAGCTTGGTATTCATACGTCCATATCCTGTCTAGTAGTCATATACACCGTTCCAACTTAAAACCAAGTTTTATGGTTCAGAGCAGGACGTCTGAATATGGTAGACTTGGCAGAAAGGAGGTCACATCGATTTACCTTTTTATAGCTCCTAAGGGGTCTGTCTGATCAGTGTCTCCCTTGCCAATATGAACTAGGCATACGCGATGATCTGCTGAATCGTTCTTGATACATTTGCACACTTGTGCCACCACCCCGTCAACATCAAATCAACCACACCTCCCCATCGGTGCCCATCACTCAGCTCTGACATTCTACCTCTAAGCCAAAGCAAAAGATCCCACCGCCCTTCCTCCAAGTCATGCATTATCCAGCCCCAACTACCTCTTCTCCAGCGCCCAATCCAAGCCCTTCTGCTCACTAACCAACGTGACCATCCCCTCCCCATCCACCGCCCCCTCCAGATTCCGCAGCACCAAAAGCTCCATCTCGCGCTGCGTCTCGACGGTACTAGTCCCCAAATGCGGCAGCAGAAACGCCCTCTCATTCCTCACCAACCCAGGATGCACCGTCGGTTCGTTCTCGAAAACATCCAGTCCAACAGCCGACACCTGTCCCGCCTCTAGCGCCTCCACCAGTTCCGCCTCGTCGATCAGCGCCCCGCGGGCTGTATTCACGACCACGACGCCCTTTTTCATCTTGGCGAGTTCGCGCGCGGCGATGATATGCCGCGTCGACTTATTCAGCGCCAGGTTCAGGGACAGCACGTCCGCGCGCGCGAGCAACTCATCAAAACCGACGTACTCCGCGCCGTCCTCCAGAGACGGGTCTAGACGTCGGCGATTGTGGTAAATAATACGCATCCCGAACCCGCGCGCGCGATGCGCCACGGCGCGCCCGATGCCGCCCATACCCAGGATCCCCAGCGTCTTCCCGCGGGGATCATGGCCGATTTTCGCATCGCCCTTCCACCGGCCCTCGCGCAGCGCTGTTAGTGATGTGTGCGCTTGCCGTAGGGCGCCGAGCAGGAGGAAGATGGCGATGTCGGCGGTGGCGTCGTCGACGGCGCCGGGAGTGGCGGACACGGCTATACGGCGGGCGCTGCAGGCGGCGACGTCGATGTTGTCGTAGCCTGCGCCGTTGTGGCAGACGAACTTCCAGGGGGGGGGCAGGGCGGTAATGAGGGCCGCGTCGAAGGGGCCCGTGAGCGGCACAGAGGCGTTGGAGCGGTAGCACCCGACGACGGCGTCGTAGGCGCCCGAGGCGCAGTTGGCGAGGAAGTCGTCGCGGGTGCCGTGGCGGAACTCTAGGAGCGTGTATTTAGTGCCGAGGGCTTTCCACTCTTCTGTGGTGTGGGCGAGTTCGCCGATGAGGAGGACTGTGGGGGACATTGTGGTGGTGGGCAGCGGGTTGATGGTTGACGCCAGTGAGTGTAGCCTTCATCTGGCGATGTCCATCAAGAGAGAGAGAAATTGATATGTTATTTGGTTGCACGTGAAGGAGCACAGGTGTTTGTGTGTAGTCGGCAAATGCCCGCCGAGACTCGGTGTTCTGTCCGATATGCGGAGTCAAATGCCACGATCTTCTCCACGGGATACCCGGGGCGGGTAGTGACGGCTAATACCCTGTCGCTGGCTGCTTGCTTCCTCATATACCTTCCCCTGAAACGTACTTGTCGAGTCAAACGATCAGTACCTGAAAGGAAGCGGGCAGGAAAACCACAAGACTGACAGTCCGTGTTGTAACACAATTGGCAGTATGTCGGGTCACGAGCCCGATATAGTCGGACATCATCATCGTGAGAAGCACGTCGTCAGCGGGACCGGCATACTTCACGTGATCCAATACATATTCTCACGCTTCGGGGGGGACTCCAGCTTCAGCAATCGTAAGGTCCATTTTTGGTATCAACTGGACTGACCAGATGAGTCCTATTTAGCGAAACGACCATTGTGCAGACTGATGCGTAAAACGTCATCAGAGGTATCGCAAAATGCCACCAGCATACCGCCAAACAAATGACATATAACGCCTGACTCATATCCATCGGTGTCGGCAGTTTATACCTGGATGTCTGCTAGCTCGGGCTTCAATCCCAGGCGAAGCGAGGTTGCAATGCGATTGGCGCAATGTTCCCAATCCAGCGTGTGTGGATGCAAAAAATGCAATTGCAAATGAAAGCTTACTCGAGCTGAGTCCACTCACGGCAAGAAGGAGTATCATCAGGTCGATCCACGCACCATCACTTCATCCCAGGGTAGGGAGGCGGGAGGATGGGTGTCTGTTTCGATCCTTTCTTGGGTGAAGGGATTTTCTTCTCCTTCTTGTCTTTCTTCTCCTTCTTGTCCTTGTCTTTCTTTTCCTTCTTGTCCTTGAGCTTCGACGAGGCCGGCGCCGTCTTCGAAGGGGTACTGCTGGACGTAGAAGCTTGGTGTGGCAGACTAGGGGGTGGCACAGGTGTCGATGTCGGGGCGACAGCCTGACAAGGCGTCCCTTGGGAAGGAGCAGAAGATGTGTTCTTTGCCGCCTTGATATCGGCGGATTTGTTAGTTCGTGGTCTTTTGGATGATTTCGCCGCCGAATCGGGCACTTTCTTAGACTGAGACGCTGCCTCGTCCTCGTCAATAGCATGCTTCCGCTTCAACTGCCCACTCACGGGGCCTGCCTTCCGTGTTGTTGCCGGGATTTTCGTTGCCTTCACCGGTATTTCAGGTGCATTCGTCATCTCCTCGTCAGAGTCGCTCTCTGAAACATTCCCAGGGGCCGGCTTCGCGATAGACTTGGGCTGTGTGCCAGGCGTTGATTGCGACACCGGTGGAGTCGGAACGCCAATGGGCGTGAAACGAGGTTTGAGACCTTGGGGTTGTTCGCGAATGGCCTTGGGCGGAGGAATATACCCCTCGGTAGCCGTGGCACTCACATCGCTGCCGGGCCCGAACTTGACCATGCGCCGGAGGTGTATAGTCGAGTCAATGCCACGGTTGACTGCTATGGTTGTTAGGGGTAATCTTCGCTTGGTCAGGTCATGCAACTTACGGTTTGTATACTTCTCTCCACCATTAGACGGAATGACCAGCTGAATCTGGGTGCTCGTAGCATGCGACTCGAGATCCAAACCATACTCGTCACCCTTGTGGTTCAGCAGTGAGCCACCGGCTTGCGCCTTGGCCAAGTCGATCTCCATATGCTTCAGGACGGTGATCGGGAGGGACGACGGTGCGGTGAAATACCACACTTGCTTGCCTTCCAGGTTGCCGTTGCCGAGGAAGTCGCGGATCTCCTTGCCGGGATTGTCGGATGAAGCTTTGCGCAACATAAAATCGGAACTGTTAAGCCACTGAGGTCGAGACCTAACCATCATCAGGTGGTGAGTCGAGGATCCCTCAAGTAGGTAGGCAAAGTGAAACTTACAATTGGATAGCAGACTCAGCTGCAGTTTCGTTGGCGTCGCGGTTAGCAACAGCCGTGGTCCCGCCATTCGCCTTTTCGCTCGTGCTCTTGGCCGCTTGATTATGCGATGCATCCGCCCCGTCGTTATCGCTGTCCTCTTCGCTGGATGATTCGTCATTCTCGGTAGCCTTCAGGGCACTTGAAGCCTGGGTGTTGGGAAGCAGTTGGGCGCCAGTTCCATTTGCATCCTCTGAATCGCTTCCGCCACTGCTGCTACTCTCGCTATCCGATGCGTCTGCCTTCTTCTTGGTTGCGACAGCACTGGAAGGGGTTTTGGTGTCTGCGCCGGAGCTGCTTGTGTCGGAATCGGAATCGGATTCGGAGTCAGAGTCGGCCTCGGGCTTCTTGGTAGACTCCTTTGCGGAGGAGGTAGGTGCCTCAGGTGTGGGTTTGGCTGGAGTTGACTTGTTTCCATTGACCTGGGGGGTCGCCGCCTTCTTCTTGCCGGCGGCTTTCGCCAAGAACTTGTTTCGCGCTGCCTCGATATCGCTGTCGTTCTCACTGCCGCTGCCAGAGGAGGAGTCGCTGGAATCTGAGTCTTCAACAAACTCCTGGCTCTTGGCGATATTCTTGTGTTCGCGCGAGGGCTTTGCCGCGGCAGAGGCTTTCTTTCTCTGCACATCGGACGCCATGCTGTTAAGCGATCCGACCTTGACCCGTGGAGGAGCCATGTTCACGAGATCGGCGATGCTGGCAGAATGCAAGGCAAACTGAGGGTGCAGAGGAAGACTTGGTGGGTGGGAAGATGTCGAGGAAGCCGAGGTGGTGAGCGGCGCAAATTGGATCGGTGATGCGGGTGCAGGTGTTGTGAACTGGAGGTGAAGCACGAGAAAAAGAAATAAATTGGAGAGCTTCAATACATGTACCTCGCGCGCCCAATTGACTCAGCGCGCGGCGCGACTGGATTTGCTGCTGGTGGGGAGGTTGGATGGCGGGGCCGGGGCGGCATGGACCAATTGAAGAAAACACATGGATGCGCCGGAGCTAGGGGGAACGTAACTCCGGCGCATTCCCAGAGCCTGGGCGGGCCACCTCCAGCTGTAGAGCCCAGGCTCTTCAGTGCAGGTGGGGCTTGGTGATCGCGGACTCCCGTGCCTGTATTTTCGAGGCTTGGAGCCTCAGGCAACTCGAACTTGAGCTTTTCGCTGCACACGCCACTGAGGGGCATCAGTACCGCTTCATCAAAGCTCTGTCTAATATTCACACCGCAGGAGCTGGCTCACCCAGACCTGCGTGCACAACCGCAAGCTGCAGTTCACGCTGGTACTCAGTCTTACAAACGGCATATTAATTCAAAGACAACGTTCTCATCATGGCTACAAATAAGAGGAGGAGGTTGGATATCACGGACTCAACTCAGCGTAAGTTTTGCATTATTCGGTGCCCTACCCTGGAACAGGCGTATCGCTTACATATAACTTACCAGCTATGAGTGCATTTGCACTTCGGAAGAAATTGCTGGCTCAGAAAAGCCCTGTCGTGACTTCAACAGTAGATCACCCCGAGGAGGCCGCTTCGGTCGAGGCAAGCAATGAGGGTCCGACCGAGGTGGCCACCTCTAAGAAGTCGAAGAGGACTCACACCACCAGACAGACGTCACTAGCTGACAGGACGGCTGAGGAAGGCTCAAATCTCGATTCTAATAGGGCCCACTCGTCTGATGGGAATTTGACCTCCAATCCTGATATCTTTCCCAACCCATCTGTCGTCTTGCCACGGAGCCCTTCGCCTGCTCTGACGGACGAGCAAGAGATCCCAATTGCGCCCCAAGCTGTGCACTTCTCCAGTTACAGACCCTCTAAGAGCAGCTACCACAGGAAGAAAGGGGGCAACCTGCAACTCAAGCTGGTTGAAGTTGAAGTAAGTCTGTGTCTTCTACAAATACCGAAGCAGTGGCTGACCATGTCTAGCGCTTGGTCATTCTCGGTAGCTATGGTGTTTGTGTCGATTCTGGTGAAGTAACTATCAACGGAGCGGCCTTGAGGCCCTCCAAGAAGGCGTACTGGGTCGATGCACCGCATTGTCATGCGCTTCCAGTTATTCGATGCGCCAAAAATGCTACTGTCGAGTTTCAATCTCGTCCGGGAGCTGAGGGATTGAGGAAGTTGGGGAGACTCTCACCTCATTTCAGGAGACTGTGGAACGAGGCCTCCTATTCTCCATCCTATGAAACGCCCACAGGGCCAGAGTCAACATTCCAGATTGTGAGTACTCGTCACCTCTCGGTTCAAGGATGTGAAACTGATTCTGTAGCTATATACGTCTCGGGATGGTCCCAAGCGAACACTACTTCAAGACTTGGTCTCCCCAGCAGAATGGAATCGAGAAGTCGCCAAGCTGCTCACCGGGTTTAACTCAAAACCCGCTTCGATCATGGTGACAGGGCCGAAGTCTTCTGGCAAGTCCACTTTTGGCAAGATCTTGACGAATCGCTTCCTCAGCAATACGCCAACCACTTCCAAACAACGGGTTCCTAGCGGAGTGGCTGTTCTTGATCTCGACCCTGGACAGCCGGAGTATTGCATTGCTGGACAGATAGCACTGGTCCTCATAACCGAGCCAGTGTTGGGGCCATCGTTCTGTCACCCTCTACCGAGTTCCGGGATTCGCCTGGTTCGATCTCATGCTTTAGCGTCGATATCTCCGGCATCCGATCCAGAGCTCTTCCTCGAAGCTGCAATGGACCTCATGACACATTACCGCAACGTTCTGGGTTCCTGCCCTCTCGTCATCAACACACCGGGGTGGATTCAGGGTACTGGGTTGGATCTACTGGTTTCTCTGATCGGTGGACTGCGTCCCAGCGAAGTGATATACATGTCACAGACCGGGCCCGCCGAGGCTGTTGAATCCCTTCAGGAAGCCTGCAAGACCAGCGGTTTCTCAACGCTTCCGTCCCAGACCACGCAGTATACACTGCGAACAGCCGCACATCTACGTTCGATGCAGACCATGGCATATTTCCATTCGCAGCCGCAGAGCACCGATGTTGAGGGGCATCATATACAATGGTCTACGAAACCCTTGAGCCACATCCCGCCGTGGCAAGTTAGCTACCGCCGGGGGCCCAATCGCGGCATCTTTGGGGTCATGTGCTATGACTACCAGGCGTCACCAGATCTCTTGGCAGATGCCATTAACGGCACAATACTTGCAGTTGTGGAAGTCGAGAGTGCCAAAGCGTTTAAAGACCTTGCCAGCAGGGACAAGGACATTGCAGATCATTCAGTCGGGTCAGCTATGGAGCTCGACGATGATCAATCAAATGCACCGAAGCCGCCGTCTTGGTCAGACCTCCAGGATGATATCACGGCTGTGACGCCAGAGGGAATACCATTCATCGAAACATCACGCGGGACTACCCTGGACCCACGATACTCGCGATCTCTCGGATTGGCCCTAGTTCGTGGGATTGACGTGGAAAACGAACATCTGCAACTCTTAACGCCAATTGCGTCAACAGTGATCGAGGAGGTGACCGCCAAAGGGGGAGAAATCGTTCTGGTTAGTGGCAAGTTCGATTCGCCAAGCTGGGCCTACACGGAAGACCTATACTACAGGTTGCAGGACGAGGATGACGATGCTGTAGATGCAGACACGATGGAGGTAGACGAGGATGGCACGCCCAACACAGCATCAGAGGATGGAAATGTTGCAAATGACAGAGGAGATGCCGCATCGGGCCCGACTCCGTGGATTGAGGTGCTTCGAGGGAACCAGAAACGCGGCGCTGGGTCCAAGGTGTGGAGGGTGAGGCGAGATCTCGGGCGTCACGGGAATACCGCCGATTAATATGCATCTCGTAGCTCCAGGATTACGTTATCTGCCAGCACTGGAACAAGCTTTTTGCGGATACTAGTAGACGAGTACTATTCAAGCTCGAGTTTATGCATAGAGACTCTCGTCGTCTTCAATGGTCACGCGCAATGGACGGGTATAAACATTAGACCACACCGCTGGTCATTCGACTGCTGGCATGGTACCGAAACCCCTGGCACTAGCCGTCGCGGAACCACCGTAAAGCGATAAAAGTGACGAGAGAGCAGGACATCGCAGCCTACATGTATGTGGATTGAGGTGGATTCTTATGCAAATTATCATCTCAACCTCTTGGCAGGTTCATCCCCTGCAGGGATGTAACACAGTGGCCCGGGCTCAGAGATAAGACAAGGTCAAACGTGAGAAATTGATTGCCATGAATCAGATCCCCCTTTCTCTTCAACACGCTTACGAGCTGTCATCGCGGGCCCGAAAAGTTGAGGGCGCGACTCTGAACTGGATGCCATCATGCGGTTTCAATGGTGGGAGAACTCCATTGAGCTACACCCAAGGACATACGACAAGTTGACCGCTGCCGCACACGTCGTCGGGCCGTATCTGCCGCCCATCAACTTCATCACACTGCACTATGCCTACTTCATCGCCACCACGATCGTGGGTACGCTCATCTTCTGGGGCGCCTCCGCCCCGAAATACAGCGTCGGCTGGTGGGACAGCATGTTCATGGTCATGTCGGCCCTGACCGCGTCGGGTCTCAACACAGTCAACGTCAGCCAGCTGACGACGTTCCAGCAGGTGGAACTCTGTATTTTGATGATAATGGGAAGTCAGGTCCTGATTTCGTACTTTACGATTGCGTTTCGGAAGCACGTCTTCGAGAAACGCTTTGAGGACATCGTGGAGATGGAGCGAGAGAACAGGAAGAGAAAGGTTTCGGGCACCGGTGCCCTGGTTGGCATGACAGGTGCCATGTTCGGACTGCAGGTCATGTCGTCCTTTGGAAAGGGACGGCCGCAGAGCAGGGCGCAAGCTTCCAACGATGTAAACGCCCCGGCTTCGCCCGTTCCAAAAACGCCTTCTTCCGAGCCATCTGCTCCAGAGGTCCAGATGGCAGATGCTAGGAGCCAACAGCAACATATTGGCTTCCTCGAGCCCATCCATGAGGGCAAGTCGTCCGGGGCACAACCAATGGCAACCGGACACTCGGTATACCAGACACCATCTCATCAAAGTGGGTCGACAAGACGCAGACCTCAAACCGCGGGATCCAAGCCGACGATGTCTGAGGGATTCAACGTGCAAACGTTCCTAAGCGAACAGAAGCGAAATATCGGGAGGAATGGCGTTTTCTACAACCTGTCGGAAGAGGAGCGAGAGTACCTCGGCGGTGTCGAGTATCGCGCACTCAAATTTCTCTCCGTCTTCGTCATCGCCTACTTTGTGCTCTTTCAGCTCTTTGGTGCCATTGCCCTCGGTGCCTGGATGGCCGTGTACGAGACTGAGGCCGCCGCGGTCAACCAGCAGAACCCGTGGTGGGCGGGAATCTTCCTCGCCATCTCGGCCTATAACAATGCCGGCTTCACCCTGCTTGACGCAGGTTTTATCCCCTTCCAGTCTTCTTACTTCATACTTACTGTCGTCACACTATTGTCGCTGGGAGGCCCGGCAGCTTTCCCGGTGTTCATGCGACTCTTAATATGGACCATGTCGTCTCTGCTGAACGTTCTTTCCAAGAGCAAAGAGTATGGCGTCTGGAAAGAGGGTTTCGATTTCATCATGAGATTTCCTCGCCGTGTGTACACGAGTATGTTCCCTGCCCGGGACACTTGGATATTTGTGGCTACGTTCGGGGGTTTTGTGATAGCGGATTGGGTCTTGATACTTGTGCTTAGCATAGGAAATCCGACCATGGAGGCTATTCCCCTGGGGCAGCGGGTTTTCGATGCCCTTTTCCAAGGGTTCTGTAAGTACAGCTCTCAAATTCAATACCCGGTGATTTATATGGCAGCACCTCAAGCTGACGAACTACTTCCTCTCATCAGCGATCCCTTCAGGAGGTTACGCCATAGTATCTCCTTCAGGCATATACTTCGATGTCCAGGTGCTTTGGCTAGTCCTGTACTATACAGCAGCCTACCCACACATCATTACCATGCGAAACACGAACGTCTACGAGGAACGATCCTTGGGAATATACGAAGGCGACCAGACAGAAGCGGAACAGCTTCACTCTGCAAGCAGTAGTCTCTTCGATGTTGACAACGCCAGCGTGCCGGATCGAACAGGATTTCAACCCCCCGCGGCCAACCATAACAACAAGTGGGACTCATTATCGCGTACACCAACTACTAACTCCATCAAGAAGTTATCCGCAGTTGGGCGGCGCAGCACCGCATTCGTCGGACGCCAGATCCAGCGCCGCATGACGGCGTTTCAAGGCGTCGGTGTCGCGACCGCCGCACCAGCAGCAACACCCCCGCCACCGCAACGGCTCCGCCGGGCCGAAGTCATCGACTTCGGCCGAGCCTCTGTTCACTCTCTTCAAGGCCAGGCTCTGCATAACGGACCCCCGAGCCTCGTCTCGCAGCAGGTGCGGGGCCAGCTGAGCCACGACGTGTGGTGGATCGCGCTGACCCTATTCCTCATCACGCTCATCGAGACGCGGCATTCGCTCGTCGACCCCGCCACCTACAGCGTCTTCAACATCCTCTTCGAGATCGTGTCGGGGTACACCACCATCGGCATCAGTATCGGTCTGCCGGATCAGAGCTACAGCTTCAGCGGGGGTATGTATACCGGGAGCAAGATCGTGATGATTCTGGTCATGCTGCGAGGACGGCATAGGGGATTACCGGTGGCTTTGGATCGGGCCGTTCGGTTGCCGGGGAGGAAGCTTTCTGAGGAGGAGGAGGAGGATGCTGAGATTCGGAGCATGTCGGCTGGTTTGCGTTGAACTTGACCGGGCAGTTAGACTCATCTCTATGGTGTTCAAACTTCGCCTTGTTGAGATTATACAGGACTCCTGCCTACTCGAGATAGGCAGAGGACGCGCGCATCTCGACTGAGCGAACCACTTTCACAGAAACGAGATTTACAACAGGCAACTTTGTCCGCTGGCTCCCTCCCAACTAGACAGGATGGAGGATCGGGATGCCCAAATCGTGCCGCGACGCAGCGCCATCCTTGAGAAGATCAACTTTCTCGTCAGAGGGACTAGGGAAGATCAGGATTGTGGTGATATGTTAGTCGCCGTCATCAGACATTTGATGATGATGAGATAGGGGTCCACAGGCATCCTGTTAGGATAACTTCAGAATCCTCCACGATTCCTCCAAGCTGAATACATAATATACCAACCACAACAACTTCTGGGAGGAGCTGCTGCCTGATCGAGTCCACCAGATCCATCGAGTCCACCAGATCCATCAAGTCCACCAAACCCCATACGAACTATATCGGTGCCTAACTGGCTGACTGGCTCAGTGGCAAAGTGGCAACTTATCATTAGACTATTACAGAACTTTTCACAAGTTTCATCATAATCATGCATACCTGCCATAGCTGTAATGTCGCGGTACTAGATAGCCCCACAGGGTTGACCTCTATATATGCCAGACCATGTCCTCTAGCTGGCTTCATAGTTCCTTTTCATCCTTACGTACAACAACACAAGTCAATCTTGAGTCACCAACTGTCAAACCGTAACATAAAAATAATAATAACATTCTGTTTCTTCCATCTCCGCCAGAGATTTGGATACGTCGAACCCAAACCTTCGCTATCACCATGCAGATCCGCCTTCTCTTTGCTCTCGCAGCCACTTCAGCAGCCGCTGCGTCGGCTGTCACGGTACCATCTGGAGGAGACACGGCCCCCGGCCTCCGCGAAAGAGGTCACTCTGAGGAGCACCCCCTCCACGGCGGAGGAACATACCCTCGCCTTTGCCGTCTGCACGACGGCACCGTGCTCTGCGTGAGCACCGGCTTCCAGGGCCCCGTGCACATCCTACAAGTATCGCGCAGCACCGACAACGGCCGGACCTTCACCCCCTACGGCGAGATCGCCCGCGGCGCCGGCGACGTCGACAACGGCTTCCTAGCCGAGGTCGTCGTGCCTGGCGAGCAGCAGCCGGTCGTGCTAGCCGCGTTCCGCAACCACGAGCGCGACGCCGCGTCGGGCAAGTACACGCACTTCCGCATCACCGTGTGTCGCAGCCTCGACGGGGGCCGCACGTGGGCGTACGCCGCGCAGGCGGCCGAGCAGTCGGCCGCGCGCAGCGGCGGCATGGGCCTGTGGGAGCCGTTCATGCGCGTCGGCCGCCAGGGCGAGGTCCAGCTGACGTACTCGGGCGAGCTGGCGCCCGACAATCAGGAGACGTTCCGCGTCGTGTCCCGCGATGGCGGGCTCACGTGGTCGCCGCCGCGGTGTCTGCAGTGCCATCCGCAGTCGGAGCACCTGCGGGACGGCATGCAGGGCATCGTGAGCGTGCGGGACGCGGCTAATGGGGCTGAAGCGCTGGTCATGGTGTTTGAGACGACGCGGCATGGCACGTTCAGTGTGGAGTATGCCGTCTCGTACGACGATGGCGAGACTTGGGGGAATCGGAGAGATGTGTATTGTCCGCCGCGGGGAAGGAATGCAGGGTCGCCGCAGATCGCCTGTTGTGGGAACAAGATGGCGGTCATTTTCATGACGGACGAGGATGTGTCGTCGCCGAAGTGGCCTGGGAAGACGGCTGTCAAGACGGTGTTCTCGGAGGGGCTGAATGGCGGGAGGGTGAGCTGGACTAAGCCGCTGCTGGTTCAGGGGGAGCCAGCGATGTGGCCTGGGATACTTGCAACGGGCCAGGAAGAAGTTATGGCTGTTTATGAGCATGCTGGGAAACCTATTGGTAGATATCTACGTATGAACCACTAGAGGGATGATCCGTGCATCTGCTCCCTCACTTCCCTAGTATTCCGTAGAAACACACACTTCGACGGCCGATCTGCTACGGAAACCCTTGATACCTCTCCATCCGCGCATGTAGATGAGACTCCAGAACACTGACGGGTGATGCTGGTACTTGGAAAACCACCGTGGGATATGCAGTGTTGATTTTAGAAGCCACTTCTGATGCATATTCCTGAGTGCTCATTCCATTCACACTAAGTACCCCTTAACTCATCGGCCGGGTGATGTACGGGGTCTCTTAGCAGTGTGCGCCTCCGTCATTTGGGCCTTGTGGGCCTTGCACTCCGCGAAACTCAACTGGACAAGGACCTCAGCCGAATAGTCTCCCACTTCTCTACACACGGTTCGGAAATCCCGCTGCAACACGAAGAAACGGTACACGCAGGCGCCGTAGAGAACGAGCATCTGTCGTAGCTCGTCGTCATCTCGGGTATTCTTGTAGACGAATCTGATAATTGCCGTGATGCTGACCTCTCTGTAGGCTAGGGGTTGGTCGTGGAACAGCTGGCAGTGGATCTTCCCCATGGCCGATCGCCGCAGCTCCGAGATGCAGTACCGATCGCCGAGCACGTAGATTTTCGCCAGGGCTAGCAGATCTGCGTGACGAGTGTCGCCGGAGCTGGCTTCGGGTTTGTATCCAGAATGGCGGACCGGCTCATATAAAACGAACGCTGCAAGGGCGTTGTCGATGGGGGCATCGGCTATGGCCCACACGGGCGCCAAAACGGGCCATGTACTTTGTCCACGAGGAATGGAGGCTCAACGGACCACCCATCACCTTCCAGAGATTGTTGACGCTTTGGTGATACGTTTCGCAATCCGCTCGTTTTCCGGCATCATCTGCGATTGCGGGCGAGGCTACGGTGGGCGTGTCGGTGGGCGTGTTGTAGGGCGTGTCGAAATCACCGTTGTATGCAAACTTGGAGAAGCAAACAAAGGTGTCGACCTCGATGTCGTCCCATATGACTTCACCATTCTTGGCCTCCTGTATCGGCCCGTTGATGAGGGTCTCGAAGTATCGGGAGAGCGGAGTAAGTGCGGCGGTGTGAATCGAGAATTGCGTCTTTTCCGGACCGACGAGGAAATTGAAGGGCTTCGACTTTACGACACTGAGAATATGCGGGTCAGTCTTGGGTTTCAATGATACAGCGAACGGTCAAGAGTCTCTTATGGGGGACCAAGAACGGGCATATTGCGTAAATCATCAATGCTAGAATAATCGCCCTGGAATAGGCTGTTCCGGCTTCGTAGGTCGATACTCATACTTGTTCTAGGTGCTTATTCCATCATCAAAAAGTACCGGATTGCGTGGCATCTTGAAATCGAGGCGCATCGACGAAGACCGGTAGTGAGGGGTGGACTGACAGGTAGACATGAGGCTGGTGGGAAGGAACGAAGCGAGGTACTCACTGTATTTCCACCCTTTAGATGCAGGCTGCGTAGAAGCCGATGTGTGTTGCCGGGGTGATTGTGGTTTCTTTCAGAAGAGGTTGAGGACGAGGTGATCCTCGATTGATTTGTGCATGCAGGTCGCGAGGAAGCCGATGTGTGTTGCCCGAGTGAATGGGTATTGTTTGTTTCAGAGGAGCTCGAGGACGAAGTGATGCTCGAGGACGAAGTGATGCTCGAGGACGAAGTGATGCTCGAGGACGAAGTGATGCTCGAGGACGAAGTGATGGTCGAGGACGAAGTGATGCTCGAGGAAGAAGTGATGCTCGAGGACGAAGTGATGCTCGAGGACGAAGTGATGCTCGAGGACGAAGTGATGCTCGAGTGATTGGTGCCTGGGGAAAATCCAGAGAGGGTTTTCATAGACAGCGGGCAAACGCGAACGTCACCAAAGGATCGGACGAAGCAGGAGACAGATATTGCAGAGTTGGGTATCATGATCACGGCAAAACTAGCAATTAAAGTGCAACCCGCATGGCAGCTGGAAACAAGAAATCCCTTCTAGCTGGTCGCCACCTCGCTTATGTCCTCCCTATACACCCTTCTCAACTCAAACATGACCTCGACGGTGATCAGCCATATGATGATCCACTCCAGCCTATGGCCGTACTTCTCGCTGACCATCTCCCTCAGCACGCTTACGTTCTCGTGGGCGTAATCGATCCGTTTGTTCAGGCTAGCACTCCGTTGCCGCACTGACAGGACGGCACCGATCTGGTTGTAGTAGTCTTCAAGAATCGACTCCGAGTCCCAGAACATATCTGGGAGGTCCTCTGTAATATCGGAATAGTGGTTGAGCTGTGATCTCAGGCTCAATAATTGACCTGTCATCTTGATGACGGAATTCCGCTTGAGTTTGTGTTTCGAGTCGGCAGCCAAAACGTCTAGCGTCGTCCGCGAGTCCTGGAAATAGTCTTCCAAGTTGGTTTCGAGCACGGCCAGCTTGGGGCTCCTCGCCAGTCCGCTCGAGAAAGCGATCTTGGCCAGAGTGGTGTCCAAACGATCGTTCTCCTTCTCCTGTGCTCTTGTGCCCAATACTATGACCTCGCCCTTCATGTGGCTCGTCTCTCGTGTTTCATCCGGCACGAACTCCAGCTGCTCCATCTCTCGGCGGTCGAAGTGTGGATATCTGGCCGCCGTCCTCAGCTGTTTCGTGGCAAGTGTCACCAGCGTCTCCTGAGGGACCGACCACGCGACCACAGTGCCAGAGGGGAAGACGAAGATGTCTCCGTTATTTACACCCCTGGCATGCACCACAGCCCTGGAATCGAACTCTGTCTTGTCGGGATCAAGCTCGAAGGCGTGAAAGCGGAGAATCTCCTGCACCTCCTCCATGTCGAAGGACTGCGCAACACATATGGCCCTGACAGTCCGGTGATAGTCTGTCTCGTCATGCTCCAGACCTTCCGGAACGGCAGTCTTGCCTGCACCGTTACCGCGCTTGGGTTGCTTCGTCACAGAGCCGAGACGTAAGCTCTTAGCTGCTGCCGCAGCCCGGGCAGGCTTCCGCTTCGTGGAGGCCGAGACCTTGAGCTGTCTTTGCGTTTCTGATGGCTTGGTGGTATTGATTGCAGGCTCTAGGGGCTCGGGCTTGCCATCGTTCGCGAGTAGCCGGTTCGAGGTGAAGAAGTCGCGTTTCCGCGGTAAAGAGGCGAAAGTCGTCTGGTGGAAACATCGCTGAGGTCTGGGGGCGACGGCTCGGGTGTGTAGGCCGCGGAAGGCGGGAGCTACTGCCTTGTAAAAAGGTAGGTTCATGATGGCTATCGAGCCATTGGCTTTGGTCAGGTCGGAAGACAGAAGCCAGATGTATGTGAATGTCGCATTGTAACCCGCACGGAAGCTCTGCTCTCTTGTGGTAGTCGGAGCAGGGACAGGCACCGCCGTTGGAAAATACGCCGATACGGATATCTTTATCGATAAGAACGCGCTCGACACGGGTTATCCGTTATCGCCGCTTCGAAGCTCCAATGTTCGGAGCTTCGAATTCGTCAATCATTCACTTCTCGACCAAAGTCCCAAAGAATTGCCGGATGCTGCACTGAAGCTCCGATCTGGTCAATCGACATTGTCAACATGTCGGGCCATCCATTACGAGCAATTGTCTGTACGTAACAACGGACGGTCAGTTTGAATAGCATCCCATACTTGCTATAGCCCTCAACGCTGATTCCCATGTATATACAGTCTTGTCTATCTAGACTCCGATTAGATTTAATTCCACACCTCTGAACTTCCGAGTGCTCTTCCATTTTCGACTCACAATGCCTACCGCACGCTTGAAAGCGGCCACCAGATCCGGTCCCGGCTCATTGTGGTCGACTGACCAGCGTTGGAGCGAGATCCTGGCCCGAATGACTGGTTCAAGCCGCCGCAGGTACCCTCTAATGAAGATGTCGCCGAGTCGCATCTTGCAACTGCGCTTAAAAAGCAAGAACGATGATCAAAAGCAACGCTATGCATTCGCCTTCAGATACGCTGCCCGATCGCGCAATGAACGACTCCCAGCCTTGACGCTCCAACTCTTGTTGAAGAGGCAGCAGGCAGCCATGGAGAAAGGGGCAGCCGATGACGGGGTTTCGCAGTTGATCAGTGCCATCAAACCAGCTGAATGGGAAGATCTCCTCAACAGCATGGCCTCAAGAGGCTGGTCTCGAGAGCAATTCGATCACTGGATATGGATTCTGGCGGGAGAGAACGGAGACGCGCGAGTGGAGCGACTGGTTTCCACTGACGAGCCCAAGCCTGTATTCCTACTTCTCCTTCTGCTTCGAAGTGATGAGGTGTTTCGCAAGGCCGAGTCGTTCAAGTTGCTCCTGGAGTACACATCAAAGAATCACATTACACCGCGATCTACCATTGCAATAACCGCAGACGCCACGTGGTCTGCGAAACCAAACCTGATACTGACGGTCCCTCAATTTCTGATACTACTTCGCCGCCTCACCATGCATGTCCAGCGCGTATGGCCGCAGTCGGTAGTCGGCGTTGCGCGGTTTGTAGCCGGTTATATCAAAGGGTTGTCACAACATATGTCCGACGGTCAGCTCCAATCTGATTACCGCAGCCAGTGCGAGATATTCAACACTGCACTCTTCTTGTTCAGAAGACCAGCCACTAATCATCCCCTCGTCAACATGGAATTCAACTGGAGAGCCCAGAAGGTTCTCCTTGCAATGTCCGAGGCCATGGAAAAGCCTCTGATCATCAATCAGACTAGTTACAGAGCAATTCGACAGGTTCTTGCTGGTCTGAAGAAGTCTAATGAGGAGAAACGGGTTGCCATGAGGTACGCCAAGCCGTGGCCACCATATCGTCAAGACTTTGATGGACTGGATGCGAAACGGACACCGGAAGATGACCTTTCGCGAAGCATCAGAGCCGGAAAGCTCATGACGGAGGCCGGATATACCAGTGACCATTATGATTTGGCCTTGGACACATTGAGCGGCATGAACGCTGGCTCACCCACCATACAGACACGGAGTCTTGCGCCGAAAGAATGGAAAGATGACAAAGACGAGTGGAACTTCTACTCCAGCTGGGCCATGAGTATTCGCGCCACTCGTAACCCGCAAGAGGCATGGCAAGCTTTCAACCGCTTCGCACTCAAGACAGGGGCGGCCCCCAACTTCCAAGTATACGGCGAGATGTTCTACAAACTGCAGACTCGTCATGCAGACGAAGACTCATCGGTGCTGCCGGGAGATTCACGGGAAACCTTCCCCGTTTACGATGCCAATTACAGCGAATATGAGCTTGCTAGATTATCGCCTCCAACGTTGGCTGAACTGTACGATCATATGATCAGCCAGGGCGTTAAGCCAGAAGGATCTAATCTCTACAGACTGGTCAGTAACGCAGGGTCCGTTGAAGAAGGTCTACGCTACCTTGTCGATAGTGGCATCGACCCGGTCAGCGTCAGTGCTCTAGCACTCTTCAAGGAGCCATCTCATCAAACCCTGCACCGTATTCCCCTGATGGCGTTCAACAGCTATATCCAGCTTCTCTGCAGGCTGCAGCCTGATCGCCGCGCCCGGGAAAGGATCAACACCACTGAACTATTTCGAATTCGCCATGCTTACAAGCTTGTCAAACTCAGGCTTGTCCCGGAAACTACGGAAGGCACAACCTTTCGACCACCATGGTGCTCCTTGTTGAGATCGCTCGCACGACCATATATCGCCATCCAAAACGGCACGCAGGTAGAGAACGACATCCAAGCGCTAGTCATGTCTATAGATGTGATTCGGACTGCGGAGAAAACGGTCGGCCTCGACCCGGACTTCTTCATCTACCTCTGCCGCACCATACAGAAGGCAGCGGTGTCACGGCTCGACTCATTGGCAGGCTCCCAATGGACAAGCCCCACGGGTGCAGAACAGACGCCGCTGATACCGTCGGTTCATTTAGTGTCGAACATGCTCGGTCTGCTCTTCTCCAAGCTGACGAGGCCTATGACCTCAGGTGATCCGGACTCCCTTAACTTGCCGGATCTGGTACATTCCATTAACCCAGCTCTCTTGCATTCGTACATGCGCGCTCTTGCTTTTGTCGACGACAAGGACGGGATGGTGAACCTGGCGGGCTGGATGCTCGCCAATCGGTCGTATTTGGAGGAGGAAGCAGAGCGAATAGGACAGCGCGGGCAGACATTGATTGCGAGAACCCTCTGTGCCTTCCAAGCCTTTGCGGGACCGGGGCTCACGGATACACAGCACGAGGACTTTCACTCGCAGATGGAGAGGCTTGCTGAAGCTGGTGGATCATGGAGATGGCCAACATCAGAAGAGGTCGATGCCTATATACAGACTGATCGTCGCGGCGGATCGCAAAAGCTCCAGCAGAGGTTACTGGCAAGATGGTGGCAGGCCTCTCCGACGGCCTTCTCGGGGAGAGAGGAGATGGAGGCAGCGCAAATGTAGAGTACCATGACCCCGAAGATACCCAACCCAGCCAGCAACTGTCCTATAAGGTCCCGCACGATGCAACGCGGAGACACATCAGAGCCACGATCGTCACACGAGCCACCTACGCATCGATACTCTGCTCACCTGTCACCCCTGGTCCGGGTGGTGATTACCCCTGGCGGCCTCGGCAGCTACCTATACCCGGTACGGTACTGCGAATGATTTATGCTTAATCGGGGGTGTTGCCCCGCCAAATTGCAAAAAGGGAGGTCGACCCCACTGACGCAAAATTGACGCCATCCCATTGGCCAATTCTTCACTGCCCACATTCCCAGGGTCTCGAATCCCATCTCGGCCTCGTCGCGAGAATGCCCGCCGCGCAAACGGCTGCGCAAACGGCAGCGCACATTTTTCGCATATGAGGCTGCCATCTCTACTTTTGGGTGTCTTTACTCTTGGTTTTCGTCAATTCCACCGCCGCCGCTCTTCCATATCGTTTCTGCCTCCGTGTCACTCTCATTTGCACGCATCGTCAGAGACGCCAGCGGCCAGCCGCTCCCTCCATGCAACAGCGACAGGCCTCGAGCTCTCACTGGCGAACCATGCATCAGGACCCTATTCCTTAGACAACTTGTTCACCTTCCAGTGGAGGTTGGAAACTGTCAAGGTGGGCCTTCCTAGTACAACCTTTTAGACGACCCACGAGCAGACGAGTGCACCCGACCCTCATTTCTACCATCCGTGGGCGCATGATTCAGTAGGAACAGGATATCTTACAGCCAGCGTCGAACCTCAGCCAGCACGTGCCAGACGGATAGCATGCACGAGAAGACACACACGTAAAGCTACATGTACAGTTTTGGTTCGTTTCCCGTTCCTCCAAGTCCATTGAGGAACATCGTCTAATACGTCGAGTAGGTACCGTCGCCATTGGATAGTTCGCGATGGAGGAGGATCATGATTTTCTCCACCTGCGGCCGCTCTCGACTTCCGAACCTCTGAAAGCCAAACTACCGACGACATACAGTCCAGAACGCGAAAACGTCGTATCTGTGGTTCCCAACCTTCTGTCCCTGGTTTCGCCCGAGCATTTTACTCGAGAATCTAGTCATGGAGCCGGCGGATTCAGTGACGTTCTTTGGCAACAACGCAGCCGTTCGCACATATTTGGCCCGGATGGTGAACCAGGGGGAAGGCCCGACGTCGTGTGGGATAAGCTAGAACCTGATCATGTCGCCGCCTACAGCTCTTTTGAGGGAGAAGGGGAAGGCGACATCACAGCTACCGGTCAGGGCAACGCATCTGGCTTGGAAGTAGCCGGGACCCCCAAGTTGGAAAACATAACGGTGCAGCTTCCGCAGTCGACACTCACGCAACCTATAGCCCTTTTCGAAGGTTTTGTGCCGCCGGCAGAAGTAGCTGCAGAGACGGATGCGTTGAGTGCGCTCCTCGCGATCGCGAAGCCACCTAAACCTACGGATCCAGGACAGCAAGGGGATGATCATGTAGAATTTGATTTGGAGAGCTTCTCCATTTACATTGACCATCAGCTCTACCCTGACGAACTAAGGCCTCTTCATCATCTCGCAACCCGTCAGTCAGCCGATCGCTTCTTTTTTGACGGGCTGTTGAGCCATGGAGACACAAAGCTCTACCTTCGCAAGATCCCTTTCCGCCAACTTCCGATTGGCAACTATGAGACTGTGGAGCACACTGTCGGGGACCAGATTTGGATACGGTCGGAGCTGAACGAGGTGACAAACAAGGAGATCTACTACAAGCTAGGTTCCCCCTCAAAGGAGTACGTCAGGTTTCACACGCCGTTCCTATGGATCGCCAACTTGGCTAAGCACGTCATTAACTACTGCGAATTCCTACAAGACGAGGGACGCCGTGCAATGCTACAAGATTTCAAATCGCGATTTGGTATTTGGATACTGCAGAAACACTTGAAGTGTGCATCTTTCGAGAAATGGTATGCAGCCAACGGTGGCCCCGACTTTCGAGGCGCAATTATAGCAAACGTCGAATTTATTTGGAAAGAAGCCTATGGTCTGGAGCCGAAGATCACATCCTGGCATGGGGTATGGAAGGAGATCAAGACACTCGAACAATACAAACCTAACCTGGCATTGCCTGAAGATTCCTCCGACGATGAGGACGGGAACGCCCCCAAGTCTCGCAAGAAGGGGCAAGTGCCGAGGACAGTCGTCACTCCGTATGTGCACAATCTGTTCGCTCATATGATCTTTGGGAGTGTCCTGAGGTTGGAAGAGCTGTCAAGTGGTACCGAGCGCAGACAATTCGACTTCTTGCGAAACACGCAACCAACCCAGATGACCAGTCTGGTGACCAGACCAACTGCCGTCAAGCGGACTTACCCGAACTGTGACATGTTCATTGCGTCGATACAGCCAGGCGATGTGATATCCACGAAACCCGACGACGACAGTACCGACACACAGTGGAAAGCTGAGGTCTCCAAGCATTATCACGGTGAGCACCTCTGGTTCGGCCTTGTCCAGAAGGTTCATCAATCGTCAAGGGGCAAGTACTCTTTCGACGTCATCTGGATGTATCAACCAATGGACACCCCATGTGCTGTGATGAAGTACCCCTGGAATAACGAACTTTTCCTCTCGGATAACTGCACTTGTCATCACGGCACTGCAAGAATCCAGGCAGATCAGATCCTCTCTACTCATGAGGTGGAGTGGTTTGGGAATCCGTCAACCTCCGCAGAGTTTTTCGTCCGACAAACCTACATTGCCACGGACTGTAGGTGGACCACACTCCAGAGGGAACACATGGTCTGCGGCGGCGACCGCTTAGTGGACGAAGCAGTCGGCACGTATCAGGTTGGGGATTCCGTGCTTGTGGATGCCAACGAGAAGAACCTCGAGACATTCATTGTTGAGGCGCTCTTTGAAGAAGGCAATAAACAGTATGCTGGCTTGCGGCGGCTGTGGCGCAGGAACGCCCGTGACAAGGCGGCCGGTAACTCGCCACCGAATGAATTAGTCTATTCCGAAGAACTCGTCGATATATCTACGGCAAGGATCGCCCGACGGTGCCTGGTGAGAGCGTTTCAAGTGGATGAAAAGATACCTTCTCCGTACAATCGCAATGGGACTGGCAACGCCTTCTACATTACACATGAAGAAGTCAAGGCTGATAATGGCAGCTTTGCCTATGTTCCCCTTCGGTCTACCCGTCTAGAGCCTTTGCGACAAGGTTTTCACCCGTCTCGGACGGCGAGATCGGAGAAGCTCCAAGGGCTGGACTTGTTCTGTGGGGGCGGCAATTTCGGGCGCGGGCTCGAAGATGGCGGTGGTATAGAGATGAAGTGGGCCAACGATATATGGAAGGAAGCAATCCATACCTACATGGCGAATACCCGGGCTGATGGATGCACCCCATACCTCGGCTCCATCGACGATCTCCTCTCCAGGGCCCTGCAAAACGACAGCAGAATTCCTCGACCAGGGGACGTGCACTTCATATCTGGCGGATCACCATGCCCTGGCTTTTCTATGCTGACCATTGACAAGACTACGGATAAGCAACGAAAGAACCAGTCGCTCGTAGCTTCATTCGCTTCGTTCGTTGATTTGTACCGTCCCCATTATGGCGTGTTGGAAAACGTCCCGCAGATGGTAAATACCAAGAAGTTCCGTGACACATGCGTATTCTCGCAGCTTGTCTGTTCGATCGTCGGTCTCGGCTATCAGGTCCAAATAGTGCGGCTGGATGCGTGGTCATTCGGAGCGCCGCAATCTCGGAGTCGAGTATTCCTCTTGTTTTCTGCGCCGGGCTTTCGAATGCCCAATATCCCAACACCGTCGCATTCTCATCCCCCTGGCACGCAGCTGCATAAACTCGGCGTCATGTCGTGCGGCCGCCCATTTGACAGCCGAGAGCTGGTGCTGACTTCTTTCGAGTTCGTTAGCGCCGCAGAGGCTGTGGGTGATCTGCCCAATATTTACGATGCCAAAGCAGACTATTGCGTTGGTGTTCCCGACCACCGACTTTCGATTGGTTACACGCCACGCCTGCGGAAACAACTATCGCTCATCCCTACCCAACCCTTCGAGATGAACTTCAGCAAGGCGTGGTTTGTCCCTCCAGGGAAGAAGGAGTTTCCCGAGGAGGAGAAGTCTATCATAACTGAGTCGGAACGCGAGTTGTATCCCAAGGAAGCCGACAGGACGAAGATTTTCTCAAAGGGATGGGGGAGGATTAATCCCAAGGGCATATTCGGCACCATCTCTACCACATGCCAGCCTACAGACTCTCGGGTGGGCTGCACAAATCACTGGGAACAGCCTCGACCCATAACCATCATGGAAGCCCGACGCGCACAAGGGTTCCTCGATCACGAGGTCCTCGTTGGCTCGACCGCCAATCAGTTTCGAATCGTGGGTAACAGCGTTGCGAGGCAAGTCGCGCTGGGTTTGGGGTTGGCAATCCGTGAGGCCTGGTTTGGAACTCTGGTTGATGAGCAGCTGCCGGTATCACAAGCAATGCCCACCGTGATTGAGGAGGGAATAGAGCTTCCGGAATGCACATTGCCCTGCCCTAGCTCCCACCCGATCTCCCAAAGTATTGAAGAAAAGACCCAAGGTATTGATGTGGAGGACGTGAACGTGATAGACTCCAGCTCTGACGAGCCAGCCGAGGATGTGTTCATGAGGTCTGATTCGCAACCATCGGCTACCGTTACGCCCGCTACAAGCGAATCGAACCCGGTATCGGACTCCGAAACCAATCGTAAGCGGCCGTCACAGATTTTTGTTGAGATCTTTGCCAAGAGACCCCGATTGAGCGAACAGGTTCAACGTACCAACTACCCAACGTCGAAGCCCCAGAAATACACCATATAATACGGGCACGGAGAAGAAGCAATGATGAATTGTTATTATCCAGTTGCTACACTGGGCAAACAGATGCCTGGAATTACGAAGAATCAGCTTGCATGAGGTTCGGCTACAATGACAGAGTAGGGAAGGGCCGTCAGCATTTATATGTTTTAGCACAGCATCGGCATCGGCACCGGCACAAGCACTCGTCTCAGCACAAGCATTTGCATTTGCTTATGATACCCCGGGGAGCATCATCAACACCATGAACCTTTTGCTTGGATATTTGGGCGGCTAGCATGACGTACGGGGCATTGCAGGTAGAGAAACAACAGACAACAACTGCTAATTGAACTCGATGCTCGTTTTCAGAACTTGATCCCTGCCTACGTGCTTCTGAGGTTTGACTTGAATTTTAATGAATGGGACTGGAGCCAGGAGAAAAGGCTTGGAAGGATAGAGATGGGCATGCGTGGCCATTTTCTGAGAGCAGCTGTTGCTGACGCTTCTGCTTCCCCATCAACTGTGTCAATCTCGCAATTACTACAATACCTCAACACTCCTCCAGCTTCGAGAAGAGTCGGTCGTTTCGCTCGTTCTGGCACTCTCTTGACCACACATTGAACATTACTTTCACAGAATGAAACTATGAACAGGATTAGGTACGGGGCAGCGTATTGCCGAATCAAACATTAAGCCATCTGGTGTAGGCAGCAACGCCAGCAACATGTCCTTCCATCCGAGCGCAATGCCTTGAGGTTTGTCCACTTCAGTTCGGGGTCCCAAATCATTACTTAGGTATGTAGACGGTCGTCCACATGAGGGTCTGTGGGTGAGCCTGAAGCTTCTTGTGATGGGGTTGATGGGCGAGTTGAGGTGACGACTTGAGGGTAGCTGAGGTACAGGTTCTCTGGTTTGGCAGTGGAATGGTGCTTTGGCTGTGCCAGGGTAGGTACTAAGTAGGTCGTTGGTCAGAAGTGACTTCCTTTGGCAGAGGGGTTGATCGGAATGTCTGCCATACCGAGTACAAGTCCAACCAAATGTTGGTCTTGGGGGCCTGGCCCGAGGACATATTTCCCACTCCTCCTTAGGACATTGATGCAACAACGTTTCCGATGGCAGGGTGCTCATTATCGTAACGCCAGACAGCTGTATACACTTTGAACAGTTGCCAACGGAGACAGAGAGAGAATGTTGTTGACTGAAGCGTGAATCCAGTCGCAAGGACGTGATCCATTGTTCGGCAGACCCAAGTTCCTGCTTGCTTCTTCCTCTTCCCTTCCAAGTAAGTCCCCTACGCGTGAATGTTAGTTCGCACCGTGTGAAAGAAAATCGCGTTGCTCTTACCACCAGGGCATCCGTGATAGGGTGTTTTGTGTCTGTTGCAGTCTTTTAAGGGCACAGAACCATGCGAGATGCCTGGGAAAGGTTGGAAAATGGGAGGACTAGCCAGAGCACCAAGGGGCAGTGAATGCATGGGGGTGTTCAGGTACGCCAAGCTCCGTGGGACTGGATGCCTCGTTGATTTGCAAGCGTCACCAGGCCCGGCCCGAGGTAAGAGGGGCCGCTCACGTGGCCTCCGGCGGGGGAGTACACGCTGCACGAGGTCTGTAGGTGGCAGTTACAGAGCTTTGTGCGCTTGCGGGAGGTGGTGAGGAACCGGGGAATGTACGTCCAATTGGACCACGACCCGGTGTATCCGGTGTGAGAGGCCTGTGAATCGGGGGAAAATTCACGGGCGCGACGCCTAGGAAGGCGTTCATGTCGTAGATCAGATCATCCTCGGCTATTCCCGCGATTTCGTTGATGAGCCAGTCGAGGTAGGCTCCGGCATCGAAGACTGGAGGAGATGTGAATGGACGAGGCGTGGTGTTGATCTCCAAGCCAATATTCTCAATAAGCAAGCTGCCATTCTCGACTGCACATTTGGGTGTTAGCACGTGGAGTTGTTTTAGTCTGCGGTTTGTTTTCTTTTCAGTCCGACTTACCAGTGACATGGATGCCCTCAGCAGGAGGGGTATACTTTCCAAGAGGCATGATGCAGCACTCGATCCAGCGCAAGACGCGTGCACTGTTGGCTGCTCTGAGGTTGAAGTGGGATCGCAGACGCGCAATTTTGCAACCTGGATGCTTGACGCTGTCGTGCGGGAGTCGAGTGGTCAGTTTTGTTGAGCTTCCTGGACGAGGGAAACCGGCTGGGCTGGCCAGAAACCGAGAGTCAGAGACGAGATCAGAGTGGTGTCTCTGTGGTAATACAGAAATGAGGTTGTCGCGTGCTGCCTGGGTGAGGGGATCGATGCCTTGTGTCGCTGAAGAAGCTCTGTCGGGGAGCTGCGGTCGGCCACCTGAGGGTGTATCGAGCACAGCACTGGCGCCGAAGTTGATACTCCGACCCAGCTGTGCTTTACTTCCGCCGGCCTCAGACTCGCACAGATCCCACTGCGCGCTGTCGAGATCTTGACCTGAATTGCACGGCATCTGCACGATGGCTGCAGACCTAATGGCCTGTTCGGAGTGGTTGGGAATGGGATGCTGCCCCGGACGACGACGGAATTGAAGATGCAAAGGAATTGGTTGCCCAAGGGCAATTCAGGCGCCAATTTCCAATGAGGCTCTGGGTGTGAGGGTGAAACAAGAGTGCTAGGCACTGACTGGTATGACAACCTTGATATCAGACTGGCATCTACCAAGCACGCGGGGTCAGGGTGACGCGGTGCCGGGGACAGCAGTTGTGCTTGCGGGTGTGGTTTGCCTTGGGTTGGAGCTGAGGGCTTGCCCATGTGGACCAGGTTTTGAGTACCTTAAGGTTGAAAAATCCAGCCCGTACTCATGCTGTTTCTGTGCCCCGCCAAGCATTTCTGGGCGAGGACGAGATGGGTGATGTTGTCGCCCAGTGCGGACCCCACTTTTGGGGACAAAAAGGGGTTGTCAGGGGAGATGACCCAACCTGTCGAGTAGCCATACTCACCAGCATATATCGTTGAATTCTGGCTTGCAAATCCATGGTTCTGGTGCAAGCATACCATGGTCGGCTTGTTGCTACATCGAGCAGTTCGCAATCCGTCTACCCAGCCGATGAGACTGCTTTGCCTCTTGCCCAACGTCCAATACGCAAGCATCATGATGCTCTGTGTCAAGTGATGTCGCGTTGTTCGAGAAAGCAACCAATCACCATCATGTTGGCCCACGGCCTGAGATAAAGATAGTCGATTTGCTAGTGACGTTTGCAGTCAGGATGCTGACGGTAGCTCCCCTACATCAGATGGCGATTCTGCCCATTCCGTGAAGCTCCGCGAAAACCCCTTTCGCAACCTGCTTATCGAGCTCCACAGTTTCAGAACACCTCGTTTCTCCATCCCAACGAACTCGCGTATGGGGAAATGTGACTTGGATGAGCTTCGACCGCAGCAAAGAGTCCCGGTCGTCCATGCCATCGTACTTGACACTCTCAGCGTTTTGGGTTCTTTCTTGGGTGGCAGTGTCGACTGAGCTGGTGCAAAACGAATTCGGAATCATAGAGTTGCCACGCTTCGAGCAATCCACGTGTGCTTCTCTGCAAGACGAGCAAGTCTGGTAACTGGGATTGCTAGTCAGTTGCGATTCAAACTCGCCGAAACGACCATCGATAGGCTTGCTCTGCAGTAGATTGGTGCCAAGTACAAGGATGCTTTCGGGGGTGATCATTGAGGAATCCAACCTATTCGGACGGGAGTCCATGGTATCGATAACCTTCTTCGGGCCTTGTGTGCCAGTGCAGCCACATGTCACTGCGATAGTAACGTTCCGGTCTGACGTCTCCGATCACGGTATTGATGAATCCCAGAAGGAAAGGAAATACCCATTCTCGCTGACTATTCAGGGGCTTTAGCAGAATGAAAGCCCGGCTTGCGGTCGGATCGTGCAACAAACTGTGCAGCTCTCGCAGCTGCTGGACCTGTTCGAGCTGGTTGAAGTCTCTCACCCAGCGGAGGAGAGAAGGATAGAACATGCAATCGAATTGGCTCGCGTGGCTGTATAAACCAGGCGTAACGCGAACTCGATCAGGTGGCCCAAGTTGGAGCCATTGCCGTGATCTTCGGACGAAGACTTTGCAGTCCATGAAGAGTTCCCAGGCTTCTGTGATACCCATTCCCAGTGACTTTTCATCTTGCCGTGCCTGGTGAGACTCCAGCTCTTCGAGCGTGTCTGGTTGAAGGTCCATCACTTTATAGCAGAATATTCCCGTCTCGTACTCTTCTCCGATATGAGCCAGCCCTATCTCACTGAGATTCGTCTTCCACCACATCTTCTCTGGCTGATTGTTTTCCCTCATAAGCTTTCGAATCCAGCCGTGGTCGTTGGACTGATCGGAAATTGATGAATTGAACTGGGTCGCTCTGCGCTGCGTTTTGGTGGCCGGGGTATTGTCTTGTGACGTGCTGGTTGAGCAGGACAATTTCCTCTTCTGCCGTGCAGACTCGCCGTCGTTTACCCTTGCAGTATGTTCAATGAGTAACAAGGATGCAACAGACCTACGCCACAAAGGTGGCATGGTTACGACTCCCTAGCGAGGAGGATTCTGGGACACTGTGGAGGTTTTCCCGCAAAGGAACTGGGTTCGATGATCATGATATGTCTGGGGGGCATTCTATGGGTCTTATATTAGCTGGGATGAAAGACAACGCGAGTTCACGTTTCATTGGAGGTAGAGCCTTATCCAGTAGATGCTGGAAAGCGGCGAGCAAAGGCCCCATCTCGAATCTGATCGACTTGCGCGTATGGATTTGCTCCCAAAAACAACCTGGAACCTTCGCTTGTGTCTCGTTTTCTCTCTTAGCATAGAAGCAGATTTCCTGTCTTTGTTTTCGCTGTTCAGAGTCGGAGATAATTTTCCTTCCACCAGGGACCCGAAGGGAGAGGAAGTATGTAGAATCGACCATCTTACCTAGTGTATAGAAGCGCAAGGAACGCCAAGTCCTTCAGATAATCACGCCATTGGAATCGACTTATTAGTCACATGGATAGTAACTGCGAGTCAGTCTTTCATGTTGTGTAAAGGGGAACCACTTCGGTTAAGGGGCTATGTCGAAAGCAAGACTGTTTCCCTGGTTATCAGTATTGTTAGTGTAAGGGCAATGATCACCGCGGTGTTCTCGGGAAATAGCACACCATAACCTGTCCCTAGGTAAGGTGCTGATAGTCTAGAAACCGACGGAAGAACCGCAGACCCTCTGCCGTGATAATAGTGGGAACCATGGACAGTAGAATCACCTGGACTGAGCATCTATCACGGGGTATAGAACAAAATAGCCCTGTTACAATGATGACTGCGCCAAAGGGTATTCTTTGGAGGGCCTGCTCGGGTAGCTGAAGATGAAGGGTCCTTCGAGAAGAGAGCAAAGGGAGACATGGGAGCTCAGGCAAAAGCAAGCGCTGGCAGGATTGGAATTTACTCCAACATATGTGTCTTGTCGGTATGGTGGTCGCATGTCTCTCTTCTAGCTCTTCGTACCTGACGTGATGGCCCAGACTGTGCCTCGAAGCCACCTGCATTATTGACTCAGCCATGCTGGCGAGGAAACTGTACTCATTGTCGCAATGAAGAGTGAAAGGAATCGGTAGCGAAATGGGGTGTCGGTAAGTTTATCGCTTCGAGGTCAGCTAGAACGCATGTTAGCTTCAGAAGTCAAACAGTGTTGCGGAAGGATCAACGAAGCCTTTTGACTCGCTGGTATTAGTTCTTTCAGTTGTCGCTTCGCGCTTCCCTCTCCAACGCAGTCGCGATGCAGACTGAACTGAAGATATAGGAGTGTGTGATGTCCGAGTATCTGTGTCGATGTTTGCGTCTGCGAGCGTCTTTGGCGCTTCACACGGGAATGCGTGCCTGATTTCCCGCTCCCCGAGCTCACGTTGTCCTGCGAAATTGTCAGCATACCTAGCCAAGCTGCCAGGGTATAAAAGCGGCATGACTCTCGTCCGATCCTGAGAGCGAGGCCGGAGCGAAAGGCGGTATCAGCAAATGTCCAATCACTATTTTAGGCTTGAGGGTGTGGCCTTTCGACTGTGTCTCTTCTCCATTGTACTGGACCTCTGGTTTCCCGGGCTTGGATGATCTGCTGTCACGAATAGAAACAACTCGATACGGGTATAGTGATCTTGGGCTTCGTAGCCAACTTCTGGATTCGACTTTTCGTACTGGACATTGCCCGATTCATCGTCTACGCAGAAATAGTAGCCGCGGGAATCACGTCGAGGAAATTGTGTTTGTTGAGGAAGCCGTCGTATTTTCTGATAGTTAGACTTGTCAGTAAACTCTCAGCCGTGTAATTCATACCTCAAGAGGACCAACTTGCGATCCTACCCTCCTGCCGCTCTGAAAAAAGGGCTGGTACCAAAGGACCCATGCCAGACAGAGGGAATGAGTGCGACTTCCAGTCGCGTCAACTGTGTCACAGCCAGTAAGGCCAACTGGCGCAACCACACTCTCGAGCCACAGCGTGGCCGTGAAACGTGAACATACAGCTCTCCAGTTGGTGTTCTAGCAACGAAAGTCCAGGCTAGGTCCGCACAACTTGAACAGCTCATAGACGAGACTGAAGCCCTTGGGATTGAAGGGACCATCGTCTCAGATGGAGCGTCACAGCTTGCAGCTGAGAAAGCATATGTTCATTTCTCGGAGAGCGTCGATACCATTGCATCGAGACTCCTGTCCGTCTGTTTTATGGAGGTGTTAGAGACGGCATAAGTCTGGGCTGATCTGCAAGACGCCCAACAAGGGGAGCTCAACCGTCCTCTTTCCCAGGAGCTGTCTGTAGTCAATAGACCCTTCTTCCTTCCGTGCTCGGGTTTCGGGGAGGGGCTTGGGAGGCAACCCGGAGGCTCTTGTCTTCCAAACCCTTCTTTGAGTCTGATCGTCCTCGGCTCGTTGTCCGGTCTCAATGGGGACCTCATGGTTCTAGATCCTGCTCTTCGTCTGTCTGCTGGTTGGCCCGCTGCAGCAGTCAGGAGGTGTTGTAAGATGGACACCTGTGTCTGCAGACTTCGCCAAAATTGATGCCATCTTCTGACACTACTAGATGAGCCAAGGCAAAAGCACCAGAAGTTGAGCCGTATATAAGGGAACATATGTTCGATTCCTCTCAGCGCTAGATAGATAGTGTTTTCGTATTTGGCTCAGCTGGTAGCGCTCGCGGCTAATAGCACACACCCATGTCGCACCCAAACCCACGCTAGTCCTATAGCCCGCCCTGTACCTCACAGGGGTCCCTTATATTATCGGAGAGTCTGCGTTCGAGCCGGTGCGGGGGCGCACAGTTTGTTAATCTGGACAGTGTACGAGTTAGCGAAAGCACCATTGATAGGAGTTGAACCCTAGGTCCACTTTCATACAGCTTAACTAAGGACAAGTGAATGTACTCCAGACTCCCAGTCTGGGTACCTACAATGGTTTTCTTGAAGCTTAGCCAGCCAAGAAGAAAATTCGGCTCTTGTACAAGACCTGCCGGTTGATGTGTTCTCTTGGTAGATGGGAGACAATGCTTGGGTCCATGTTCTCGCAGGTATGGGACGATGGCTTCAATACATTGCAAGGAGAGGTGGCGTATAGTTACCCCTATAAGTCTCCTTCTAGCATGTGTCTACCAATGTATGCCATGTTCATGTTGGTGGAATAAGCACACTGGAATAAGCAGATTTGATCTGACAAGCCATCCTGTATGCTTCTCCCAGAGTGCTTATCCAACTAGATAGAGAGTCGATACACCCTTCACCTATTAAACGTAGGACGTACGGAGACTCTTGGAGGTCTACTGTACCGCGTCGTTGTATGAGTCTATCTATGTCGCAATGGAAAAGATAGGAGGTGAATAGGTCACCCCGATGGGCCGCTATTCTTGCAGTGCTTGTTCTCGAGGTCTTCGGCTTTCGAGGTCCTCGGCTTTCGTGGCCTTGGGCTGTGTTGTTTTCTTTGTGCGGCAGGAAGGTTCGTGGCATTTCGACTTTGGTTCTGGTCAAGCAAAGATTAGCATAGTCCTAAGATGTCAAGGGAGGATGTCTAGAAGCAACGCGTATTAACTATACTCAGTTTCTCACCCTTCTAGCCTTTCGATCCTCGGCAGTGTCTCTCAAAGGGCAACGTCTCAAGGGACTCTTGTCTCGAGCTGTCCACCCAAGCCGCCGATGGTCGATGTTGGCTGCTCCTCGTGACGACGGTGTGATGCTCGAATATAAAACTACTGCAGGAACACTGTAGTTGTCATCTGGTAAATAGTGAAGATCTGCCCCATCATGCCAGTACACGTCCAGGCCATCAAGACACCTCTGTCGCGAGCTCCCCAACACCTAGAGAGCCAGCTTCTCGCCGACATCGTCAAGGGTCTGTTAGAAGAGAGGTAAGTCTCGGGGCATACCTCGCAGTGTTACTGTCTTCTTGAAACCTCTGGGAATAGCGATCCCTGCCGGTTCATGGGCTGTGTGTATTTCGGTTGTCTTGTTCGATGCCGTCGAGAGGTCGAGAGCAGCCACGAGGAGATCAGGTGTCATTCTGACCTGTTTGATTCACTGAGGAATATCCTACCCATATTCTATCACAGGCATGATTTCAAGGCTCGAGGGGAGGTGGACTTTCGAAAGATCTGTCTTCCGGCTTCGACTTGCAGAGTATATGGCATCGGTACGATGTTCGAGCGCCTGGCATATGTTCCCTGTCAAGGCTTAGACGAACAAAGATTGGCCGGTGGGTAGATTGACACTGATATTGCTATCCTATGTACTAGTGGTAGAGTACAAGACGAGAGACGAAGAGAAAAAAGAGGAAACAAGCAAAGAGACGTTTCACGAGCCAACTATATAGAATCTCGGACAGAGATTCCATCTCGTTCCACGATGTTCTACGCGTGCTTCCAAACTATTCCAGATCGTTCCATGACATTCCCGTAGTTACCCCCTGAATACTAGAACGCAACGGCGCGTTGCGCCCATCAAGCGGGACAGCTACACCCTTCTCCCTGATGGCGGTGTCGCTTGCTGAGGCCAATATTGCCTCTCGTAGCCTTCTCTTCGGATGCTTTTGACGCCTCGAGTACCAGGAGACCACCTCTCAGAGCCTCTGCGAGTATTGTCCAACCCCTTGAAACCACGGAAACCACCACAAAGTACTCTTGTGTAACTTGCCGCGGCGAGAGGGCTTCCGTTCATTCGTTCGTTCGTTCGTTCGTCCGTTCGTCCGTTCGTTCGCCGACCGTGCAACTGCTCTTTAGCAGAGGGACCGTATCCCCGTGCTTCTAAATGCCTTCAGTGTTCACTCAACCGCCACTCGAGATCGACGTCAGCGGTGGTACGTTGTTAGAAGTCGGCTGTTTAGAGATTCGGTCGGAAATATAGGATGATGGTCGTGATGGCTGGGAGGTGTACAAGACGGTGTCGTAGGCCGCGACAGCTGGTATTGGGTTCGAAGCGGGCGAGGAGGCACTGCTTACGGCACCAGATCAGGATATCCTTTGGTCAGAATTCCTCAGGCTGTCTGGCTGTCTGGAATTTGCTCTTTCAAGGTGAACAGACGTCTGGTCGGATCTGGGAATGGGATCGGTAGGTCGTTCGGACTTCTGGCACAAAGTCCTTTAGTTAGATTCACTCAGGGTTTCCGGGATACGCTCTTACAAGGTGAACAGGTGCTGTCGGATCAGGGAACGGGTAGTAGGGGGTTTTCAGTACACGTTTAGTAGTGAATCGCCTTGCGACTGGTTCCTGTGGACATGTATCGTGGCCGGGACAGCGTTCTACGTTCCACTCAGTAGGACATCAGCCCTGGAAGGTGAGCATGGCACGCCTGAAAGCGCTATAGCTGAACACTGTATCTCCCCGCTGTATCTTGATTATTCTAGTGATCCAATCGCCAGGCTGAGGGCGTGTACAAGTCTATCTACAAAGGCAACATGGACATGTGTCTCAGACATATATGAATCGTGGAAAATGCATTCAATGGACTTGCGGCGGACGGCCTGGTGGGAGCCTTGTGGAGGAATTCGCGTCTCAAGCACATGGAGGATGGAAGACCTTCCCAACTAGCTGTGTTGGTGACACTCTCAAGGCAGTGGTTCCTGTCAGGTACTTAAGGGGACGATCATCATGACGAGACGGCACAGTCAAAGCATATTATCACGAGTTAGTTATGGGGAAGCATTCATATTGTTTCGCCCGACCGATCAAGTCCATCAAAGGAGAAATCTGTCTACCCCAAGGCAAGATGCTCCCCTATGGCAGCGTGCACCAGTTAGCAATCCTGATCCTCCACCAAGTGAGCCACCGAGTCTTCTCAGTATTCCCAAGCAACACCCAAGCTCGAGAGTGTTCATGCGCTCGGAGCTCTCAACGCCAACGCCAAAGACGCCGAGCAACAAAGACGCCAAGAACAATGAGTCTCTCTCTCGAAGGACAGCGGGAACTCTGGTCAGCAAGTTAGCAGGTTACTCGATAAAATCAGACGTGTGAGAGGATGTGTGTAGCTTACATTCGAAGGGGATGATTCCGTAGTTCTGGAGATAAGGAATTGCAGAACCCCGGTGCTTGTGGTTCGCATACAAGTGACGGACCCAGTTGTGGCCCTTCGCGATCATGTAGGTGCACTCGTTGCTCTCACAGCAAGGGATGGGAGGTGAGATCTCCGCTCTCATGCGGGCAGCCTTGGCCTTCGGATCGTGGATGTGGTTCCAATGGGTGCTTAAGTTGCCATTGGTGGCTTTCAGTTCGGAATCGCACTCCTTGCAGACGAAGATTTCCTCGTTGTCGTCCAAGTAGTATCCCCAGACGTTCTTGACCTTGATGATGGTGCGACCAACAGTGTCAGGAGCGTTGACCAAGGCACTGAGAGCGGTCGCGGCGGCGTTGGCGATGGTGCTGCTTCCGGACGGCTTGCCACCCTTGGAGGTCTTATGCTTCTTGACTTTGCCACCAGAAGCCTTTCCGGCTTTCTTGGTGGCAGCCTGAGTCTTCTTGGGAGTGCTTCGTGTCGGCGCCATGGTGTCACTTACATACAAGAGTCAGTCGTAGTCGTCTGGAACGATGATCAAAGATAATGTTGTCGGCGAAGTTGAAGGCGAAGGTGATGGTTCAGTGTTGGAGGAAAGTGACGGTGAAGGGAATGGTAGGGGAGACGGCGAGTGGGAAAGGATTCGGATACAGCCAGGCAGATACATATAAGTCTTGTGTGACCCAGGCGCAAGGCCGACATGTGAACAGGCAGAGATCGAGAAGGTAGAATAGTACTTGAGCTCTTGCAAGGGGATGTGGGATTTACTTACGAAAGGTTGAAGCGTTGCTGATTATCTTGTCTGGTTTGTGATATGTGCTATGTGCTGCAAAACCGCGATGATTCTGGATATGTGTGAAGACGGACGGGGGTGTGCGGTGGAAGAAGGGAAAGGTGGGATGAGAGGTGAGGATTGTGCTACCTTAAGTAGAAAAATTCCATGCACGGACTTTCGCTTATGATTGTGTGATTCGGTTAAACTGCAGTTCACCCGAAGGCCCTATCTTGCCTTTGCTATTCATCAGAGGGAAATGAGATATTTACAGGCGATTATCTGTTGTGATAGGCGTTGTTCTAGGGTGTTGTGAGGAGCACTGAGTACCTAGGTGGAAGAGGCGATGTCAAGTCTCCGCTCTGGCCAAGCGCTAAACCAAATACTAGCAAACATTCACCCATCGCAGGGGTTTTATTGGTCAGTTGACAGGGAAGCAGTCCGTGGAAAAGGAGGTGTGAAGGCAGCGCTCGGGCCAAGTGCTCAACTAATATGCCAGCAAACCATCACCCCTCCCAAGGATATGATTGGTTAGTTGACCTCGGTGCACTCACAATGCAGGAAACTCGTTCTAGTTTTTATCAGGACAGTGAGGGTGTGGTGCTCTTGTTGTACCTAGTGTGATGAAAGTTGCTGCAGAGAGGCAAGAATTCATCACCCTGAGAAGCCAGAAAGACATCGCAACAGAAATCATGAATACCAAGATCTAATGCGAACACAAGACTGTGAGACCTGTGGATGCCATGAACTTGACATGGTAGTATGAGTGGAACTAATAAAGTATAATGATCATAGTTCCTACTTATTTCCGCCTTCCACCGATGTGGTGTTGCAGGAGACACTGGAAGCTGTGGAATACACAATGAATTCTGAGATATAGTAAACAGTAAACCTCCAAGACTCTCCATACACCTCTTGTTCACTAAGCGAAGGGTATGTTTGTTGTGAGTTAAATACATGTTCTGAAATGGGCACTGAATAGAGGTAGTGGGATGGATTCTGCGTTATCCACGGGCGCTCATGCTGTTTATGGGAATTTACCATGACCAGGTAGAGATCCACAGACTGGTGAGTCTGAGACATACGTAACGGGGACTTTTGAGAGCTGAGTGTACACATTTAGCTGTTAGCCAAGAAATCATGGCCTACAGCTGTAGATTTCTGAAGACCAGTCACATGAGGGAGTGTTGACTGGTGCGCCGAAACTATTCCAACAAAATTAACCATCCACAAGGCTGTAGCTAGCAGGGATTCTTGGCCCATATTGATATAAACAATGCGATACCAGTGACCATCTAGTTCCGTGTTCCCACAGCTCCTTTCCTTACCACCATTGGGAGCGCAACTGCTGGAGCCGGAGCTACACCCTTTCCGTGAACTATTAGTGGCTACCCAAAGCCGATGTGGCCCTGAATTGAGGTAAGGAAAGATAATTGTCCACGGTAGGCTTATTGCAGGTATGTAAGAGCTATGCCGGTATGGTAGGGTCTCACGACAGCTTCTCCACGAGGTGGGAATGCCAAGGTCGGATGACGCCCAGCGTGCTTGGTCGCTGGGAATCGAACTGCCTATGAGGAATCCAATTGGAAAGATATTGGGGATCCTACGACGGATTGCATTGTGCGGGGATGTCAATGATGTTGTAGAGCGTAGACTTCGTGTTCCCAACCCAGCAGATTGAGATGATATCGATGCTGTGGAAACAATTCAGGCTCTGCCACACCTTGAGCAAATAAACAATGTTTGTAGAGCGTAGAAGAGGTACCTAAGGAGCGAATCTATGCTTGTGGAATTACCTATGGACTGGCAAGTCCATAGCAAGTGGCGAAGAAGGGGACCTATTGCGGATATAAATTGATTGGTTCACCCCGATTTATTGAGGGATTGATGTTCTGCCGGCTGCGCGAGACGAGCTGGGTTTGTAACAGCATGTGGCTGCTTACTGAGACTTGGCGGCAGCAGCATTTCGACCCAGGACCCACGATACTTGTCCGATAGGTAAAGGGAGTGGAACCGGGGCCATCAATTGATGGTTGCGAGTGCAATCTACTTTTTTGCGTAGATTGTTACAAAGTTGTCATAGTTCTAGCGGGGAAATTCCTAGTGTGTCATGGCATGATGTGCTGTAGGAACCAGGAGGTATCCGGGGGAGAACTGCATCCTAATGTCTATGCGGCTTTGAGTAACTTAGTGAGTTGCCAGCATATGACAGAGTCAATACGTTAAAGCACTCGGTTGCCAATGCTGTACGAACGGGTAGCCGACCTGATCCATTCCCGTATCTATATAGTTAAGCTCTGAGGTCTCTCCATACTCGAAAAACATTGATATGAAATTGCGGCAAACCCGATTTATCCTTTAAAGGAGGCACACAATGTTACGATAAAAGACCGCAAGACATAAGCTCAGGATGTATAGGGGTATAGTGTATAGAGGTATAGAGGTATAGGGATATAGTGTACAGGGTTATAGTGTACAGGGGTATGGTATAAGGATATAAGGGCAGGGGCATGGGCAGGGGCATAAGGGGTGCCAAGGCCCTCGTACAATGACGTCAACTTGGATGGGTCCCCCTTATTGGACTCGACTATCTCCAACGCTCCCTCAAACGTGGCACTCGTAGATCAAATCCTAGACATAGTCCTCGAATGATGGCTCTATCACGCCGACTCGCCATTATCGCCGGTGGTCTTGGTAAGTCTTTTTGTGAAACACATTAAGGCGAGGTACAACTCGACTGATGTATGTCTGCGTTCCAGGCGGCCTCGGGTCCGCAACTGGCAAGATCCTGCGGTCGCAAGGCGCGTGGCTCGCACTGCTCTACGCCCCCTTCGAAGCAAACAGGACAAAGGAGCTCCTTCGCAAAGGCTATGGGAAAGACTTCGCACCAGAAGAAATCCGCACCTACGAGTGCGACATCACCTCCCCTTCATCGGTGCAGTCGGCATTCGCTCGATATCCTCAGATCTGGCCGCGGGGGATGCGTCCTCGGCAGCGCCGGCGTTCCCGAGCATTCTCGTTAATTCTGCGGGGTATGTGTCGCTGAGCGCCATGGAAGACACGCCGCCCTAGGAGACGATGGAAACATCTGAATACCAAACTGCTGGGCCCCATGCTCTGCAGCCAGGCTTTTGCGAGGCTCTATCTTGCGGTGGCGAAGGCGGCAGCACCGACGGCCGCGCCCCCGGGGAGGATCGTGAGCGTGAGTTCGCAGGCAGCCCACGTGGCACTGTGGAAGCATGGCGCGTACTGCACATCGAAAGCAGGACTGATGGGTCTCACGAGGAACATGGCAAGCGAATGGGGACCTAAGGGTATCACGGCGAACACCGTATCGCCGACTGTCGCCTGGACGGAGCTAGGCTAGAACATGGGGTGAGAAGGCCGTGTCTGAAGCGTTCCTCAAACAGGTTCCTACTGGGCGGTTTGTGATGCCAGAAGAGGTTAGTGAAGCTATAGCGTTCTTGTGTCAGGACTCTAGCGGAATGATCAATGGGTAAGTATGGACAAAGACTCGACTCTATGGCGGTTGCTGATGACGTCCTTCACAGGGCGGACATACGAATTGACGGCGGATTCACAATACAATAAGTTGTGTTCATGCACGAGCCTTGCTGGTGCAGAGAGCGTGTTACGGGACCAGGATCACGGGATGGCAACAGTTGATCAGGAAGATTCAGGGATCTATTGAGCAACTAGGAGCCATTCAGAGTGTGATGTAGAGGTCTGGGTCTCCAGCTAACTCGTGGCAGTGTGGGGAGGAATGATGTATCTGTGGATATGCCCCACATTACGTGTTAATCACGTGATACAACAGAGCGGGCACATCAAGGCAGGTATATATAGCGACGAGCCCGAATCAACCTGTTGTCAGCTGTGTATTCTGCTTGTTTCCCATCAGACCTCTGTACAGCGCGAACACAGCTCGTCGGGATCAGTATTCTGACTTGTGGCAGGTCTTTACCACCACTCAAACGACCATGACTATATCTGTCTTGAACTACCTATGTTGCCACCCTCATAGTGCTATCCAGTCTCAGGCTCCTCCTAGAGGTACTCTTCAGTGTCGTGCGTGCAGTACAAGTCTGAGCCTGCTTGTAGAATCCCTCCCACGACCCGCACCTTACACCACCCCCATGTTGCCTTATGTGTAAAGCTGAGCAAGTTCTCAATGTCGGGGGGGGGGCATGCGGGATGGGGCTGGAGTAAAACTTGGGATCTGGGCGACAACTCGGTCGGTTTGGCGGTGTCGAGCTTTTTCTGATATAGTGTGAGTACCTGTTAAAATCAGGTCAGCTGCGCAGGAGTCGGAAGTGAAATTGGGGAATCATCTGTCAAGTCAACGACCCGCCCCTTGTCAAACAGTGCGTAGAAGGTTCATATGCTCGATATTCGTGTATTCGGTGCTGATCTTGATGAATCTGTTGTTGTGAAGTCTCTGTTAGTGGCTACCTAGGTGGCCCCAAAATGCCCTAAGGGCCCCTGATCAGGGCACTGCCACCTCCCTGACGCCACAGTGGCTTACGTGCCATTCAACACCCCTTGTTTGCGGCTGTCTATGGTTCGAAGCATGGGTGGGTCAAAGAGACCGTTTTCTTTTACGGCTATCCTTGATCGTTTAGTGGGAGGCATCCTATGGCAATTTAGTTTTACTACCTTACCGTGGGTCGTTATATGTTGTCAAGACACCGTGGTTTCTCCGGTGAGCAGGATCCTATATGGCGCCATACACTGAAGTTCAATACGTCAGCCAGCATCCCGTCTACGTGCCCGTAAGAAGCTAATGCCTAAACGAGGACCCCGAGAAGGATATCCTGCACCTGGAATTTGGAGAGGAGTCCGTACAATTCCGTCAAGAACTTGTACTTGTGCCATCGATATCCCGTGGAGGACGGGGAATACATTGAACCACCAAAGGTTTCCGTACACCCCTCGTTCAGTAGGCAAGGTACGTATCTATCTTAACCGGAACAAGCAGTCTGGAATAAGTATCGAGGAATGGTTTTTGGGTCGGCACTGCTTTAGCCAGGTTGCTTATAACCCGATTGGTAGATATGACATTGAAATCTAATAATCAAGAGAGAAGCGTTCTGGACGGAGAGGAAGACTGGGAGGGAGCCCATAGACAGATCGAAAGCAAGAACAAGCTGTGGGCGGGTTCGAGGATAAGTGTATTTCTTTAGCTCGCTAATAACGGATACGCTCAAGTAAACACACGTTTCCGTCATACACTCCTTCGGGTCTGAACCTCTTAGTCAGCACGTTGAGAACCGCTCTCGTAACGAGCTATTCTACTCGTTGAGCTTCTGCACAGTGAACTTCACATCATCTAGAAGCGGGTCTGGCATGTTCCATAGCAGCGCATTCAGCTTGAATTCCGACAAGGAGGTGGTAATGGTGTAACTTTTGCTATCATCCAGATTCCGGCTCTGAATCGCATCTTGCAACAACGGACCCGCCACCCGCACACTTCGGCCAGACTCAAGGACTGCAAGCATTTCCTCAGCGCTCATTTCCTCAGTGCTTGCCGGTTCCGAGATGGCTGGATTCATCGAAGGAGGCGCTCGCGGAAGTAACATCGGTGCTTCCCGCGTCGGGCGGCCGTAATCACTGCATTTGAGTAAGAACCAGTTGCCCCTCTCGAACCTCTCCTCCCATAACACGCCGAGGCGCCATTCCTGAGCAAACTCGAAGAGACCTGGCAGCATGCAAGCCAACTTCTGCGCGATTTGACGGCGGGACAGGGGCGAATTTGTTGGGGTGTGTGGCGACAACTGATATTGGTAGAGATGGTCGATGTAGAGTAATCGCTCTGTGTCGCGAAGTATTTCGAACGTCGCCTGATGCAGCAGAACCAGGCGCCGCATCTTCGTTGCAAGATCCCTCGACGCCTCTTCGTCGTATATGTCAGAGAGCCTTGAGTGGTAGTCTATGTCCATGAGGGCTGTGATCTGCTCGGCTCGAGTCGATCGTTGAAATCTCCGGTGGGATGCGAGCGCATGCTCGACTCGCCGCTGCAATCTGGCCTGCTCGACTCGCCGCTGCAATCTGGCGTCGGAAGGTTCCATAGGGGCTGGAAAATCCTGGGTGGCTATGTTGGTGATGACGATCCGTACGTATGCAAGGGAATTCTGTTTGGACAGGGCCGGTAATGTGAGCAGTCGGACAGCCAAAAGGTGATTGATGTTGAAGAGATGTAGCAGCAGTCTAGGAGGTCGAAAGTAGATGTGTCCAGTGTCCCCCTTCGAAGATAGAGCAGGCGCGGCCGTAGTTGGGGGCAGGGTGGCAGCTTGCTCCAGAGGTCGAATCGGTCGATGTGCTGGTAGGCGCTCGTCACCGTGAGAGCAGTAGCCGTTTCGCACGAAGAAGTTGCACTCGGGCATCTTGGGCAGAGCATTATTAAAGCGCTGTACGAGCAAAAATGCAGGGTGATTTCTAGACTGGGAACATAAGGTACAGATTCATCGAGTCGGAGTAAGCCCAATGGAATAAGCATTGAAAGTGGCGTATCAAACCAGAGCTGCTTCTTCCTGTCTGCTTATTGCAATATTTCCAAAATCCCTCGTGTGAACTTGAATTCTCCCGGCATGGCTTGCACGGAGACTTATGAGGGCTGGGTATAGCAGCAGATTGGATGGAGCAAATCGGTGAAGCCACGTTGGCGCCATCAAGATGCGAACCTAACACCTTTATCATGGACAAACCTTGGGTTTTTGCGATATTCGCACCAACTGCATCTTGGTTGCCAGATCGTGAGATGAAAAATACTCACATATGGACATCAGTGGCATGAACCTTCATAAGGAGTGAATCATCCGTGACGAATACCGGAGCTTAGATTTATCCGTGTTCCCTCCCTATCCGGAATCTTCAGGATGTTGTCGAGCCCTTCTGTATGCTGTCGTAACATCTGCGGACTCTGCAAGGCTACCAAACCTCTTGTTCTTTCAAAGAGAATCCTAGACAAATTCAAGCCAAAACATGGAGTAGCTCCTCACTCCATTGACCGCAATGGGCTTGGCAGCGGCAGCGGCTCAACATCAAACTCGTCCAACACCGCTCCGGCAATCCTTGCCTCCCCCGCTGATTTCACGCAACACACTAGCATCCGCCAGCGGTCCACTCGGCTTATGCTTCAAAAGCGCCGGCCTCTTTCAAGCTCCCACTCGCCTCCCGGCCCGTGACGCCGAACTACCGGCGCTCTTCCCCTCGGCACCCGGCGACGCAAGCCCTAGCTGTACTGCTCCTGCGTCAAGGTTCGCGCTCCAGAACAGCGCGCCGACCGAAGGCCAGACTCGCAATGCTCGCCACGGCGGCGCTCAGAGGGCCCAGTCCCTGACAGGGACCGTGGCGCCCATCGGAGCCATCACGAGCCCCTGATTCGCGACGAGCGCCAGGACCGGCGCGCATGCGTGCTGCGTCGTGGGGTGCGAGCCGCCATTCTTGGACCCAAGCCTGGGCTTCTTAGGCCCTTGCCGTCGGTGAGGCGACGCAGTTTCTTACGAGAGTCACAGTTCGCACGCGGCGAAGGGATCATGGAGACATCTGGCGGACGTGTGCTGCTCACTGCATGGACTTCTTTCTTTTGGTACGTGCCCCCTTGCATATAATCATTCGAGTTCACGTTATGGGCAGCGCGCAATCCAACACCTGAATCACCCATATAATTGTTCCATGCTGCCGGCTGCCTTGATGGCGACAACCCTCGGACATAACGGAGCTGGCTGAAATTATAGGGAGACGGCAATACCTACACCCTCATACGATCAAGTGGTATACCTCCGCGACACCAGCCTGGGCAACATCACAGAGCTATCAGTCATCCTGTCTCCTCCACCTACGGATGCGGGGTCACACGTATGGCATTCATAGGCCAAGACATCTTTGTGTCAGGTGCACTTCAGCTGTCTAATTCAGGCCGGCATAAACCTGAGACAACCTCAAGCCTCTCAGCGGTACTCGACCCCCACCATCGCGAACCACGCGCTCCTCGTAGCTATAATCGACCATCAATCTAAAACAAGAACGAAGCATACTATTATTATCAAGACTCAAGTAGGGGTCATGAAGTCGTGCATTCAGAAGCCGAGTGGCGATCATCTCACATCAGCAAACCGTCCGCGGGCGCTTGAACCTGACAGTCACAGGCAGCTGACGATACTGCAGCAAGTGTGCAGAGCCTCAAAAGCCAAGCCAGCCGCGCCATCATTGCAGCTCTGAAACGTGACTCGCAGTCGCAATTAGCGATTAGTCAGGATGAGGGCTGGTCAAACAACCTCGACGAATTGAACAAAAAAAAGAGGATATAAATGCACTCAGTCGGTGATTGGCCCCGTGTCATGCAGAGAAGGCCAAAGGGGCCACCGGTCGGGGGCCATGCCACATGGAAGCTGCAGAAGGTAAGTTATCGCGGGAACCTTGGAAGCCCACGTGTTTGGCCCAGATCCATGGCAAGCAAGCCTGGTCGCAATCTTTTGATGGGCAGGCATTAGTAAGTAGGTAGGTAGACAGGCCGCGTGACCTTGCCGGTGGCCGATCGTGTCACCGCGAGCGGCGTCCTCCTATCTTAGGTAGAAGGAACGTTACTTGCCCCACTGCATATGACCGGTCTGCACCTGCAGTATTGATTAAACCCAACGTGTAGCCTAGAGTCATGACGACGCAATATTTCGAGCGAAAGGTTGGTGCCTGACTTGTAGGCTCGACATTCAATGGAGTCTTGTCTTGTGTAGGAAGATGCGACTGCGCCCGAATACTGCATGCGACATGCACGGTCCTCCAGGGGCATCAACCGGTGGCTTGCTGCATATCCATTGAAGGTTGGGGAATATGGGCAAATTTAGCAAGGCGGTATGCAGCACTGAGCAGGAAGCACGCCCTTCAATGTCCTGACGCAGCCGTTCAACAGCTCTCAGTATGTCGCAACTCCCCCAGCCAGTGATAAAATAGGTAGTCAGACCCCCAGCATGTGTCCAACAGTGCTCGACGACTTGCTCTTGCTGAAAACTATACGGGCCGAACTGACGCAATGCGGAGTAAAACGGTCTGTTTCTGCATGTAAGCCGCCAGTCGTGAGACACGCATAGGACCTCAAAGTCTGCTTATTGGTTAGGTAGGCGCCCAGCCCCCCAGTCGTCCCCAGCTGACGCAGAATGTGGTGCGTGCTAATTTGCCCGTATTCGTCATGCTATCAGCGTATTACTTTGCTTATACGCGTCTACTGTCCGATGAAGGCGGGTCTCCCATTGGCCTCGGCAACTCCTGCCTCCTCTTCAAACTGCAAGGAAGCTTCAATCTGATAGGGGCATGAAGAGGATGGGGGGATGGGGGAATGCGGGTGTCGTGCGAGCAGGCTTGACCAAGCTTTCAGCTTCTAGGTAGTAATCGCATAGCCGGTTCGTCCCTAGTAGTTGAACAGAAAACGTGGCCGTGCTTAGAGATGCCGCTTTAGAGGCTTAATGTGCAAGGCAAGCATGTTAGCTGCTGTGAGACACAAAAGCCGGGACACCTGCCGTATAGGGCGAGGTCTAAACTGGATGAGCGTATTACAGGACTGTATCCGATTGGGGATGACGATAGCTATTCCGGCTCTGAGAAGCCACGTGTGCTGTGCTTACCTTATGTGACGCGGAGCCGCACTAGGCGGCCGGACGCCGAAAATAGCTCAATGGACACTGAAGACGCACAGGCCGAGAAGAGGTGGTTCAGCTGCAAGGCACAAGAACGGTACCGAAGCTGCAAGGATGAAGAGTATCGATGCAGGCGCGCAGTCGATGCAGACACGCAGCTTGATCATGTCGCATGCTGCAAACAGAGAGGTTCGTCGGTATCTCCGTGGTGCCAGCCTGTTGTACGCAGCACGTGTTTACCAAGTATAGCACTATACTCGGGTGCCCCATGCCATCTGACACTCGCCCACACATGCCCGACATACCACCCCTCCCCCCTTTTATACTAGCGCCGGTGGAGCCCCGCACTACGCGACGCCATCGGTAAGCCTCATATTATACAATCCTACTAGCATCTAACAAGTGAGCCGCCTAGCACCGTCAATCAGAGTCTAACGCGTTGTCTCACCTGGCGCACCTCTGTCATTCTGTTGCCTGTTAGCTGCAGTCCAATGTGGAAAATCTAGGTACATAGTCTCGTCCAGTGACTTTAGCGCACTCAGTGCCAATGTAGAAGACTTGATCCATCGACTCGGCATTTGTCAGTTTTCTCCACGGCCAAGTCGTCGTACACAGTGTCGGGAGAAATTAGAGATAAATATACCTACACAGGCAACGTGACCCGTCGTACCAGCGCAAGATACGGCAAGAAAGGAAACACGCATGCATGAGATTTGAGACCGGTACAAGTGTTACATGTTAGTTTCTTAAAGGTACTAGGTAGTATGACAGGTAGACACGATATGCCAGCTTCCACCCACGTGGGGCATAGAGTTGTTTATCAAAAACTTTTCCCACCACATATACTGTGCGGCAGAGCATCATTCTCACACACCACAATAATGTCCTAGCTGAAATGACAGCCGTTGACCAATCTGGTAAGTGGGCTAGCTACTCTAAGTTAGTGTCCGCTCCCGGTCTAACGGGCCACATGGGGCGAGCGGGTGTGCTAAGAGTACCCACACTATAAGCTATCAAGCAAGGTTGTCATCGTTTGAGCACAAGTGCAGAATGGCCCCGCGATGTCAAAACGGGATACTCTTGTAGTGCGTAGCGCTACCTAAGTTGAGGACCAATTTGAGTGTGGTGCGCGGCTTGTGTTGTGTAATATCGAGCTCGAGTTCTACGACATTACGTTTGGGACGTTCTACTCCCACACGGTGCTGTGTGCGCAACAGGGGACCGGGATCTTGGAAGTCGACAGCCCGCTACCCGACGCCGTGACAGTTGACGTCAGACTTCGCATTAAACTCGCGGCGTACTCGTCGCGTAGGTTTGCGCGCGCGCCGACTTTGCGCTAAGGTGCAAATGGCGGGAGTGACCATCCCCACGTTCTCGCACTTCGTCAATGAATGAAGTGGCTCGTCCGCGGAAGCGAGAACGCCTTACCTCACCCGACTGGGCCTAAGCTGACGCGATATAGATTTTGGACCTGGGACTCGAGTCTATCGCCGATCTTGTCCAACACTAGTCGAATTCGGCTTTGCGCTTACCAACCCGTGCATCGAAATGCGGGTGACAGCTCAGCTTGGCCAAGTGACTGCGGCTGACTCGTGGTTGCGGCTCAGAGGAGAGAAAGGCTTGACCACCATGCCATGTTTGGCAGCATGCACACCCTAACATGTAGGCGTCGCAGGGCAAGCATGGAGCTGAATATTCTGCTCCGTGTCTCCTTGTGTGTTTCCGGAACTCCAAGCTAATTGTGCGACCTTCAAGCAGACGGTGGCTTAGAATGCCATGCGATGGCCGCTGATCAGCATGTACCTAAATTGCCCTAGTGCATCAGGGCTTATCAGTCCCAAGCCCAGGGGGATTCGACAAAGAGCTCAATTTCCAGCTCGTTCAGGATACAGCCAGGTCTGAGCTTGCTGGTTGGTGCCCCGTTTGTGCCCTGGACCTCGATGGAAGCTCCCATTTGGCGAGCGTGTTAAGGTAGTCTGCGATGTGGGGTTGGAGCTGACCGTGAGGCCGGTCAAGAGTGGCTTCATGTGTCTGTCGATAGACCGTCACACACGCCGACTCCAGGAGGAGTCAACTCGTGAAAGCCTGGCAGGCGGGTCATCTTGTGGTATCGGCCATCTCGATCCAGGTAGTGATGTTGAGGTCGCATCACACTCGCAACCTCAGGCGTCCGGAAATGATCCTGCCACATGCAGAGCATCAACGTTTGCCTCCAGTTATCATGGTCCTCGGTATTGTGCGGAGCTGTATCCAAATCCTCCTGTACGACCTACGACGGTGTCAACACTTCCCTCCAGCCGATTGGCTGATCTGACGCGGTCGGTACTGCATGCGTGGTTGATTCCTCTTTTGCTCTCGATCAGCCCTTTGGTTCCGTCGGTGGACTCTGTACTACCCGGCGTCCCATTGATGGTTATCAGCCGTCGCGAAACATGCATGAGGCTTGCACAGGTAGTGTCCCGCTGTGTGATGGCGGTTCTGCTTTGGTTGGTCGTCGTTGTCGAACATGTGGGCATTGGAGGTCCCGCTTTCGCACATGTTCGCCGGCAGCTGATATAGCCCTATAGCCTTATAGCAGATGGATAGGTAACACTGGTGGTCACCGAAGCTCGCACAGGGTCCTTTAGATTTGCCCATCCGACCCACTCTTCATCCGCTGTCTCCATGAAAAGCCATGCGCAGATCCTATTTTCAATTTGAGAAGGATTCAAGTTTGAATGGTGCTCAGGCGGTGTGGTGTATGCTGGGGAGTCTGGACACAGTCTCTATCCTGACTCTCGTGTGCGGTCGTATGATTACCTAGGTATTGCTCGATGGTCGGGAGAGCTGGCAGGTAGAACAAGTTCTTCAGCCAAGGGATCCCCTGCTAGCCGCCGGCTCCCCCCACCCCCCGGACCTGCTGGCAGACAGGGTTGGCCCCGCACGCCCCATGCCTAGGGCTGACCGGGGTACGTACAGGGCTATCCATGGTCCCGCTTCCTTCCTCTTCTTGCCGCTTTGTCTCACCAAGGCCCACGAAGGTGGCTGACTGTTGTGTCGTCGAGCACCTCTCCACCGGTGCTTGCCGGGAAACTCAACGTCCGGGTGGCAGACCCGGTAGTGACGCGTGAGTGCGTCAGCGCGGCTGAACGTCTTCCCCTCGGTGCAGAGGTCGCAGCACCCCTTTTATTTGCGCGCCTTACGTATCGTATCCTCGTGCGGTGTAAGATCGTACGGCCGCGAGAACGAATGACCTAGCAGCGCGTCATAGTGTGAACAGGACGGTTTCCCTGCCGGAGGTATGCATTAGCAAGACCCCCTGAGCAAGGCCGTATCTATTGACGGGAAGTAACCACTGCTACCTCTACGCTGTGATAAAGTGACATCCCAAGGTACATGAAAGCTATGGGGTACCACGTACACAAACCTACTGCTACTACACCGTAGTTTCTGCGTGGGGAGCAACTTCAACACCTGACCACGTTTCAATAAGAGCCAAGCCGACAGGGGAATGATAGTCGCCGAGGGATACTTCTGCAGAGAGTGTCACTGACGGAATAAAGGAAATGATCGTCCATATCATACTGTACACCGGGCTAGCAAGCTCCAGCGAAAACAATAAGCCCAGTGCGCTACGCAAAATCCCAGTAGACGGAAGACATCTCTTCGTAGAGCATCAATCCCAGACATTCGTTGAGTGGGTTGTTCTCCCACATATATATGTGTGAAGAGCCACGATTGATACCTCAGAAAAAGTCGCTGCACTCATCAGACCAGACTGGACTGATAGAGCATGGTATCTTGGCTTCGCCCCAGAAGAGAGGATACCCAGGTACGGGAAGGTAGCCTGCTGCTCGCGAATCGATCCTTCGCCAGTAAGTTCCGGTCCAGCCAGTGAATGCAGAGTGCCAGAGCCCAGCCAGTGAAGCCCAACCAGCGAACTCAGAGCCCAGCAGTGATTTGATCCTTGCAACCATGCCATCACGGAAGCACGCCTTGGTCAAGGGTCCTTGACTCCTTGGCCGGCGGCGTAATAAGATCCAGAGCCCGGGACCCACCAAGGATACTACTGTGGGCGTTGGAAGGAACCGATGCCTGCATGATCTACGTTCTTATTTAGTGAGAGGAGAATAAAGAAGGGAGTGCACTGAGTCGCCGGAATCAAGTGTGTTGCAGTAGCAGTCGTTCTCTGCGCCGTGTATGTTGACAACAGCGTATTGTGACTTGCGGTCTTCTATGTGTATACTAAAAGGTACTCTGCGGCCCCGGATGCTATGATGACCTTCATAATGGTTGCCTTCGGGTGAGTCCTTTCCAATTCTTAAGCCTCGATGAGATCAAAACCAGAATCTAGTTCGGAATGTTATGGTTAGCCATGAGCTGCATGCTTGACACACAACAATCGAGTCTTTTCTCTGTGTAACGACAGCGAAGGCAAGCATGGTCCTTTTCGTCCCCCCTGTATATCTACAGATTGCGTGGAAGGATGATCCTGTTTGCGGGTATTGGGCCAGTGGCGGTCAGCCCACCCCAGCAGATAATTGAGCTATCCTGGAGAGCTGGACGGTCAGGGTGGTTGCCAGCTCAGAGACAGTAACTTTATAACGAAACCCCAAAATCCGTAGAACAAAACCCCTCTAACCCAATCTGGTATAGTGTCTAGCCAGCCACCGTTACAAGTGTCAAGTATAGGTCCGCACCTTTTGCCTTATCACTACGCACTTCTTTTATTCATAAAAAGATCTCACGATTATATAACTTGTTTATAATATAAAATAAACTATTTTAAAAGCCTTTACGTTTAAATTTAAACCTTGTTATTTTCTTAGATTTTCTTATAATAGTTATAGTCTTTTAAAATAAGGCGTTATAAAAGGATGCCCGTCCGGCTATAAGCCTTATACCTTGTAACTATAATAGTTGTAAGCGTTATAAAGGCACGGTTATAATAAGCTTCAGAGAGTAAATACGTTATAACGCGAAAGTTAAAGCACTTAGTTTATTACAACTTTTACGGTTATATTTACAACTATAATCGCTATCTACGGGTAATTATTACTTTACAATAACTTCATACTTACTACGTGTAATTAATTATCAGCTGATTTATTTAAACACGCTTTTCTAATAATATTTATTTCTTAATCATTATCTACGTAGTTTTTAAAGTAATAATATTAAGTAAATACGCGATTGAAAGCGACATATTAATAGCGGGCATACCACTTAAAGCCCATCGGCTGTAAGGGTGGCTAGCCCTTATAGTGGGAAGAATAGTGGCGGTGGCTGGTAGGACCCTATACCTGATGGGGTTAGAGGGGTTTGGTTCTAAGGATTTTGGGGATTGGTTTTAAAGTTACTGGCTCAGAGAGTGTCAGGTGAGCGTGGGCGGCCAAACACGAAGCAGGGCAGTCCCTGGCAGCCAGAAGGTGACAGCTTGAGGCATCGCACGAGCCCAGACACCTGCCGTTCAATGACATGCACTCGAGGGCCGAAATGGAATATCCTTGGTGGCCAACCATGTTGGCTTGGAGATAGAGTCTGCTTCATCCATGGGGAATACATCCGATACCTAAGAGTTCTGAGGCGGTGGCAGACCTTGTCTACCCTCAAAGTGGCGCGGTGACGCTATGGTCGACCGTTCAACACATCCCTGCATCATCAACCGGCCGGCTTTCCGGAATCTGAAGAAGCGTGCGGCGCCCTGGGATTGGCGTTTCCTTCTAACTGGCCAATAAATAACTGCTGTTTGTCTTCTCGATGTTTCATGCACAGATCTGATACTCGGGCTAGTGGCTAGCTGCACAGGTGAACCAACAGACGGAAAGCTGCATTCGTGAGCTAGCGAACGGGAAGCCACACATGTTTGATCGATGACTATTGTATTTGAAGCATCGAGGTCGTTTGTAAGCAGAGTTCGCAAGGCGCACGCCGTCCACAGTTGTGCCATATACCCATATACCGCGTGGAGTGCAGAGGCGATCGTTGAGTGACCGGTTGTCCTTCGTAAACAAGAAATACGCCGTGTGCCGTTTGTGTGCCATTTGTTGTAGACACGGTGTTTGGCATGTTGGGATGCTTGCACAAGTTGATCGCATCGTCCCAGGTAACCAACTAACTGGGCTCAGAAGAGCGAGGCGAGGCGGTTGCTAGCAACAGTTACGGCACCTTCGGTCGCGCGATGTCATGCATGTGTTGCGTAAGCGCAACTGAAAGACCAATATGTACGTGGCTGGCTACTAGACGCGGGCCCGTCGTCTTACCTATCTTGACCATATGTTTATACTTGTCTACTCCTGTACTGCGAAAGTAAGGTAGCGCACGAGTGTGTGTCTTACTCCGGTCACTGTCAAAAATAGGA